AATCTCTCGCTCGATTCCATCTTCATTTAAAGGGAATGTGTCTCTATTAGCCGCCCTTTCAGCAATATCTTTCACAACATATTTTTTTGGTGACTTGAGATGACCAGTCGAAATTTTAACATGAGCAAAAGCCCTTCTGAGGGCTTCCATATGCACTGGACTGGGTTTAAAATTGGAAAGAGATCCGCCTCGGAGATCGATTATAGATTTTACAAAATCTAAACCATTACCAGACTTGAGGAATGCTGCAGATGCTCTATCAACTACCAATGTCAAACCGATTTCTGAAAATCGAAGAGATTTTCTATGACCCAAAGCCAATTCCATCCAGTTTGACAAATAATATCTCTCTGCATTAATCGGAAACATGGCGAGGCGACCCAAAGGTATCATACTGTATCTTGAAGGGAACTTCAAAATAATGTGAAGGGCCTGAATGGCGTCTTGGAGAGATTCTCGTCTAATAACATCGGTATTCGAGCCAGCATAGTACTCTTCTATTGATGCCAAAGAAATGACTTTACCACCATTAAAATTCACAATAAAATTCTTTCGATCTATTCCTTCCAATTCAACGTCTCGGACAGGAAGATCGCTTAACTCCGACTCAAGCTCATATGGCAAATACACGTTTGCCTTGCCATCATACCCGACTGATGAACTCGTGAAATACTGTGGGTATTGCGCCCTAACTGCGTCGAATAACTTGTATCGCTCATAACTGTTTAGCTTTTGTTCTTTTGGCTCTTCACCATATGTACCATAACTTAACCATGAAAAGTCATAATGATAAATTTGAACATCTGATGAATATTCGAACGAAAAATGATTCGTCATTAGTTTGATTTTGCGACCAAACTTTTCTGACAAATATCCTTTCCTTTTCACAAATTCAGGAACTGCCAATCCAATTTGAGACTCTTCATAGTCCCATTGAACATTTTGGCTGTTTATCAAATTATTATCAACCATATTACGCCTTCTGTTATGATCACCACCTTGGCGAGATCCGCCACGATAGCCAGTATTTCCATCATAACGCCGTCCAGCACTATTGCCATTGTAGCCTCGACCTCTTCCTCGAGAATTATAAGGTCGCGAACTCATCTTTTTCCGCCGAAAAAAGGATCAACACAAATGTAAAATATCCAAAAGTAGATTCTAAAATGAAGATAACTGTGTAACAAAAGACGTAGAATTTTTTTAGTCTCACAAATCAATAAAAACAATAAAACTTGAATAATTATAACACAAAAATATTAATAATAAACGAAAGAAAAATAAATTGAAAAAAATTAGGTAAAAGAAAACAATAAAAATTGATAAAATTGTAAATGAAATATCTTCACATGAAGAAAGAAAGCGATGAAATGCCAATAATGAAAAACAAAACTGCTTTATATAAGGAACTGTTGAGTCCACCCCTTTTCATGATCTTCCGATGATTCATAGACATATTTATCACTAGCATGATTCATTAATTTGAGATAAATTTGAAAGAGCAAAAGTAGTAGCAGATGAAAGGAAACTCACCTGTTTTAATGGATCACACTCAGGGACAGTCTAAGTTAGCCCAAATTGACCAGAATAACAAATCCAAGTAGATGAAACCGAGAACAAAGATGGAAATAAACAAACATTCAGTTCAAGAACTGTAGGGGTTATGAAAGAAACAATCCAGACACAAGGATACTATAATATTCAAGCATGACGCAATGTACTGGAACCTTCGCATCATATTTCTTACCAGAAAAAAGCTTTGCCATAGGTTTTAGCTTTAGCTTTATTAATAACATGTTTGCGCTATTAACTCCTTATCTCTGAAACCCAATACATGTATCATTTACTGTTTTGTTAACGGTTTTACATTTATAATTGTATTTTGGTTTTTACCAAACGATTTTGAAGATGTAATTAAAAACAATTAGTTGAACTAGCAAAGATATAAATTGTATATTTTACATTTCAAACTTCAATATGAGTATTTATTCCCATATCGATATTTTTCATATCGATTTATCAAGATATTTTATAATGTATGGAGAAGCTGCAACTGTCGGATCTGATTAACAATCACTAGTACCGTATATTAACATGTTTAGCCTTAATTTTGTCATGTTTTCATTATTAATTTCATTAATAATAGAAAACGATCTTTGACTTAAGATTAAGTGATCACAAAAATGAGTTTACAATTTGTTATTAAAAATCCATTTCTGGTTCCTGGTTTTCAATTGAGCCAGAAATGGCTTTTTACTACTACTAGTGTTTCGTTTCCCTTATACGATATCTTAACCGATATTTACAACTGGTCTCTCTAATGTCAATTTTCATGAAAGAAAGTAAACTGGTTTTGAAGCAAAATTTTTCGTTGCTTTACTAATATACTATTTTGATTTACGAACAAGTCATTCACTTTTAGAGAGGATGAGCTGAAACTCATTGGTCAATATGATCGGAGACTTTTTACGAAGAAAGATGAAAATGGATAACCATTTACCTTCATTAATAAAACATTCACCTGACAACAAATTAAAAAGCTATAAAATTTGCATGATTTAGAATCGCTTGGTCCTTAGAATTTTGTCCATAGTAAAATTAATGAAATTTAATAAAAACTTTTTTCAATATAAGTCTAATTTCGGACATTTAATTTTCAAAAGACAAAGAGTTATCTCTTCAATATGAACAAACCCAAACTTGTTTCAGCGTCAGATACTGATGAGATACTTGCGAAAGCAATTGTTTCAGAATTAAAATTGTTTTTTGACTTTATTGAAACCAACCCTGAACGAATATCAACTAAATGTTAGAAAGTTTTCTAGTAATGTTTTTACTGAATACTTATGTACCTCAAGGTAAGATAATATTAATTTATTGTCATCTAATGAAATAAATTGCTCATCATTTATCACTCTTTTCAGGATGGAATACAATGATCTAATACTGGTTAAACTAACAATTACTGATCTAAGGTAGATCATAACTCGTTTTCATAAACTTCTGGTATTGTAACTTCATTTTAATTGTTTTAAAAAGAGTATTGCAGGTGAGTCTACCTAATTTATCACCAATTGTCACATTTATCTTGTTCACTTCGAATTAACTTTGTTTTAACTTTACTTTTTCTAGCTTATTTTGTTCCCAGAGGAACCATTGTTTTGTTCAACAATCATCAACTTTTCTACACAATTTTATACCGATTCAGATGAATTTCAACCAACTCGATTCCTTAGCCATTCATTTAATAACAGCTCTCAAAGTAAATGGCGAAACCAGAAGTATTTGTACTTTTCTCAATGGGTCAATGTTCATGTCTTGTAACTCAATACATTTGTTGATTTTCCAATATTTTATTGTGATACAAAATTGAAACAATCAAGATCATATGAGAGGCGGAATGAAATAAGATACATTTTTTATTCTTAAGTTTTCATGATGATGTTTAAATGTTACTTCTGTCCGATTTGATTGCCATAGCTTGTAAATTAAGAGCAAAGTAGCCACTTAAAGATGTTAACTTCACAAGATTTGCTTGTGAGTCTTTTTATGCTAATAATCATGTCTTGGGAAAATGTGAAAGTTAATAATGCGTTCATGTAACCAACCTTTTGGGTTAGTGTCACCTGACCCTCTTATAACCAGTTACCAGTAACCAGGGTCTACAGGATGCTTGGGAACTAGTGAGAGTGACAATTAGTTGTCCATTCTTGACGTCTTTAAGGTTTGAATGTTTGACAAACTAGTCTAGAGTTTGGAGCGATCTTGAACTCAAAATAGTCAATTTTTCCGGTGAAAAAATTGACCTCGCTCTACAAAATCGTTGATTTATGAAGTGAATGTACCATTCTTGATGATCAACTTATACAAATTAATACAATGGGAAAAGGTGAAATATACTTGTTAAGTATAATTGTTTGAGACTTGTCATACTAATTCAATTCAATCTGATAAATTATACTTTTAATGTGCTCATTTCAAGCTGAATACAAGTTTAATCCAGAGATGACACAGTTATTATAACTTGTAATTCATTTTTTGTCAACATAACCTAATGATTTTCAATAACATTGTTGAATTAGCCGCCTCTAATAGAGATAAGGGAGGAAAGATGATAAGTGGAAGAGCTTTAAAGACAGAAATGAAAGAGAGGATAAAGATTGAGGTGGATTTCAATGAATCAATTATTCAGCTGTTCCCTAGTAAATATTATTTTTAGATTGTTAAGCCTTTACCAGCGTAAATCAACTTCAAGATCAAATGATTTCTCTTAAATACTGTTAACTTAAAACCAGTTTCTTTATGTTGTGTTATTTTGGGTAACTCGCCTTCACAATGATGAATAAACCAGAAAATATTCACATTGGTACCAGTTTTTTTACCAACTTTTGTTATGAAAAATATTCCTCAAGTTGACCCAACTCATAATTTTGTCAACCAATCAATGTGATCACTGAGTCATAACGGGGCATCAACTTGAGTCGACTGGATGGGCTAAGTCGTAACTCCAGTCGGTAATACATGAAGCTCCTGGTTACAGTCTCATCGACTCACTGACTTCGGTATCTAATTCAGTGGTGCAATGAAGAGAAGCAAAAGAAAGAGAAGAGAGAGAAGGGGAAAAAGAAAAGAGAGAAAGAAAAAAATGTAAACAAAAAAAAGATTTCAAATGAAAAACTGGTTTAAACCGTTTGCTATTCCACCTTGTAAGGTACAGGGTGATGTAAAGGTTCGCTTAGATAGGTGTGAGTTAATGCGCAATCAACATATGATGTGCTAACCCTTTTAGAGCAGCTACTCTTGATACGCGTCCAGTGCGCACTGAATGAGTGCCTTTTCCCCGACTGTCAACTATTTTCAACACCCTGTACTTTCACCATTTTCTTGCCCTTCTTTCCCATTCAACCCCTCTTTTCCTCTTCATTCCCTCCCTTTTTGTCTTCTCTTTCTTTTTCTTTCTTTTTTCTTTCTCTCTTTCTTTCCCTCTTACCTCACTCTGTCTCTCTCCTTGTCTCTCCTGGTTTCTCTCACCTTTTCAAAGTTTCTTTCTGTAGCATTTCCTGCGTTTTGACTACTCAATGTAGCGTTGTTAGGTAGTTGTTGTTATACATAACGTTAAAGCCTTACCTTTTCTTATGTTTCATTAGTTCTGTTAGCCATCATCATCATAGTTGTTTTTTTAATTAGTATTTCAATTTTAACTTGTGCCTTGTCTTGACCATTCACTGGTTTTAATTTAAGTACCAATCTTGATGGACCCTTAAGTCATTTATTTATACCTTAAAAAATTCTTTCTTCCTTCAATCTTTCTTTTTTGTTCTCCTTCTTTTTTTGCTGTTCCTGTTAAATTTTAACCTTGTTACATTAGATGTTTATTATATTGAATGTATTTACTAACTGTGTTTAATTGTTATGGGTCCCAATAACGTTACAGTGGAAAGAAATGCTTCATCCAAAAGTGAACGGATCTTCACCAGTAACTCTTTAGATCAAAGTTCATCTTCACAATCAAGTTCACCATCTTCGGGTTACCTTTCTTACCATTGTGATGACCTGGTCAATGATCAAAACAGTCTAGAAGATAATTTATATCATCAATTAAATGAAAAGATTGAAATTCTACAACAGCAGATAACTATTTTAGAGGAAAATCAGTCTCTCAACGATGAAAAGTATCGCCGAGTCAAACAAGATAATAATAGTCTATTAAACAAAATTCACGCTCTAGAAGACCAATTGAGAGACTTGGAAGTACAAGGTGAAGAGTGGCGTCGAGAAGAGGAGAAAATGTTGAAGACCGCTATGGCTCGACAAGATCGAGAAAAAAGTGACCAATGTGATCAACTAAAAGCTCAAATATATAGTTTACAACGAGAATTACTGGAAGTACGAAGTGATACGTTGAAACATCTGACTCTGGTGGAGAAGCTGAAAGAGGAGAAACGCCATTTAAAGGAGCAACTAAAATGTAAAGATGATGAGTTGGAGGAATTAAAAAGTGACCTTATTAAATCGCGGGATATGAACAAAAGGTTAAAAGACGAAGAGAAGGTTAATTTAAAAATGATTGAAGTACTCAGTTTGGAACTGGAAGAGACAAGATGTCAACAACAACAGAACCAACAGCATTCACAATTTCAAGCCAATGATTTAACAAATAAACGTAAATTAAGTGGTGGTGTTGGCGGATTAGGTGAAACCAAAGAGGTTAAATTATTTTTGGAGTTTAAGGAGGAAGTAAAAAAATTGAAAGAAGAGAATAGAAACCTGAGAGAAGCCAATGAAGAATTGGAAGCTCAAATCTTGGCGAATCATCTTGAGGAAGGAAGATCATTGTTGAGAGAAGAAGAAGCTGCATCATCTTTAGCCGAAGAACTGAATAACCTTTCTTTAGAACCGGTATGTGTTATTATTAAATTCATTTTTCTATTACATTTTTCTCCATCAACATTCACCATCATCATTGTTATTTGTACAATTCCATCAGATTGAACCCAATCCATCTCCAGTCTTGTTAACTCTATCAAACTCTCATCAGTTTACTTCATTTTATTCTTGGTCTGAGAGTTCATTTCTATCGATTGTATTATTGTCTCGTTTCAAAGAAATTGTAATTAGTGAAAGTCTTTAGCCAAGATGAGGTAAAAACGTCACTTTTGTTTTTATACCTTATATCCAACAAAAAGCCGGAGTTGATCGCTACTCTTTTTTTTCATGAACTCCTGTTGATCTATTATTTCTGCAAAAATCAATTAATTTCACCACCAATCAATGGAATTGTTGATCTAATCTTGTTTTCTTCATTTGGTGTGTCTTTGATTATATCTTTCAATTTAACTTAATTGTTTAAATGTGACTCTTTTTCATTTTCATCCAATCCATTTTCACTCTGAAAAAAAAACCAGGACAGTTGCCTAGTGTTTCAAGTGGCATTTCAGTTTGCTATCAAAATTGATTTTGACAATCAATAAAATACGGACTGAATCGTAATGAGAAAATTAGTTATTAAATGAAATTAAACACTCCACTGGTAATAACAATCAGGTTGCCAGTTTTAAATCCGTTTTTTTCACACTCATTACTAAACGTCGATTGAATTGTTAAACATATTGTTCAAAACTAACCAAATAATATTGCAAACTTTAAATTAGGTTAATAGAGTTGCATCATGATTAGTGTGAAATAAGTGACTATTTTGCTGGTAAATGGTGATGAAGTTGATGGTGATTGTGCCGGCGATTGTTAACCTGATAATAATTTAGTCTGCATCTGAGTCTAACAATAGCTTCACAATGAGGCATTAACAGGTAAAATAACTGACCAAATGTTCAATGTTGATGATTTATGATTCACTTTATGATATATTATATATAAATTGTTACTTCGTCATTAAATATCAAGTCAATAAACTACGATTGAATCATAATTGCTCCAACTAATCCAACAGTGATTAAATCTATGAGTAAATATCACTTAAAAAAAGCTGTTAATCATCTTGATTTACTTAACTTTGCCCTTCAAGTAGGAAATCAATTTGACTTTGCTTTCTTGTTTTAAATTACATTGAAGCTGCATTATACACTTCAAATATTTGATCAGTTTTTTTTGATTGTTGTCAGCTTTAATTGATCAATTTTACTTTCCTTCATCAATCAGACCATTTAAATAATAGACTAATCAACTGCAGTTACAGGCAACATTTCAATCTGACAAAACTGAAGGTAATGATGAGGTAAATTATGAGAATTATCAGGTCTAAATTATTTGAATGTTTTATTTTTTGCTGTTCATTTCAACTGTCATTATTTATACAAATTTGTCCTGCAAAATAGCGATAATAAACCCCTTTAATGATGATAATGATGGTATGATTATGTTGACTTATGCTGTTTCTGTTGCCATCCAGATCATGAATCTTATATATCATGAAATGTTGATCTATCTCACGAATCATCATCTCAAAGTCAGACACAATTATATAAAGGTGATAATTTAATGAGCAATTGAAAAAAAAGAGTTCATGTTGATGATGGTTAAGAAGAAGCAACAAAAAAAACTGAAAGATGATGAAGTTTATTAGGCCACAATCAGAGATGATGAACAAAAAAAAAGTTCAACTTTTCAGTCAGATTTGACCATTCATTTGGAACGATTCTGACATTGGCTAGAAATTCAATTGATCGTGTTTGTTTGTTTTCATTCAACTTTCAATTGACTGTAAAAAAAACTCTTCCAAACCAAATCAAACAAATTCCATCAACATTTTTTCACTCTTTATTTCATCAATTCCAGTTTATCATTGTCAATGTTTCATTGTTACAATTGAACAACATCTCAATCGTCATTCATTTCAATATCAACTTTTTTTACATCGCTCATTGTAATTTTGTTTGTACATCTTGAAGCCTTTTCTGGTAAAACCAAGTTCCGACAATTAACCACAATTAGTTTCTCTATTTTAGGCAATTCACAGTGAAATTTGTATCAAATAAATTGACAACTTATCATGATTGCTACCGTTTATATACATGATAGGAAAATTCACTCATTTTGATTATACAACTATAAATGTAAATGAACTGAAATAAACAATTATGGCTTCTCTGGTTCATTTTGATGGATTTAATTTTGATAACAATGGTGATTAAGAGTGAAGAAACTATACAATCTAAATCAAGTAAATTGAATATTATTGAATTGCGATTTACAAATGATTTATTCATCAATTGTAATCTTTGTCAGCTACTTATTTTTGATTGACTCGTTAAAAACTCATTTCATTTTCAGACTTTCATTTCGTTCATTTCAATTTGTGATTCTCATTGCATTTTTAAATTATTTTCATTCCATTCATTCAATTGTAATTTATAATTAACACTTTTCTTTTCTTCATCTTTTACAGTTACGAATTGCTCTGAGGGAACAAAAGGAGTGTAACAAGAAACTTCGTGCCTACATTGATGGCATTTTACTGAATATTGTTGAAAATTATCCTCAATTATTGGAAGTCAAGAAAAAATGATCATCAACTGGAATCTTCATTATTTTTTATATGATAATTATAAATGATCAAATCTAATCGCAGTTACAATCTTGCTCCAAATTGTTAGTCAAATCATGATTTGGATTTCTTGTCACTAGAAAAGCAAACAAAGTAAACTCAAATTGCTGAGAGAAACAACTAAATTATAAGTCATCCATTTTTGTATCAAATATTGTACTCTTGTAAACTGGTCTTCATCGATTAGTTTTATCAAATGATACAAATTATCCAACATTTTGTCAAATTACAATTGTCATAATTATCTTTGACAATGATTTACCTTTTTCCCTTTGCCAATTTGTATATTTGATATAAAAAAACCAAAGTATCCATTTGATTGGCAATTTATTTACCATTGTTCAATATAATTGTCTTTCAATGGATTGTTTTTGCTTACTTCACTAAAATGAATTGAAATGATGAATGTATACAAAATACATTGGTTGATTGATTCTCTGATCAAAAACATCTGTAAATCTGTCATTTTATTTTGCACTGTAAACGTATTTAACTAATTAATTGAACCAGTTTTGGTGTCAACTTTAATTTGATCTACTTTTTTCGTTTTTCACCTTTGAGAATGAATTTACTTTGTTTGGTTGTAAATTGACTTGAACCAAATTTGAATATTATCACGATTGTAAAACTGATTACAATAACGAGCTCAGACAAAAAATGTATTATACATGAAAATCATACAAATTTGTAATTTTTTTGCTATCTAATCAGCTCTACATAAACGAAACTCACGCCGTACAATTAATTACACGTTAATTGTGCTGTACAACAAAACCATCTACAAACACAATTCTATGTCACTTTAATTCTCAATTAATTCATCCATATCAAACCTAATATACACATGTATTTATAATGACAAATGTCTCTCTCTCCCTTGATATTTTTATATCCTTTTGATTGATTGTAATGGGAGGAATCTTATCATTTATAAAATGTCTATTGTACTTTGATATTATATTATAATAGTTGCTTTTTAATTGAACTATTTTTGGTCTTCAATACTGGTTCGACAATTGCGCCAATCTTTTGAATCAAGTCCAATCCGTGATAAAATGTATTTGACCATATAGATAGCAAAATAAGGTGTTTGGTAATTGTGAAAAAATTGATTGTAAAAAAATTCAGTTCATTGAAACGATTGATCAATCAGTCAGCTTGTAATGTCTTTCAGAAAGTTTGCTCAATGTTTCAGCTGCCTATAACGTAAAAGATAAAATGAGTTGATTAATTGATACTAAATAATCAAATCATGAGATATTTCACCTGTTCAGCTGTTATGTCTCTCTGTGGTTGTGCCAACATTTCATATCCAACCATGAACTTCTTAATAGTCGCAGAACGAAGTAGAGGTGGATAATAGACGGCGTGGAGAGTCCAATAGTCAACATTTTGATCACAATATTCACCAGTTGGTGCACCTATAAGAAGGTTTCATCGTCGTAATTAGATTATATTCATTAGTATGAATAATTAACATTTGACTTTACAATTGACTAACCATGCCAACCCATTGAGTAGGGAAAAGATACTTGAAATAGATTATCATAACGAGTAGTGAGTCTTTTCATTATATCAGCTAAATCAACAATTTGGTCTTCGTCTAAGTCTTCTAGTCGTCTCACATGTTTCTTGGGTAAAATCATCGTTTCGTAGGGCCAGATTGCCCAGTAAGGAACCACAACAGCCCAATGATTATTTTGGATGACAAGACGTTCTCCTGAGGTTAACTCTTCCTTGAGATAATCCATTAACATTGGTCTACCAGTCTTCGAGTAGTAAGATTTTTGTGATCTATCTTTCTTACTTGGTTCATTAGGTATGTAAGACGAGGCCCAAATTTGACAGTGTGGGTGAGGATTGGAACAGCCCATCATTTCACCCTTGTTTTCAAATATTTGAACCCAAGTGAACTTTTTACCAAGGGTTTGACTTTCATCAATCCAAACCTTGATAACCGAGACAATCTCATTAATCTCCATTAAGGGTAATGTTATATTTGATTTTGGGTGAAAACAAATAACTTTACATTTACCCTCAGCTGCTTTCGATTGGAAAAAGAAATTTTTGCTCTCACCAGGACTAGGAACAGACTCTAGTAAAGCAGGGAAATCATTGTCAAAAACAAAGGTTGATGTATAATTTGGATTCCGTTGACCACTTGATCTAATTGATCCTGGACAAAGTGGATTCTTTTCATCATGCTCAGGGACTGGTTTATCTTCACGTTTCTCCAATTGTCCACTCCAAGGTCTCTTGGCTCGATGAGGTGAAACTAAAATCCACTCTTCAATTAAAGGATTGTAACGGATATGTTGATGCTCTATCAATTGGAAAGATCAATGATTATTATGTAAACAAGCAACTTATCAATGAACAACTTACCTGAAGCAACAAATTGTTCCATACCTGACTAGCAAATTAAAATTGTTATATTTATCTGTACTAACACGGTTAAGAAGTAATTAGGTGAATAACAATTAAAAAGGAAAGTGGTTGGCAAAAAATTATGAATGTCAAGTGATTAGTTGATGATCAGCTGATAATCAGCAAACGATTGATCGATGGTATTTTTTAATCTTATTCAATCAGATATCAATAACTAATAATGTTTACACTAGAAGACGAACGAGAGGAAAATCGAATGAGTGTAAGGAAATTGTCGAAAAAATTGACATTAATTTTTGGCATGTTACAAAGATAGAAAGATGAGGTTGCTTTGTGTCGTTTGATAGGTTGTGAGCTTAAGTTACATAGTCAATGAAATTCATAAGTTGATATTCAAATAATGTCATTGAATATTATTTGATTGATGATTGTTTGGAACAGATTGATGACACCCAGAAAGTAGTGAGGCGGCATCTTTTCTCGTAATGCTTAGAAGGGCGGCATTACTTGATTCTTGATGTTGGCCCTCAAATTTGGCCAATTCTATCTGAGATAGAATAAGGGATTGATTAAGTTGACCTCTGTTCATATTGCTGACTTCTCGTGCTCTCCTTTCAGCTGCTGCACAGCTCAGCACAATTTGCGCTTCAAATTGGTGCCTTGGATGCGTTCTCATTTGCTCCATATGATTCAGGAAGTCTGGACAGAAAGAGGATGATGAAAATGAGTTTGAAATAAAACTTGAAAATTATGCAAGATGCAAATATTTACCTGAATGGGTTGCAAAGTTAATATTGCAGATAGTACATGCAGTAAAATTATTGTTGTTGAAAGTTGAGTTATTTTGGGTTAAATTAAAAGCATCAGCATGAACTGTTGATATATGTTTGCGAAGAGATCCTTCATTAGAGTAGCTTCGGCCGCATACTGGACAATAGTGGGTGGGTGTTGATTGGTTTCTCTCTGTAAATTGTTAAAATCACACAGTTAGTGGCTGAACGTTGACTTTAAAAATGGATAACATAAGGTAACAAATATAAAAACATGCTTTAGCAAAAAAGATTCAATTTACTTGAATTTTCATAGTTAAACTCATGTTCCTCTCTTAGATGGTTGATGAGTAGTTGTTTAGATTGGTATTCAATTGAACAGACTGGACAAACGTTACTTATTTGATTTCTATGGGAACCAGATCCTTTTTGCTGCACAATTTCAAAAGCGATAACAGATAAAAAACACAACAAATACAGATTATTATTTCAAAATCCACTCGACGATGGGTAAAGGACGTTTAGATAATGCACAATGGCCTCAACCAGAAAAAAAGGAAAAAGCGTTCGACGTTTGCAAGAGGACAACCCTGAGACAATCCAAGTTATTTGAGAGGGAATTATTTTAAAGTGGATCTAGAATAAAATGTTTATACTTTTCTCAATGATTTAAAATTATGAATTATTCCAGAGGGATTCGGAGTGATGTTAATGTATCGTTTGTAAGCCCAGTTCAGTTATGATTTAGACTAAACCTCAGAAATAATTCTTTCTTCCATCTTCAATAGACTGACTGAGGCCAAGTGATAATATCGGGTCATATCTTACTTTACACTTGTGGGTTAGCAAATTTGCTTGAGCTTTGAAACCCTTTCTGCATATAACACAATAATGGCATTTATCCCTATCTTTTTCCATCTTTTCTTGGCTTGTCATGTGGCTTCTCATGTGTTGTTGTAAATTGCTCAATTGTATGAAGGTTCGTCCACAATCCATATTGGGACATTTGTAGGGTCTTTCTCCTGTTGAAAACAAAAGAAATAAAGAGAAAATCAGAATCACAGATGGAATACAAATTCAAATGTATAAATAGATATTATCCAAGAGTCTACCAGATATCCTCACAGCTGACTAGAGGATTGATAGTGAACTACTTAATGAAGAATCTATTTATATAATCAATGTTTACCTGTGTGAAGCCTTGTATGCTGTTGGAGATGGCTTAATTGTTTAAAAGATTTATCACAGAATTGACATTTGTATGGTTTCTCCCCAGTGTGGATTCTAGTATGTTGAGCCAACTGATGGCTGGATGCAAATGATTTGGTACAATTAGCACATTGATGGGGTTTCCGAGAGCAGTTCATATCAGATGACATGATGGTGTTTGTTAGAGAAAGAATGAGAGTTGGCACCAATCTCCTTATTTTTTGCTTTCTTTTTCACTCGATCCTGTATGGATAATCTGTTATTCCTTTCTTCAACATAAAAAAGGAAAAATTACAAAAATGAATCACATAAATTATAAAATTGTGGTTTTAGGTAGTGAGATCAATGAAAACAACAACAAATGCTCACACTGAAGACACACTATTCAAATTGAGAATAGCCCAGTGATTGCAATTAAAATACACAGAAGTGTTGTCAGTAAAAAAAGCAGAAGATGCAGAAATACAGAAATGAAAGAAACTGGTTTAATGGAAGAGAGAGGAAGATAGAGTGAGAAAGGAAAAGATGAAAGATGAGCAAGAAAGAACAAGGAAAAAAGAAGGGGAGAAAAAAGCTTAAAAAAAGCAAGACTCAGAGTTTATACTTTTTTACCAGTAAAAATCATTAAAATTATGAAATAAAAGATTTTTCTCTCTCTTTTTTGAAAAATTATTTTTGACCTACCTTGACAAATCAGATTCATTAATTAATTTTAAATTTCAATGAAGTTAAAATGTAAAAATTAAGTTAAAGGTTCAGTTGAACTGGGAAGGTGTGATTCTACACTGGTTTCACCATGACTCAATCATCTTCACCGAATTAATTCACAAGGTTGCAGTGATTCCATTGAGTTAATTGAACAAACTTTTATCCATAATCACACTTGTAGATAGTCATATTGAAGATTCCAACCAAAAATGAAGGTGAAAACTGACACCTGGTTAGAAAAGTCTATCGACTTGATTCACTTAACACCATTAGAGCCGAAAAGCTTAACAATTACAATAACCAGCAAGCGATACCAAAATTAATGGTCAAGTAGAGTTGTCAGTAAATAAGTTGACCAGAAAGCCAGTCTTTTGGATCATATGTTTACAATAGACAGTTAACTTGTTCAACTCTTTCTTTAATGCTTATTTTGTCTCCTTTATCCATTTCTTTTATTTTCCCTCCTTTTCTAGTTAATCTTTTCACCAATCAACTGACCTGCGGTTGATTCAAATTTCAATAAACAGCGTCAACCCTGTTTATCATCCAATTTTGATTAGATTTTCTATATTGTTTCAACTGAGAAGCTGTTTTCTGTAGTTGAATAAAAAAAGACGAACAAGTTGGCTAAAAATTGAATCTTCTCTGAGTCACTTGTTTTTTTCTCGCTCTTTACAGCAACAAATTTTTCCTTTTTTAAACTTACTTTTTTCTTGTTTTATCGATTTTTCTTACATTTTATTTTTTGCTTTTTTGGGTTTCTTCTCTTCATTTCTTTCTCACCATAAAATGATTTTTTTTATTCCATGTTTTGTCGCCATGTTTTAGTTCCTTTTTAATTAATAATCAGCAACTGAACACATCAAATCATATACATTGATTAACATTGAAAGTAATATAAAATGGCTCCAGCACACTCCGAGTTGCATCGGTATAGCTAAATCAAACCAGATAATGTCAAGAGTTCCCTTTGATTTTGGTATATCTCTTGCTTTTTTAACGCTACAGTCGAGTACCTAAAATATACCAGAAAAAGATACCAGAAATGTGGTTCTGATGGAGAAGGCTGAGAGATAATTGATTCATCTTTTTCAAGAATTGATTAATCAATGGGACAAAATTATTTTGAATCAATCAATTGTTTGATCAGAATAACTATCACAATGAAAAAGTATATGAGATAATGATGATGAACAACAGGACTAATGTGTGATTATTTAAAGGGAGAATCTGGTTGAGAGTTTTTATTCTGGTGAAAAACTTAAAGGCGGCTAATTGTGAATGAAATTGATACAAATGAAGTTGACATTTGACAAATTGAGCCCAATAAGTGTCAAAAAAAGGTTTGTACCTGGATTCAATGAACACTTATAACTCATCAGATTGTACATAGAAAAGAGTTGAATTGTTATATAATTTTGCTAAAACAGTTGCATGAAGATGACCAAAAAAAGACCAGATAAAAACTGGTTTCATAATGTTGAACGGATAAATTGATCGGAAACTTGACAAATTTTCAATTAAAATGTCATCATTTATATAATTTTGACATAAATGTATCTAAATTTAGATGCAATAAAATAGATGAAAATGGAGTGAACAATATCAAAAACAGTAAACATTTACTGCTGTTAACAATTGACTAGTTAAATATATATTCTGATAATTTTTTGTCAGCACAGTTGTTGATCATTAATTGTAGCTTGTTACTTAAAATTGATAGCTGCAATTTGACAACAAAATGCTTAATTTTTTACATCATTTTACAATTGCTGGTCCAACAATTGTAATTGAAAGCAAGAAATTTATAATCAATGATCAATTTGATTCTCTCACACTTTTCGCCTTTTTTGTCCCAATCAACAGGGAAGAAGATAGTTATCCAATGCTGACAGTAATGATGATGAAAATTAAAGGATAATCTGACTCACTATTGACTTCCTTTAATTGTTTTTTACCTCTTCTTTTAATAAAAGGTATAAACATGAATTTGGTCAGTTTAATGGGATAAGTTAGTGAGTAAAAATTGTACGAATTTGTCTCTAAAGTGAAATCAATTTGTGTGGTAAATCAAAGATCAATTAGTGTGTGATTCAAGTGATTGTTAGCAATAGCTTTGATACAAGATATAATCAATATCATCACCAGTTCGGATATTATTTACAAAATGCTGAAAGATTTGTGTTCAATTTGGATCACCTTGTTGTGTTGCTCAGTGCTCATTCAATGTTTACCTCAACCCAATGTTGAGTTTAAGAAGCGTCAAGATGCCAGTGATTTACTGTTAGATGGTAATGGTGAAGGTGATACCGATGGTCTCAATATTGCTGTCAGTAATGGTAACTTGATAGATTGGTCAAGTGTAGCAAAACTTAAATTGACCCCAGCAATGAAGCAATCCTTTGCTTCGGATCCATTTGGTTTTTTTAAGCAAAAGGTTAGACAGGCGAGCTCATCTTCATCCTCATCATTGGGTGATCAGTTGAAGCAAGCATTGAATGGAGGTGATTTTTCAAGTGAAGGCGATGAAAACTGGGTTAAAGCTTATACTGGACCAGCAATTGGAGGATTAGCATCTTTCAATGGAGCCGATTATGATGAAGGTTCATCTGATGGACTGGTGGGTAAAGATGGTAGCAACTCGAATAATGTGGATGACAAGAAGAAAGGAAAGGGTAAAAAGTCTAAGGCTTGGTGGGCCAAGTTTTTTGATCGTCAAAGAGGTAAATCAGATCATCCTACAGACCCAGTGAATTATGGGATCAATCCTCATGGTAGATATCCAACAACAAATGTTGATGTTAAACCGCAAACTGGAAGTGAAAATGATGAAAATGATGAGAATAGACCGATCTTGAACAATATGAGGAAATGGCTGACTAAACTTTGGAAACCCAATGAAGGTGGATCAGCGTCTGTAACTGGACCTGGAGTAACTAATCAACAATATTCAAGTGATTAAAAGTGAATCCACTAACTGTTTATAAACATTTTTACAAAATCTCAATCATTCCATTTCATTTCAACCCAAAATTGTACAATTAATTCAAAGCTTCATAACGGTTTCTTTCAAATCTTTTCACGGATTTGAGAGGACAATATTTGGAATCAAGACATTTACCAATATAACAAAATAATTTGAAAAATACCAAAATACCTAAAAGCCAAATCACCAAGTTCAATACCAATGCTGGTTTGAGAGAAAAGATGTTTGAAAATTGAAATTGTCTGGTCAATTTTTCACCAACTCTGGATGGCTCAGCGACTATATTTCATGATCTATGAAATAAATATTTATATACAGAAAGAGAAAAAAGTACAAATTGTTTCTCGAAATAATATGTTTAGATTTGATTTCTCGAACTGATTATCTAGAATAACATGCCTAGCTATTGTCTTACCTTAGCCGACTATTTTGGACCATGGAAGGGACTGTCATCTTTGAATAGGAAAAACCATATCACAACACTTTGTATACGAATTTTCTGTAACTTCTTTACAATTAGTGATATAAACTAATGGAATGAACCTGGAGTGAACTTTGTTATGAATTTTTATTCTTAATTGTTAATTTTACAAATCTTACACTTTATATGCATTATTTGGCTTTTAAAAGATACCAAATTAACCCAATTGTCGCATTTAGGCACGAACTAACACAAATGATCATTTATGCAACTAAAAATTCGATCGCATTTTCTTCAGTTATGAAGACAGATTTTTTTCAGGAAACTCATTTGGCCGATGTAACTCTTGCTGATAGACCAGAAAATGCACTTGTTTTGCGAAATAACATTTCAAGTTTTCTGTAAAAGAGTTAAGTTCGATTTTCATTTAAACCGATCGCATTCTGTGACCATAAAAGTTAGAGAGCTGAAACTTATTATCAGTCGATAAAAGTTTTCGGTACACATCGTGGGTTAAATACTTTTTTCAATTTATCAATAGTTCTCTTGATTTTGGCCTGAAACCTAAAAACTTCTAGCTTCGATATTTCGAGTATAATAGTAGCTAAAGCCCTCATTCTTCCACTAATTCAATCCTTTGCTAATAAATAATTGAATACAATCTAATAACTTTGAACCATTGCATCTAGTTTGTCATATTTGGGTTGTAAATGTACAAGCAACAACTAATTCAACAAAGTAAACTCATATTAACACATATTCTGGTAAACAAACCACTTTTCTAGTTCAACTTGCAAATGAAGTGTAAAAAGTACTGCCAAAGCCTCGAAAATTTGAGCTAAGAGTCGAGAATTGGTGGGTTTTGTTAGGACACGCAAACTGAGTCTATTGGTGCTTTTAAATAATTCATCCGATGGACAGTTTTCGAGAAAATCCTAGTCGAATTTGAAACTTCGATCGCCTTTTGTGCAATTTTGGAAGCAAATTTTTTCATGAAACTTCATTTAATTGATGTAACTTTCGATGATGAACCATAAAATGCACTTATTTCGCGAAATAAAACTTCTATTTTTCTGTAAAACAGATTAGTTCGATTTTCTTTTAAACCGACAGCATTCTGTGACTATAAAAGCTAGCGAGCTAAAACTTATTCATAGTCGATAAAAGTTGTAGTTACACGGATTGGGTTAAATACTTGTTTCAATTTATTAATAGTTCTCTTGATTTTGACCATTTACCTAAAAATTTTGAACTTCGATATTTCGAGTATGGTAATACCTGCAGTCCTCATTTTTTCACTAATTTAATCCTTTACTTATTAAGTATTGAATACAATTTAATAAATTTCACTTAGCCCATTTTGATTGAGATAATTGGGTAATAAAGAGACGAGCAGCAACTTATTCAGCAAAGTAAACACATTTTAACCCATTTCTTGGTTAATAAACCACTTTTCTGGTTTAACTTGCAAATGAAATGCAAAAACTAACACCAAAAGATCGAACATTGGAGCTAAGAATTGATACTTGGTGGGTTTGTAGATCTATAAAAACTGAGTCTGTTGGTCCTATCAAATACTTCATCCGATGGCCAGTCTTCTGTAAAATCGAAGTCAAAGTTGAAACTTCGTTCGACTTTTGTACGATTATGGAGTCAGGTTTTTTCATGAAACTTCATTTGATTGATGTAGCCTTGCATGCTGAATCATGAAATGTACTTATTTTGCGAAATAACATTAAAAGTTTTCTGTAAAAGAGTTAAGTTCGAATTTAAGTAAAACCGGCTGAATTCTGTGACCATAAAAGTTAGAGAATTGAAACTTATTCATAGTCGATAAAAGTTATTGGTACACATTGTGGGTTAAATACTTGTTTCAATTTATCAATATTTCTCTTGATTTTGGCCTAAAACTTAAAAACTTTGAACTTCGATATTGCGAGTATGGTAATACTTACAGTCCTCATTCTTAGACCAAATTCCACCTTTCAGCCGCAATCAAATCTCTCAGAGCGGTTGACTGTATAAATAGAGTTTCTCATTTGCAGCTAATATTAAGTAAACTTCTTGCGATTCACTCTTCTCGTAATATCAAAAACATGTTCAAGTATTCAGGGTCAACTGAGCAAATTATCATCAATCATCAACCAACATTATCATTACAATTTTTTATTTCCACTCCGCAACAGAATTTTACTTTTTATGAATCTCAACTAAAAAAAGTTAAACCTTAACCAAATGTAACAATAAATTTCATGGTTATTTTATTGAATATTGCAAATCTTAACTTTTAATTATAATTTTCAGTGCAACCAGCCTGAAGCTTTTAGCTCGTAGCTTTTCGGTCAGTTTATGACGGACTATTTCAATTGAATCCATGGGATAGTTATTTAGTCGGTGAAACGTTACCAGGCCAGATGAATGGTTTCCAAGATTTGCAGTCAAAATATCGATCACTTTTTCTCAATGGTTTGTATGGATTCTTTATGTCCAAATCATATTCAAATGGTACAACCTGTTCATTTGATAATGGCAGTAAAGGTGGCCAAGGTATTTCCTCTGTTTTCACAAAATCAGAAACTAATCGTATCAATTCATTGGACATCCATTTATCTTGATCGCTAGATGATGGATCCAAGTAAGGTTTTCCCATGATTAACCAGTAATCCAAACCTGTGCGAGCTCCAAAAGTTGAATCAAATATATTTCCATACTTATTGACGTCTCCTTTGAAATAATTAACGGTTGGTGTATAAGTGATTAATCCTTGATGAACTGTGCTTCCCGATGATGCGAATGATAAACCAGATAAATGTGACGGACAATAAACTAATCGATCACCAACAAGTTGAACCAACGATTCCTTTAGACCCACTTCATAGCCATCTAGAAGCTCGGAATAATAAAGTGGAACAATCGTTTCAAGTAATTCAATTGGTTGACCCATGAATAGAAGTGTCTGGTTCTCGATGAACCTGACATAGCTCAAGATATCATCGCCTTTTGGACTTGGTGCAAGACCTTCAATGCTTCGGCTTGGTGAAAGATATGTTGACCCTTCATCTTCCATGTTCAACATGAGTATGTTTAACCCTCTTTTGGACACTTGAGCATCATTGAGATCATAAATGCATTTGGGGAAATTACTGGTTCCTGCCGTTGGTTTTGTGGTTACTTGAAATAGTCCTGAACTTACGGTAGACAAGCGACTATTTAACGTAGCCTGGCCTTTTAGAAGAGTTTCAAAAGGAAGAGATCGAAGACAGGATAACATGGTTCCAGTTTCAATGCTGTAAGAAGTAGGCTGACACCCAACTTGCTCGGATAACCACACAAATCTTTGGAAAGCAGTTGCTTTATCCTCACACGCTCCAGGAACTGGAAAACCACTCGATAAAATGAATCGATTCAAATTATTGGGGGAACTTGGTTGAGGGTTAAGAATATTGACTATCACTGATGATAAAGAGCCTGAACCTTGACCGTAGATGGTTAATAAAGAAGGGTCGCCACCAAAAAACACGATATTTGATTTTATCCATTGTAAAGCCAATGATTGATCCAACAAACCCAAATTACCAGGAGTTTCTGGGTTATCGGTGTAAGTAAAACCAAGAACTCCTAAACGGTGTTGAACTGTAACAACAATGATTCCTCCTCGAGCAGCCAACACCGAACCATCATCGAAATCTTTATCCACCAAGAGGTTTGTTTCAAAATTACCTCCTGGTAAAACAATCAAAGTCCTGTATGGAAGTGTTTTGGTTGCTTTTTCATCGGACAGAAGAGGAACCCAAATGCTTAGTTGAAGACAATCTTCACTCATGTTAATTCCATTCCTAATTACATTGCCACTCATTAGTGGTTGGAGTAATAATTGAGGACACAAATTGGTTGAGACTGTTGCATCTATTATTTTATTGTTGGTACAAATTGTCGGTTGAGGAGGCTTGAATCTTAAGTCACCGATTGGAGGTTGACCGTAGCGGATACCTTTCCAGCTTAGTAAAGTAACACCATTACTTTGGCCGACTGATCCCTTGTAAACACAAGATTCAGTTTTAATTAGAGGGTTTTGCTGTTCACATTTAATTGTAGTTATTGTTAAACAAATTAAAAGACATTTAAAATAAGTCCAACACATTTTTGATGAGGCAAAAGAAACTGAAAGTAATGCAAAAGATGAATGAATCACTGGTTAATCAAATTTGTTCATTTGTTTCCATTTCCTTATAGACCTTTGTTATGGGGAAGTTAATTTGTTTCACAGTAAAATAAAAGATATTAATCATAGATCGAATTGACACAAAGTAATACAAATCAGCAAAAAACTATCTCTATCAAATTTGGACTCTGTTACTTTGTAGAGAAATGAAAACTTAGTCCATTTGTGCAACTAAAAAGTTTCTCTGATTGATAATTTTCTAGAAAATCGAGTCAAAAGTTTAAACTTCGATCGCATTTTGTTCACTTATGGAAACAGATTTTTTCAGGAAACTCATTTGGCTAATGTAACTTTTGATGATGAACCAGAAAATGCACTTATTTGAAGAAATAGGACTTTCCTTATTCTGTAAGACAGATTAGTTCGATTTTCTTTCAAACCGACTGCATTCTGTGACAATAAAAGTTGGATCGCTGATACTTATTCTTAGTCGATAAAATTTGTAGTTACACAGAGTGGGTTAAATACTTGTTTCAATTTAGCAATATTTCTGTTGATTTTGACCATTTACCTAAAAATTTTGAACTTCGATATTTCGAGTATGGTACTACCTGCAGTCCTCATTTTTTCACTAATTTAATCCTTTACTTATTAAGTATTGAATACAATTTAATAAATTTCACTTAGCCCATCTTGATTGAGATATTTGGGTCATAAAGAGACGAGCAGCAACTTATTCAGCAAAGTAAACACATTTTAACCCATTTCTTGGTTAATAAACCACTTTTCTGGTTTAACTTGCAAATGAAATGCAAAAACTAACACCAAAAGCTCGAACATTGGAGCTAAGAATTGATTCTTAATGAGTTTGTAGGGCTATAAAAACTGAGTCTATTGGTCCTTTTAAATACTTCATCCGATGGACAGTTTTATCTAAAATCGAAGTCCAAGTTGAAAGTTCTTCCGCCTTTTGTACGATTATGGAGTCAGTTCTATTCGTGAAACTTTATTCGATTGATGTAGCTTGGAATGCTGAATCAGAAAATGTTCTTATTTTGCGAAATAACATTTTGCGTTTTCTGTAAAAGAGTTAAGTTCGATTTTAAGTAAAACAGGCTGAATTCTGTGCCCATAAAAGTTAGAGAATTGAAACTTATTCATAGTCGATAAAAGTTATTGGTACACATTGTTGGTTAAATACTTGTTTCGATTTATCAATATTTCTCTTGATTTTGGCCTAAAACTTAAAAACTTTGAACTTCGATATTGCGAGTATGGTAATACTTACAGTCCTCATTCTTAGACCAAATGTTAGATTTAATTATGGGCTGAAATTTGTTTAAATGTTAGACTGTTCAAGATGTTAGACAGCTAGTTATAGCATTTTATTATGTTGTAAGGTTTGAGACTTGATTCATTGATATAACGTTAAATAATAGCTAAAGCACAAATCTCATGTTGTGTTAAATTGATATTCATCGTTGAATGATCCAGCTCAAATTTTCTTTGTTATTCAGTCACAGATTATTATAGCCCATGTTTAAATCTAATATTAGGTCTAAGAATGAGGACTGTAAGTATTACCATACTCGCAATATCGAAGTTCAAAGTTTTTAAGTTTTAGGCCAAAATCAAGAGAAATATTGATAAATTGAAAAAATTATGCTACCTATTAAATGCAGTAACAATTGTCCTAAGCTAATAGTAAATTTTAGCTCGCTAACTTTTTTGGTCACAGAATGCAGTCGGTTTGAAAGAAAATCGAACTAATTTGTTTTACAGAATAAGGAAAGTCCTATTTCTTCAAATAAGTGCATTTTCTGGTTCATCATCAAAAGTTACATCAATTAAATTAAGTTTCATGGAAAAATCTGCTTCCAAAATTGCACGAAACGCGATCGAAGTTTCAACTTTGACTTTGATTTTAGAGAAAACTGTCGATCGGATGAAGTATTTAATAGGATCAATAGACTCATATTTAATAGCCCTACAAACCCACCAATTCTCAACTCTTAGCTGACATTTTCGAGCCTTTGGCAGTACTTTTTACATTTCATTTGCAAGTTGAACCAGAAAAGTGGTTTGTTTGCCAGAATATGTGTTAATAAAGTTTGTTTTGGTGAATTAGTTGTTGCTTGTACATTTACAACCCAAATATGACAAACCAGATGCAATGGTTCAAAGTTATTAGATTGTATTGAATTATTAATTATTAAAGGATTGAATTAGTGGAAGAATGTGGACTGTAGGTACTATTATACTCGAAATATCGAAGCTATAAGTTTTTAGGTTTCAGGCCAAAATCAAGAGAAATATTGATTATTTGAAAAAAGTATTTAACCCAAGATGTGTACAAACAACTTTTATCGACTAATAATAAGTTTCAGCACTCTAACTTTTATGATCACAGAATACTGTCGGTTTGATTCAAAATCGGCCTTAACTCTTTTACAGAAAACATAAAATGTTATTTCGCAAAACAAGTGCATTTTCTGGTCTATTATCAAAAGTTACATCGGCAAAATGAGTTTCCTTAAAAAATCAGTTCATATAACTGAATAAAATGCAATCGAAGTTTAAACTTTCGACTCGATTTTCTAGAAAATTATCAGCCTTAGAAACTTTTTAGTTGCACAAATGGTTTGAGTTTTCACTTCTGCACAAAGTAACAGAGTCTAAATTTGAAAGAGCTCAGTTTTTGCTCATTGTCGTTACTCCGTATCAGTTTGTGTCGATTCTTGCAATTGACTCATTTAAATGTGACAATTGTGCTAATTGTGTCTTTTTAGTAACAAACTTTCAATTCAATCATTATATGAGACGCATTTCTAGAATTGCTATAAATCTTAAGCTTGAAATGAAATGTAACAAGTTCAAGCATTTCATTCTGGATATTTTCAAATTTGTTTTAGCTTCTTCAGATAAACTTTGTAATGATCGATATTAGTGATCCTAATACGTTCCTGATTATTTTCATAATGTCTAGCAGTTCAACTCATTTCAAGAAAAAAGTTATAAAATCAGCAGCATTCAGGAGCATAATTCCCTTATTATTGCATTCAAAAAATTATTTTGATGATTAGTGTATTTTCAATAAATCAAATAAATGAATGAAATAATTTTTGCTTCTTTATATCATAATGAGATGAAGTTCCATTGATTATTAGTAAAAGTTTCACATGAAGTCTGGAGTAAAAATTCCATTGGAAGTTATAACAATTATTTACTCCAGCAAAGTTTCGTCATTTATTGAAATATTTAGATTAATTGAGAGAAGATAGTTGGTACAGTGTAGATGAAAAATTATGAAACTGATCGTGTAATTGTCACAATCATAAAATCATAATTATTCAAGTTCATTAACAACTTTTCATTTTTAATAAGCCTCTTTGGGGGACAAGAGATGGCGCCTGTAGCAGCCTGAAAATATTTTTGTTTGTTTATTTGTGTAAGATGTAATTTAGATTAGCATTTCAAAATTGTGCTGTGATCTTTATTTATATTCAGTATTCTTGGCCCTGCATTACTTAATTTGTCAATTTTATTCTGTACTAGTTTTAGTGTTTAATTGTTATCAATGGATGATAAAGAACTGGAAGAAAGGTTGGCCCGATTGAGAGGCCTACCTGCATCACGAAAATCTGATCCTCCAATCACCGTAATAATCAACAAACAAGCCAGTAAAACAGAGACTGAACAATCGGACGAGCTATTGAAGAGGATGATGGCTGAAGCAGTTCTTGATCAAACTCATCGACAATCACGGTTGACCAAACAAAAATCAACAGACGAGGAAATAGCAGATAGGCTTGCAAGATTAAGAGGAATCTCTAATCCAGTTAGTAATATTCCAATAGTTGAGGATCCACCACAGCTTGATTCGGATGAGGAAAGTGATCTCTTGGTAGAAAAAATCATGTCTGAGACTAAGCTTCCTGATTTATCACGTTTACCTTCAACCTTGGGTATCAGTTCACAAGACCAAAAGCCTTCGGAACCTAATTCTGATGAAGAAGAGTTGCCGTGGTGTACTCTTTGCAACGAAGATGCTGTAATAAGATGCTATGGATGTGAAAACGATCTTTTCTGTCGAAGTTGTTTCAAGTGAGTTTCTTCGCTAAGTTTAACTTTTTCCCCTTTTCCAGTCATTATTCAATGTGAAAGAATTATTGTGGTAACTGAAATTCATTTTCCTATTTTATTTGTGTAGGCAATTCCATAGAGATTCTGATATGAAAGGACACAAAACTGTCGGCTTTTCTAAAAAAAAGAATTCCGATGACTGATGAATCTTGATGCTTAGTCAATCGCTACCAAAAATCTCTTGGTCTGAAATTCTTTCTCAATATTAGATGATCCCAATTTTCATCGCCATCATGCCTGTTTTCTTTGTTATGAACCATTCCGGGTACAAAATTGTAAAGATTATTCTAAAGCTTTCTCTCGACACTATTTTCTTAAATTTAATATCCAATGTTGCCTGCTCAACACTTTCTGATCTTATTCAATTTTGCATTTTTACCTACGAAGCTTGTTTTACATCGTAAAAGAGGTATTTGAATTTCCATTTAAATCTCCTTATTATTCAGTATTACTAAGAAGCAAGTTTACATGAGGTGATATCCATGAATCTTTTGTTGCTTTCTATTGAATGATTAATTTATAATATTTTTAAGGTATGTCTTATCTTGTTGAAACTACTGAGTTTGAATCAATTTGATCGATTGGGTTACACAATCACCTAGATCGACAACCGCTGCTTAGCTTTAATATTTAATCAATTCAAAATTTATAATTTAGATGAATTAAAAATGAAATTTTAATTTAACATAATTTGTTCAAGTCTATTTAACAAAAATGATTACTAACTAAATTGACACCTTTTCTTAACTGTAAATTGATACAAAAAATCGGCAAAATACTTCCGAGTATATTAAAGTCTAAAACAACCAATTTTCTTTAAGTGTTGTTTTAACTATTGTTAGATGCTAGCTGATAATTAATTCAAACGATTCTATTTAGGAAATTGTAATTATTAAAACCATCATAATGTCTGTAATCAATACACTACAATTTAAGTTTAGAAGAACAAAAATAAGTTTATTCAGTGATTAAATTAACTTTTTGCGAGATTATTGACTTGGAATAAATTACAAGGATAAAAATAAAAAATTTACAATCATATGCATGTAAATAAAATAAGAATAAAATAATACAATTTGGATTAAAGGCATATGTGGTTGGATTAGAGAAATATTGACTGGCTTAAACATAACTCTCGGAGACTTGTGAACATTGGAGAAATGCTTGATCAAGGTTAACAGTAATCAAATCTACTGCATTTAGTTCTTTAATTTTCTCAGGCTTGAGCATTGAACAAAGCCTTCTTAATGCAATCAAAGAAGCAATGAGAACAGTTTCACTGAAGTTTCTTTCTCTAGGCTCTTTACAGATCTGTACCAATCTATGGCAACCTTTTAATTCATAAATTAATCCAGCAACATTTTGATTCGATGCTAATCGAGTTAATGCAGTGGAGACTTTTTGTTGTATCCTTTCGATAGCAGCAAGTTCAACTTCATCTCCTTGGACATTGATTGGTTTCATTTGAAGTGCAGTAATTAAATAGATGAGAGCACCACATTTAACAATCTCATTTGAATCGATGGATGAAACATTAGCCATTATTGTTATAATTTGATCTTTGATTGCTGTATCAGCTGATAATCTTGTCTTTGAACGAGTTGTTGCCATCAATATTGAAAGGGTTCGACTGCGTATGATTAGTTCGGGTTCGTAAAATGAAATGTTGGCAATTGAAGCAGTTATGAGAAGAAATATTTCATGTGAATCTGTTTCAGTGGCCACTTTGATTAAACTAGAAATTAACTCATCCAAAGGTGTACCATTAATGAATGAAGCCAAATAGCTATCCTTATGGGTTGACCTTTTGTAATCAATAAACGGGGTAGTAATTTGGACTAGAAAACCGGTTATTTCACGAATAACAATCTCGGACATTTCCCTTTGCAATGGGATTATAATATGCTTGTCCATATCCAAGCGATCATAGATTGTCCTGATTGCCTCTGGATTGATACAAAGATGGGTTAGGGTTCGGAAAGCAGCGGCACGAATTTGATCTTGTCCAATGAAAGGCTTTCCAACAATATTGGAGGCAATGATCTTAATTAGCCGGTTAATTATACAGTTATCTTGGACAAAGATACGACAAATATAAGCATCATTCTTTGTTAATTGCCACAAAGCAAATAATGACCATTTCAATGTTAAGCTTTCAATGTGGCGATTTAGACCAGAAGTTATAATCTGATGGAGTAAAGAAACAAAGGAAAAACATGTTATTTAAATTGTTATTTAGATTGTTATTCAAGATTATTAGCAAGTTAATCACTTTTGTTGATCAATGTCTGTCGCAGGTCACCAATAATTTAACACAGTAACTGAGCCGGATAACACGAGATTGGCCCACAAAAATATCTACTTTTCCGGATCATCTAATCTCCCTTCAAAGGCAAACTACTTCAAGACATTTCCGTCACATTGTCGATTTGAAAATGTCACTCGAGAATAAATTTAAGGCGCAAAATGATCTTAACCGGATGTCATTTTCTCTTTCATCTTCTTTCCTTTTGCCATCCTCTCTTCCCGTGCTTCTGTCTGTCTCTCTGTCTTCTCTGTTTCCTCTAAATTTTTATTTACATAGAAGGTCTATGGATCACTGCCAACTTTGTTTACTTGCTATACATAATTGACTTTTGATCCTAAGGCTTTTCCGTACAAAAAAACCAATGGACTTAAGTATCTGCTCAAGATTCAATATAAACCTTTAAATCTTAATTTTGCATCATTAGCAAGACCTCAAAAGATATAAGGGAAGAAAATAAAACACTGAATCAATTATATTGAATGTAAGTGAACATCTAAATCAATTGAACCACTATACCCTTATTGTTTCTTAATAGCACTGGTTAAATTTGGATCATGACATCAATGAAACTAGATTAGTCTTAGATTTAACTCAAATTGAGTTAAGATTGTTAAAGATAATAATTACCTGGCATTCCCATCGGATTGTAGAGTCAACCAATTCACCAAGGCGTTCTTTGAGCTTTCGCAAATAAGCTTCAAGCTGAGCATTGTTGACTTTATTTTTCTTCATGAAATCAGTCATGAATAAATTCAATGTACCACAAATGGATCTGACTTCATCACCAATTTTGAATAAAATTTTCAACTCCGATTCTGGTCTTTTACGAGCACAAATATCAATGAGATTAACAATGTTTCCATAGATTATACCAAAATCATGTTGACAATCACGAAGTCGTTGACAAGTAACTGGTAAAGTATCAATGAGAATATCAATATCATCGATAATCTGAACCGAAGCAAATCTAACTTTTCGCACAGATATTTGAGCACATCTAACACCTAAAGCACGAGCTGAGTCTTGCTCAAATGCAACAGATTTAGCTTGAAGAGCACTTAAACTTTCCATTTCAGTTCGCCGACGAGTTTCAATAAGCCATTGACCAACACAAGTTCCAGGTCCAGGCTGAACAAGAAAACAAACAAAATAAAAAGTAAATAAAACAAACCAATAAACAAATTAAGTCGAACTAATTAAGTGTAAATTAAATTTGATATAGCTTACCATTCCTCTGTTAACAGCACCCTTAGATGTTGCCAAAGATGGCGTACAAACTTGCGTTTGATATTGATTATTGGAGTAAATCATTTGCTTCATTGATATTGGTGACATAAACTGGTGAAGAGACACAAAATTAACTCAAAATTAAATTAGTTTAACTGGATTGAGCAAAAATTAGACAAAATTTGTGCAATAAAATGGATAAATTGACTATGCAAAATGAGTAGGAGATGGTGTTGGTTACAATGTTGATATTTAAATGGTTGGTTGTCGTTTGGAAATCAAACCGAAAAGTAGAAGAGAGCGAAAAAAGAGAGCGATAACCGTTAAAGAGAGTAAGGAGAGTAAGCAGGGTAAAGAAGATGAAGATTATGATGATGAAGATGATGAGGGAGAATGAGAGAGACCAGATGGCACGCGCCAAAGTATAAACGGTTGGACGCGTGCCAAGAAACTGTAAGATTGAAAAACATAGGCCTGAGCAGATGTTAATGGAGACACGATCATTGCAACAGACATCAACATGCATCAACTTATATCAAACATCCATAAATATTATAACTCGCACCTTTACCTTTTTCCTGTTTAATTTTACTTACTTTTAACAACATTTGATTACCTTCTGCTTTTTCATCGTTTGTTATGATGGCGGAGAGCACAAGATGAGGCGAAAGGCAGGACAATTGGCATCAGATGATCGGTAATACATTTTAACCATTTCTGTTTAAACTGATGGTTTAATGAATAAAGTAACAAACAAATGACCATTTAAAGGTATTATTAGCAACAGTCTTACTGTATCGGGAGAACCAGCGATTCAAATATTAAAATGGATCGATTAATCGACAATTGAATTGCTTTCATATTGAATAACAAACAAAATCATCTTTTTTTGATAATGTTATAATAAAATTAAACTTCATGTTTTTCAACGTATTTCAACAGTTTAAACATTAATAATGCTTTCAAATTTGTGTTCAGTGAAAAAAAGTATCTGAATGAATCTGAAAATCAATATAATATTGGAAATAAAAGGAATAATTATTTTCTAGAAACATTTAATGCTTTTTTAGGAAAAAATAATGTTTGCAAACATATTTTAAGAGTTAAATTGAATTGAAAAAGGTAGTTAATGAGATTTGAATTTTATAATGGTATCAAATGGAGTTCATTAACAATTAAATGATCGATAATTTACGATAAAATCATGATTAAAGTTCACCTTCGATTGCTTTTTGAACAATTATGGATGATTAACTTTATATGGGCAACCAGAAAGTGAGCTTAAGTCAGAAGATAGTTAATCAGATGCTTGTTTTTAGATAAAGAGCTGAAATTTTGCATTCGCTGACAAAATGATTGATGAACAAAGATGGAACACTTTTTTCGATTTATCAAAGTTCTCTCAATTTTGGTGAATGAAATTACGATTCAAACCAAGGCCTTGTTTAAACATTTTCACAAAAATTTTCTTGAAAAAATATTAAAGTAAAACCATGAAGAGGAACGAGAAAAAAGTCACTCACAGCAACTAATGAATCCAAACATCCATGTTTTTTTTTCATAACTGTCGGGTTTCCATTGACCAAGACAGGCTCCAAGTCCAGGCTAAAGAATAGACAGTTGATAAAATGTTGATTATCAATTCAATGAAAATAGTTCAATAGCAAATTCATCGTGACAATTAATGGTTACAGCAAATTTTAGGGTACAGATAGAAATGGAGAGAAAAATTAATAAAATTGATTCACTGACTTTCAATCTTTATTCATTAGTATCCAGTTTGTGAAATGTTTAACCAATAAAATTTCTGGTTTTAATTGAAAAATTTATTTGTTCCAAAAGCTCAGGATACTAAGGATTGGGTAAAGATTGGGTTAGGATAAGACAAAAAACGTTAAAATTGGATAGATTATGTAAAAAGGTCATCTGGTTATTGGTAAAGAGATAAGCCGAAAGATGGAGGGAAAATAAGCAGACAATGGCGACAGAATAAAAGTAATGTTGCTTTAATGGTTTCTATGAGTCGAATCCATAGCAAAAGTCGATTTTTTAGCTATCTTATGGTAAAACTAAATTTAGTTTTCCATGCTCTTGGTTTCTTGTTTGTCCTAATTTCTCTTCTTTTTGTTAGTTGTTAATTAACGCTATTTATTAATACTTTTGATTGTTTAAAATCTTTCACATCGATGTTATATTTATAATGGATGTTAAAAACTCATCGATATCCCATCTCGTTAACAAATCAACCACAATCATAACTATGTCTGGTCTCATGAAACATCAACAAGGACCATTAATACTTGATCTATGTTCAGATTTAACCGGTACCAAGTGATTCTTGCCTTTTTTTATCAACATTAAAAGGGTTAAAGATTAAAGAAACATTGGCTTCTTATTTGGATTTTATTTCACTGATTAACTCACTGGTCGTCTCAACATTTTAACCTTTGTGCTGTGATTAACCATTATTTTATTTATCTATTTGTGCATTGCTTTTTTGATTGGTATTTAAGGAGTCTAAAGGAGTTGAAAGGTTCACATTATGAATGATCCAATTACTCAGATTACACCTCCTCCGGAGTTTAAGGCGTTCAAATCTAATAGAGATGAATCAACTTGTGGTGATAATAATGTTCCAAGTCCAGTAAGTTCACCATATTCACCTACTCATACACCAGATCCATGGGAAATGCCTGTTACATATGAACATTCTACTCCTTGGAAAGGTAAGAATTGAAATAACCTTTTGTTCATTGAAAGTGTTTATTTTTTGAATGAATGTACATTGATTTTCTTTGAGATAGATATTGATTACCGGCTTTGTAATGACTTAAGGTGACTTCCATGTAATCTCAGTCCATCGAATCAAGATTATTTGTTGTATTGGAAGAAGATGAGAAGATGTAATGTCACACTACAGGGTTGACACAGTTAAATGAAAGGATTTTGAAACAAAGTCATGGGCTAAGTTTCGCTTTTTTAGATCAGACTTTTTGGTTTAAAGAAAATTTAATTACATCAAATTGCGCGGTAGCTATAAGTCCCACAATCACGATATGCATATCAAATGAAAAATAATTAATTAAATTTTCTTTAAATCAAAAAATCAAAACCTGGTCCATGACTTTATTTCTAAAACCTTTCTATTGAACTGTATCAATCCTGTGCGTCATAGCGATATATTGAGATTTTTAATCTCAACAAATGGTTGATGGAAGTCACATTTAGTTGAAAGAAATGTATATCAATTGTTTTTATTTTAATATTTCTATTTTTTCCATGTTTCTCTTCACATTACTAATGATAACAATTGATTGATAAATCTTAAATATTATCACATTCTATAGAATTGACTGCAAGTGGAAAATTTCGTCGAACCTTGATAATTCTACTGAAAATCATTTGTCTGCTGCTTCTGTTATATTCATTTATCACATCGCTGGATTTTCTTGCCTCTGGTTTTCGATTACTTGGAGGTCGAGCAGCTGGATCTGTTTTCCATAATAATGAATTGCTTCGTAATCCAATTGTTGGTCTTATTATTGGAATATTGTTCACCGTTCTTGTCCAAAGCTCATCCACATCAACATCTATCGCAGTCACATTAGTTGCTGCAGAATGTAAGTGATTCAATTATTCTATCTCTTCATTTGGGATTAGGATTTTTCAACTTGAATCAACCATATGTTATTTTTAGCTTTTTTAGTTTATTTGTAATTTTTTAAAATCGTTTTATCGACTAAATTTTTTAATCAATTTGGGCGCTTATAAATAATTTGTGTGTCCTCTAGTCAATTTATCGTAAAAAAAGTTTCTACCTTAAGTCAATGTTCCATTTATTTTGAGGTTTAGAGTGTATATAATTTAGGTTAAGGATAGATTAAATACTGATTTGATGCTTGTGCCTCAGTTTTTTGGATTATATCCCACAGTGACAAATATCATAGTTGTTAAATTAATCTGAAAGAATCATTTTCTTTCTACGAGCGAACCTGTTAATGCAATAATACAGCTGATTGACCCTATCATTTCAATTATATCAGAGCTAATGAGATTGTCGCTCAAAATTTAGTCTTTAATCAAGTTACTGACCCTCTGAACCATCGAAAATTCACAATGATTCCATGATTATCTAGAGAGACTTACAATTGATCCTGTTTTTCGCCCTGTCTCTGTTTTCTCCTCTCTTCTTATTCTTCTTACAGTGATAAGAGTGAAAGAAGCAATTCCTATTGTTATGGGGGCCAACATTGGAACTTCCATCACAAACACCATAGTAATTAACTAATTAATCTCTTTGATTCACAGAAACTGAACAAAATATCTTTAAAATTTTTTTGTTTAATTATGTATAATATGAACCATTTCTTCATAACTTTCCTTCCTTCTTATCAATTTCTTTACCTTTTCTGTTGCCATCCTCACTTCATCTCAATTTTCAGGTTTCATTACTCCAATCTACCGATCGAAATGAATTTCGCCGTGCATTTGCCGCAGCTACAGTCCACGACATGTTCAATTGGCTAACCGTTATCGTCTTATTACCACTGGAAGTAACCACCGGCTATTTGGAAGTCACAACCAAAATTGCAGTCAGTTCAATAAAATGGGAAAAATCAAATTCAGCTTCCCCTGAATATCTCAAAAAATTAACTTCACCCTTCTCAAAATTGATTGTTCAGGTTAGTTGAACAAATCTTGCCTGCATATTCCAAGATAATAAATTTCCTTCATAAACATGTAATGCTATGCTAGAGATATCAACCTTAATTGATTGCGTCTAGACTCTAATTATTACTGTTGAATAACTTGAAATGTTTTCAATATTTTTGCATCGTCTTACCTAATTATCAGCTGTTGTTGATCTAGTCACAAGATTAGCTTTTAAAATCTTATTTTGAATCGGTTTATCGAGTGTTCGCTTAATAGTTCCATCTGAATATTTCTATTGTTATCTAGTCAATTGTTGCCTCAGATTTTCACTCAGTAACTCAGTCACGACCTGTATTAAACTGCTCATAACTCATCTACTCATGATCAGGATCAATCTGCAATAGAAACTCTGAATTTCATCATTCTCGTTAATTTATATATTCTCGTTCATATATATAGCTTGACCAGAAATGTATTTCAAATTTATTCATTGCTAACAATTGACATTTTCAGAGGAAAAAATATCAATCAATTTTTCTACTCATTCACTCCAGACAATGTTATTAATAACCAGTAAATAATCAATCCCAATTAAATTGAACATTACAATTAGCCAACAATTTCAATATAAATAGATTAAAATTGGCAGCAATATTACTAATTAAAATGGACTCTAGCAATCATTAACTCACATTAACATTTAGATGCTCAACAATCGATTTTGATTTAGTCTTTATTATTAATACATTAATACAGTCACAAAAACAAAATCAACTTATCATGAACACTAATACTAATAGTATTATTATGTTATGTTATTGTTGTTGCATTTAACAGTAATCATTTCCCTGGCCTATTCAAATGACCTGATTCATGAAAAGATGAAAATATAATAAGAAAACCTTGTTTTCCCTGTCAAACTCATTGATGAAATTTATTGACTTTCACTTTTATTAATAGTTACTAAATTTGATTGGAACATATAAACTTAAATGGCGATCGATAATTTTATTTTGACATTATTATTCTGTTGAAAAAGACTTGAAATAATTGATAATTCAATGTTGAACCCAGTCTAGTTCAATTGAAAGGTGACATCAATATCGATCTCTATTTCAGCAAACATCAATAAAACCATCAAAAGGTTGATGATTAAAAAAGTAAATATTTTTCATCAACTCGATACTTTCATCCTCCTTAGAATCCACCTTTCATATCAATTTCATTCACATGATGAAAATCCGTGTATTTTTCCAAAATTTAAAGGTTATCATATTTTTAATATAATATTTCGCAAATTATTTTTAAACAAGGTTAAAAGAATCAGTTTGCTCTCAAGTGAAATTAGTATCAACAGGATAATATTTGCTTGTAAACTTACTGAAGAATCTGCAAGATTCAAAGATAAGTTTCCAATCCTTTTTCATTATTTGATACTCAATTCAATATACATTAGTATTGATCCAATGATGTCTTCAGTATCATGATCATCATTTCCTCTCATTAATTATCATTGTAATTTCCTTCTCTACTTCGATCTGTTTTTACTTTGTATCAATTTGTTCAAATATCCAAGATCATTGGTGGGTTTTCATTCAGTTCAATCCAAATGATAATATTTCAATTAAAACTGAAAAAGGAATACGATTCCATTGAGCAATTAATCAAATCTTTTGGACTTGATTGTTATCTTAAGCATACATTACTTACATTTGTAGCTTCTGTTCCTTTAAAAGCTTTACTTTCATTTTGGAATTGAATTTGCTGAATTAACATATGACATCGACATCTTATTTATAAACTGTAATTTGATTTTCATATTTTATTTCATTTCAGCTTGATAATAATGCAATTAAGGAGATTGCTCTTGGCAATTCATCAACTGTCGAATCGCTTCTGAAGAAAAATGGTTTGTCTATTTAATTGGCATTTAATTACATCTAATCGTCACTTCATTATTTGTATTCATTTGTAAGATTTACTCATTTCTACTATTGCTATCTATTTATGTTCACAGGTAAAGCACTTATTAACTCGCTGCAGTTATCGGACAAAACTTCGGGTATCATATTGATTACCATTTCGTTGGTAATTTTATGCCTTTGTCTTATAAGCATTGTTAAGATACTGCATTCGATGTTAAAGTAAGTAAATTGTTTACTCTTGGCTTTCGTTTATTGCTGTCAAGTTAATTGTTTTAGCGTGCCAAGTAATGCTAATCAAATGACTTCACCTTATTTTGTAACTGTTTATCCAAGTCAGCAATTAATTTCTAAAACTTTGAATTTTACTTTAAAATTAATTGTATCTTTTGTCTTCTAACAGAGGTCGGATTGCTTTGCTAATCAAAAAATATGTCAATGCTGAATACAGATTACCTTGGTCAGTGTTGATTGATTACTTAGCATTATTGATGGGATGTATTTTAACCATATTGGTCCAAAGTAGTTCCATTTTTACTTCGGCGCTTACACCATTAGCTGGGATTGGAGTTATTTCAATCGAAAGAATCTATCCTTTAACATTAGGTTCAAATGTTGGTACAACTACAACAGGTCAGGACTTGTAGAGCCTATCAAATAGCTTAATTACAGTAAATTCTCATACTTATTGCTTTCTTTATTCAGGAATCTTGGCTGCATTAACGGCTGATGCTTCTGTACTGGATAATACCCTACAATTGGCATTTGCACATCTTTTTTTCAACATTACTGGAATCTTGTTATTTTATCCAATACCATGGATGAGATTCCCTATCAGACTAGCGAAAATTTTAGGCAACACAACAGCTAAATATCGTTGGTTTAGTATCGTTTATCTGTTAACAGTTTTCTTTCTGCTTCCTGTCTTCTTCTTTCTCGTCTCGCTGGCTGGTCCACTTACTTTTACAGTCGTATTTACTCTATTTATTGCTACAATTTCATCAATCATATTGATTAACCTTATGCAGTCTAAAAGGCCTAGTTGGCTGCCTTTGAAACTTCAAACATGGAACTGGCTGCCTCTTTGGATGCACTCGCTGGATCCTATGGATAGTTTTTTGATCAAATTGAGTGAAAGTATAAATTGTCTTTACTGTTGCATCCGACCGCAAAATCGCCACGATTCTTTAGCTTTGGGTTTACGAGCAAATCAATCACAGTTACATATGTTGGACAGTTCAAGGGGAGCCTCTGAGATTCATCTGTCAACTGGTTTCGATAATGTTACCTTTATCAATGTGAACGGACACAAATACACAGCTGTTAACAAAGATTCAACTCAATTATAGTATCGTAAGCTACCAGATTAATGTCGTAGTGGAATATTAGCACATTAATAGCATATTTTCGCTATTTATCGGATAGTTCAATTTCATATTGTTAAATTTTCTCAATAGACGAAAATTAAACAAAATGCTGCTACCCGATTTCGTGGGATTTATTCCGAATTTCACGAGCAAAATAGTTTGTTAATATAGTTGATTAGTTCAAATCTTGACTAGGAGTTGAGCATGCATCTACTGACATTATCTGGTAGGTTATTGTATTAAAAATTATTCACTGTTGCTGCCTAAATTAACGTTTTCATCAATGTTAAAAACATCTCATTTTGGATATTTAATAATCTTTCACAGCCAGTTCAAGTATAATTGGCTTCATCACTGAAACCGTAAAATATAACTAGTCCATCATTCACCAATTTTCTCGTCATCTTTAAAAATAGGATTTTAGTCTCGTAATGTTCGTTTTGTGGGAAGCATATTCTTTCCACATCTTTCAAGTGCCTCTCACAAAAAAATATTCAATCGCAAACTGTTTTTTATTGTTATCATTGAATCAAAGCCGTTATATCAGCAACTTATTCTCAGATTCCTGATTTCATGCAGACCCAAAGCAATCCATCTACTAAGGTCACCAATTCCATGAGGTTTCAGAATAATCGTTTTGGGTTTATTTCAACTACAACAGACTGTCATTTGTAATGGACATAAAGACATGACGGATTTTTGTCTGAATGGTAAACAATTGAAATTTGGAATCAATCGCATTTTAAGCAGCTATTCAATCGTTTGCAGCTTTATAAATGATTAAAGAAACGTTAAATGGACATTGTTGGAGTATTCAAAACCAGAAAAGTCTTAAATTTTTATAGATTTGATTATCAACTGAGATTGAATATCATCTTTTTTAAATCAAATATTGCTACATGAAAACCGCTTCTCTTATTGATTTACATTATTCATATAATTTGATGGTTTCTTTTTCACATTCCAGATAATTATTATCATTTCGAGTTCAAGTCTATGAATGGATATAAAAGTGTTGGTACCAACTGAGTGGCTGTGATAGAACTGTTCAGCCTTGAATTTCATCAGATTTTTTTCCTTTTTTCTCATTAATCAATTATTAATTCAAATTATCTATCATTTTGAATTTAATTATTGCGAAAAAATTCAATAAATAACCGACAATTTGTTGGTCCATTGTTTTTGTTTCACTTTCATCGCGTTCCCAATTGATTCTTTAATTGATCAGTGATCAATTCAACCACAATGAAAAAATGATCAAACTTGATTCTCAACCTCGGTTTTTATCTACAAAGAACAATAAATAATTATCGATATCATGATAGTTTTATCAGAATAACAATTAAAACCAGGTAGACTTTAAATATCTAACTGTGTTGTAAACTTAATTTGTTGCAGATAAAGATTAGTTATTAATTGCATAACTCATTTGAAAAAGGCGCAATAAGACATCCCGGGTCCAAGACAACTCTAGAGTTTAGAGTTACCTTAGTTACTTAACCAGATGCCTAGTTGATGACCGCAATTGACTTAATTTGTAAACAAATTTGTTTGTTCGGTTAATTCTGTAATTCTTATAAATTGATTCAGTTCTCATCTCTTCGTTTTGTTTTGACAACATCAACTATGTAAGTTATTAAGCTATTATTATTTCAACATTTGAACCTTCTGATTATTATAATTAGTTGATCATCGTCAGTCATAAAATAAGATTAATTAAGTGAGTGTAAAGTGTAAAGAATGAGCTATACGGGTTGACAGCGAACTGAGTGCAACTCAACACTCTAACATATTATCAAAATGAATTAGTTTAAACTTTTAATTGAATATTTAAGAATCATCAAAGTAATTCTTTTAAGTTTCTATCTTGCGATCTTTGGGTTTTCGGTCCAGCATAATATTTTATAACTAATCTACATTTCTTGCTAATTTTATTTCTTATTTATTCATTGCTTGTTTCGATAGAATGTCTCAAGTTATTTTAGTTACTGGTGGAGCTGGCTTCATTGGAAGTCACTGTGTTTTGACGCTTCTCGAATCTAATTATGAGATAATCGTTATGGATAACTTATCCAATGCAATATGTACTGAAGTTAATCAAAATGGTTTACCAGAAAGTCTGAGAAGAATTGAATTGATAACATCCAAGAAAATTCAATTTTACAATACAGATTTATTGGACGCAAGAGGAATCGCACAAATTTTCAGAGATCATAAAATAAGTGCTGTAATACACTTTGCTGGACTGAAAGCTGTTGGTGAATCCATGGTTAAGCCTCTCGAGTATTATGAAAACAACGTGGCCGGAACAATTAATTTGCTTAAAGTTATGCGAGAATATAATGTGAAAAATTTAATCTTTTCGTCTTCTGCTACTGTTTACGGTTTACCTCAATATCTTCCCATTGATGAAAATCATCCAACTGGCTCTACGATTACAAATCCTTATGGCAGAACTAAGTTTGTTATTGAACGAATACTCGAGGATTTGTCTAATAGTGAAAAGGATTGGTGCATTGTATCCCTTCGTTACTTCAATCCAATTGGTGCTCATGAATCAGGAGAGATTGGAGAGGACCCACAAGGAATTCCAAATAATGCCTTCGAGAAAGCTAAAGTTCCTTATGAAATCGTTGTTCGCAGCCCTGGAGATATTGATGCCATGTTTGCAGATAATCGAAAGGCACTTGAACTTTCCAACCCTTTAGTAATGGCTACCATTCAATGGAATCTTCGAGTGGCTTTGTTAGGCTTGCAATTATAATTCAACATAGAGGGATATGAAAGCTTTCTGTCCACTTATCCTGATGATTAAGAAAATCATTTTCTTATCTTTAGTTGATTCTTTAGCTTACTGTTTTGCTTCTTGCTTTGCTTTCATCTGTTTGGTAGCTTCTCAAGCTTATCTGACATTTCTTAGCTTCTAGACTTCAGTCCATTTAGTTCACCATATTCACCGACTAGAAATCCAGATTCATAGGAAATGCCTGTTACCTATGAACATTCTACTCCTTGGAAAGGTAAGAATTGAAAAAACCTTTTGTTTCGTGAAAGCGTGAATTTTTTGAATGTATACGCATTCATTTTCAATGTTTCTCTTCACATTACTAATGATAACAATCGATTGATAAATCTTAAATATTATCACATTCTATAGAACTGACTGCAAGGGGGAAATTTCGTCGAACCTTGAAGGTTCTACTGAAAATCATTTGTCTGCTGCTTCTGTTATTTTCATTCATCACATCACTGGATTTTCTTAGCTCTGGTTTTCGATTGCTTGGAGGTCGAGCAGCTGGATCTGTTTTCCATAATAATAAATTGCTTCGTAATCCAATTGTTGGTCTTATTATTGGAATATTGTTCACCGTTCTTGTCCAAAGCTCATCCGCATCAACATCTATCGCAGTCACATTAGTTGCTGCAGAATGTAAGTGATTCAATTATTCTATCTCTTGTTCATTTGGGATTAGGATTTTCAACTTGAATCAACCATATGTTATTTTTAGCCTTTTTAGTTAATTTGCAATTCGAACTATCGATAATTCACAATAATTCCATGATTATCTAGAGAGACTTACAATTGATCCTGTTTTTCGCCCTGTCTCTGTTTTCTCCTCTCTTCTTATTCTTCTTACAGTGATAAGAGTGAAAGAAGCAATTCCTTTTATTATGGGGGCCAACATTGGAACTTCCATCACAAACACCATAGTAATTAACTAATTAATCTCTTTGATTCACAGAAACTGAACAAAATATCTCTGCAATTTGCTTGTTTAATTATTATAATGCATAATATTAACCATTTCCTTCCTTCTTATCAATTTCTTTATCTTTCTTTGTCATCCTCGTTTCATCTCAATTTTCAGGTTTCATTATTCCATTCTACCGATCGAAATGAATTTCGCCGTGCATTTGCCGCAGCTACAGTCCACGACATGTTTAACTGGCTAACCGTTATCGTCTTATTACCACTGGAAGTAACCACCGGCTATTTGGAAGTCACAACCAAAATTGTAGTCAGTTCATTAAAATGGGAAAAATCAAATACAACTTCCCCTGAATATCTCAAAAAATTAACTTCACCCTTCTCAAAATTGATTGTTCAGGTTAGTTGAACAAATCTTGCCTGCATATTCCAAGATAATAAATTTCCTTCATAAACATGCAATACATATGACATCAACATCTTATTTATAAACTTTAATCTGATTTTCATATTTATTTCATTTCAGCTTGATAATAATGCAATTATGGAGATTGCTATTGGGAATTCATCAAATAGTGAATCGCTTCTCAAGAAAGATGGTTTGTCTATCTAATTGAAATTTAATTACATCTAATCGTCACTTCATTATTTAAACCCATTTGTAAGATTTACTCATTTCTACTAACAATGTTTTTATGTTTACAGGTAAAGCACTTATTAACTCGCTGCAGTTATCGGACAAAACTTCGGGTATCATATTGATTACCATTTCGTTGGTAATTTTATGCCTTTGTCTTATAAGCATTGTTAAGATACTGCATTCGATGTTAAAGTAAGTAAATTGTTTACTCTTGGCTTTCGTTTATTGCTGTCAAGTTAATTGTTTTAACATGCCAAGTAATGTTAATTAAATGACTTCACCTTATTTTGTAACTGTTTACCCAAGTCTTTTGTCTTTCTTACAGAGGTCGAATTGCTTTGCTAATAAAAAAATATGGAAATGCTAAATACAAATTACCTTGGTCAATGTTGATTGATTACTCAGCATTATTAATGGGATGTATTTTAACCATATTGGTCCAAAGTAGCTCCATTTTTACTTCGGCGCTTACACCATTAGCTGGGATTGGAGTTATTTCAATCGAAAGAATTTATCCTTTAACATTAGGTTCAAATGTTGGTACAACTACAACAGGTCAGGACTTGTAGATCCTATTAAATCGCTTAATTCCAGTAAATTCTCATACTTATTGCTTTCTATATTCAGGAATCTTGGCTGCATTAACGGCTGATGCTTCCGTACTGGATAATACCCTACAATTGGCATTTGCACATCTTTTTTTCAACATTACTGGAATCTTGTTATTTTATCCAATACCATGGATGAGATTCCCTATCAGACTAGCGAAAATTTTAGGCAACACAACAGCTAAATATCGTTGGTTTAGTATCGTTTATCTGTTAACAGTTTTCTTTCTGCTTCCTATCTTCTTCTTTCTCGTCTCGCTGGCTGGTCCACTTACTTTTGCAGTTGTATTTACTCTATTTCTTGCTACAATTTCATCAATCATGCTTATCAATATTATGCAGTCTAGAAGGCCTAGTTGGTTGCCTTTGAAACTTCGAACATGGAACTGGCTGCCTCTTTGGATGCACTCGTTGGATCCTATGGATAGTTTTTTGATCAAATTAAGGGAAAATATAAATTTTCTTTACTGTTGCAAACCGCACTCAGGCAACAGTCCGACCGCGAAATCGACATGATTCTTTAGCTTTGGGTTTACGAGCAAATCAATCACAGTTACATATGTTGGACAGTTCAAGGGGAGCCTCTGAGATTCATCTGTCAACTGGTTTCGATAATGTTACCTTTATCAATGTGAACGGACACAAATACACAGCTGTTAACAAAGATTCAACTCAATTATAGTATCGTAAGCTACCAGATTAATGCTGTAGTGAAATATTATCACATAAATATCAGATTTATCGGATAGCTCTATTTCATGTTGTTAAAGTTTGTCTAATACACGAAAATTAATCTTGATTTTCGGTACTACTTGATTTCTTGGGATTTTATTTAAAATTTTTACGAGCAGAAATCAAATATTGTTTGTAAATATAGTAGATTAGCTCCAATCTTGACTAGGAGTTGAGCATGCATCTACTGACATTATCTGGTAGGTTATTGTATAAAAAATTATTTCACTGTTGCTGACTAAATTAACGTTTTTTATCGATTTTAAAAACATCGCATTTCATTTTGGATTTTGATTTTTGTTTGAATAGTAAACAATAGGAATTCTGGAATCATTCGCATCTTTAAGCAGCTATTCAATCGTTTGCAGCTTTATAAATGATTAACGAAACGTTAAATGGACATTGTTGGAGTATTCAAAACCAGAAAAATCTTAAATTTTTATAGATTTGATTATCAACTGAGATTGAATATCATCTTTTTTAAATCAAATATTGCTACATGAAAACCGCTTCTCTTAAATTGATTTACATTATTCATATTATTTGATGGTTTCTTTTTCACATTCCAGATAATTATTATCATTTCGAGTTCAAGTCTATGAATGGATATAAAAGTGTTGGTACCAACTGAGTGGCTGTGATAGAACTGTTCAGCCTTGAATTTCATCAGATTTTTTTCCTTTTTTTCTCATTAATCAATTATCAATTCAAATTATTTATCACTTTGAATTTAATTATTGCGAAAAAAACACAATAAATAACCGACAATTTGTTGGTCCATTGTTTTTGTTTCACTTTCATCGCGTTCCCAATTGATTCCTTATTTGATCAATAATCAATTCAACCACAATGATTCTCAACCTTGGTTTTTATCTACAAAGAACAATAAATAATTATCGATATCATGATAGTTTTATCAGAATAACAGTTAAAACCAGACAGACTTTAAATAGCTAACTGTGCATTGTAAACTTAATTTGTTGTATTTTATTGCATGATTGAATATTCCTCTGAATCATAATCAATCTTTTCAAGTAGTCCAGTGTTATATCTAAATAATAAATCAATTAAAAATTTCATGCAAAGATTTTTTCACCTTGAATTGTGGTGAAAAAAATGTTGCAAATTCACCTAAAGTCCCAGATTAATTATCATCATACATAACTCATTTGAAAAAGGCGCAATAAGACATCCCGGGTCCAAGACAACTCTAGAGTTTAGAGTTACCTTAGTTACTTACCAGATGCCAAGTTGATTTTCGCAATTAACTTAATTTATGAACAATTTTGTTTGTTTAGTTAATTCTGTAATTCTTATAAATTGATTCAGTAACAAAATTAGAGTAAGTAAATTTGATTTTACCCTTTGGACTTAATCCTAGTAATTGTCATCATTTCATCTCCCTCAACCCTTAACTCCCTTGTACAAAATCAGTGTAAACAATAGATGGCGACAGAAATTTGTTACTGGATAAACCTTTATAGTTTTAATTTTATTATGATCAAGAAAATTTATCTTGACGCTTTGTCATTAATACTGTGTGTTTCGTGCCCTTCTATCTCCTGCGATATTAACCTAGGAAAAATATCCTAGCCGGATTTAACATCTGATATTTGAATTGTTACCATTCTCTTCGTTTTCTTTGACAACATCAACTAAATTATTGATTTAACCATTGGACGTTCATTGAACATTGACTAAATCCGTTTTAGGTAAGTGACTAACTTATTATTATTTCAACATTTGAACCTTCTGATTATTATAATTAGTTGATCATCGTCAGTCATAAAATAAGATTAATTAAGTGAGTGTAAAGTGGGAAAAATGAGCTATACGAGTTGACAGCGAACTGAGTAAAACTCACCACTCTAACATGTTATCAAGACAAATTGCTAATTGTTCATTTTCAATATCAAGTAATTTAATGTTTAGTGCAACAGATTTTTTAGATTAATAGCTATTGATGACAACTTCATTCATTATAATTTCATCACAGTATTTTCCATCAACATTCGACGAGTTGACAGATTTAGTCAACGTGCAGGTGGCGTTGATATTAGGAATTTATTATAATTCAATTTGATTTAAACTTATAATTTGATACAAAATATGACCATCATCGATATCAAGGTGATCCATCCATCATTTCAACATTTTCCCTCTTCACTTATCTCTATGCTTTGAGAATCAATCATTCTTTCAAGGTTTCAATAGACGTACTTATGGATGAGTGCAAAAGTAAAACTTATTCTGATATTTTTTTAATTCGTTTGAACTTTCATTTAAATATTTCCAGAATAGCCATCAAAGTAATTCTTTCTAGTTTCTATCTTTCGATTTTTCGATCCAGCATAATATTTTTTACTAATCTACATTTCTTGCTAAATCTTAGCTTATCATTTCGAGTTCAAGTCTATGAATGGATATAAAAGTGTTGGTACCAACTGAGTGGCTGTGATAGAATTGTTCAGCCTTGAATTTCATCAGATTTTTTTCCTTTTTTCTCATTAATCAATTATTAATTCAAATTATCTATCATTTTGAATTTAATTATTGCGAAAAAATTCAATAAATAACCGACAATTTGTTGGTCCATTGTTTTTGTTTCACTTTCATCGCGTTCCCAATTGATTCTTTAATTGATCAGTGATCAATTCAACCACAATGAAAAAATGATCAAACTTGATTCTCAACCTCGGTTTTTATCTACAAAGAACAATGCATAATTATCGATATCATGATAGTTTTATCAGAATAACAATTAAAACCAGGTAGACTTTAAATATCTAACTGTGTTGTAAACTTAATTTGTTGCAGATAAAGATTAATTATTAATTGCATAACTCATTTGAAAAAGGCGCAATAAGACATCCCCGGTTCAAGACAACTCTAGAGTTTAGAGTTACCTTAGTTACTTAACCAGATGCCAAGTTGATTTTCGCAACTAACTTAATTTGTAAACAAATTTGTTTGTTCGGTTAATTCTGTAATTCTTATAAATTGATTCAGTTCTCATCTCTTCGTTTTGCTTTGACAACATCAACTATGTAAGTTTTTAAGCTATTATTATTTCAACATTTGAACCTTCTGATTATTATAATTGGTAAGAGTAAGGTTTTACGGACTAAGGCGGGACTTAAAAATCACACACTTTCGCTAACCAATGGTAAAATTAATAATGAATGTTTTTTATCTGAAATTAATGATTAACCAGAATTTTCTCATCTCCTCTTTCAGTATTCATGGATTTGCTGTAATATTAGTAATTAAAAATTAGTTCAATCATGATTAACCTTAAATTTAATTTTAAAAGATTAACCTGATTGGATCTCAATTTAAATGTCCCATGTTGCCCCTCCTTAGTCCGTAAAACCTTACTCTTACCTTATAATTAGTTGATCATCGTCAGTCATAAAATAAGATTAATTAAGTGAATGTAAAGTGTAAAAAATGAGCTAAATGAGTTGACGAACTGAGTGCAACTCAACACTCTAACATATTATCAAAATGAATTCGTTTAAACTTTTATTTGAATATTTAAGAACAGCCATCAAAGTAATTCTTTCTAGTTTCTATCTATCGATCTTTGGGTTTTCGGTCCAGCATAATATTTTATAACTAATCTACATTTCTTGCTAATTTTATTTCTTATTTATTCATTGTTTGTTTCAATAGAATGTCTCAAGTTATTTTAGTTACTGGTGGAGCTGGCTTCATTGGAAGTCACTGTGTTTTGACGCTTCTCGAATCTAATTACGAGATAATCGTTATGGATAACTTATCCAATGCAATATGTACTGAAGTTAATCAAAATGGTTTACCAGAAAGTCTGAGAAGAATTGAATTGATAACATCCAAGAAAATTCAATTTTACAATACAGATTTATTGGATGCAAGAGGAATAGCGCAAATTTTCAGAGATCATAAAATAAGTGCTGTAATACACTTTGCTGGACTGAAAGCTGTTGGTGAATCCATGGTTAAGCCTCTCGAGTATTATGAAAACAACGTGGCCGGGACAATTAATTTACTTAAAGTTATGCGAGAATATAATGTGAAAAATTTAATCTTTTCGTCTTCTGCTACTGTTTACGGTTTACCTCAATATCTTCCCATTGATGAAAATCATCCAACTGGCTCTACGATTACAAATCCTTATGGTAGAACTAAGTTTGTCATTGAACGAATACTCGAGGATTTGTCTAATAGTGAAAAGGATTGGTGCATTGTATCCCTTCGTTACTTCAATCCAATTGGTGCTCATGAATCAGGAGAGATTGGAGAGGACCCACAAGGAATTCCAAATAACTTGATGCCTTTCATCTCTCAAGTTGCTGTTGGTCGTAGGCCCAAACTCCAAGTATTTGGTGATGATTTCAAGACCAAAGATGGTACTGGGGTCAGGGACTACATACATGTCATAGACCTTGCCCGAGGCCATGTAATTGCCTTAGATAAAGTTTTTCTAAATAAATGGTCCGGTTTCAAGGTTTTCAACCTCGGTAATGGTTGTGGACTTTCAGTGTTAGAGGTAAATGCCCTTTAAATTGATTGACATTCCGGTAAAACTTCCGATAAAATTTCATTTCAACTTTCTTTTTATTCAATTTCACAGGTTATTGATGCCTTCGAGAAAGCTAATGGTGTAAAAGTTCCTTATGAAATCGTTGCTCGCAGGCCTGGAGATGTTGATGCCATGTTTGCAGATAATCGAAAAGCACTCGAGGTATTAGGATGGAAACCACACTACAGTATTACCGATATGTGTAAACATACATGGAAATGGCAATCAAAAAATCCAAGAGGTTATCGGTCTGAAGATATGTAAAAGCCTTTTACAGTCAAATAGAGCACGATTCTGTTTCAAATTTTATTTTTTAATAACTATTGAATATATTGTGATAAAATGATGATGCACCGAAAAAATGTTTTAAGTTTTTTAGTTAACTTATAAAATTATAACATATATTACGAATTTATGCAATAAAACAACGTGCATTCAATCTCTAGAGAGGTTATAAAATTGAAATGGTTCATTTGATTTATTACATTTTTCTTGATTTAGTAAAATTCACATTAATTAAAAAACACAATTTATGATAAATTTCAATTGACGTTGAATTGAAATTTAACAATCTCATTTAGTAGTAATCCAGTACACTAGATGTTAGCACTGATTTATAAACAACTTGTTTCCCTAAAACAAGTTTAGGGAAATAAATGCAAAACAAATGACAAAGATTGAACTCTTAGTTCTGTTTAATTTTGAAACTGTTTTCTTCTTGAATGAATCTATTTTCATTTCTGTTTTTTATGATAATGTCCTGAATACATTAAATACACTGGTATTCTTTATTAAACCAGTGTTGTTAATCCAGTTAATAGTGAAAATATTGAAAGATTAAGAATATACGGGAGTCCGTCGGCTCATTCTTTATGCGCAACACATCTATGAGTGTTGATCTTCACTTTTTATTATGAAGTTTTGATGTAGGTTAAATTGTTTCAATCGTTTCATGTTTACCTACTCTTGAGAGAATAATTTGTGCTAATTTATAATGTTCAATTTGGGATCGTTTAAGTTATTCTCACCTGATTCAATCTCTAAGGATTTGAGTTCAAGTGATTATGCAAAAACTGAGAAACGTTTGAAAGAGTTGTCAAGTTTTTTGGGTCTCAACAACAAACAAAGTTGGTCATCACAATTAACTTCTCGGGTTATTCCTTCAACTTTAAATTCTGTTCCAGCATCAACAACATCTGGATTAAACCATCAACATATCTTGAATAGCCATCAAAGTAGTCATTTCCATCCAGTTTTCACATCAAATGATTCTGTCGAGAGAATTGTATCCATTCATTGGAATGATGTTTACAAGTCACTCGTTGTTGTCCTTTCAAATGGCCTGATAGCCTCTTGTTTCTTCCACCCTTCATATCTAAATTGTATAAATTATATTTATCTGGATAAGTATCTCATTGGAAAAATCAAGACGGAATATATGGTTGATTTTATTTTCGATAATAGAATGATCATCATATCCTACACTAATCCAAGGTTTGTTTATCAATTTTTAATATCAACCAACTTTCTCGAGACCTTTTGCTTAGCACAAATCCAATTGATCTGATATTCTCATACATTAACAAATCTCGATTCTATTAAGCTACTATTTATTGGAAATATACATTTCATTTACTATTCAGTAATCTTATCCAGCTTTTCATTTATAAATAGATCGCTTGTATGTGAAATTTTCTGAGACCTTTTTAGTTTATCAATTATTTCTCATGCTAGTATTTAGTCTTGTAAATTAATTAACTAGAGCTTAACTGGAACACAAGCAATAAATATTCAATGAGAGATTTATTATATTACAGATTACTTCCTTCTTCATCTTGGTCTCATTTTCAAACGGAATCATACTTCTTTATAAAGCTATTTTACTTTGATTTCTAATTGAAGCTTACCTACTATTTATTCATTTATTAAAATTTCATCAATTTATTAAAATACAGGATAACATGCATTCTTTTGGACGATGGAAAGCGTAATAAGAGTTGGACTTCTCGCAAACGGAAATTATTCAAATTGAAATCACAAAATGTAAAAATAATTGAACACGAGCTAGATATAAACTGCGGTAGACGTGCTGAACGACACTTACTCAAAAGTGAAATAAAAAATGACGATGAAGATCTTTTACTCGTTTGGTGGCAAAATGGATCCAATACAATCTGTCCCTGGTCATCCCCAATCACATCAAATAAAGATTTCTGTAACATCTTAATCTACAACATTATTCATAACTCATTCGACCTGGTTGGATATGCATCCATCCTAAACGATATTCTCAAGGTAACTTTCACATAAAATAGTCACTTTCAAGATTCATTTAAATAATGAAAATGATTTAATCAACTCATCTATTCTTTCTTTAGATTTGCTTCTGTAAACGACGAATAAACAGACTGATGACAGTTGAAAGTGATGGTGACCACGGCTCTATCCTGTTCAGAGAATACCAGATAAATTTTATTGACGAATGCTATGTTATTGAAATGGTCGAATCAATTCAACTAGCAGTTCCTTGTCAAGTTGTTAAAGCTGATATCAACTTTAACCTAAACAAAGTTATACTCCTTTGTGAGGATCGAAGTGTCTTAGTCTACAGTATTGATCAAAATTCTATTCGTTATTTTCAAGCTCCAATTAATGCTATAGACCTGGTCAATAGTCCATCTGATTCTTATTTCATCATGTCTGACTCGTTTGGTCAAATAATGATGTATGATTATGGTCTACATGTAATGCCAGCCAATTATGATGATCTCTTTTTACGAGAAGCTTTCACAGGACTCAGCGAACTCAAGTTTCTAAACAATTCTCTTGTTTGCTTACGATTCATGGATGATCCCAATCTCATGCTAATTGTTTTACCCAACAACCTAGATTACATTGGACTTATACGATCGTATGTCAAACACGATTACATCAATGAGGCTATAGAAAATGTTCAACTACTCAATTGGAATTTAAATTCTTATCTCGCCTACTCTTCTCTTAATATCATCTTTAACCATCTGCTGAAGACTCCTTTAAATACCATCAAAGAATCTCAATTACAAGAAGCTCTTGCCACATTTTTCATTCCAAAAATACCTATAGCTGAAGACATCATAGAAGAGTATCAATATGAAATGCATTGTATTGCCAAAAGATTTTTTTATCATCTCTACCGTTACTCATGCCTTGAAAAAGCATTTATGCTTGCTTTGGATCTAAAAAGTCGCCATTTATTCCTTCTTCTTCACAAAATCGCCAAAGAACGAGGAAATGAAAAGCTTGCTGAAGTTTCATTGACTAATGCTCACAAATTCAATCACTCATCTAATACAAACAATTGTGCCAAAAATGAGCCAACAAAAGAATTGCCTAACTCAAATCATCCAAGAACAGTGACTGAATCCTGTTTATTTGCAACCGACTCATCTTTGAACCAACAAAATCAATTGATCAACAATAATAATCAAACCAACAATTATCATTTTGATGATAATTTACAAGCACAATCAAATGTAAATTTACTAACCAATAATAGTAACGAAAATTATCATTATCAATTAACTCACCAACAGTTGACAACTTTTAAACCTGTTCGCAAGGATCAATCGTCCACTCATGAACCCATACCAATGTACTCATCACCTCGAAAACGTGGTGAATTAGCCACAAACAAAGTATCAAAAGCTGGAATTGTCAATCCAAAGATTGAGAACCCACTAAATTATCAACTGTCAGATACTGAATGCAACTCATTTCAAGCTATTCATTCTCAACCTGACCATGGATCTTCATCCTATCAATCTGACCAATCTTCAACGGAAACGTATAAACTATTTGTTCCTCCTCCTTTACCACCAGTTTGTAAAGATAAACCTCAGATCCTAATGACACCGCCACCTCTACCTCCGAAAATTAAGAATAGAGACAAAGTTAAGTCACAATTTGAAAATCAATTGGAAGCTAACAATTTCATTTATGAGGCCAAAGCATACAGTGATTTATCTGAAACAAGAGATTCTAACCATATTGGAAAAATGATGTCCAGAGATATCCAGGATAATCCTTCCTCAACTCCAACTGAATATCAAATCAACCAGACTATTAAAGCCAACAACGAGTCTATGAACTCAATGATACCTGAAAGTGAAAAACAAAATGTTCCCTTACAAATCAATCATCTCATGAAAAGCCATGTGAATAATGATAATCCGAAAATTGAATGCATACATTATGGTCTTGTTTAAATAAGAATCTCACTTTAATATAATTCAATAATATGTAAATATAACTTTTGCTAAAAATGCAATATTTTTCATTATAAATATTCAACTCCATAGGCCTTTTACACATATGATTTGAATAGAAGAAAATTCAAATCAATTTATTAAATCTAACTCAACGTCATAAATTGAGATCATTTACACTTTGGATATTTTAATTTGTTCAATCGGTAAATCATCTTTACCATTTTTTCGAGACAAATAGCTCCAAAGCAGCTGAGGAATATGTTCACCGTCGATTGTTGTTTCTTCAGCTTCTTTTATCTCATCATCTTCAAGTTTCTTCTTTTGCTTGTTTGACTTCTTCTTTTTTCTTTTCTTTTTCTCTTTCTTGCTCTTTTTATTTGACGATTGGTCCTCATCAGAATCCTCATCCTCCTTGGTTTCATCTTTCTTCTCACCCTTATTTGGAGACTTGCGAATTTTCTTCCTGACGACATTTCGCTTCTGCTGCGTGTCTTCCCATTCTTCTTTATGGTATGCGTCCTGTTTAGCATGGCCTCTGTCTTCAATCCAATCAACTGCCGTTAACTCACCATTTTTACCTTTGAATATTTTCTTGATTACATATCTTCCTGGTTTTGCTTTTACAGGAGCATCATCGCCTTCATCAGCACTATCGTCATCTTCGTCATTATCAACCTTCTTCTGTTTCTTTCTCTTTTTGGCATTTTGTTCTAAAATGGAAAGGATTTCTTCGTCATCAGTTAAAGCTCCGTTTTCGTTCTCAGAGTCATCTTGCAAGATGTAACCACTACTGCCGTCAATACTCGGACTTTCATTTTCACTTTTGATGCTTTCCTTCAGGATGAAACTGGTTCCTTGATCTTCTCCACCTCGATAAACAGCAATCGCTTCATTTGGTGACTGATTATCCCTTAGCTTGGTCTTTTTGCGTCTTACATTATTATTTCGCTTTGGACGTATCTCGGAATCATCATCTATTAAATGAAACGAATGAAGGATCGTTTTGGCAATTGACTCTCCAAGGTTGTCATACGATGGATTGGCTTTTTGAAAAAACTTGGATGTTTCTATGGTTGATAACTGAGGTGGTGATAATGTCTGATGTGAACTGAGTAAACTTGGACTAATCAAAAAATTTACTGGTGCGTCAGGAATATGATGTCCATTGGAAAGGCCGTTGAGGGGCACTCGAGTTGTCAATACTCCTTGGTTCAATTTGATGTTATTTATGGTTAATGATATTACAATTAATACAAATCCTTTCGTATAAAAGACGAGCTGAGGAGATATTGGAAATAATTATCAAATTAGAACAATTGAATAAAGAAAAGTCTTACCTTACTTAATGGTGATGTGGAATCTGAGATCATTTAGGAAACAAGAAAAGCAAAGAGGATAATCCAAGTTGCTTCACAATTTAAAATTTGAATATTATCATCAAGTTACTTCAACAGATTGTCATTAACAAATGAGTCGATTTCCAATTTAACTCTTTGCTTTACACCTTTTTACATTTGCTTTCCAGTGTGAAAAAATACAGATTAAATTGATGAATCTTGATTTAATTGCTTCATTAAATAAGACACCATTTTTTAACGTAATTTTCAATAACAATCAGGACATCAGGATGGTAATCATTGCCAGTATAATGAGTGTAAATTAAAAAAAAGAATCAAGAAAATTAATAATAGAACAGCACAAACAAAAAGGATTGACTCTTAATCGTTGATCAGACAATTAAACGGGTTTTGATGCTGTGCTAACACAAATGATATTGGCTCGATTTGAATGTTCACCAGTTCGCAGACAAAATCACCGGAAATGTAAAATTTGGCAGTTTTTCATTGATCAGTCGATTAATTTGAAGTTTAGTAGATCACTTTGATCTGTACCACCTTTTGATTGAAAATTAAACGCTTTCTGCTCATGACGATGGTTCGTTTTGCAAGTTCATGAATGAAAATCGCAGTCTAATTTGCTGTAATTCAAAGGCTGTTGCATCAAAACTCACAAATTCAAATAAGCTGTTGAATTGACTAATAGTGAATCATAATTAACAACCCAAACAGAAACGTTTTGAAGCTAACAAGAGATGAAAACATTAAATTGTAAATGTGCATTTACATAACTTGAAAACAAAATGATGAAGAATGAATCAAATTAAAATAATGCGTCTAATAACTATGATTTGAATTTCAAATTGTTACTTTGCTAAACTTGTATCAAAATTGGTCTTTTTAGTTACTATTAACCCTGTCATGTATACTTGAACAGTATGTCTTTCTAGATTGGAGTTGAACTTGAATCTAGTCTAACAAGTCTGAAGAAGGCTTCCCCTGTACAACTTTCCATTGTTGACGTAGCTAGGTTTAACAGATTGTTTGTTTATCTTGAGAACAAAATCTTTACATTCTAATTGTGATTGAAATATTGTGTTAATAAATATCAGATTATATATTTTTGTGCAATAATTTAAACAACTAGTTACCCAAATAATAGGGTTTATAAAATACCAAGTTAATGTAGGTTTTTTCTATTAAATTATTCTTTATAAGTGAATCGTTCTAAACCTTTGGTTTTATCCTCTATTTGTTTTTTTTCAAGATTTTTGTTATATCTTACAAAATATCAAACATGATTCGCCCGGTGTTGATGTTGGTCCATTCATCGTTTATATTATTTGTGATTCTTAATTTTGTTTATCATGTTGGAGCTACCAGTAAACCAGGAGATGATGAGAGTTTACACGAGAGTCAAATACCTGCGCCAACATCTGATGAATTTCAACAGCAGCCAACCCCAGAAGAGATTCAATCCGAGTTGGTTCGTTTGTACAGTAAATATGATGAAAACAGTGATAAACAGTTGAGCGTTGAAGAGGTGAAGAAATGGCTGGATGAAATTCACCTGGAAATAACACAGGAGAATCTGGACAGACAATGGGCTTATTATGAACCGGTAACTCAAGAGGTGCACAGCTGGCATGAATATGAACCAGTCGAGATGGAGGTATTAGATTGGGAAAAATACAAGAACAAAACATTCACCGAGGAAATGAGGATCGAATCATATAATGACGAACAGGGTAAAGCAGTTTGGGAAACTATGTTAAACCGAGCTCAGAAACGATGGGAAGTTGCTGATGCCAATAATGACACCATATTAACTAAAGATGAATTCAAAGATTTCATGTGGCCAGAGGAATCTTCATCAGATGCTGTAAAACAAAGACTTGTCGAGGAAGGCCTAGAAGACATGGACAGCGATGGAGACAAATTAATCAACATGGAAGAATACCTTAAACATTTAATAACAATCACACCAGAAGCTGATCGTGTTGATCCTGAATGGACTGAAGTATGTTACTAAATGAAAATCTTAATCTTTCAAATTTTATTCACACCTTGTTTTATTTCTCTCCATTGTAGGTTCAAAAAAATCATTTCCACTCATATTTAGATAAAGATAAAGATGGATCCTTGAACCCTAAAGAACTTGAATATTGGTTAACAATTCAAACCGATAGACATAACGAAGAAGCAGCCCGACTTGTGGCATCATCAGATGAAAATAAAGACCAAGTGCTATCAGTTGATGAAATAAAGGAAGGTTACAACAACTTTTTCACCCTCATTTCCCCCAAATTTTGGAATAAATACTATCCAGATGAGCAATTATACGGACCAAGTACAAGTGCATCTCATGATGAACTTTAACAAACCTGAATCTCAAAATTTCAACCTTTGTACTCTTTTTTATACTCCAAGTATTTCAAATAAACCGTCCGGTTAATCATCAATGAAACCCAATGAAAAGTATATAACAAAATATGTAAAAAAAATAATCTAATTGTCAGAAGTGGGATTCGAACCCACGCCAGATAAATCTGACTGCGACCTGAACGCAGCGCCTTAGACCACTCGGCCATCCTGACTTACCAACCCGGAATCTCGAGAGACGAAGCCATCCTTGAATTGCGAGAAGAGATAAAACTTGCAAAACCAAAACGTAAACTAGGACTTTTCGCAGTCGATGTAAAAGGTGCTTTTGATAATGTATCTAGAAAAGAAATACTAAGAGAGATAAATAGTTGGTCACTGGAAGAAAAATGTAAACAACTTATCAATAGTTACCTTGAAATCGAGCAACTGAAATATCTTGGAATGGCATGAAAGGATGGAGGGAAGAAACAAATGGTATTCCTCAAGGTTCAACACTTGGTCCACTTCTTTATATTGTTGGCTCATCAAAAACAATCAATAGTGTACTCAATGAATATCCAAATGTGAAAAGAGCAATCTACGCTGATGACATCACGTTTCTGGTCAATGCAACGAATCTCGATAGAATGCAAAGTTTAGCCAATGAAATTATAACAAAATTGGATCAAAAACTTCTTGACATCAACTTATCATTGGAAAAATCAAAAACACAATTCATAATGCTTAAAGGCTATAAAGCTAGTGGCGAACGAATTGAGTTGAAAAAAATGAACATCACTGAATCCGAGTCTTTAACAGTTCTTGGATATACTTTTGGAAAGAAGAATCAGCCTGATTGGTATTGGAACAAAGTGAAAGAAAAAATAAGAGCAATTTCCGATGTTTTGAAAAATAACAGGCGGAAACTATTCTTTTTACCGATGAAGTGGAAAAAGCTGCTGATACAATCCCTTATATATCCATTAATAACAGGTTTACCGAAATCAACAATAAAAGACATGAAAATTGAAAGAATAAGAGATGGAACAGCAAAAATGACAGCAAATGGCATCAAAAAATTGTTACGAATACCACCAGGTACATCTTCGATAATGATGATCAAAGCGATTGGTCTTAATCCTCCATGGACAGAAATGATGAAGATACTACAGAGAAAATTAGATTTTGATTCAAAAGCGAAATCTGTGTTATTAGATTTCATCGGAGCAAATGAAAAGCCTGTTAACTGGAATACTGTGATCAAAAACAAGAATGATGAATTTGATAATAAAATGAAATCAGGAATAGATTGGATCTTACAAGGAAAAAACATCAATGATATTATGAATACAAGTAAAAAACATTGTGTTAATTATCAAAAATTGAAAACACTTGTATTCATATCAGGTGGATACTTCTACTTGAAAGAGCAAGATGGTAAACTTGTCGACGAATGCTGGTGTAATGCTGGTAGAAGAACGCCGAGTCATTGGATCTTAGACTGTAACTTATTTGAAAATCAACGACAAGATGCTTTTGGTAAAAAATCATTGGAATCAAAGGAAATTTATTTATTGATCAACAGACTGATGAATGGTTATGATGTTAGCAATTTTGTGAACTTTATTAGTATCATTTATGAAAAATTGATAAGCATGAGTTATTCACAACTCTATCCATACGTGTATTAATGACAAGTTTTAAAACTGAAAGTAATCGCCTCATTCTGGTAAATCAACATAAATTATCCATAACAAAATTATGCGAATAATATTCACTGATAGACATCTTTGAGAATATAAAATACCATCAAAAGCAACGAGGAGAAAGCAAAAGAATTACTGGAAAAAAGCCAAGGGACAGCAATATCTTCATCCGAGTTTCAACGGCCCAAGCCACTCTTTAATGAAACAGTTGAAGATACCTTTTCTCGAAGCTAGACATGAAGAAATGGTAAAAGTAAAAAGCAATACAAACAAATCAGTGAAGCAAATGAAACGAAAGCAAACCAGTCTGGACGATATACAACGATTTATTACTTCAATTTTTTCTTACCTTACCCTTTATTTATATACAATGTACATTTATCTTTTTTCAATTTACATTTATAATTTATGTATTGGGATGACAACTACCGAAAGGTAGAGTGTAAATGTTACCAAGCGAAGCCTTGTTATCCCTGTGTGTAATCACACGAAATTAATAATTAATAAAGACTGGTTAACATCAAGTTTGCCTTGAGATTTTTTATTCAAATTAAACATTGATTTATAATTTAGTTAATTTTTTGATTTTGTGATATTATTATAGAGTTAAGTGTGAGGATCATTTTGGTGTATAAATTATATACTAAAATACAACAATTAATTTGTAAATTGTGATTGAAAAAATGGCTACCCTTTCAACTCACGTGGCTTCACCTGACGATGTGGTCAAAGAGTTAAGGTCAAAGAAAAGTATGGAGCAGACTGTAGACTTGACTTACCGAAAAATATTCAACAACAATTAAAGCTGATGAAGAAGATGATTACGACTTCTGAAGGTATCCTTGGTCCAATTAAAAGTAAAGATGCAACTCCAGTTTCATTTGATGATGCCCATGCCATGGTCAAAATGTTAAAGGTTGCCATGCGGTTAATGGAAATAAGGACTGTGGAGAAGGAGAAACAGACCATCGATAAGCTTCTTACTGGTATTACTGGAGAAATCGAGAAAGAGGTTGCTAAAAGCTTGGAATCAATTAAAGAAACAATTAAAACTACTGTCTCTGAAAATTGTAAAAGTGATAATACCAAAAGAAGCTATTCCGACATTGTCAAACAGGCTGTTCACTCTACACCAGCCAAGAAAAAGGGCGCCAACAGGGAGCGAGTCATATTTATCAAACCAAGTGACAAGAAGAGAATAATGAAAGGCTCAGCAATATTAAAGAAAATACAAGAGATTCTTAAAGGCCATTACAACCTTTCTTTCGATTTGATTAAAGAGAAAGAAAATTGTGTGCTGATGATTGGTAATGAAGTCCGGGATACTGAAGCAATGAAATCAATGATTGGTAAAAGTCATCCGGATTTGGTAGCTGAACATCCAAAAAAGAAAAATCCAAGAATCATGATAAGAAATATCAACAAGAAAGAACTCTTTGATAAAGACCTGGAAGACAATGAGATTCTCGATCTTATAATCAAGCAGAACAAATGGGATGAATTGAACAAAGATAAAGATGATGGTATAAAGTTACTTACAGGTTTCAATACGACAAATTACAACAAGAGACAAGTAAGGAATCTGGTGCTATCAATACCTGGAACAATAAGAGATTCTTTGGCAACAAATGATGGTAAAATTAAAGTTAACTTTAAGATGATGAAAATTGAAGATACCTGGAATCTCCCAATTTGTACCAATTGTTTATCTCATTCTGGTGATCATCGGTCGAAAACCTGTGAAGGTAATACAAGATGTAAAAGATGTGGAGATCATCACAAAGAAAGTGAATGCCAAAGAGTAAAACCAATATGTTTACATTGTAAAGAAGCAAAATTCAACTATGATCATCATTGTATGTCCAGAGATTGTCCTTTCATCCAAATGGAAATTGAACGAGCCATGAGTGTTACTGACTATGAATATAAACAAATTTATTAATATGAAAATCAAGCAAATTAATTTAGCTGGTTCAAGAATAGCAACACATGAATTAGAAATCCATTTGGAAGGAAAAACAGATGATATTTTTATCATATCTGAACAAAACGAATCGTACTTACCTATTTTGAGCGTACAAGGAGTAAATATTATTTCTTGCGGTCGAAGTGCAATAGTAACAAAACAACCGATCATCAAACTTTGGAATGCAAATATGAAAGAAACAACAGTTGGCATGATCAAAACAACAACATCCGAATTGGTTATCATATCCATCTATTTACCACCAAGCCTAACAAAGCCTGAATACGAAAAAGAAGTTGAGAAACTTGGACAATTATTAGTGAGACATAAGTCAAAATATGTTGTACTTGGAGGCGATGTTAACTCAACACACATTGCCTGGTCATTCAAACTAGCAGATCAAAGTTGCAACAACAAAGCGAACGACAAAGGAAATATTTTGTATTCCACTTTGTTAACAAATGGCATAAAAGTAATTAAATGTCCAACAGACGAAAATTTTACTTACACGAGTAGACGAAACAAAGATGCTGATGGAAATTTTATTGTGTCCTGGATAGATCTTGTATCTTGTAACCCAAATTGTTCCCAATTCGTGAGATACATCAATACTCAAGATTGGCCAGAAAGTGATCATAGAGTTACCACCATTGAAGTTGACTTACCATCTAAAAAACAAGAGCAAATGAAAATTGACCTTAGCAAGTTCTTTGAATTGATAAGTAAATGGCAACCGCCAAATATTTTGAACAACTTTACTAACCAAAAGCAACTGGATCAACTCTGTCAACAATTGATAGATGACTTGAAACAGATGCAAGAAAGATCAAAAAGACCACGAACCAGCAATAACAAACCATGGTGGAATAAAAATCTAGATAGAGAAAGAAAAGAAATGGTCAAGCTGAAAAAGAAAATTGGATCAACAAGTGGAACGATTAAAGAAATACTGATAAACAAATATGTTGAAATAAAGAAAAAATTCAAGCTTTCTCTGAATCAAGAGAAAAGTCAGTTCGACAAAGCAATGATCAGTCAACATGCTTCCAATCCATGGAAATTGATTAATCGAATTGTGCCAAGGAGCTGCAAACAAATTGGTAACGATGAGAAAAGTTTTTGGACAATAACTGAGAAATTTAAAGAGGATTGCCAATCAAAGATGACAACATTGAATTATTCAAACGCAATCTCAATTGTTGACAAGAAGATTTCCAACTATACTCTAGAAGAGCATGTAACAAAAGAAGAACTCTTATATTTGATCAGGAAAGTGAAGGATAATGTATCAAGTGGTTATGAGGAGGTAAATTGTAAGATTAGCAAAAAGACGATGATGGACAAAATTGAATTTTTCACCTCATTATTCAATCACATCTTGAGCTGTGGCCATTTTCCAACTCCATGGAAGATTGGTAAAGGAGTTTTTATCCCGAAAGCAAATCCAGAAAAAGCAAGATTGATTCACATTCAATGTTTTTATGGGAAAGTCTTGGAACAATATATAAAAGATAAATTGTTAAATGCTGCACCACCAGTCATTTGGAAAGACCAATATGCTTACCAACCTGGGATCTCGAGAGACGAAGCCATCCTTGAATTGCGAGAAGAAATAAAACTGGCAAAACCAAAAAGTAAACTTGGACTTTTTGCAGTCGATGTAAAAGGTGCTTTCGATAATGTATCTAGAAAAGAAATACTAAGAGAGATAAATAGCTGGTCACTCGAAGAGAAATGTAAAAAACTTATCAATAGCTACCTTGAAAATCGAGCAACTGAAATATCTTGGAATGGCATGAAAGGATGGAGGGAAGAAACAAATGGTATTCCTCAAGGTTCAACACTTGGTCCACTTCTTTACATTGTTGGCTCATCAAAAGCAATCAATAGTGTACTTGATGAATATCCAAATGTAAAAAGAGCAATCTACGCTGATGACATCACGTTTCTGGTCAATGCAACGAATCTCGATAGAATACAAAGTGTAGCCAATGAAGTTATAACAAAATTAGATCAAAAACTTCTTGATATTAACTTATCACTGGAAAAAACAAAGACACAATTCATAATGCTCAAAGGCTATAAAGCTAGTGGAGAACGAATTGAATTGAAAAAAATGAAAATCACTGAGTCCGAGTCTTTAACAGTTCTTGGATATACTTTTGGAAAGAAGAATCAGCCTGATTGGTATTGGAACAAAGTAAAAGAAAAAATAAGAGCAATTTCCGATGTTTTGAAAAATAACAGACGGAAGCTATTCTTTTTACCGATGAAGTGGAAAAAGCTGCTGATACAATCCCTTATATATCCATTAATAACAGGCCTACCGAAATCAACAATAAAAGACATGAAAATTGAAAGAATAAGAGATGGAACAGCAAAAATGACAGCAAATGGCATCAAAAAATTGTTACGAATACCACCAGGTACATCTTCGATAATGATGATCAAAGCGATTGGTCTTAATCCTCCATGGACAGAAATGATGAAGATTCTTCAAAGAAAATTAGATGTCGATCTCAAAGCAAAATCTGTGTTGTTAGATATTGTCGGAGCAACTGAAGAGCCTGGTAACTGGAATACTGTGATCGAAAACAAGAATGATGAATTTGATAATAAAATGAAATCAGGAATAGATTGGATCTTACAAGGAAAAAACATCAATGACATCATGAATACAAGTAAAAAATATTGTGTTAATTATCAAAAATTGAAAACACTTGTATTCATATCAGGTGGATATTTCTACTTGAAAGAGCAAGATGGTAAACTTGTTGACGAATGCTGGTGTAATGCTGGTAGAAGAACGCCGAGTCATTGGATCTTAGACTGTAACTTATTTGAAAATCAACGACAAGATGCTTTTGGTAAAAAATCTTTGGAATCAAATGAAATTTATTCATTGATCAACAGACTGATGAATGGTTATGATGTTAGCCATTTTGTGAATTTTATTAGTATCATTTATGAACAATTGATAAACATGAGTTATTCACAACTCTATCCATACGTGTGTTAATGACAAGCTTAAAACTGAAAGTAATCGCCTCATTCTGGTAAATCAACATAAATTATCCATAACAAAATTATGCGAATAATATTCACTGATAGACATCTTTGAGAATATAAAATACCATCAAAAGCAACGAGGAGAAAGCAAAAGAATTACTGGAAAAAAGCCAAGGGACAGCAATATCTTCATCCGAGTTTCAACGGCCCAAGCCACTCTTTAATGAAACAGTTGAAGATACCTTTTCTCGAAGCTAGACATGAAGAAATGGTAAAAGTAAAAAGCAATACAAACAAATCAGTGAAGCAAATAAAACGAAAGCAAACCAGTCTGGACGATATACAACGATTTATTACTTCAATTTTTTCTTACCTTACCCTTTATTTATATACAATGTACATTTATCTTTTTTCAATTTACATTTATAATTTATGTATTGGGATGACAACTACCGAAAGGTAGAGTGTAAATGTTACCAAGCGAAGCCTTGTTATCCCTGTGTGTAATCACACGAAATTAATAATTAATAAAGACTCGATTTTTTTATTATTAGAGTAATTCAAGGAACCACCTTTAATAAATTAAATGAAGATTAAAATAATTAGATCAGGTAAATCCCTTAATTAAAGGTAAAAAGTTTCCGACGAGCCGGAGTCGAACCAGCGACCTAAGGATCACTATTGAACATCTACAGTCCTCCGCTCTACCAACTGAGCTATCGTCGGATGATGATCGCTGATGCGCTTAATCCAAATTCAATCACATTACAATTTCACCGTCTTAAGAGTTCAATCTTTAGTTTATCAAAGCTTGGATTAGTTACCAATTAGACTTTACTAAATCTTGTTAAACCTGTGTTTAGATCGTTAGGTCATATTTTATTAAAATAGCTTTTTAATGGTCCATTCGATCCAGTCATGATAAGCTAATTGTTGTGTGTTTTTCTTGTTTCAATTAATCACTCCAAGGCTATGAAAATTATTGAAAGTACTTTATGTAACTCGTTAGGCTTTATTGGAATGTTGAATAATAAGACTTGAGTTTCGCTTTTTGCCATTCCTTTCAAACCAATTTAATCGCATGATTATATAATTGTTGAGCCTCTTGTTAAATTGTCGCTTCCAGGGAGGTTAATTAAATTGCACAATAATACTAAATTTGATTTAAACACGAATCAATCTTGTGATTGATTGATTTCAAGATCAACTTCAGCTAAGTTAAAAATATTATCTTATGAATATTAAATGCAAGGGCCAAAAATTTCACGCTAACCAATTTGGATTTATAGTGGATCAAATTGTTGGTGATCTGATGGTGAATAATCAATTGTTTGTTTACCTTGTAATTGTTGACTATTTTGTTTTCTTATTCTCTCAATTAATTGAGCAATTAAAGACAGTTATTTTCCCAACCTTGTTTCAAATGTTTACAATTGAAGTAATGAAATTATTTTTGGTTAATAGGCCTCAGTCAAGTTAATCAATTGATAGCTATACTTTACTCTATTCAACTTGGTTACATATTATGCGATGATACACTGTAATTGGGTAAATCAATTGATTGAGACTATCCAATTAAGATAAGTTGATTGAATGAAAGAAATAAAAAAAACACATTCAATGAAAATCAACTGTTGTTTTGTATCCACACAAAGGCAATGGTATTACAGGCAGGAATGGAAGTTAACCGGTAAAAATATTATACACTTCAACTGTAATTAGTTATCAATTTAATGTAACCAAATAATGAAAAGTTAAGTCAATTAATTGATCAGCTTACTGTAAATCACATGAACAAGAACAGTCAATCATTAAATAATGATAACAACAGTCGTTAATACACATTTTCAACGTTTAATCGGAAGTTAAATCCACCTCCAGGAGGCAAGAAAATTTTCCAACCCTTTAGTAATGGCTACCATTTAATGGAATCTTCGAGTGGCTTTGTTAGGCTTCAAATTATAACAAATTATAACTAAAAGAGGGATATGAAACCTTTCTATCCACTTATACTGATGATTAAGAAAATCATTTCTTATCTTTAGTTGATTCTTTAGCTTACTGTTTTGCTTCTTGCTTATCTGCTATCTGTTTGGTAGCTTCTCAAGCTTATCTGACATTTCTTAGCTTCTAGACTTCATGGATAAACTATTAGTAATGGTGATGATTAACATAGTCGCTTTTAGTTTGCTTTTGTTGATACTTTTGTTATCTTTCGTTTGATTATTCAGCAAGCTTGATTTTAAGATAAAACAGTGAGAATCTTAATAGATATGGAAAGGCGGGGAAAGGATTAGTTAACAAAAAGAGACTTGGTTTGCAGTTTGATCATCAGTTCACTAGAGTCCAACAACTTGATCACTTTACTCTGCAATTACTGACCTTTATAAAACACTGACTTACCAAATACTATTTATCAATTTTCATTGTGTCTCATTGTTCACTTGGACCCTCAATTAACCACCGTGACATTATTTTTCACTTATTGTGTTCAATATTACCAATTTACTTCCACCATGTTGACTTCATTTTTCTTCTTATCCCTTGTGATTCCAGTCTATTGGACTGTTTTCAAATACATTGAAGCTCGTCTTGCATGTAAAAAGTAAGTTCAATTTCCTTTATTTTACTATCATCAGCATGATGAACTTATATTTTCTTTTGATTATTACCTGTAGAACGTTTACTAATGATCATTTTGTTTATTTCCTCTGTTTCAGAAATGCGAAAATCTAGAACTGGTCTTTTGGACATAAATTTACTAATATTTAGACTTAACGTGTAATCATCAACATCACTAAAATGGAGGACCAACCTTGTCACCATTACAAATTTTTCTCATCAGCAACAACAATCATTGATATCATTTCATCCAATGGATATGTATCTTATTTTTCTGGATGGATTTTACTTGGATATTCACTACTATCAAAATGGAGGTGCAAAAAAGAATCCTTTATCAACCCTTTTTCTCGAGAACTCTCAACCCGTTGTGAAAGATCTATGAGATTTTGGTGTTGATCAGTTTGCTTACCAAATGTGATTAAATCGTCTACTGACAAAAATTTTAACTCGATCTGATTTGATCTCACCTGATGTTATTAATGCCAAGATGAATTTGCTGTTGCTGATGACGAATCTTCAATTTTTATTTATTACTTTTTTATTTCAATATCTTCCAACACTTTTTTAGCATTTTTGTTACTTTCTGGTTTATGATTAAGTGATGGAAATTATGTAAATTTTATAGAAACAATTACCACCTATGTATTAAACGTCAATTTATTATTAAAAAATTGATTCACTTGAAAATTTTGCTCTCAATTTGATCATTTTTACTGTCAAGTCCAATACTTTTTATCGCAAAACCACGAACAATACAATATCACACTCTGTCAAGAAAAGTTGAGACTCTGTTTTAAATGTTATAAAATAGACGTTTATTTTAATCGATAAATTTCATTCTGTTGACTCACAAAACGCAAAACATCGATCACAATATTGAATGAGTATAAAACACATTTAAGCAACGGTGATTGGGAAAGTGAAGCAAACCAAGGTTTGGTCTTCAGATTTGAGTTGGTAGGTCATTGATTTTGAGGAAACACTGGATTTACCAACGGTGAATGAACCTTTGTGGACATAGTATTCACCAGCTTGGAGTGGACAGTTTAATCCATTACCACAAGCTTGGGCAGTAGATGATTCCTGACCAACTTTGCTAACGGCTTGAACTGTGGCAGCATTGGATGGTGAAACAAATTCAAGTTGAACATTGACAGTTTGGCCAACAGATAAATCACAGCTGAAGCTTTCACATCCATCGATTAAAACAACTTGGGGTACGTTGACTGAGCCTTCTGTAAAATTGTAAAACATGTAATTAGTAATGAAGCTTTGGAAGGAAAATCAAAATAACGAAATTGAATTAACTCACCGCAAGGCTTGAAATCAACGATTCCAGCGAAAGAAGAGCCAACAAGGGCGAACAAGAAGATCATTGAAGTGTACATTTTGATATTGTTTAACTGGTTGTTGTGAGTGGACAAGTCACTTGATTCAATTTCAATTGTGTTGTTATATTATTTTTCAACTTGATCAATCTTTATATACTTTTGGTTAAGCCATGATTATTGATAAATCTACCTAAATCATTTCACTATGATCAGTCTATTAACCTAATCACCAGATAATGATCCTGAAAGTGATATTCATTGTTTCATCGACACGATTAGAAAGAAAAGGTAATTTTTTGTCTAGAAAGGGATTGATGTAACAATGGTTGAACAGATTTCATTGATTTATTTGATAATCTTACTTTTCTTCTCTGATTCTATGATCACCAGTTTCAGCTTCTCAAGGGCAATAATTTTTTCATGGTTAAAGTCCAACAATTAAGCAGGTTCAGGGTTTCAATACAACTGTTCAAAGATTAGTTGTTCATAGTTAATTCCATTGTCAAACAACCTTTGATTTTCACAGATTGATTTTTGTACTTGCATTGTGCTCACTGGTCTTAATTTGAAACCCAGAACAATGACTGAATGACTTTTAACCCCTTAACTTGGAAGTTATCAGAACGGTTCATTAAAGGATAAAATGGATAACTCCCTTTGTAAGATTATATCTTAATCTTTTCCATATACAGGCTAAGAAAAAATTAAACTTTGTTCATGAAATTGCTTCATTACATTGTTTGCTTCCGATGAATTTCATTTATTACAATTGAAACATCCAACTATGAGTAGAAAGATCTGGATGAACCTGATTTGAATTACCTTTATAACTATTTGCTGTGTTTAACTTAAGATGAAAAACTTATGTATCAGTATTAGCTAATTTTAGCTAATTAGCGTTAGAATATAATTGGAAATTTTTAGACAATTAACTCAAAAAAGGTCAAAAGATATGTGGTTATCTAAAAGTAATGAATAGCATTGAAAGTCTAAGCAAAAGTCTGGATTTATTATGCTACAGAGTTTTATAATGTGTCCATTTGAAGTGAATTTTACTCATGAAAACGACTAATGATGTCCAAAACTGTGATGGGCAACATTTATTGTTTGGTCATTTGTATAATGTCTTTCGTAACCTCCAACAATTTTAATGTAACTTTATCTTTAAGGTTACTTTGATATACAAAGAAACTACTGTTTATGATGAACATTGATGATTCATTATACCCACTTTCAAAGACTGTTTCCTGCCTGATGATTGATGATAGCAGAAGATTTTAAATGATTTGATTGGAAAATGTCAAAGTTGCCTTTGGTACTATTTTGCACTCTATTGTGATCACTGATCACCAAGAGTCATCATCTTGATTTACAGTTTTGTCCAAAATTCAAAATGAGTCAATATGTAATATAGCTGTCAAATGAACAAGATAAGTTATATAATTTGGCGATAAAAGTCGTTTCAATTCATTTTTTATAAAATTGAAACGATATTGTTGATATGATATGATTAATTTGATATGAATTCGGTGATTGGGTGATCTGATTCTGGTCTTAATCTGATTATCTAGTCGATAAAATTGTTATTTATAAGAGAGATTGCTAATTGATTTGCTAGTTCATGTTCAACACTCGAGAAGTATCGAGAAACTTTTTACGAAAATATTGACTCTCAAGTCAAGAGTTGAGACTGTGTTGGTGGTTTTGTAGGACTTGAAAATGGAGTTCATTTATCCAGTTAGCAAATCGACGTAATCAACAGCTTTTACAAATCGCGTTCTAAGTTCAAAGCTCGACTGACAACAAACTGCTTTTGTTTCAGGTATGAGTGGATAGTTCTTGTTAACATATTTGTCTGTGATTATAAATGATCTAATAGAAGATGAACTTTCATTGAAATTCTCTGTTACCATACAGCAACAGCGCTTCGATTTATGGACAAAGTTTCCAATTCACCGATAATTCTTATGTGTTTGTAATTTGCGTCAAGTTGGGTTGCTTTAACATAATCCACACTCTTTTCTTATATTTGTGATTCACAAAAAAGTTCGTAACTTTGATGGCTGATTTGCATATTTGATCAAAAGATGAGAAGCAAGACGGTGTTTCAGTTTAATTTACTTTTAATGAGACAAACTACCACCCGAGAATTCAATTCTAGGCTGTGGCTCTACAAAATCAAGCCAATCTGAAGGATGTATGGGCAGCAAACCCATAGATTGACATTTATAAAGAGCCAAAGCAAGACAGAGTAAATTTCCCAATAGATAGACGAATTTTTGAAAAAGCGATTGATTTCCTTCAATAAGCTTGAATGCTGAAAATAAATGGTAATAAAATAAAAAAGGTTAATAAGCTTATTTTAGCTAGTTTTGGTTTTTCTGTTAAAAAAGTTGATTACTAACTTGCATTAATTTGTAAAAGAGCTTTCACTGGTTTCAGGAAAAGCATACCAATCATCATGATTGGAAAAATTGAGATAGAGTTACCAGCCATATACATGATGAAGAGATTCATAGGAAGCTGACGAATTGGTCCCGATGCGATTTCCCATGATTTCTATGGACAAAAATTATGAAATATGAATTAAAAAGTAATAGTAAGTTATTCATTTCATTGCAATAAAATACCTTGACAATAAGATTAACATCGCTTGGCTCTACAACTGGTACATTGAATTGGGCATTGGTCACATAACCAGGAGGTGATCCTAGTTCAGCTTTATCACTTTTAACTCTATCAAAGATATAACAGTTAAATTAGTTTTCAGAGTTATGTCAAACAGAATAAACGAGATATTACCTGGAATTGAAATTGAGAGCAAACTTGTGCTTCTTTATACTGAATTGGCCATTTGTACCATGTCTGACTTGAGAAGAATTGGTTGCACTCATTCTGAATAACAAAAAATACTAAAATTTGATATATAAATAAAACACCGGAACACAAGAATTAAGTATTAAGGAATATTTCCACAGTTAAAACAAAATTAATTAACTAAACTATCAGTGATGGATTACAGGTTTAGATAAATTCATTTAAAAAACATCTGATCAAGTTAATTATTTACTCTCAACAGATGGAGTTTGAGAGGAAGAATAGCTCCAAATTTGAACATTGAATATTGTACTTTTTAAACAGTATTAATAGAAGACTATTTATTTTAGTTAATTGACGACTAATTTACAAGCAATCAAACAAATGTAGTGCTTAAATTGAAAGTTGTCATTCTTTTTTCGTATTAGACGCTTTGAAAGATTCCTGTAATCTTAACTACATTTCAGATCCGTTCAGCAAAAATTTCCAATACCATTCAATTTAAATGATAATTTTTGTTTTCCAATTTCCCATAAATGACAGGGAAATATACATAGTAACAACAAATCTTCAGCAATTTACAATCATTATTAATAACACTATTGACAGCTAAAGGAACAACAAACCATATTTTTAGATTGTTTTTATTCAATGTCAAAACCAAATTCAAGAGTTCCATCAGGCCTGAAGGATTGAACATTTTCAGTCTGAGTTAGATTTATTTTGATTTTAAAAGCATTGATTGTACATCAGTCTTTTGATCAACAACTTAGATCAAGATCTAACAAGTGAATATCTGAGTAGGTTAATAGAAATCTAATTAACCATATTAAGGAAAGTTTAATATTGAACCTTGGACATTTTAATCTAATCAGTGTCTGGGAAAATGAAAGTGTAATTGTACCGAAAACTGAAGATCAACAAACTACAACAGCAAAACTAACACAAAATAAGTCATAAATTGTAAATTGTTTTGTGGATATTATTTAAATTACGAGCTTTAAGGAAGCGAATTAAAAATGTAGATCAATTGTTATCACCTTGTGATTTACATTGGTGGCGTTTTATTTAGGAATCAAGGAAATTTCTCATATTTTTGCTCAGATCAACGTTGGTTAAGATAATTCTCATTTACTCAATTAATACTAATTAATTTATATTTGTAATTAAATACCGAACTTTTGTTTACAATTCAATAGATTACGATGTTTAATAAGCAAACCGAGTCACATCAGAGACAATTTTCCTGGTCTTTAACTGTGTTATATCTTGAAATCGCATTAAAAGTGTAGATAATAAAATAGTAAAAATGAAAACCATTAAAAATCTAACCAAATTGTTATTCAACAATTTACGGTTGACGTTGATCATATTTTGAATTGATATTTCAAAGGTAATTTCATTTCAACTTAAGATCTTTGTTTTCCCATTAATTTTCATGAAGGTTGAGACAAATACAAACTCTTGTTTTTAATTCATTCAATTTATTTGTTTGCTATTTAATAATGTTGGAGTGATAATTATGAGATGATAATTTTCAAATAACATTGTTCAGCGAATAGTTTCCATCAGTCAAACTCGCCATGATTTTCAAGTACAGTAGTTGATTAATATCTGAACAGTTATGTAGATTGATAATCCTAAAGTCGAGTCAAACAATTGTAAAACAGAAAATATATCCTGGATATGGAAATGCTGTTCCATTCAGATTACAAATGAAATAACAAGCCATCTTGTTCAGAAAAGTATTTCAATTCTAACTCGTTTGCTTATAAATTAATTACTAATTGAAATGATATAAAATTTTAAATAAAAAAGCGCAGTTAAAAATTCAGGAAATCATCAATATGGAATAGGGAAAATTGTTAAATTGAAAATCTGATGTAATGTTGTTGCTCATCTTTTCCTCATTTCTGTGGAAGTAAACATGCCACAGATTCGTCAGCTTTGTTTGGATATCATTGAATAATCACATGGATAGTAAACGGATGGAGATGAAACAGCAAGTACTTAGATTGTGGTCATTATTATATTTATCTTGATTAGCATCAATGAAGCTGATCAGAGATGTTGATCAAGATCATAAAGAAAACCTAAACCTTTCCCTCTTCCCTTTTTTTCAACCATCTAGTCTTACCCTCTTTTTCTCCTTTTTTCTGCTTCTCTCCATTCTCCCTTCTTATTTTCTTACTCTCTTCCTCATGATAGTTACCACCTCTTACTCACTCATTCACTCAGATCTTCCTTCTCTCTGAGTGCTAATCAAATACACTACTGACTTACCGATATATTTTCAGTACTGAACCTGTCTTCGTGAAATCTGTTTGTTCTCAAAATAACCTCAGTTATACAATCGATCCTACAGTTCCATCAGCTTTGTTTAGCAAAAAAAAGTGAGATTAAGTCAACAAACTTATACTCTCGTCAATTCAGCGGATTTTTATTGTTTAGTTAAATTAATATCGATGTCTTCTCAATCTACCAACTGTGTTACCAATGGTGGACCCAAGATTAACGGGCCATCCACACTACCACCAATTACATCAACTATAACAACAAATGGTCATGTTCATCCCAATCTCCAGCAACATTCACAACGAACAAATGATGTAGGTATTTTGGCTCTCGAAATGTACTTCCCTTCCGTCTACGTTGATCAAACTGAATTGGAAAAATACGATGGTGTATCTGAGGGTAAATACACTATTGGTTTGGGTCAAACTCGGATGGGCTTTTGTTCAGATCGAGAGGATATTCAATCTCTCTGTTTAACAGTTACCCATCGATTATTTGAGAAAACGGGTGTTTCTCCTAAAGATATTGGTTTTCTCATGGTGGGTACCGAAACATTAGTTGACAAATCTAAATCTGTGAAATCCGTTTTGATGCAACTTTTCGAGGAATCAGGTAATGGGGATGTTGAAGGTGTTGATACAACAAATGCATGTTATGGAGGAACAGCAGCGCTTTTTGCAGCAGTCAATTGGATTGAATCAAGCTCCTGGGATGGAAGATATGCTCTCGTAGTCGCCGGTGATATAGCCATCTATGCATCCGGTAGTGCTCGTCCCACTGGTGGAGCAGGTGCTGTAGCTATGCTCGTAGGACCTAATGCGCCATTATCTTTTGTTCGAGGAGCACGAGCTACTCACATGGCGCATACCTACGATTTCTACAAGCCTCATATGGATTCCGAGTATCCGGTTGTTGAAGGTAAACAATCTATAATTTGTTACACGCAAGCAGTTGACCGTTGTTATCAACTATTTACCTCTAAGTATGAGAATGTCTTGCGTAAAGAGGCTGCTTCTGCTAATGCTGTTGTTGCTGGTCAGGTTAAAAGTGTCAATGGTGGCCTTAATGGTGATGTTAAAAGTCCTAAATTGATTGACAGCAAACTTGATGTTAAGATGAGACTTCAAGATTTTGATGGTCTTCTATTCCATTCGCCTTACTGTAAATTGGTTCAAAAATCGGTTGCTCGTTTATCATTGAATGAATTTCTTCGTGAAGACAATCCTGACTATGATGGATACCATAAAGGATGTGAAAAATTTCGCAAAATAAAATTGGAAGAAACTTATTTCGATAGAGATTTAGAGAAACATTTCATCTCTCAATCTTCCGAACTGTTTAAGCAGAAAACTCAATCATCATTGTTATTAGCAACCCAAGTTGGTAACATGTACACTGCTTCACTCTATTCTTGCCTTGTTTCTTATTTCCTCAGGTAATGAGACTTTTTATCTCTTCTTCTTCTTCTTCTCCTCTTTATCTTTCTCTTTCTTTCCTTGCATGATAAAACAGGCCCCTTTCCCGTCTCTTATACTCTTTATCATGTCCTTAACATCTTGATGACCTTGCTCATCATCAACATGATTTTTGCTCACGGCTGACCCATGAACCGTCTTCCTTCTTTATCTTCCTTTTTTCTATCATCTCAAAACACACTTGACAAGAAAAAAATGGGTGAAATGCCAAAAGATGCATTCAAAAATCCATTTTTGGAATCTCTCTTGCTTCCTTGTTTCTTTATTCCTATGCCTTTCGGCTCAAATAACAATTTATAATTAGCATTACCATTATATTGAAGTAAATCAATTCTTATTGAATTTTCACTTTTTTCATTTCAATAGCAAACCTTTGGAAGATATCGCTGGTAAAAGAATACTATTATTCTCGTACGGATCCGGAATGGCTGCTTCAATGTTTTGTTTACAAATTTCACCTGACGTGTCAACAAATTCACCATTGGAAAGACTTTATAACGGAATCAAAGATGTATCAGTACAACTGAAACGCCGAAATAAGATAGCACCTGCATCATTCGTTGAAACTCTTAAACTTAGAGAGGAGACTCACCACTTGTGCCCTTATACACCTAAAGGCCCCATTGATAACCTTTTCCCCGGAACTTACTATCTTGATAAAATTGATAATTTGTTCAGAAGAGAATATAAAAGGGTACCAGTTTCATCATGCATTGATAAAGATTTGTCACCAACAAACTCAACATCTTCATCTACAACACAATCACCGGCATCACCAATATCTTAGTTTTTGCAACTTGAACAAAAATCAACAAACACGACAAATTTTTGCCAAAATCATGTTAATCAGATTTTTATTTATATATAATAATTGGTTACATTATTATACGATGTGCGTGTTTGATGACCTTTCAATACAAAACAAACTCGTAATCAATTATATGGTGCAAAAAAATGCAGAGAAACATTTAGAGAAACAATATTTTGTTATGCGACCAGTTATTGTTAACGTTTTTTCAACTCTCGAGAAATTTAGTGAATACTTTGCACTGAATTTGCTAGTTTGATATAAATTAATTGTTGTTAATATAAAATTAATATTGAAAAATATAAAATGAAAAAAATGTAACAATTTTTTCCACAATCTGAGACTCCGTTTAATATTTTCCTTTTTAATTTCTTAGCGTGACTGAATGAATTGTTTTCATGTATCAATTCTGAAAATCAAATCTAAACTCTAATCTAACTCGAATCAACCAACAATCAAAATTAAACCAAGTTGCCAATTAAATTGTTTATGAAACTTAGATAATATTTTTATTTATATTAATAAACAGGCCAGCGTTTCTTATATCTGTATACTTTTATTTGAGTAATAACTAGTTAATTGAGTGCCCAACGGTCTTTAATTTGACTAAATTTTTTATACTAATTAATGTGCTTTACCCCGGTGACCCAAATAATTTAAGAAAATCAAAGCTGACAGGGTTAAGTAAGAAATAGATGAAGTTAGGTATAAATGATGAATACATAACCTCATCTTTCTCCCACTGCCTCATTACTCAGTTGCCCTGTCCCTATTCAAGTTTAATTTAAGAAATTGCTTAAAACAGTTTCATTCCAAAACTGGATTAACTTGATGGTTTAGTTTTCTGTTGACTGTTGTCTCTTGCCCTTTAACAGATAAACATAAAATGGAGCGAAAGGTAACCAGTTTTGGGATTTTAATTCTCATTTTATTCCAAATCAGAACATTAAAGTAACTGTTAGCAACAGCTACAACATCATGCTAATTGAAAGCTCATCTGTACAATTAACACACTTGTAGTAACGAGTTGAAGAAAAAAATTTTCAATTGATTTAACTTGACCTTAGCTTTTGACTATTAAGGATGGTTTATATTCATCTATTCCGATTCGAGGTTAGACACTTTCTCTTAGCACATCAGTGTAGAACTTGAGCTTACTCCTCACCGACATATCAATGTAATGTTCTCCTCCAAAATCAACAACGACACCACCGATAATGGAAGGATCGACCTTAGTTGCGATGGTAAGCTTTTTTGAGGTGAATTTCTTCAAGATGGCCTCTAATTCTTGTTTCATCTTCTGATCAGTCAATGGTTTAGCAGTGATGATGGTACAGTCAAGCTCTCCGCGAATAAAAGCCATAATTTTAGCAAAATTACCAGCTACCAGAGGCAAATACTTGAGTTTGTTAGTTTCAGCCATGATAGCGACCATATTATTAGTTAAATCACAAGTCTTGAACTTTTCGGGTAATACTTTGCTCAAAATCTCTTTCTTGACAGATGACTTGATCAACGGGTTAATCATGAAATCTCGGAATTTAGCATCTTTTTGATAGGCATCCTTCAATTTGTTCAAATCCTGTGAAACAGCATCAATCTTCTGTGTTTTGGAAGCAGCTGAGTAAAGGGCATTCGTATATTTACCATCAACTCCAAAAAAACCAATTGGTGGTCTAATCATAGCAGAAGTAGCAACAGAAGCATAACCACGGGTTAAGTTGACGAACATGTTGACTAATTAACAATTTAATAAAATGCAAATACACCGAAAAATATCTGACCAAAAAATAAATTAAGGATAAAATCCAGAGAACAAATCAAGGACAGAATAAAATGAATTTTTCAATCATAAGGTTTTCATGGTAACAACTATAGAAGTTAAAAGCCGCATTTTTTCAAATCTCACTCAAAGTGAACTTCAAGTTACCCGGTTTTTTATACAAAGTAACATACAGGACAACAGATGGAGTAAATAGTAAGAGTAAGAGTATTTCATTTTAACCAAGAGATTGCACGAGAATAGGATTCAGTGTTATAATTTTTTTAATATTACTTGACCCCGAGGGCGACATTAGTTGGACAATTAGTGAATAGATTGACCATCAAGTTAAATGGTTAATTATGATTGTCTTGCTATTGAACTCTCTCACCTGTGGAGACCTCGCAGTTTGAAAATGTAACTAACTTTTCAGTGAATCAGTGTCGTGCTACTCTCTCTCTCTTCTCTCCTTCCACCATTGATTTCAACGCTAAATTTCTCCCAACAGTCTCCATTTTTGTTACCCCTCCACTTTTTCCCCCGTCTCTCTCACTTTTGTTTACTGAATTCTGAATGGTAATCGATTTAACAATCGGTTTATCTTTAAATTAATTTATCAATTTTATTTAATCGGTTTTTCTTCCATCACACCATGGCTGCGGCTCCTGAAGCTTCAGCCTCAATACCACCTATGTCGGCTCAAGCCTTCTGTCTTCGTCGAAACAATCATTCAACTGACATGTCAGAACACTTTGAGAGAATGTTTAAGGAGGAATCAATGGTAGATGTTACACTCTCTTGTGGTGATGGTAGTATTAGAGCCCATAAAATGGTTCTTAGCGCGTGTTCATCATATTTCAAGAATATCTTCAGCAAATTCATTAACCCATACCAATATCCAGTTGTTATTATGAAAGACATGCCATTTGCCGATTTACGCGCCATCGTTGAATTTATTTATCGAGGAGAAGTTTTTGTACCGCAAGAACAATTAGCATCCGTTTTGAAAAGCGCCGAAAGCCTTAAAGTTAAAGGATTATCGGAAGTTAATGCAACAAAAAGTCTGGTACCGCATGAGGGTGGGGAAACTGCAGCGCAAACAAGCCGTGGTGGTAGGAAAGGACGCAAATCCAATACAACCAGTTCTGATGGATCGCCTTCTAATTTCGCTTTTCAAGGAGTTCAAAGGTTTCAATGTCATATATGCCATCAAGGTTTCACCGCAAAACGTAATCTCCAGCGACACATGCAGATCCATTCTTACTACCGTAATAAATTTGAGTGTGATTTATGTGGTAAAAAATTCTCGTGGAAGCATGGACTTAACAGTCACAAAGAGAAGACACACAATATCAATGTATGACATTAAACGTATTCAATTATATCTTTCACCATGAATGAGCCAATCAACCATATAAACCTCTCACTGACGTAAAATATATATATACATTCACAACTCATACCATGTCTCACTCAATTTGGACAATAAAAAACATGAAAAATTCACAAAGTTTTTGATTACTGAGCTTCAAGGCTCAAAGATTTATATTTTCAACTTACAAAACTGTGAAAGAGATGAGAGACGAATAAGGATCTAGACCAGCTTCAAGAGGAACCATTTTGATTACTAATACATCAAGGAGAGATAACCAGTTAATTTAATTTATAAATTTCAACCATTATGCATTATTGCTTTTTTAATCCCAATATGATCAAAACTAGACAAACTAATTCTTGATTACTTCATTTCAAAGATGTCATTTTATTCAGTGATTGAAATTTTGTTGCATCAATTATTGTTTAACTTTGTTTCTTTCTTTTTTATCCTGTTAATTACAATGACTTCTTAAACTAGTTTTGTTCATAAAAAAATTCGGTTAAACCTTGACTATTTTATTCATCGGCATGATAAGCATAAGTTTTCATTCGATTAACCATTGATCGATGTCGTTTTTGTTTCAATCTTTCTTGTGCAGCTTTTTCATATCTTGCTCTTCTCATCTCTAATGTGATCGGGTCCACAGGAACGGGAAGAGATTCTTCAGCTTCTGTAATATAAACTCTTAATTTATCCAGACAATCAGCTAAATTGAGAGCACTGGTTCTTGTTTTCTCTGATCTTATTATCCATTCGCCTTCTTTGTTTATTGTATTTTTGTGCTAAGATGATAGTGAGAAACAAACAAAAATAATAAAATTAATCGTCAAATCATTTGAAAAGAGTAATTTCAAAAATGCAAGTACATTATCGAAAACTCTTGATATTTTAATACTTTGTAAACTTACCAGTAATGCTAATTTTTCTCTAACTGGATTCGGAATCCAATCTGCTTCAGATAATTTAAATGATATGGTAACTTTGGTATTCTTTTTATTAACATTCTGTCCACCTGGTTTACTCGCTCTCACTCTTGTTATTGTCAGCTTATCCATGGGAATATAACCAGTAAATTTTTCAGACAGCTTAGGTGCCTAAAACATAAAACATTAATATAAATTAATGTAAATATTATCAGTGTTTACATCGACGAAACATACCTCGACATTTTTAAGACTATTTAAATCGCTTTTTGGATAAATTTTATCCAAACTATAAACACTTCTGAATTCGGGCACATCATGTAGACTTCTGACCTTCAGATTAATCTTTGGACACCGAACTGCAATCTGCTGGAAACGAAACAAAGATGCAGCACAATTTATTAAATTGCTAGTAGACATCTTAAAATCGTAAAAATTTAATAAACGTGTTAGTAAACAATCATAAACAATCACAAATTATAGTTTAATGTTTTTGAAACAATATATGCTGCATCGCCATCTTATGGAAGTCTCCCTAACCATTATACTAATCAAGAGATTTAAATAGACCGCTTTTATCTGTCTTTTTGGTTCTCATTGGCTTTGTAAACAGCTTTTCATAAACAAATTTACTCCTTCAAGCTTATCAGTTCTTAGGCCTACATTTGTCAAACTTGTTCTTGTCAACCGTACGATTGTTTATTATTTTTGGTCTTAGTTTTAATCCATAAATCATCGTTTATCAACATGGGCAAAGGTTACACTAATTTCATGTGTAAAAAGCCATTTCATCCTGGATCCCGTGACAACATTAGGAGGGTAAGTAATATTATGTTTTGAATTTGCACTCATAATCAATCGATCTTTTCAATCGAATATCTTATGACATTTCAATTTTTCTTTAATTCATTTAGGTTTGGATTGCTGAACAAAAGAAGAAATTTGAGTTGGAAAAACAAAAGGAACTACAAACCTTGTACGATAAAGAGCAAGAAGCTCATAAAAACAGAAAACTTCTGAACAAAGATGACCCTAAGATGGAATTGAGCTTTATGTACAATGCCCCACCTGGAAGCAGCAAAAAAGAAGAAGACGGACCAGAATTTAAATTTAAATGGCAAAGGAATGCACCTCGTGAAAGTTTCTCCAAAGGTAACCAATCCATTACTGATAAACCTTTCGGAATCTCTGTTCGAAATGTCAAATGTATAAAATGTCATCAATGGGGTCATGTCAACACTGACAAAGAATGTCCAGCAGCAGCTGATAAATACAACATATTCCGCAAATGAAATTAATCATACAAAAAATTTTGCAATCAAAAATGACCTCAAATCTTCAATTTAAATTAAAGAAATTTGTGTTCTCAATTATCGTTTCATAACCATTAGTGGCCAATTTATTGCTCCTCATATTTGCCTAATTATCCATTTTATTATGTTACGTTACAAGGATTGTTTCAGAGTAAGAAATCACAACTCTTGTAAACAAGATCACAATGGACAATCTCAAATTTGGCAAAAAGACAACTTTGATCAGATCTGGTGAAACTGAAAAATTTTAAGGAATAATAACAATTAGTTCAAATGAACTTGGAAATGGATATCAATCATTCTAATCGTGAGATAGCAATTTTTGCAGATTAAATCGGCGGAATCATTATGAAAATATAAATGAACGTCATCCTAAACGAACTTTAATTTTACTCGGTACACAAAGACTTCATAATAGCTCAGCAAATACAGCTACTCATTGGAAGTGCTCGCGAAATAGCCAAAAGTTGACTATCGATAGGACTGATTGTAAAAGACTGTTTAGAGTCTGTGTGAAAATTTTGTTTATGTTGTTTTTGTTATTTAAATTGCAATTAATTCCATTCTGATAATTTAGCTGATCTCAGTTGTACTTTACCAAAGTGTATTCAGTTTATCACGATTAATATTTACGATTGAATCTCAAAATCTCGATTCAAGCTGTTGTCATGGTAAGTTTATCATTTATTTCAGCTCTTTTTGCAGAGCTCTTAGTGTTTTATTGATTTTATTTTAATTTGATTCAACATTTTAACTTTCTTTGCAGTTTAATACTGCCTATATGATTCCTGCTATCAACTGATTTGTTTTGGAATCATGAAGTTTTTGTTCTCAGCTTTTTTCAAGCTGATTTCTTGGTCGATCATTTGCCTGCTGATTCTGCTTCTTAATCTATTCCTTTTGCATTTCACTTCAATTTATCCATGTGATTGGCCGTGTCCTGACTGTAAAGATGATAAATGGCTTCGAGTCATGATTCTCACTGACGTTCATCTTTTGGGAAAACGAAAGGGACACCCAGTTGATCAATTTGTTCGTGAATGGGAAATGTCAATTGCATTTCAAACCGCTGTAAAATTACGTCAACCTGAGATGGTCATCTTTCTGGGAGATTTATTGGACGAGGGACTCACAGTTGATCAAGACGACTTCAACAAATATGTTGAACGTTTTAAAAGAACATTTCCAATGACCGAAGAAACTAAAAAAATTTTCATTGTTGGCAATCATGATATTGGATTTCATGATCGTGTCGCTTATTATCCATATTTACGTAAAAGATGGGAAAAAGCCTTCAACTCAAGCCTAGCTGATATCACGACTGTTAAAGGTATCAAATTTATTACAATAAACAGCATGGCTATCGAAGGTGATGGGTTTGATCTAGTCCAAGAAACTAAAGAAAATTTGCTCCGTGTTGAAGATAGTCTCAAGAAGAGTGATTTACCTGGAAGACCAATCATATTACAACATTTCCCACTTTACCGAAAAAATGACGATATTTGTCATGAAATTGATTCTCAAAAGGGGAAGGACAGATTTCATGAATTTAATCCTGGTCTTGAGTGTCTATCACCTAAAGTTTCGGAAATGCTTTTGAATAAATTCAAACCTCGCTTAATCTTTAATGGCCATATTCATTCTGGATGTGTTGTAAATCACACAAAATATGATGCTGAAGAGTGGACCGTAGCTTCATTCAGTTGGAGAAACAGACAGGATCCTAACTTCCTGCTTCTTTCTATTTCTCCAGATGCTTATGCTATTAGAAAATGTTTTTTACCAAGTGAAATCAACATAGTATTAACATCTCTCATCTGCCTTATCTTTTTTTACTTTTCTTCAAAATTTAGGAACTATTTCATGAATTCAATTTCATCGCAACAAGAAACAAAAGTTCAACCAAAATCTGGAAGTAGCATTGAAAAGTTAACTAAAATCAAGAAGTCTAAATGATATCCATTAATGAATATATTAAATGAGACTATGAATAAATCTAATGCAACTTGTATGTCATTTATGAGGCTGTCTCGAGTTTCATAAGACGTTTTGAATATTGACAGTTACCATCGTCAATATCAAATGTAGTATCTTATTAAATCTATCATGAAAAATTACTTGATAAAATTCACCCTTTTACGTGAAATTGAAGAATGGGATGTAGGATCAAGCCAATAAAATGATAAAAATCGCAATTGAAGATCTAAAATCGAAGTTAAAAAATGTTATAATTTAATATGTAAAGATAAAATAAAATTTTACAGAGTAAAAATTTAATATTGTACAGACTCCTTTTAACAACAATCTATATCTATAAAATGTACAATATAAATTAAATGCATCAAATTTTTTAGCCAAGATTGTTCGAAATGTCAAATGTATAAAATGTCATCAATGGGGTCATGTCAACACTGACAAAGAATGTCCAGCAGCAGCTGATAAATACAACATATTCCGCAAATGAAATGAATCATACAAAAAAATTTTGCAATCAAAAATGACCTCAAATCTTCAACTTAAATTAAAGCAATTTGTGTTCTCAATCATCGTTTCATAACCATTAGTGGTCAACTTATTGCTCCTCATATTTGCCTAATTATCCATTTTATTATGTTACGTTACAAGGATTGTTTCAGAGTAAGAAATCACAACTCTTGTAAACAAGATCACGATGGACAATCTCAAATTTGGCAAAAAGACAACTTTGATCAGATCTGGTGAAACTGAAAAATTTTAAGGAATAATAACAATTAGTTCAAATGAACTGACGATTTATTTTTAACAATTCCAGAATTTTCTGATTAAACAGCGCCATCTTATGAGCTTTATAAGTAAATGCATGAAGAGATTTTGTTCAGTCTAGAGATGGGCGATTCTCGATTAATCAAGTAATCGATATTTTTAGCGATTAGCGCAAGGGAATCGATTATATCGATTCTTAATTAAGGTAGGAAAATATTAAATCTTGAAGCGTTCAAGCAACTTTTCCAAGTTTGAGGCTTCTTCTTTACATCAATAAAGTACAAATTAGTCTTTTGCACAGCACTAAAATCACTGGAAGAGTCAAGTATTTTAATTCTGAGTTGTTAAAGTTATGCCGATTTCCCTTTTAATTTTTTCTACAAACATGGAATCGCAAAATTCGTGCGTTTTTAGCTCATGTGAAGCTTATCGATTCTCGCAAGAACTAATCGATGCTCATTTTCTGAAAAAGAATCGATCCGTATCGATGTAATCGAGGTAATCGCCCATCTCTAGTTCAGTCAATAAGGTTACGTAAAAGTGTGCACTACAATTGCTATTCATCAAGGTGACCCAATACATTTCTTTTTTTTGTGTTGTTTGTAAATTAAATTTGATTTTCTAATTGTATTTTGGTAAGTGTTTATTATTTTTTTGACCGATTATTCGTTAAAATAATACATTTAAATAATAAAGTGAGATAATTCTTTTCCCTTTATCTTGTTGTGTAGTTATAAAATGGCACGACGAGGAAGAAGCGCATCTCCAGGAAGATCCTCACCAATGGGTCGAAGAAGTACTCCAATGGCTGCTCCCCCTCAAAGAGCACCAGTTCCTGCTGCTCCAGCACCAGCTCAGGTTGGAATGCCTATGCAACAAGGTCCTGGTCTTATGGCTCAAATGGCTGCCACTGCTGGTGGAGTAGCTATTGGTTCTGCTGTTGGTCATACCGTAGGCCATGCTCTCACAGGTGCATTCTCCGGTGGAAATGATGTTGCCCCAGCTCAAGAAGCTGCTCCTCAACAACAATACCAACCAGCACAGCAACAACAACAACAAACACCTTGTTCATTGGAGCTCCGACAATTCCTCAACTGTACTCAGGAGCAATCAGACATTTCCTTGTGTGAAGGTTTTAACCAAGTTCTCAAGGACTGTCGTATGCGATATGGCTCTCAACCCAACTATCAGTAGTTTGGACCTTTATTTGATCTAATCTTGTTAATCAAATTAGCATAGTAAAAGAATTTATTTAAACACTGCAATCCTATTATTTCTTGTTAGTCTTTCTAAAACATTAAATGCGTCGTAATTTTTTAGCTATTACATCAATTTTGCACCAATTTTTTCATTGAAACACCTCATTAAGTACAAGTACATTGTTAAAAGCAAAATCGTGTGGTTTACATGGTGAAACTCAAGTAAGAATATTGATGATTCCAATTAAAGGCTTGCTTGTTTATGTTTTTGGTCGCACGTGTTCACTAAAACTTTAATTTAGGCTTATTATTCAGTATGGACAAGCATTTTTGATTGAAACTCATTAACTGTTGATGTTGTATATTTTCTTGTTTAACTAATGTTTCACCATTTTCTTTAACTTTCCAATTCTATCATGATGCAATCATTGGAAGATATTTCTGCAACAATCATTGTGATCATGTCTCATGAAAATCAGTTGGAGTATTCATTCATATCGTATCATGAATGAATGTACTATTGCATTGTGATTCGATAATAAATCAAAATGTATTTCATAAAAATATTTTTGTCGCGTTTTGTCTCAACCACATAAAATTACAATCATAGTTTTATCTGGAATTTTCTAACTATTCAATTTTGTAAAGCTATCTTTCTATAATTTAGTCATGGTCTTGTTTATTTAGAAAAACAAAAGGAATTACAAACCTTGTACACAAAGAAACGAGAAGCTCATAAAACAGAAGATTTCTTAACAAAGATGATACAAAGATGACATTGAGCTTTATGTACAATGGTCCACCTGGAAGCAGCAAATAACCGGAATTTAAATGGCAAAGGAATATACTTCGTGAGAGTTTCTCCAAAAGGGATCAATCAATTACTGATAAACCTTATGGAATTTCTGTTCGAAATGTCAAATGTCAATTGGGTTGTGTCAACACTGACAAAGAATGTCCAACAACAGCTGATAAATACAACATATCGCAAATAGAAAGGATCGTACAAAATAATGTAATCAAAAATGGCCATATATCTTCAATCTAAATTAAAGTAATTTTTGTTCTCAATTATTGTTTCATATCCATTAGTGGTCAACTTATTGCTCCTCCTATCCCTTTGTTTAACTATCCATTACGCTATTTAAATCGCAACATTTTGTTTTAGCTTGAAAGAAGCTGATGACGGCTCAAGCAATCACTAATTGTAAAGCAAGAAATGGTTACATCAATTACATTTTAAGTACTTTACCAGATAGATGAGCCAAACCTACTTTGTGAGCTAATTTCATCCGTTCGTCCTGTTTGGGTTGTAACGCGAAATGGGAGAAAATTAAAGGGAGAAGATTCTCTCACAATCTACCCATAAAAGACCAGGTTTTTTGGTTAAATCTGGTTAACGAATGCAACGGGAGAACCCTGTTGGACTTTATACTGAATGCTCTTTCCCCATTTTTTTGTAAAACCAAAATAAACCTAAAAGTTACTATTGAAAAATTGTTTCATTAGTAATGAATCATTACAATGAAAATAATATTTCGGTCCAGCTATCTTGTAGTTGTTTAGAAAGGAGATAATCTCCATTAATCATCTTATCATAAAGATAAGCTACTCATCGGTTACTTTGAGACTTAAAACAAAAACAAAATAAACTTACAAACTGAACAAAAGAAAGAGAAATGTAAGAGAAAATAAGAGTAAAAATTGTGTCAAAGAAAGACAAAAAACAGCGCCACACAGCGTACATTCAATGATATTAACATCTTTTAAACGCAAGCTCATTGGTTTACACTAGTTTGCACTAGTCTGATGTATTGAGTTGCTAATATTTTGAGTAAACCTGACAGAAAACAACATTCAATTCATTTAAAAGTGCTTTGTCGTCTTTGTGTTTTTATTGTTTGTTAGTCTCATTTGTGGTGGTTGATTTATTGATTCTGATGGTTTTTCTGGTTCTTGTTAAATCGCTTTATTTTTCACATTAGTTGAGTTGCTCTTATTGCAACATTTTGTGTTTCTCTCTCATATCAACTGTCGATTGTTCACAAGGCCAGGCCTATGGCTGAAACTGGTAGAAAAAAGCGTCTTCCAGAGCTGGGACGTTTAAATGGACGAGGATTCCTATCAAAATCTGATTTCACCAAGGAAGGATCTCCTATTAAACCGTGTTCAGGAGGTAAATAATCTAATCACCTTTTGAAGAGATTCTCTTCTACATTCTCAGTTACTTTTATAAAAGTCAAACCTTCTTTCTCCCCATTACAAAGGATCTCCAAAAAGACCCCAGTCTCCTGCACCAAATTGCTCAATATGTTTAGGAGGAATAGAGGACCAATCCTTTGCGAACAAATGTTTCCATAGTTTTTGTAAAACTTGCTTATTTGAATGGTCTAAGGTCAAACCTGAATGTCCAGTATGTAGGCAAGGTTTTGACTCAATTATCTTCAATGTTAAAGCAATGGATGACTATGAGGAGTACAATATACCTAGACCTCCTTCTCCAAGACGTCTATGGTCTGTCGGAGCATTTATCTCCGAATCTGGTCGATGGGAAACTCGTGACTATGGAAGTTTCAATATTCTTCGCCATCGTGTTATACATCTACAAGACATGTTTGATCGAGGTCGGGCTATAAGTAATAGAGACACTACTACAAATCATTCACCAAGAAGATTGTCTTTTTACTACGCAATCAACCCTACTGCTCAAAGCAACTCAAACACAACCGAACGTACTCCTCCCCGAGCCCATGAGTCATCCTCAAGAACATCCGGATTTCACTTTGACTTATCTGCATACTTCAGAAGTTTGGACCATATCGAACAACGCACTCCTGCTATTGGCACATGTGCTCATCGCCGCTACCTTTATGAAAATGATCTTTGGGTTCAGCCTATTTCTGGTCGATTAGAAAGAGAATGCTCAGCGTCATTTTATCGTAATAATCCAGCAGTTACTCATCGATTACTTCCATTCCTTAATCGTGAATTAATCGCCATCATGCGGACTGATACAGAGTCCAGTCAATCAACAGAAAATCTTCTCGCCCGAATAAAAGCTGCCATTTTTGAATATGATATACCAAGTATAAGATTCCGTCAAGTTGTCGAACCTTTCATGCACGATAAGACTCATCATTTTCTCCATGAATTGTTCTATTTTGCCAAATCTCCCTATACTATTGAAGATTATAACAATCATGCAGTTTACTTGCCCAGAGCTCAAGTCAAGACGTTGAAACTCGAGTCTATTATTAATCGTCCATTCGCAGTTTTCACCAACCAGGAACAAGAATCTGATTCCTCTACATCTGACTCTGTAATTGAAGTTGTTGACTCTGAACAAGAACAGGGATCAGCAAGAGACTCAATTAGGATGAATGTATTATTTCCTTCATCACCAGTATCCACGATTACTCCAACTACTGAGACGACCGCCACAACTACTAAAGCACCTGAAACAGATGTTAAATATCATGAAGTCAAGAAAAATTTTAAAAAATCTTCACAAGAACTGACTGACTCCGAGGAAAGTCTGGAAACCCCGTTAAATTGTTTACCCTCTACATTGCCTCAGAATATAAATGTGATTGAAGATTTTGATAATCCCCGACCAGGTCCTAGTGGTTTGTGCAGAAATAATGATTTTAACTCTTCTAATCAAAAATCAACTGCCGATGGAGATGGATCGGATACAGAGATTGACGTAAAAACTAATGATAAACCTTCATCCAAAAAACAAGAGTATGATAGCGACTCTGGAGACTCTGATGATTCTATTAAGGTTGTTGGATACAAGAAACCTATTGGTGATAGGACTCCTGAAGTCATTAACATATCAAGCTGTTGTGAATCGGATAATGAAAAAAAGAAAACTGATAGTGAAGATGAGGTTGCTGACGAGCATGAACCGAAACGGAAAAAGCCCAAAGTCAACTTTTCTTCATTGTTTCATCCATTTAAGTCATTAAAAACTGAAAACGGAGATGAAAAAATCACAGATAGCGAAGATTCGGACAGTGAAGAAGAAAAACATCCAAAGAGACAAAAGAAAAGACGTCGCACCAGATCAAGTCATTGCAAAAGACGTAGAGTTGGTACGAATAGAAAGCTGAATATTGATTATGAATCAACTGACACCTCTTCAAGTGATTCCGACTTAGAGATGGCTATAAACCAGATATCCTGTCGACGCATACCGAGTGTGATAGTCAGGCCAAACAGAGTGAATAATAGCACTGATACATTCGCTTCAGCCAGTCAAGAACTAAATAATGGAGGAAGCGATAATATAACTGATATCCATGCTACACGCGCTTCCTTACTTTGTAGGTTGTTGCGGTAGATCGACTTGTATGATACGTTACCACTTGATTGACTATTTTGTCAGAGACTTTTTTTGTGGAAATCTTTTCTTTGCTGCTTTCCATTTTATTTGTCTTCACATCTTTGAGACAAGATAAACAATAAAGACTGGAATGTTTTCGATCATGTATTTCATAACATAAATGATAAATTAACGAAGACCTTTTTGATTTAGAGCTTCGAGGCTCAAAGACTTATATTTTCGTCATACCAATTGTCATAATGATGTGAGACAATAAAAAAGATCTAGACAAGCTTCAAGAGGAACCATTTTGATTACTAATACATCAAGGAGAGATAACCAGTTAATTTAATTTATAAATTTCAACCATTATGCATTATTGCTTTTTTTAATCCCAATATGATCAAAACTAGACAACTTATTCTTGATTACTTCATTTCAAAGATGTCATTTTATTCAGTGATTGAAATTCTGTTGAATTAATTATTGTTTAACTTTATTTCTTTCTTTTTATCCTGTTAATTACAATGACTTCTTAAACAGTTTTGTTCATAAAAAAATTCGGTTACACCTTGACTATTTTATTCATCGGCATGATAAGCATAAGTTTTCATTCGATTAACCATTGATCGATGTCGTTTTTGTTTCAATCTTTCTAGAGCAGCTTTTACATCTTTGATATAATCGCGTCTACAGGAATTAGTATAATGATAGTATAGCGATTATAATGCTTTGTTAGCTTTAATATGAAATATGTTCTTTGTTAAAATTCTTCACCTCTTTAGGAAGGATATGGAGGTTATTATTAATACATGGAGGGTTGAGTGTTTAAAAAACAGCCGTGTGGATTATTTTTTTACAAATTTGATTGTTACCTTTTAACAAATATCATATGACTTTAAAATAACTCTTTCGTCATTTGGTCAACTGATAAAAGAAGATTTCTGGATTAAAATTGGTAAAATCATTAACCCAGAGCCAGTCTTCTATTATTAATATGATGAAAAATCAAAACCTGATGTGATAAATTGTCAACACAAGATAATCGTTCCGTTAATTCGTTTGGTTTACTATTCAGTTTATCATCGATAATTTTCTCTTGCAACAATATTGTGTTACACTCAATAAACCCGACTGAGAGCGAAGTAATCAAGAAATTTGATTGCAATTTTAAATCAAAATTTAAGTCTCAAAATTAAGCCATCAAAGTCGATAAAATTTTAATATCGATATATCGTAGCTCCTTTCAGCAGTTCTAACTTAAGATTATTGAGACTCTCTAAAATCTCTTTTGCTCTGAGCAAATTAATTTTTGTTTGTTTTGGAATGGTTAGTTTAATCGAATGATAGTAATTCACTATTTAATCAAGTATACTTATTATCCGATGTAATTTTTTCTAAACACCTGTGAATTTAATCCATAATGAGTTCAAGAGTAAGTATAATTTTGTATTTTCTTAGATAATGATTGCATCGGCTCAATTTCCATAAATGTTTACCTACATTTGCCATCTGATTGGCAACTGTCAAAATTCTTGATATCAGAAAAACTATAAATTTAAACTGTAAAATCTCTACATTTTGGTTTGATTTTGACTTATGTTTGTTTATTTTAGACTCTGCTGTTTTATTATTACGTCTACCTAATGACTTGACTTTGGTGGTTTCTCTCTGAGAAGATTTTTTTGCTAATCCAGGATGTGGCCTTATATGATAAGACTGAATCCCTTTGGATTTATTGTTGCTTTAGTTTTGTGTATTAGTGTTTACCTTCTTTATACATCATCATCATTGACTAACGATGTTCTCCATAACATCAGAGCAAGAAAACGTGAACCTAATCTTTCCACAGCTCTTGGGTATGACTTGAGTATCACAATCAAGTATGCATTTTTAATTGAGACACATTTTCAATTTTATTTTTAGTGGCCAAACGATTGATTTGAAAAATCTACTTGTAACACTGATAAGAGCAGCTGAACGAGGAGGTAAAGAGGTGGTTGGCGTTATGAAAAATCGAGAGTTACATAGTCGGGCAAAATCTAAGGATGAACATGGTAAAGATGAGCTATTAACAGAGGGTGATTTAAGATCTCATCAAATGATGGTCTTACAAGTCTCAGCTAAATTTCCTGGCTTGAGAATTATTTCCGAGGAAAAAGAAAGCCCTGATAGTGATGGTTTTTTCCTTCCCTTTGGCGAGCTTCAAGATTTACTCTATGCTGATGATATTCATAATCTTCCTAGTTCTCTTGTATCAATGGAAGATCTAGTTGTATGGATTGACCCATTAGATGCAACTCAAGAATACACGGAAAATTTGACTCAATATGTTACAACTATGGCATGTGTGGCTGTTAAGGGCGTTGCAACTATTGGTATTATTCACGAACCATTCAGTCAGGAAACTTACTGGGCCTGGAAAGATACAGGTCTTTCAGAATCAGTTGAAGATCTTGTTCTTAATCTACCGCAATCGACTAGTAGAGACAAAAAGAGGTTACGCTTCATTGTTTCGCGTTCTCACACTGGAGACATAAAAAATAGTTTAGCCAAATTGTACAAAGATGATTATGATGTGATAACTGCCGGTGGCTCTGGGTATAAGGCATTACAGCTAATCAAAGGTAATGCTGATGCCTATGTTCACAGTACCTCAATTAAAAAATGGGACATTTGTGCTCCTAATGCATTGCTTAATTCGGTTCAAAATAGTTTGATGACAGATCTGAAAGGAAACACCATTGATTACAATGATACTGGCGATGTTTACAACAGGAATGGACTGTTAGCAACTTATCAAACTAACCATCAAAAAATCTTACAAGCATTTAAGAACTTAGCTTCTTCAATAAAACATATATAACGGGTTGGAGCAATTCTCAGCAAACTAAGTCATTTAACGTAACAATTAAAATCAAACCTCAATCGTAAACATGGTCAACATGCATAATCATTTTCAATCTTAGTTTATATATATTCTTAATTCACAATGCAAAAATATTCCTCATTTTAAATTTGTACCAATCAAGCAGCTCATTTTCATCTTTAGTAAATAAATAATATGTTTAATCACTGATTATAATTGTGTATTCAGTTTCGTTGTGAGTAATTTTTTTTACATTTTTGATGCATATAATTGTCATCTAAGCTCTTTTTTTGTTCGATCTTTTGTGAGTGTTTTTGCTGGTAACGAAAATTTAGTCGTGAATATGCTTGTAAAAAAATTAATGATTCGAGTGAGCATAGACTTGTCTTTTTTGGAACTAGTTCTGGGACAGGATTCGATTTGATGAACAGATGAATGCAGAGTTTTCCAAACTTTTTGATTCTTCATACAAACCAAGCCACCACCGCGTTTAGCTTGAGATGCCATTCGATTAGTGTCACCAACACAGACAATCGGAGTATTTGATTCAACGCTGATTGCCCATTTGGAATGATCTTCAGTGTAGGACCAGACAGCTGGTTTGTCAGGGTAAATGATAGAAACTTGGTCAATATTAACAACTTGATAAGTTAGATTACATTCAGAAGGTAATGGGCCACCAGCACCTTTCCTCCAAGTTTCAGCCAATAAGTCAATTTTTAATGATGGAGCGGCGATTTGTGAATAAATATCTAAATGAGCACTTGGACTTTTACTAAAGCTTGTAAATGTTTGTCCTCCAAGTGTTTCAAAGTCTGATTGACTGTAAGATTGTTTGATCCATTTTTTGTTTATCAAAGCAGCCAATTCAGGAATTTGTTGAACCATTGTTTCTGATACTGAATTACTGTAAACATGTGGTCTGATATAAAGTAATTGATGAACAATCTTTGGTAAGGCTGCTTGCGTCTTAAAAGAAATGCATAAAAATATTTGACCATTAACTTCCCCAGAATCTGGATAATCATATTTAGGAGAAATATTTGGATCATTTGGGAAAGATGGAACTGAATGGATTAGCCAGAAACCAGATGATGAGTCAAAAATCAAAACACCCTTTGAGTGTCCATTGTCACTTATATGTTCCCCTTTGCTAGGCTGGTCAGAATAAAGAATGTAATTTACAGATGGACTTGAGGAATATAAGGGTAATAATGTTGATCCAATTATATTTTCAATATTGTTGATTGAATATTTAGATGGTGTCCAAGAGGTTTCTCCATTACTTGTGACATAAACAGTTTGAAGTCCATTTGATTGGTAATTCTTAGATTCTTTGGGTATTTTGTAAACAACTGACCAGTCGACGTCATTGCCAAGATCATCTTTACACTGAAGCGAACTATGAATGTCACTGATTGAGTTAAAAATCACAAATAAAATAAATAATTGATTATAAAAATTTAAAATCATTGTTAATGAAATAAAACAAACTGCTGACAAAAAGTTGAACAAACAACCGGGGCTCCGTAATTGCATTTAAAGTATGATTTCAGCAAAAGCTTAGTTAAAGTGATCTCCGCGCTTTTTGAAAATCAGGGTTTCACCAGTAAAATAAAAACGTCGGCAATTAAGCTAATTTATTTTAAATACTAACAAGAATTTTTAAAAATGGTTATTGAAATATGAAAAGTTGATTGATAAAAATTGGTATTTAGAGGTGTTTAGTGGTTTATATCATCGTTTGATAAGTGGCTGAGAGATTCAATTTGAAATGGCGTGAATTTCACCAATACTAAAATAGGCAACTTTCCATAGACATTATTAGAAAATGATTATTCACTATTTTCAATTGAATTAGCGTCTTTTAGTTGTAGCGTAGCCAGCTTTCGTTTCTATCTCAGTTTCAGTGCTAGCATATGTTTTACCAAAATTAGAATTGTTTCGATGGGTGGACGATGAAAAGCTTTTTCGTGTATAACTAGGTCCGGCTAAATTTCTTGCGAAAAGGTAACCGAGAAGGCCTACAGAAACAAATGCTGTACCAAAACCAGGACCATCTTCTGCACGAGTTTCTGGTCCACGCCAAGGTACACTTCCATGATCATATGGTGGGGGATTTGGATCACCTTTGCAATAGGCTTCATCGTCCATGTGAACAGAAGAACTTGATGAAGATGAATGGGATGAATCAGAGTCAGATGTATCATCAATTGAATGGTGGCGTGATGAATGTTGTGGTTCAATAGATGAACTATGTTGAAGATGATCTGGAACTTTTTCACGTTTTGGTGGACTTTTTGAGTTTCCTTTAGTTGATGATGCTGGTCGGTAATGATATTCTTTATTTGAATCATATTCTTTGCTATTCTTTTTGGAATGAGCTTCATAAATTGGTGGCGATTCATACTCGTTTAGTTCATTTAGATCAATTGATAATGGATTGAAATCGGTATCGTTTCCAAAGCAGTCTGGTCTAAATCCTGGTGGTGGTGGTGGAGGTGGTGCAGATGGTTCATGAGCATTTCTAGGGCTTTGGAACAGATATATTATGATATATGAACCAGATTTTTTCATCAAAATCATGTTATAAGAATAGTGTTTTAGAATAGGCCTGAAATCATTTTTTAACAATAAAACTCGTGAAATAACATGATTTTGATGAAAAAATCTGGTTAAATAAGTGAACAACAGGCTTTCGTGGTTGCAACTTCAACTTCAATTTTCTCGAAAATTGTTCATAACAGAAATTTTTTGATAACACTAATGGACTCAGTTTTTGTGTCCCTACAAACCCCCTAAAGTCCCAAATCAAAAATCGAGAGATTTACCTTGTTTTGGTACATTTTGGTTGTGTTTTGGTTTTTTCGGTCACATTTTGGTTTTTTGGTGAGACCCGTGCAGATGGTTCATGAGCGTTTCTAGGGCTTTCCAGCGGATTATAATAAATATGTATTATGAAAAATAGAGCTCCAAAGACAAGAAAAATGATGAAGATTAATTGTGATCCAAGCCCTGAATTATCTGGTGTCATCGATTTAGGGTATGGTGGAGGATTGAAATTTCTTTGTCTGGGGACACCATCAGCCACATTAATAGTAAATTCAAGACCACAGGAACCGGCAAGAATGTAATCATCATCTGGGTGTTCATAGCCTTCACAATTAACTTCTAATAAACCAAATGAATACTTCTTGTCCATATCAGCCTTGCATTCCCAATTGATAGTCCGACCATCCCATCCTCGATTGTAACATTGAACGGTTTCTGGGATGAAGGAACACCTGGCAGTACCACCAACACACATCAATTGATGCATCCGCCGCGTTCGTCGGGCCTCTGTGTATTTACCTTTCTGTAAAGTAAGCACTTGCACATCCTTTAGTTTTACTCGATCTGATTTAGAAACAACTTGTTCGATTAAAAACAAAACGAAAAAAGATAATACGAGTTTCATCTTGACTACTGACGACATACGAAGTATGATGAAATTGATGTAAAGTTTACTTATACATTAGTTAATACACGTATAACATCTGACCCAGACCACGTGATGTAAATGTCATTTATTTGTAACCTCCTCCGGTCAGTTTAGGCTTCAAAGCCCACTTTAATTTCATCTTTAATAGGTAATCCTGGTGGTGTTTCTGAATCGGGAAAAGATTTGACATTATTAGGCACCCTTTATTTGTGAAGGATTTAGTGTCACAATCAACATTGATTGTGTTTTGAACACCAGGAACCCTTTAACGGGCAAAGCTCGGACTTTGCTTTCACAATTAATAATTTCAAGCTTATGGTCTGGTCATTATCAACAACAAAATGTGATAAAGGTGACATTAAAGAGTCTTTCTTTTTAGTAATTTAATTGTTGTAGGGAAGCCATTTACCATTTGCTGCGAATTGAAATAATTGCATAGTCTTTGAAAGAAGCTTGCCTTTTGGGTCAACGTATTCAGCAGCTAAGAAAACACGAACTTCTGTTCCTCGAGAATCAATCTTTTCAATGGAATCAGTTGAAATAAGCGAAATGTGTAAATAATAGGAAAATGACTGAGCTCGGTTCTGAGATTCAGTCTCCTGTCTATCACGTTCACGCTCATTAAAGGAAGATAAAGAGCAAACATCAGCCATAATTTTCATGAATTTGGTGAACTTGTCTGAATAAATTGTATCTTTCTTTGCGGCCAAACATCTAAAAAAAATATAAAGATGGTACAACAATGAATAAATAATTTTTCAGCTGGCTGTAGAGTTGAATCAATTTTTTTCGTCTTAAAAAAAGACATGAAGTTGCAGCAACTGTTCATTTGAGAATCACTCTCGTTTATTCCCGTGGAATTGCTACCGGAACTGGAAGCAACTGGCAACTCCATTTATTATGCTGGATATTTAAATTTATCCTAATCTAGCTCTTACAAAGATTTGGGTTATTTTGAGCAAAGAAGTTCGAGCAAAAACCTCTTGCGCTAAGAGATTTAAGAGCAAAACTGATTAGAGCAAACATAATTTAAAACTCAGGTTTAGTTCCGAGATCAAAGTTGAAACTTTAACCTGCTTTTGTTCAATTATGGAAGCAGATTTTTCATTAAACTCAATATAATGATGTAACTTTAGATGAAAAATCAGAAAATGTACAGCCGATCACTTCGATTTTCAGTTAGATCGACTGCTTTCTGTGGCCGTAAAAGTTAGAGCTTGAACTTATCATTCGTCGATAAAAATTGTTGGTACACATCAAAGTTTGAACACTTTTTTCACAGTTTTTCGACAGTTCTATTGATTTTCAACTCATGAATTGATCATTTTTACTTTTTTCATTCACAGAAATCTTCCTTACAAAATTGAAATATTGGTCCGTGATTTTATTGGTAATACCGTCAAAGCGAAACCTTGCGATTGATTGATTGTTCCGCAAAGATAAACCCGCACTAATTAAAAACTCAAAAATATTCCCCAATTATATTCCTTAAATTTCTGTTATACATGTATGTAAAAATTCTCATTTTATCTCATGACAATCTTCAAGAGAAACCATTTTGATTACTTGATCTCAACTCTTCCAGAAAATTAAAGCTAAAATTCATCATATTTTAATATTTTGAAAATTCACCGTACAAGTCAATTTCTCTTACTGGATTCGCAATCCAATCGACTTTGGATAATTTAAATGAAATGTTAACTTTAGTATTCATTTTTTTTATTATCTTCACTTGAAATTTAAATGAAAAATAATAGAGTAATATTTTTAAATTAAGAAGACTCGAATTTCATTTTTTTCTTACAAAATATTGTCGAGCTTTCCGCCATTAGGTGGCAGTATTGGGTTTGTTTTTATCGTTAATGTATCCTTAAAACCATGTTTCATTTCAATACTCTGATTGCTCATAACTCTTCCGTGTTAAGAATTTTAATAACTCCTAAACTAAAATTGATAATAAATATGTCTTCTTCGTGTCAAAACAAACGTAAAGTTATTGATGGTGATAATCTAGAGCCTACAAAGCTTAAAAAGAGAAGAAATATTATTGACATCGACAGGTAAGTCATTACTCACATGTCTCAACTTTTGAAAAATTTAATTTTGTTTATCTTTTAAGAGGTGATTCTGATTACTATTTTGAGCATGGTTTACGGAAAGTTTATCCGTATCTCTTTACATTTTATGCATTCTGCAAAGGACGTTGGATCGGTGAAACAATTTTCGACGTTTATCAAAGGGAATTCAGAGCAATAGATAAACAAAAATTGGTATGAAGCACATGTTCACACATTTATGCTACTTTTTTCAAAAAGTGACTTGTTTGTAACATTTTCCTACTAGGGTCTGACTAATTCAATCCTTTTTATTCTATTTTATTTCAGCTTGACCGTTTTGCTAAAGGCTATATTAAAGTTGACGACGAAACAGTTTCTCCAGACTACATTCTCAAAGATAATGATCTGATCACTGGTATTGTACATAGACATGAAATGCCTGTCATCGGGTTACCGCTAAAGATTGTCCATGAAGACGATAATGTTTTAGTTTTAGATAAACCACCATCTTTACCTGTAAGAAAAATTGCATTATTTTTAAAGGCTTCGAAAAGCAATAATCACACATTTTTTCGTTTTCTAGGTCCATTCATGTGGTAGATTTCATTTGAATAGTGTATCTACTATATTGAGAAAAGAACATGGAATTGAACAGTTTCATAGTAAGATCACTTGCTGATAACACTCACAATCAAATCTCATAATGTTTTCCTCTTGATTTAGTATGCCATCGCTTGGATCGCTTAACTTCTGGTCTAGTTATAACCACGAAAAATCGTTTTTGGGCACGAAAAGTGATTGACCAAATCACACAACGACTTGTGGAAAAAGAATACATTAGTAAAGTAGAGGGCCAATTTCCTGAGTAGGTAATTCACCGATTCTTTCAATAGCAGTGAATTTTCAAAGAGGTAATTCTTATGTTGTATTTATACAGGGAAGAAATCACATGTGACAAACCACTCTCAACTTTGAATCACAAGGTTGGCTTACAGGTGATAGATGAGGCAAACGGTAAAGATGCTTTGACTATATTCAAGAGAATCAGCACGGATGGTAAAACAAGTTTGGTTCAATGTAGACCTCGTACTGGCAGGACGCACCAAATTCGTGTTCATCTCCAATACTTGGGTTATCCTATCGTTAATGATCCTTTATATAATTGTGATTCTTTCGGACCAAACAAAGGTAAAGGAGGAGATTTTGGTGAGGGAACATTAGATGATGTAAGTAAAACGACTTTAATATGACGCATCGATTATCTATAATTAATGTTTGTTAATTATCTGTTTTTCCACACTCGCAATTTTTTTAGTTAGCAAATCGAGTCTATGAAAAACATCAATATCTTCGAGCTTTCGATTCGGACGATTATATTAAGATGGAACCACTAAGTAAAGAAGAAATTGAGAAGCGTCACGAAGAAATCAATCAATTGAGTGATTCAGTCAATAAAGCAGTCACTGAAGAATGGAGAGATTACATGAAAAGGTAAGTTACCATTATGAATTTGATTATTTAACTTTTATTTGTTAAATGAATAAGCTAACTTAACTTTTTACAGCAAACCGTATGACGCAAGTAAACAAACTTTCCATGATGACTGTGATGATTGTAAAGCACAAAAAATTGACCCTCTACCAAGTGAACTACTTATTTACCTGCATTGTGTTCGTTATAAGGTATTAATTATTAATGAAAAACTTTGAAACTCTATTTGTGTTTGTATCCAGTGTTTTTAAGAACCTATTTTTCAGACTGAGTAAAACGCACTGAGCTGCAACGGTCTTACCAGTTGGATATGTTAATGATCATTTTTTATTTCATCGCCAGTAGTAGAAACTTGATTTCTTAAGTAACAAAGAATTAATTATTATAAACATGATAGAGTTTCAAAATTTAGTATATAAATGTTAATTTGTTGAATCTAAAATTATGCTTTTTCTTACACAGGGTGTTGATTTCGACTTCAAGACTGAATTACCTTTCTGGGCGCGCGACTAATCAAATCAATGACTAAAAATTAGTGCAAAAAATAATTTTTTTAATTTTTGAGGAGCAAATTTTTCGCCATTTAAATGTTCCACAGCTTAACAATTATCATAACAGCTCAACCATCAAGTCTTTTGAGCAATTATGACCTTGTCAATTTTCAAGTAACAGGTTTACCACCTGACATTAAATGGTCTCCCTAACAATCAACAAAAAAAGCTTAACTTTGACTTCTGTACTTCTTTTCTATGTAAAGTATATTTAATCCATATCAAGAATATCGTGATTATACATGTGTTTTTTCAATAAAAAAGTAGATACTTTGGTAGTTTATAATTTGCAAAAAAGGATAATCTCAACGACCTTTAAGCTTACTTCGCAATATTTCAGCCCAATTCATAGAGCAATCTTGAAATCTTTTAATTGGTTTATGTAGTACTTTTGTCTTTGAATCGTTGATTTTAGAAAGATTTTTTGTTTTAGGGAGAGTTGATGTTGATGATGATGATGATGATGTTAATACTGGCTGAGCAGTAGCTGCCACATAATGGACACGAGTGCCAGCTATCCATTGGCGTCGACGTGCATCCATGAGATCATAATCAAAATCGTCATCCGATGAAGATGAACTATGTGATGAACAAGTAGAACAACAATCATCTTCTTTCATCGATTTTCTGTTTGATCGACATTTCCTACTTGATTCATTCTCTTTTACACTTGGGTCAAATGTAACACTCTTTGGATTCAACTTTTGAGTATTTTCAATAACTTTAACTGATATCGGTGAAATTTCTTCATCTGGTTTTTTCTCTTCGCTTACACTGATTACAGCCAACTCTTTTGCAACCTTTTCAACGTCTGGCGCATTCAAATAATTTTGAATAACATCAGGCTTATCATTTATCAATGAGCTTCGACTGGATACAAGGCTATTTTCTGATGAAGATGGATGAGGCTTAATATTTGGAGTAGTTGATTGGGTGCTAGGAATGACCGTATTATCTTGAGGAACTGGTACTGTTGATACCTGAGTTGCTTGAGTTTCTTGTGATGAAGGTTGGGCAGATGGTGAAGGCGTTGAATGTTGCGTAGGAAGCGAAACAGGCAGCTGAGTGGACGATGAAGGCTGTAAAGACGGAGATATAGGAGCTTTGTGAGGGTGAGGGTAAGGGGGAGGTAGTGGAGGAGTTGAAGGTGGTGGTGGAGGTGGAGGAGGTAATTTAACCCTCTCTCTGATCGATGGAGGATGATACATTTCCAAAATATATTGATAACATCGAGCTGAACAATAAATTTTACCATCGTTGGCTGGCAGAAAAAGCTTTCCTAATAAAGCTGTTTTACAGAAATTACACTTGAAACAAGTCTCATTGGCATGCCAATGTCTATTTTCATGTTTTATCGATCCAATCTCACAACCAATAATATCACCACATTCTTCGCACAATTCTGCATAATTGGCATCAAAACAGGACAAACAGTAAGGATATTCATTTTCCGGATTGAAAGTTGTCTCATTTGATCGCAAAACGGTTGGTCGAGCCATAACATACTGTTGACCACCAAGTGTTTTTTTACAATCAAAACATTTGAAGCACTTGAGATGCCAGACTTTCTCTTCTGCTTCAGTACACTGCTCTTCAAGGATCAGTTTATCACAATAACCACACTTTGGAAGCCATCGAGGAACAGAACCGTCTTTTGGAGGTAATGTATTAACATGCTGTTGGTTATTACCGTGATTCAATTGTTGTACTTGTTGATAATTATGATTAAATCGTGAAGGTGTATCATCACGAAAACTTTGAGCTCCATATAATTGATTTGTTCCTATAAAGAGCGAAACAAAAGTTATTAATAAGCAGAATAAGAGGATTATTGAATAAACGGTCTACACGAAACCAAATGCTTCAAAAAGCCTTACCAAACTTGTCGCTTTTCGCATCCATTGTTATTTAATCTATAAAAGGCGATTGGACCAGTGTTATAACTTAAGTTTCAAGGCGATCAAAACTTCATCTCATGTTCATAACTAGAATCAGATTGTTCTCCATTTTGATGGTTTCAAATTGAGGTGAAATAAGTATTTCCAATCTAAAAACAATCCATGAGAAGGATTAAACAGATAATAAAATTAGACCACAAATCACAGCATATGTTTTTATAGTTTGAGACCTAATTTACTTTTAACACTTTCGATATTTTAATAAACAGATTAGAAGGATTTAATTATTATAATTTATGAAAGATTATTTATAATTATAAGTATCAGGAAGTTCAACTAAAATAAATTAACTATTGGTAACAAGATTGCAAATAGAGAGGAAAATGAAGTGATTTGGCCAGTTTCGGCTAAGAAAGAAGACCAAAGATGACCAAAATAATGACAAATTACTTACCTTTCGTCCTATTCTGAATATTTAACCATAGAAGTAGCAACAATCACAATTAATCCAGGATAACTGAAAAATTAAAACCAAAATAAACAAGGAACAAAAGTGATAACTGATTGAATAAGAACTGAACTGAGGTACACAAACTTCTTCTCTTGCTGTACTCAATCCAAAATGTTTCCTGTTTGGATTGAATCTCTACCTAGCCTAACCTGTTGACGGTTAGTGGCTCCTTTTTTACCTTAAAACAAATGTTTCTTTGTTAACATCATGAAACTATTAGAGATATAATATATATAATATTATAGTTATCTTAATATTAAGGCACGAATAAACTAGAAATTGCTTCACCCAGAAAAAGTAATGAATAACATAATGCAGTCAACCTCCTTAAAAGTTGATGGATGTTTTAAGTTTATTATGGAATGTATAATTATATAATGAACGGCGGTCATTTTATGTTGCTGTATGTTTATTTCAAATTGCCTTCGATTAACAAGATTAATATCATGTATTCAATCAATCAGTCTCCATCATAATTGTTGAATAAAATTCCATTTGCCATATTAAATTCCTTATTAAATCAGCTAATCATGAGTTCTGTGAAGAGAAAAAAGCTGTGAAATAAATAACATTCGGTAAAGAATAAAATCTAATTTTTTCATAATCAAATTCAAGACTATTGAATCTTTTAATAAATTTAGCTAAATAATTAATCTTTTAACAGATTACTTTACATCTGATTTCTCTGATATTTTCGTTTAATATCCTCGAATATCTTAGAGCAATAAATCCAGTTTATCGATGCAATGAAATGTTAATCAAAGCGTTGTAAAATTTAAATACTAAATTCTTAGACACTAGAAAAATTTGATTAAGGCTGTAGTCGGTACATCAGCCATCCGTTTTCGGCTTCAGTGTAAGGAACATCTTTGATGTCTGGAATAGATTTTGTAAAGACGATTCTATCGTGAAGTCGACTACTCTGACCTTGCCAGAATTCAAATGACTTAGGAATCAATTTAAAGCCTCCCCAATTTTCAGGCTTGACAATGAAAGAATCCTCTGCATGTTTCATTTCCAATTCGGTATATTTGGTAATGAGAGCATCTCGATTTAAAATTGGTTTACTCTGTTCACTTATCGCCGCTGCAATTTGACTTCTTTTAGGCCTTTTCTCAAAATAGTTTTTGGCTTCTTCATCTGGTACTTGCTCAATGTTTCCTTCAATGCGAACTTGACGGTTAAAAGGATCCCAATAAAATAGCATTGCCGCTTTCGGGTTCTCACGCTTTTCAACAAAACAAAAAAGAATGAGAATTTTGTTAGAAAAATAATAGATAATTGATATAAACAGTGTATTACCAATTCTTGACCTTTGCGACTGTCCATGTTAGTGAAAAATTTGAACCCATCGGACCCAAAACCTTTCAATAAAACCATTCTAGATGACGGATATCCATCTCTATGTAAAAGAAACAAGAAATTTTAAATCATCCGAGTCATTTTAATTGTTCGCTTATTTCTGTCAGTAATTAATTTCTCGTACAGTGTGCAAGTTGAAACACAAACAGCATTTGGTTCAGCAATTTTGCCACTTTGCTTAGCCTCTTGAAACCAAAATTCAAAAAGCTTAATAGGATCTCTAGAGGGTAAATCCTTTTCCAAAAGAGCTTCTTTATCCTCCTTGTATGGCTGTCTCATAGCTAAATTGTATGATATAATAATAATAAATAATAATAATGATAAATAAAAAATGAAAGGTGAATAAACTGTATCAAATTAAAATATAATACTGAAATCAAAACATTGTAAATACAATTGTGTATTCAAACATACCTGACAGATCAACGGAATAATTTGATGACATTGCGACGAAAGGATTGGATAACGGAATGACTTTGAAAAATATTGATAAATTTCTGATTGAATGATGAAACATTAAATTCATTCAGATTTCCAACAAAAATAAGCCGAATCACTCATATTTTGTCTAATTTTATGCCAGAAAAATCTAGTGTAACGTCTTAACATATGATGTGAGTAGTCTAAGTAACTGCGAATCGAGCGATTTTTGAATCGCCTAAAAAATAATATAACCAGTTGAAACTATTCTGAGCTTAAATATTTGTTAATTGTTGATTGAACAATTAATAAAAATTTGAAAACTCAAATCATTTATAAAAAGGCTAAAAATTAGCTACAAATGAAGTATGAAATAGATTTAACTTGATAAAGTTGGCATACATTTTGAAAGAGTTGAATTTTAAGTTTACAAGGAAAGAAAGTTGGGGAAAAGTAAAGAAATATTCAGATCAAGAAATTATCGCAAACAATTAGTTTACTTCAGCTCATTGATTATCAGTCATTTCGCACGTATCTTTAAGCAATGTACAATTTTGTTAAAATAGAACGGGAAACAAAGTTCACCAATGATCAATCTTTTATATTGAGTAAATAATATTTCATACTTGATTTCAGTTAAAAAGTAAATTAAACTTCATATCCATTGATTAACAAGAAGATATATTCTGGAAATACATGAGGTCGATTATAACAGCATTAGTTAGTAAAATAATACAGAGTAAAGTTAGCATAATGATCAATTTTACTTTTGAAAATCTTTTGACAATATCAAAAGAGATTCATCTATGATAAAATTTTTTTATGCAAATTAAAAATTCAATATACACCATACACAATCAGGTTCAGGGTCTTTTAGTATTAGAAGTAGTTTCGTTGTTTTGATCTAATTGTCGTTTGAAATAACTTCTTAATTGTTTCCCTTTAAGTTTACGAAGCTTCTCATTTTGGTTCATTAGCATCCTTGTTAATGTATCAAAATCATTGATGCTGCTCTTTAGTAATTTATAACATAAATCGATATATTGATCAGCTTCTGAATTAGATGGAACTTGTGGGGCAGCATCAACACCAGCATCGCCAGTTTGATTACTGTAAATATCTCGATTTGAATTGACCTCAATTATTGTTGGAGTATCTTTTAAAATATTTTGTTCTTCTTCTTTCGGAAATCCATTATTATGCGTGCTAGTATTTCTTTGACGAGCGTGACCCTGTTGATTTCTTTGATAAGCACTAGATAATCCGTCATAATGAGTTAATTTATCGTTCTCGGTAGAGTCTTTCTTAGTTATACCTTGATTAGAATGATAAAATTTTGGTCCTTTCTGTACATCATCTAATACATCATAAATTAAAATTTTTTCACCATAATCCACGTTGTAATTACTAGCAGGATCATTGCCTCTTCTGCCCATAAACTGCGAAGATGAAATTTGTGATTTACTTGGTGTACAGCCTGGAGTATCAAACATTTTAGTTGAAATACCGCTGTCATCGTGAAATGGAGTGGATTGAGATTTTGTAGATGTTGCTATCATTGTCGGTGTCGATTCAATTGTTTGATTACTTGTCCGACCTTTGAACACATTGGATCCAGTACTAGGTTCACTGGTATTAACGGTTTGTGATCCATTCATTGAAGCTCGTCTAATTTCCTCCATTTCTTCTCTAAATTGTGCGATCAATCGTTTAGCAATCTCTTCATAATTATCATCCACCTCTGCTGTTTTAGGGAAATCAATCTCCTTCTCAAATGAGAAGCTTGGCTGCTTTTTAACTTGGTTTAATTTATTATCTAATTTTGGTCCAGTATTTTGATTATTCACTTGATTAATTTTTGGTTTGGAGGCCTCTGCTTTCTGTAAATATGAAGAAAGATTATGTTAGTAACTATCTTTAAAGACAAAAATACCAAACACCTGCACCTATTTACTGGCGCATAATGATACAGATATGTAAGCAAAAGGAAATGAATTATTTTGAGTGTACAAGGCCTCAAATATAAATCCATATATTTACCTGTAAATGGTTTCTGTGGGCCATGAGATAGTAATCTCTTTCTTGCCTCAATCGTATACAATCGGAGACCAACTCATTTCGGCATTGTTCATAATAATCACAAAGAACTTCCGTTCTTTTCAATCTTTGGCAAAGGTCAAGAATAGTACACCTCAAAGCAATCTCGGACGGACTCACTGAAGAGTACATATTCTTCATCTTATAATTTGGATCATCCATAATTCTTGAATGCAACTTGAATACATCAACTGCAATTAAATAACGAGAATAATAATATAATGAATTATACGTAGACACAAGTCATCATCAGCTGTTGATCACTTACAGTTGATGACAATAAGTATTGTACACTATATTATAGTACTTACATTAAAATTATTTGTTGAAATGCATGATTGAATTGCATGAAAATAAACAGTCAACCATAATGTTGTTTAATTAAAATAATATAATTTTCAATGATTATATTGATTTATTGATTATGAAAGAAATGAGCTTGATGTTTGGACTTGGCTACCAGGAATAAATGCAGCAGAAGGAAATAGAAATGGGATGAAGGAAAACACAATATCACTTGTTAGGCTTAAAATAAATTTCTTTGAAGGTAAAAATAATAAAATTAGAGGTTCATTCACAATATTATCACATAATTATAAAAATAAAATAATTGAAGAAGTTACAAATTAAATAATAACAGTTAAACAACAAGAGTACTTGAGTGTTTAGTTTACACTAGAGTGGAAATGATTCCCTATAATCGATTATTCGGTATTTTCAGAATCGAATTTTATTCGAATATTTAGTTGGTTCAGATTTATTAGAGCAAAAATTATCATTAAAAGTTGGTCCTATCGGCTAGTCCCGTACATCAATACAACGGACAATATCATCCTTTGAAAAATTAGGGAATCTCTAGACTTGGTTTCAATCCGGTCCTGACGGGTTAAATTGTATCAATTTGTGTTACACTAATCTACAATTTGCAAATCTGATTGAGCATCTAACTCGACCAAACTGCTAAGTCCTGTAGTGCTGAGCGACTTTCAAAAGCATTTTTCTTTTTGAATTTAAAACAGTTTCTTCCAGTTATAATACTAGCCATCGAAAACAATCAATTTTAACTCCATCGAGTGAGATTTAATGCAATATTTAAGAGCTTCAATTCAATAATTGTTGCGTATTCCTATTCAAAGTAATTTGTCAAAGGGATTTAGTAATTTGTGTTTGTACTCAAACCCTGATAAATACAGTCAAATCGTCGCAATTTATAATTAAAATGAATTTTCCCAATGCATTTGCACTAACAACTTTGTAAGCTTTACAGATTGTAAGAAGGCATAATAATTATATAATTTGCTGCTATTCCGAGTTATAATTTAGAAATGCGATTGACTCATTTTGATTATTTGATCTTGATTGTGCAGAAATATGCAAAAGCTCATCTTGTTCAAATATGGTAAAATGCAGGTTTTTTCAACTCAAAATAATCACCAATTCACTTGAATATCTTTTCTCTAATCATTCTGATATAATCGAGTGGCGGAAAAATCCCTCTGAACTGTGTTGAAAAGTAGTGGATAAGGTGGAAAAAGCTGGTCCCAATAAATTGGAAATATTGAAGTATAAAACAATGAAAGCGAAAACAATGAAAACAATTTCTGAATATCTTTGTTTCTATACGAATTATTTCTCAATTTAATTTCTATGAGAAAATTTATTTAATGAATTGTATTTGATAAAAATTTTTGAATCTGTGAATTATGGCTAAGCCTTTTAACTGTAACGGTTCTGATAGCTCTCGGTTTTCTCACCTGTTTATATTTGTTTCTATCTTACTCATTGCTCCCTTCACTCTCAACTCTACTTGACTCACATTAGTTCACACATTGTCACCATCATCACAATCATTTCTATCTCTTATTTGATTCATTTATTCTGTTCACATCTGTTTATGTTCAATTGTAAATTAATTTGGCCCACTGTCATTTAATGATTGGTAACAACTAAACAACAATGGCCTCAGCCAAGACCAGAGAAGCTCAAGAATGTATTGATCGAGCTGAGAAAAGGTTAGTGCTTTTTCTTTGTTTATGTTGTTGTCTTAAAGCTGCTAAATTGTTTTTTTCTTGATATACTTCCATATCATTGATATAGTTTGAAGACATCATTATTCAAATGGAAACCTGATTTTGATATTGCTGCTAACGAATACCAGAAAGCAGGTAATTTCTCTTCTTTATTTTCCCATTTTCTTATATTTTGCTCTTATACTATACGCTTTTCCTATTTTAACACACATTTGAATAATTATTTTTTATTGATTTCTATTCCTTGTCTCTCAGCTACTGCATACAAAGCTGGCAAAGAATATGAAAAGGCACTCGACTGTTGTATAAAAGCTGCAGATTATTTCCAGCAAAATCGCCAATATTTTTCAGCAGCCAAGTAAGTTTATTGTAATGTACTGGCATGTAAACAGTTTCATAAAATTAATTACTGGTTTATTTAAATATTCAGATCTTTTGAACAAGCAGCATTGATTGCTGGTAAAGATATGCAAAAATGGTCAGATGCTATTAACCTTATTGAAAAGGCTTGCAAACTATTCCAAGAACATGGAGTTCCCGATACTTGTGCATTGGTCTATGAAAGAGGGGCTAAGTAAGGCTCGATCAAGTTTTTATCGAATCAATCTTGAATTGGTATCTGGCTTTTATAACTTTCTGATTGTAATTTTAGAATGGTGGAGCAAGTGGACCCAGAAAAGGCTGCACATCTCTATGCTCTAGCAGCTGAAGTTACTTTGATTGAATCAAAGAATTTCCAAGCCGCAGATTATGCTGCAAAGGCAGCTCGTGTTTACGCAAAAATACAAAAGTATGATGATGCATTGAAAATGCTTGAAAAACAAATGATGTTTCTTCGTGAAATTGAAGATGAAAGAGCCTGTGGACGACTTGTGGTTCATCTTGTTCTTATGCAGTTAATTCGAGATGACATCGTGGCCGCTACTAAAGCTTTCGGCGATTATGCTGTGTAATTAATTATTTTCAATCTAAATTAACTTTGCATTTCTACAAAATCTTAATTACGCCTTTTTTTCCTTTTTTCAGTTTTGTTGAACAAGAAGAAAAAAATACTCTCAACCAACTTCTTTATGGTTTCGATAATATGGATTCCAGAGAAATCATTACAGCTTTGAATCATCCTTTCATCAAAAGTCTCGATATTGAATTTGCTAAAATCGCTAGAACTTTACAGCGAAAACATGAAGCAATCCTTGGAAGGTCGGAAAATAAAAATGATGCCGAAGCTGGGGAACAATCGGCAGTTGATGATGAAGCTGGTCTTTTACTTTAATTCCTTACTGATTGTGTTTAATGTATAGAAATTATATCGAAATCGAAGGAGGAAAAATGGTTGAATTTCCCTTGAGTGCTTTTGGAAACAATTACTGCGTGTCTCGTTTAAGCTCAGTCCAGTTGTTGATCATTGATTTACAATTATATGCACAATTTGTAAATCATATCTTTTATCGATTTTGTTTCAATCTCTTTTCTGCAATGCTATTTCAATCAAACAAGCCATTGCAATATCAGTCATCAATAATATGCTAAAAAAATTATCTTAAGCATTCATCTCAATGCAGTATTAAATTATCAGTAAAAAATGTTTGCTGAATTTTAGCAGGAATAAAATTAAAAATTAATACGAAAAAGGTTATATTAACGAAAACGATTTCTTTTTTTAAGTGACATAATTTAATATTATAAACTGCTATAGCAAAGAATAAAAGTTATCAACAAAATGATTTGATTCAAACAAAAAGATGAATAAAATTTCAATTTTTTCTCTAAGTCTGTAATATTTTTATAAACGTATTCCGTTCAACCTGAATATCGCCAATCATTCTCAGTCTTGCTTTTCCTTCCTTTTGTCTTGCCAAAAGCTTTTGTGCCCTTGTAACATCTCCACCATATAATTTAGCTGTAACATCCTTTTTCAGAGCGTCCATTGTTTCTCTGGCGATAATCTTTTTCCCTATGGCTCCTTGAATCGCCACTTTGAACAATTGAGGCGGTAAATTATCTTTCAATTTTTTACAAACTGCTTTTGCATACTCATAAGATTTACCTTTATGAACTAAACTTGTGAGCTCTTCAATTAGTTTACCATTTAACAGAAACTCGACCTTAACTATATTACCTTCCTGATAACCTGCTTCTTCATAATCAAAACTAGCATATCCTGAAGTTATAACTTTTAGTCGGTCGTTAAAATCGAGAATCACTTCATTCAAAGGCATTTTATACTTCAAAAGTATTCTTTCTTGATCAACATACGATGAATCTAATTGTTCTCCTCTTCGAGATAGACATAAAGCATTGATGGTTCCTAGGAACTTATTTGGAGTAAGGATTGTTCCAATGATCCAAGGTTCTTCAAACTTTGCAATGATATTCTCTGGAGGTAGATGCATAGGGTTTTTTACAGTAATAGTTTCTTTTCCATATTGCTTGATGTTTTTGTTTCCTTTTATCGTTACTGCGATGAAAAAAATTTGTAAGTTATATTTAATACACAGGAACACGATGAGATTTGTATTTACCTTTGTAAGAGACACTTGGAGCAGTAATAACTGTTGCAGAATCATATTCATCCTCCAAACGCTGTGAAAAAACGTCCATATGAAGGAGTCCTAAGAAACCTAATCTCCATCCAAGGCCGAACGCTGGACTAGAATCAGTTTCAATTTCTACCGATGAATCATTAAGGACTAATTTGTTTAGAGCAGACTTCAATTCTTTAGATTGGGACGCTTCAGCTGGAAAGATTCCAGCAAAGACCATTGGTTTAGGCTTTGGAATTTTAGGTAAATTATTTATCATAGTAGTTAGCTCTGATTGATCTTTGTCTTTCAAAGTGTCGAAGGTTGATTGCAAAACAAAAGCATCTCCAATTTTAGCATCGGCATCATCTCTTACACATGCAGATAGATAACCAACTTGACCAGCATATAAAACATCAGTTTTTGTTTCTTCGGGATGAAATATTCCGATTTCTCGGACAGTGTAAGACTTCTTGCCAGAAAGAGATCTGATCTCGTCACCAACCTTCACTTTTCCATCAAGTATAGCGACTAATGAAATAATGCCATGGACACGATTGGACCAGCTATCAAAATAAAATCCTTTGAGAGGTTTGTCATTATCGCTTTCCGGTGGAGGTATCTTATTAATTATCGCATCAATTACAGCATTACAGCCTTCTCCGGTTTTGGCAGATATTTTGTAAATTTCTTCACGATCAAATGAAAATAAATTGACCAATTGTTCTTCTACTTGTGCCACATTAGCTTCTTTCACATCGATTTTGTTAATAACTGGAATTAAATTAACATCTCCTAGTAAAGCTTCATTGAAATGAGCTATAGTTTGTGCCTGAACACCCTTCGTGGCATCAACTAACAGGATAGCTCCTTGACAGATGGGTAAAGAACGATATACTTCAAACGAGAAATCAACATGTCCCTATGAAATAGAACAATTGTTAAGACAATGTTGAAATTAAATGTTAATCAATTCTTACAGGTGTGTCAATCAGATTAAGAAGATAATCTTTTTCTCCACGGTTAAAAATTAGAGATGCCGTTTGAGCTTTAACAGTAATTCCTCTTTCTCTTTCCACATCTAATTTGTCCAAATATTGAGGTTTTTCTGGGTCATTTGCAATCAAACCAGCAATTTCAAGTAGACGATCTGAAAAGGTACTCTTGCCATGATCAACGTGAGCAATAACACTGAAATTCCTGATATGCGAAGGCAAAAATTTCTTCAAAACAATAGATATCTAGAAACGAGAAATTGACTGATTCAGTTAATAGAGCTTTCACTAAAAAACAAGAAATACTTACCTGATTTTGTGGGGTGGACACATCTAATGATTCGTTGCATAACTTGATAGTTGTGGATAAATATTTATTTTGAAAATAAGCCAATGGATGGTTGGATCTAACAAATCTTAAAAGTTTCATTATTTTCTCAAAATTTGAAGCTTTACATCTCCGAAGTCACATAAAACGAGATCAGAGTATCAGGAACAAAACATAAAGAAACCATTTTCACCGTTCTATTGAATTTTACATCATAAAGTAACGGCAAAAATTATTGCTTTAGTAAAGTTTTGAAATTGTAAACCATGTGAACTTCATATTATGAAGGTAACTACATGTTTTCATTCAAGTTACAGCTGATTCGCCTGAGCTTGAGGTTGCCATGACAATATTGTAACTAAAAAACTTTCGTGAAGTGAGTTCAATTCAATTTGATAAAAATCGATCTGAAAATTAGATTATGTTCATTTGCCAATTTAACCGACCGTTTCCCCTTTTGATACTCAAAATTTTAGCAATACATAAGAGCTACAATCTGTTGAGCAAAGTAATTCACACATTCATTGAAAATTAAATATCTGTTTTATACAGAAGCCAAATAGCGAATAGATTGGCAACAATTGAATCCGAAAACTAAATGATTGCGATGCTTGTAGCCCTTCCCGTATATTTCAGCGATTAACCATTTATCACATCACTAAATAGATTACACTTGTAGCTTCATTTGGAATGCTTTGTGAATCTTATCAAAAACTTAACTTTTGCCAATTGTTTTGTTTTACAATTGATGAATACTTGAAATATCAAATAGGATAACTTCGCAGTAGACGGTTTTCATCATTGTATTATCTACCAAATCCTCTAATGATTCGTGTCATTGTCTTGAAACAGATTTTATTCATTGACTGCGGAATTTCTGAGAAATAAACTTCTCATCCTTTGTTATTTAAGTACGATATTTAATGGTATCAATCAATGATAATCTTGCATATGAACAACGAGAAACGATTACCTAAAGATAATTGAATAAAATGAACGAATCAATGAACAGATAAACAGAGGATTGACTCTGAAAATGTTTAAATTTGTAAGAAACTCAGCCAATTGGTTTATAACTACTAATGATGTTGTTAAAATTAGTCGCAATTTTGCTTGTCTTTGAGGCTTCGTCGGCTTCTGACTGTGTTAAGAGGACTTACGCAGGTGATTCTTTTGTTTGTGTTTGTAATGCTGCTAAATGTGATACCTTGAACATCGAGAAGACCGTCCAACCTGGTTATATAGCAATTTATGATTCAGACCAGAAAACATCTCGTTTGGATAAGACCGTTGTACCAGTTGATGAAATCAAGAGTCGACTTTATCTAAATAATGAGTTTACTTTGAATGTAAATGCAAGTGATTTGAAGCAAAAAATACTTGGTTTTGGTGGGACACTCACTGATGGTGCTGCTATTAACATTGCGACTCTTTCAGATGATTTAGTTAAACAACTGATGAATGGCTATTTCGGTGAAAATGGTCTTGAATACAATATAGCTCGAGTGCCTGTCGGAGGATCAGATTCATCGGTTCGAGCCTATTCATTAGATGACACTGAGCTTGATTTTGATCTTGAGCACTTTTCACTTGCTGACGAAGATATCAAATACAAAGTATGTATTTGCCTTAATCATGAAGTATCTTTGAAATATAGCGATTAATCTCACCTGTTTAAACCTAATCTACTTACAATAGCTTCCATTGCTCAAATTGGCATTACAATTGAACCCAAAGTTTCGTGCTTTTGGATCTGCTTGGTCAGCTCCAGCTTGGATGAAAACTAATCATGCTCTAAATGGTAATGGCGGTCTAATATGGAAACCAGGAGATGTATATTATAAGCTTTGGGCCAAATATTATGTCAAGTTGAGTCTCAATCTATAACTAATCTAAAGTTTAAAGCGTTGATAATTATCGGTGTTTGTGCATCCAAACCCTATTATTACTCCAATAATTGAAGGATCATTTTAGATTGAATTATTTAGAAGCATTCGACTGATTGTCTAAAATATTTTTCGTATAACACACAATAATGGCTTAACAATAATCTGTTTTTTCATTTTATTAATAGATACTTGAATGCATACTTGGATAAGGGCTTCAAATTTTGGGGATTAACTACTGAAAATGAGCCCGCTGAAGGAATCGGAGGAAGCATCTTCAATGCTCTTGCATTGACACCTGAACAAATCAGAGATTGGGTTAAACTTGACCTAGGTCCTGCTCTTAAAGCTGCTGGTTGGGGCAAAGGTAATCTCTCACTTATGATTAACGATGAAAATACCTCGGGTATGAATACTTATGTACCAGCCTGTTTAGATGATCCTGAAGCTGCTTCATATGTTTCGGGTATAGCTTATCATTGGTATTCTCGTAACTATCCATCTTCATACCAGACATTGGCATCTATTCATGATCGATATCCAGACTACTTTTTACTTTCATCAGAAGCTGGTTGGACGGGTGTAGGTATGTACCAATATTGAACAGACAATAAATAGATGAGCTAACTATTGTTGCTTAAATTTTTATTCAGCCTCCAAATATTTGGGTGATTGGGGCAGAGCTGAGGGCTATGCTATAGACATTCTTGAAGGTCTACAACATTGGTCTACTGGTTGGACTGATTGGACTTTAGCTGTTGACACTGCGGGTGGGCCTAACTGGGCTAAAAATTGGGTCGACTCTACAATTGTTATCAATGCTACCAGTCAAGAGTATTACAAGAATCCAATGTACTATGCAATGGCCCATTTTACCAAATTTTTACCCATCGGATCAACTCGTGTTGGATCTAATGTTGTTAATGCTCCAGCAAATGTTCACACAACTTCCTTCATCACTCCCAACAATACTATGGTTTTAATTTTAATCAATACAAATAATGATCACATTGACTTGACAATCAATGGTTTTGCCAAAGTACCAGTTGTAACAACACTCAAACCAAGATCATTCCGAACCATGGTCATTTCATTGTGAAAATTCACAATGATTTGACTCTTTCTATTGTCTGATTAAACCATATTTGACTTGTTTTAGTTTTTAAATAAAATTTAAGAGCAACAATTTCATTTAAAAGTGAATTAATTTTAATTTTATAGCTAAACAATTTTGTTAGCAGAAAAATCATCTGCTATGGTTGATGGTCAATAGGGCTTTTACAGGATAGTTCAATTGTATCAGAGAAATGGATTGAATGATTTTACAATTTACTATTCATTTGCAGATTACTCAAAAATGAGTCTTTGTGATCTTTTTTTGTTCACCATTTGCCTTTTCAATACTTGCAAATGTTTGGCCTTAATTGTTATTAATCAAGAAAGAATTGAATTTGATTTAAATAATTACTTTCATGAAAAGGAAAGAAAATGAAAAGATGCTCAATATGTTAACATATTTACTACTATTGCTACTTATGAGCAAAATAAAAGAAAATTTTGGCACCAAAATTTGGTTAATCAAAATTGATTTCCTTCTATTAAGGATCTTGATCCATTCAGCTTCATCTTCTGATCAATTGCATATCACCCTTCATCCAAATCACTTGTTCAACTTTGATTTGAAAGATTCAATGTTCAACTTTGAGGCTCACATGGAGCCATTTCATAAATCAACATTGAATTTCTGAGCATGGTTAACATTGTAATATAAATTACATTGTAATTTTTTGAGGTACACCCGACTGGAGCATTCAAACCTTACAATTTAAAAATTATTAATAGTAAAAAGGAAAAAGTTAATAAATTGAAAATGGTGTAAGATTGGAAAGATTGGGGTTGATCAGCTATTTCATTTAAAACAGTTGAGTTTCATCCCGGCATCATTAATTTGTTAAATTATCCATAGCAACAAAATTATGACCAATTCATAGCAACCATTAAAAAATCACAATTTTTGGCGTTTAATTGTTGCCTTTTAAAATACCAAAGTCTTGCTTAAGGTTGTTTTTGTGCAAAATAAGCTCATTCAATTGGCTTCAACTATTGAACTGGTGGGTGCTGTTGTTGATAGTGAAGATGTTGCTTGATTTTTTCTAATATAAAACAGCGATGTTGACTTGGCCTGACTCCGATTCCAATGAGATCATTATTATCTAAACGAAGCAATTTAACACCATTTATATATTCAAATTTAGAACGATGTTCAACCATTCCAATTGAAGAAATCCAATCACAAACATCTTCCTCACTCCTAGATACAAAAACAGAAGATAACAATTAATGAATGTCGATTAGTTAAGCAAAATAAATTTATAAGATATTATTACATACCAATCAACCATAGATCTTCTGGGAAAAGTGGCTGGATGCTTTTGCAGTGAAGGTGGTGGACCTGGTGGAGGTGGATGAGCTGGTTGTTTAGGTTGCGATTGAGCATAATTAGAAGCTGGAACTATTTGAGCAACCAATGATGCATTGCCTTGATTGGTAACTATTTGATGATTATGAATTTGTTGTATCTGATGACTCTGAGCATGTTGGTGTTGGTGAGCTTGGTGGACTTGATGTGAATGTTGGTGTAAATGAGCTTGTTGAGCTTGTTGTGATTGCTGTTGTTGTTGATGTTGAAGCTGTTGATGGTGCATCGCTTGTTTTTGAATATCCCTATCAATAGAAAAACGAGAAATTTAGAAATTATTAGTTGTCGCTTGGATCCAAATGTTCATATCTGTTCAAACTTGATTGATTTCAATTGCGCTCTAATTAAATGAGCTTGAAAATGGATAAAGACTATTAGATTAAATAAAATGGTTTTCACCAACTGAAACAATAAGTCTTAATAACTTTCAAGGAAACTGTCCATATCAACCTTTCAAAATTAACTCAACATATGAAAACGTAAAATCTACATTTTATATTTGAACTACATGTATTTATAACTTAAGCTATTTCCAATTTTTTCATTAAACTGAAAATTGTCTTTAAATAAGTAAATCTAGTAATCAAATGATAATTACGATGGGTAGTATTGATGAGAATGTCCAGTAACTATTGGTTGGCCTTGATTAGTTTGGTAGATTATCTGTTGTCCTCCTTGCTGGACATGTTGATGTTGATGTTGTTGCTGTTGCTGTTGTTGCTGCTGTTGTTGTGCTTGCTGCTGCTGCTGCTGCTGTTGCTGTTGTTGTTGTTGTTGTCTCAATAGACGATTTTGAACTGTAAAAAATGGTATGATACATCAATTAATAGATGATTACTCAGATAATTATTGAATGATTGAAAATAAAATAGTTAACCTGTTAATCTAGTATAATCTGAATAAGATGCAGCTGAAGGTGAAGGTGATGCTGCCCTTAATTGCTGGGGTCGACCTCTGGATAAAGTAGCAAACTGATGGTAACCACCTGAATGGTGATGACCGACTGGCTCTAAGACTCCTTGAGAGTTGACTTTATAAACGAGATTGTCAGAGCAGGCCACTGTTAAAGGTGAATCTGAACCAACAGATCGTGACATGGAAGCTAATTGATCAGCATTGTATCGATGTCGGGCTGTAATTATTTGACCCTGTTTACCAACATAACGCGTTAATGTGACAAATTGTTGTTGAGGTTGTTGATGTTGCAAATAAGATTGATACTGTTGAGGTTGTTTTGGATTTTCCCTGTTAATAAAATTGAAAATCATTTCATTTGCTTTTCATTAAGCTGATTGTTGAAGGTCTTACACTGAGGTCACGACAACGGTCAAACAATTAGGATCAAACAAATAAAATATGAATAAAAAAATGAATTGAAAAAAAACATAAAATAATACGGCAATGAAAACGAAAAATTATATTTTATTTCATCAATAACCATCAGAAATCAATGGTTAATAATAGTCGAGATTTAACAATAAGTCATGTTTTAATTATGTTTTCTTTAACTTTAAATTAACATGCTTAAATTATTATCATTTTGTTTACTATAATAATTTATGGTGCAATAAAATAAAACAAAAGTGTATATTGATAAACAAGTGCAACAATTGGAAAAAAATTAATTCAATCAAAATGGTGATGCGAGTTACAAACAATTATGAATGGATCATGCAATTTGGCTTTGTTTTTGTTTGTTTGTGCACAATTCATCAAAATAATGTACTAATTGACAAGAGAGGTTTGGTGATGAATTGTAAGTGGGGAAAAATAATTACATGAATGATTTAGTATTTTGTTGCAACTAATTTGATGATAGACACTTACGGATACAATGTGTATGGGATTTTGGCTTGTTGTTGATGTTGTTGAGGAAAGTGAATTGTATGATGATGAGGATGACCAGCAGGAAGATGAGCACCAACAATGCCCAATCTAGATGCAGCTGATAAATCACTGAATTCAGGAGGTGGAGGAGGTGGCGGTGTATTAGTTTTGCGTATTAATTGTTGAGGATTAGCCTCACAGGCTAAACTATTGTACACACAGGCTTGCTGTTGGGGTGTAGGTTTATGGATAATATGAACTTGAGCTTGTTGAGGATTGATAATCCGAATCTCTTCTTTTCTCTGATTATTTATTGGCTGTTGTACCTGTTGTTGAACAGCCTTAATACCAACTCCACTAATCACCGTATTAACGGGTGCTCCTTGGGTGGCTGGAAGAGTGGTTACCATTTTACTATGAGTTTGTTGCCCATGATGGTGATGATGTTGTTGGTGCTGTTGTTGTTGTTGGTGCTGCTGATGATAAACAGTTGTCAGCTGAGGTTGATGATTAGAAACCGGTTGCTGTTGTTGTTGTTGTTTTTGAGGCTGCTTTGGTCCGCCAACTTGAATTTTAATCGCTCCTGGTCGAGAGTCCATTGGTTGAGGCGGAGGTGCAGCAAATTCTGGTGGTGGTGGAACTAATTCCGCCAAGACATCAACTTCATTAACTGCAGCCAAACCATCTCGTCCTTTTGTTGATCTATCACTGCCGTCTTTATTGCTATTGCTATTATTACTATTATTGTGTCCAATTTTATTACTATTATTATTGCAAGTTATTGGTGCACTTGTTGGTCTTAAACCTGTCTGTTTAACGGCCGTAAAATTATTACCACTATTGGCTGTATTAGACCCTGACTTAACTGGAACCGTGGATGAGCTTGTTGTGGTGCAACCTTTGGCCGCCCTAATTGCAGACGATATTTCACTCCAAGTTTTGGCCATTGTTGGAGCAGCTTTAGAACCAGATCCGGTTGATTGTGAGCAAACTTCAGAATTAACGACAACATTGCTATTCAAATTATCACCTAACAAAATTAAACAAAAAATTCAACATTAGTTATCATATAATGCAAAATTATCAAATCTAAATAGTCGGGGTTGTTTTAATGGCATGATATATGTACATTTAATGATCAATTAACTTGGCTATCACATGAAATTCAGTTTTATGCCCATCAAATGACAGTTTATGAATTGATACAATTTAATCAATGATAACTCACCTTTATCAGTTGCACATGATGCTATAGATGCTCTTCTAATTGCTTGTTCTTTATCTTGATGCTGAGATTGATTAGTTAATATCTGTCTCGCTTCTTGACTATTAGCTCTAATAACTGTGACCTGGAAATACAGAAAAAAAAGTAAATAAGTTTCAATATTAATTAATTTCATTTGATAAGAGAGTAAAAAAAAGTGTATTTACCGGTGTTCCCGATGCCATTAAGTTGGCAATTTTTTCACTCACAATAGCGCTATTACGTCTGTTAAGTGAATGAATTTGTTGATTTCTATTAGACAGATCAGTAGCGTTGGATTTTGATTGTTGTTGAGAATGATGGTGATGGTGATGAGTATAATTATCTGCATCAATATCCGAAGAAACACCAGATGAACTATTATCACAGATATCAACTTCAAAACAAGATTTCGAGACTCTCAGAGCATTAGCTGCTGAAGATGAAACAGATCCAGATGATTCTAAATTTGTATTATCATCTTTTTTGGGTCGAGTTAAGGTTGACGATGATGAATTAGATGCTTGTACTGCAGCTATGGCAGCCGATGTACCAACACCTTCCCCTGTTAGACTTGATCGCCTTTCAAAAACAGCAATCGACTCCTTAACCTTGTTAATATGATCTCCTTTAGGTTTAACCAAAGGTTCACTGATGGTTCCTCTTTCATCTTTCCTAGTGCTTTTGATTACCCTAATCTCCTCCGATTGGTTCGACCTTTGATCTAACGAGCCTTTTGAGCTTGCCACAGCAATGGCAGCAACTTTAGCCCTTAATTGTACATCGAACTCTTTTTCTCTTCCTGGCTCCAAAACAGAGGTTGATGTAGACATAGCAGAGGGTTCGGATTCTTTAGAGTTGACCACTGATTCATGATAACTAGAAGCCATTCTATTGTTTCTTGATTTGGGCAAACTGTTTGTTGTACCCTTAAAAGTACTCAGATCACGTCCACTCACATTAGTCGGTGTGTTACCATCATCCTCGCTTGAAGAGTAGTCAGGCTCTGGAATGTACGGTTGGTTACCATTTAAAGATTCAGATCCATCTGTGTTAATCAAAGAACTGTGTTTAACGTGTTTTGCTGGTCTTAAAGTGTTGACTCCTTGCTTTGCTGATTGCTGTTGATTGTTTACCATTCCTTGACCAGGTTGTTTCAATTTATCTGGAGATGCATAATTAACTTTTTGTAATGCTTCTAGTGATTCTGTGTCGGTTGACAACGGAAGGGTTGGCTTAAAGCTTGATAATGGTACTGAAGGTGTTGTTGCTTGATCATTTGGTGAATGCTTATTATTACCATCTTCCCGATTTAATTGAGCAAAATTTGCGTAATCAGATTTAACCCTGTTTCCACTGACATCAACTTTAACCACAACTGATTGAGATTCTTCAGATGCTGGTGTCAATGTTGACGGGAGTGTTGATGGCTTACAATTACTATTTGAATCTTCATCTTGGACAATTTTACCATTTCGAAGAGTCAATGTTTCAGAGTAAATGGGCAAAATTGAGCGAAGATCTTCTTGACTAGTTGACAAACGGTTAGCATTATTATCATATTTAATTTTAGTGTTTCCCTGTTGCGAGACAATTTGCTGCTTAGCTAATTCTAGAGCCAATTGTTCTTGAATATCTGGAGTTGAATGGAAATCTTTTTGCAATTTTTTATTCCTCTTCTTCTTTAATGCTTGAAGAGTAGTTACTTGATGGTTACCTTCACCTTGACCTTTACATTTATCATCAATCAGCAAAATTTGATTAGGATCACCTTGACGAGCGAAAAACTTTTCCAACTCAAAAGCAGAGATTCTTCTTGAACTTCGAGATCGTATTGAAGCAATTTTATTCCCATTACCATCCTTTGCTCTCAATGTTACATTATTTGGACAAACCATACTTTCAACTGATGTCGATGGTGAACTACTTTTATTTGTTTCTTGGTCATCAACCTGTTGACCCGACATTTCCGATGAGGTTGAAGTTGACATGGGTAATCCACTATTGACTGTATCAGAAGAGTTGCTACTTGTTATACACAGAGATTTTGCTCGAGCTCGACTTATTGACAAGGTTGTGGAAGGATCTCGTTTAGGAGGAACCGGAGGATTGCGAACCTTAGATGTTGACCGAGATTCTCGTGTTTCTCCAAATCCTCGAGGCATTGTGGCTGAAAACTCTTTCTCACTATAATAACTTTTATCATTTGAAACATCGGTACCATTTTTATCCTCTGTATTATTATTACTATTATTATTATTGGTTTCATTTCCATCATCTAGAGTTAAATAATTTGGACTGGCAACCGTCATTGTTACCTTATCACCAGATTGACGGATCAATTGGACAACTTGTTCATGAGGAGCTGAGCGTACATCGACTCCATTAACATTCAACAGAAAATCACCTCGTTTCAGTCCAGCGGCTTCAGCAACACCACCTGACTCAATTTCATCTAAATATTGTAAACTGATTGGTTGAGGTTGAGGCGCTATTTCATGGTTTTGCTTAACAACTGGACTTGTTGCTTTGGCACCTCGCAACACAAAGCCAAACCCTTTGGAGCCTTTATGAAGACTTACTGTCTTCTCATCATACGAAGTGATTGGTGGCATATCAGGAGGTAATATTGAAGACATTGAAATCTCTTCACAACTAGGAACTGATTGACGAGATAATGATAATGACATACCACTTTGCTGGTTTTGCTGGCTTTGATGATGGTGCATTTGGTGTTGCTCTCGTCTACCACGTGCTGGAAGGGTTGTTGAAGATCCAATGCCGAGTAGTTTTTGTTCACGACGACCTTCAACTCGTGAGTGTTGAGATGATGAAGTCTTCTCAGTGTTGGTTGTTGATTCATCTTCCGATTCACCATCTTCATCACCAGCTTCTTCAGATTGGCTTCCATCAAGTTCACAGCAAACACCGGATGATGTTGTGGTCGTTGAGATGGTTGTTGATGTTGTACATGATCTTTGAGAGGGACACGGAGATATCGATGGACCATAAGATGAAGATCCACTTCCTCCTCCTCCTTGTGATGATGATGCTGATCCATTAAGATATTTCTTGTTCAACTCATCTTTTATCGATAAACTAGGTTGCAATTTATTTTCACCTTGATTCATTGTTGGATCATTGGCCATCATTGAAGATGGAGGTCGACGAGCGGGATTGTATTTAGGCTTATCTCGATAAGGAACAACATTTTCTGGTTTATGGTTCGAAATTATTTCAGCTAAATTCATATTACCAGCAATTACAGCTACTTGATAAGCTGTTTGATGACTATTATTGGCAATCTAATATTTTTAGTAAAAAGATAAAGAAAAAGGAAGAATTAAAATTAAAACAAAACTGTCATAGTGATTAAAGGCAATAAATGGTCAAAAAGCTATTGAGATGAAACCAAAAAAGAACAATTAAGTTGAAATGAGAAAATAATGATTCATATTGGCATAATTGATGGCAAAAAATTAGATGTTGAACCTCTGAAAACAGGGAAATCATTGAAAATTTACACAAATTTAGGTAATATCGTGAGGTCAACTGATTCTTAGTTGATTAGTATCTTAAAAAATGGAAACAATTTAGCATCTATAAGAAGTAAATTGAGATAAATATCTTGTCAGTCACTGAGACTCATCTATGGGCTTAATTATACCCTAAAATTGTGAATCTTGAAGATGTTATCAAGAATTAATTGTAATCAAAATCCATTTATCCAGATGATATTTGCCTAAGGAGGTTAGTTTAAGATTAAGTTTTTACTTACAATAATCACAGATCTAATGGTTGGATATTTTCATCTCAATTTCACTCCTACTTTTGTTTGTTGATAACTTAAATGATAATGATCAGTGCAACTCATCGGAAACTTGTTTTCATTCAATCAGCGCCATTTAAACATTAATCATTGCAAGGAAAGATGAGCATTGTTTTGTTTCAAGGAACATCATGTTTAAAAAATTAAAACATGATGTTGATCAAGGCCAATTCAACTCATAAATAGATGAAATTGAAACTTGAAACACTTGAATCAATAATCATCTAATCACAATATTTGCTTTGAAAAATTCAATTGAAAAAAAGTATCAATTAAAGGTTCAGAAACCAGATAAAGCTTCACCGATTGGGATTGAAAGTAAAAAAGTAATTCAATTAGAGGCATTATTTTGAGAGCTTATTAAAATTACGATTAAATGCTAATGAATAATTTAAACATTGATAAATTATTAAGAAAATTAGATTAAAAACGATTCTCATGTATTAATAATAAGTCTTTCAGCATGAATAATGCTAAACTGAACAGTTTTACATCAAGAATTATGATGATTTTTTGATGATAATCACAATAAGCTTAGCTTTTATTTTTGATGCTCTGATTTGCTTTCAATTTCATGATACTCTGAATGAAGGTAAAAAAGGTCAAAAAACTAATATTTAATAACAAAAATTACGTTCAGTTTATTTCATTCTAACCTTGTATTTGTTTCCAAAATTGATTGTCAACATTTAATTGTCGATACTCAACTCAATTTACTTGAGCCTCACTTGATTTTCAAGATAAATTGTCACTAATAGACAATGAAATATAAAAGAAATGTCATTGTCAGGATGACAATCATTTTAATGAAAATTGATCGACTGCAATTATTAATATAATTTTGTTTAATGATTTTCACGTTCTGCATTCATCAACAATCATTGTGTTAATTACATCAGTTGTGTTTTGGATCTGAAAATAACTTCAATTTTATCATTTTAATAACAATCAGAACAATTTAATGTAATTATTGTAAGTAATTGTGATGGAAAGTGTATTGAAGAAAAGGTAAGTTGAATGTAATCACTAGAAATGAAATCACGAGCTTGTGGTCAATATTTACATTTTGATAATCTTATTCTTGAATTAATCAAACAATTTAACTTTTACCTGCCCAGTGATTTAATTTAACAAACAAAAGTGATTTCAATTATTAAATTAAAACTGATTCTTTTCATGTTGCTTTTTATCATCATTGAGCAAATAATTTATCCAACCTTAAACTGGGTGGAACAATTGGACTAAATCAAGTTAAATGGGTTAAACAATTCAATATTTAAAGATTGAATTGAAAATACGAGAAAACAATTAAACGAAATGTAATGAAAAATTGGACAATAAAAGTGTTAAAACGATGAACCGTAATTTAAGCTCCATTTTTGGTGTTTAATTGCTATTTAGTGACATTTTCAAATTTATCTTCAATCTTATTCTTTAGTTTGATTAATTTTCCCAAGGAAAAGGTGTAATTTTGTTAATGCAGTAATACGGAAATAAATTGTCATTAATTTAACCGGAATCAATAGCAATTGAATCTACTGATCAAGAGACTAGTTGTTAATAAACATATTGATTTTGAATTTAGTTAGTCATATAAAGTGGTTAATAATAGGATTATGATGGGAATATTATTTTGTAAATATCATTTGATACATTTCCTGATCAGTTGAATCTCATCCGATCCCATGTAGTTGACTAATTAACAAAGAAGCTTTGTTGATATTTTGATTATTACACAAAATTATGTAACAATCAATATAATATTTAAGATTTTCTGGTATTTTCAGCTTAGCTTAAACTAAAGCTGAGCTGGTGATTGGGTTTCTGGTAAATCTCAAAATTGTTTACAGAGCTTCATGATCTGTAAATATTTTGTGGTCAGATGAAGGTTTAATGACTGGTTATTGCCTTTTCAAGATTAATTGAATTATGATGCAAATAATTGAGTATCAAAGACTAACCTGAGTATTACATCCTCTAAGAAGGAGGACTCGGGCACAATCCATTTGATCATTGATTGCGGCTACATGAAGCGGTGTATTACCAGAGCCGACAATTTTACAGTTCATATCACATCCATAATAGAGGAGTTGTTCAAGATGAGCCACTAAACCTAATTTACAGGCATGATGAACTTCTTGCCAGCCTTGTGCATCAGCTACTCCATGGATTGAATGTTCATGGAGAAGAAGTTGAGTCAATTTGGGATTAGCTGAGTAAAGGATGGAATAAAAGAGTGAAGTTAATCCAACAGCATCACGATAATTGGGCGACGCTCCTAAATCTAGAAATGTTTTCAGAGCCACATAGTTTGACTTTTGAACGGCCACATGAAGTGGTGTTCGCCCATCTTTGGTACGAAAGTCTAACAGGGCACCACCATTGACCAGGGCTACAATAACTCGTTGAGAGGTTGACGTGGACAGGGAAGTGTTACCAGCAACCAAAGATAACAAAGTATCACCAGAAGCTTCATCAATAAAGTTGGGGTCACAATTGACCAGAAGTTTAATTATCTTTTCAACATTTCCATTGGCAACTGCTTCAATTAGACGGCTGCGTTTACGCTTCCTTCGGGTTGCTGTTGAAGTAGGCAAAGTGGTTGACATGATGACTATATCGATTCGCTGTTTATGACGGAACTCAAGGCGAACCAATGTTCGAGTGAAACAACAGTCGATTGCACCACCAACACCGGCAGTATTACAATAACTGACAACACCGATTGAGGATGGAACAGATCGCGAGGTTACGGAATGATCACTGGAAATATAACCTCCAACTCCTGGTAAATCGCCCTTCAGGTAATCGTGAAAGGTTGCCTCTTCTTCCAGGAAACTTCCTATGTTATGACAATAGAAACCATAATTAAGATCAATTCGTTCCCCTTGAGGCAGTTGATTGGTGAATTGATTATTATTGTTGTTGGCTGATGTTAGGGTCGACAGGGAAGCTGAGAGTAGAGATGATGCTCGGTTCAATGTGTTCCTCTTGCCTTCGCTACCCACAGTTAAACTGTTGACATAATTTTTTGAACCTGTTAGACTGGATCGAAATGCTGAAAGACGTTCAATTATATCAAGCTTTAGATTCCAGATTGTTTCGTATTCACTTAAAGATACAGTTTGCTGTGAAAATGAATGAAAAAAAGTAAGCATTAGTTGAATGGTAAAAATATCACAATAATATGGAAACAATGTTTTTTAAGGTTTCTCTTTATCTTCACCTTACAATGGATTAAAATGATTACTAAGAAACTGATTATCTGATTAAAGTTAAAGATTTATCCTGCTTAATTGTGCACTTGTTTGAAAATTATTGTACTTGAATGGACAAAGTAAATAAGATTGGTTTAAGATTGGTTAATCCAAGTCTAAACCGGTAAGATTCAATTCAATTTTGTTTGGTGTTGAACATTTGTTTTACCAACCTTTAGAAATTTGTTATCAAATCAATTGATTGTTTTTCAATTTCAGGTTCAAAGTTGATTACAATTTTACCATGTTAAGATGATTGTCAGGTTAATTGAGATGAGGAATGATGGAAAAAATCAATTGAATATTTACACACTAATTAGGATTCTTATTGACAGGTTAATATGAATCACAAGATGAATACGTGAAGAAACAAAATCAACTTATCCATTAAATGGAAGCTTTTGGTTAATCATTTTCACAGTTTTACCATCACAATCAATAGATTACATTAATTATGGTTTCAATATGACAAAATGATTCCTATGATCACATCATAAGCAAGCAACAAACAAAAAACCCATCCATATATCAAGTTAAAATATGTAGCTTTAACTGTTCAAAATGAAAGCTGTAGACATGGTATTATGATGATTGAAAGGTATGAAATAGGAATGATGATAATTAAATTGAGCCCATTAATTGGCAAATAAATTTGACAAGGTAACAATTGTTAAAAAGTATAAAATGTTTCATTGAGAAGATGCTAAGATGTTGATGCTGTAAATGTTATGTTGAACCGTTTCTCCTCATCTTTCCCATTTCTCTTTCTTCTCTTTGAATTGGCCCTCTTTCTTTTAGCCTCTTAACACCTCGAAGCATGAACATTGCGATTTTGCGCACTCAATAAATCGATAGATCGGTAAAATCGAAAGGATGATAAAAAAAGGAAGACAAGGTTTGGTGAGGTGAAAGGGTTCAACTGAAGAGCAAATTGAGATGCTCAAGATTCGCAAGTGCATTTGATGAATGTCAATGAGTTTTCATTATCACAGGGAAAAGGTTGGAATAATATTTTATCATAATTTGATAATAACAACTTTCTATGGTTAGCATACAAAATTGAGACACTTTAAATTCAAATTTCATTTTATTTCATCAAAAACTATCGATAGTTATTTCATGCAAAATGATGATAAGGAGAGGAGTTGAATTTTAACTTTGCCTTTGATAATTCATGGTTGTTGTGAATTTAAGATAAAAATTGTGCTAATCAAGCGTTTTTATTACTCTTGACTTTATTTTCATGATTGGTACAGTTTTATGAACTGATTTGAGATGGAAGGTGATTGAAACAGATGATTTGCATTGAAAATAAACAATATTGATAATAATTTAGTTTTTACCAATTGGTTAATCGGGTGTTTATTGGAAACAAACATTTACCGGTTTAAGGCTAATTTTTGTTCACGCAATCATTGATAGGAAACCAATCTACTGTTTTGATTGTTCATTAACCATCAAAAAGGCATCGATAGCAACACTTTAATCACGAAATGATTAACCTATTTACGGCCATTCAGGGATAATTCCAATGATCTGAATAACATTAAAGCATTATTTAAAATCATCTTGCAAATCACCTTTCACTTTCATCTATGAAATGAGTAAACTTGTTAACTAAATGCTTTATCGTGATGTTAATCAATTCAAGAAAAAATTTGATTAACACTTTCACGGTCAGCTAAATAAGCCGCCTTCTTCAGGGGAAAACAATTAATTTAATAAATCAAATCATTACAATTAAGAAATAGTCAAAGATAAATCTTTAAAACTGTAATTTTATCATTTTCCTATTCATTGATTTAAGTTGATAACAAATGATAAAATCAGTGGTTACAAAAGTTCATCTGATTTCATCAAAACCTTTAAATATTCAACAATTTTTGAAATCATTTTAATATCGAAAATTATAATTGTGATGAAACTCAGGAAAATTCAGGGAAATCTAGGAAATAATAAATTGATTGTTTGATGAAGATTGAGTGTGAATTAAAAATAATTGTCTGAACACTTCTTTGGTCGATGCAATTCATTTCCTTTCTCATTTTAATGAAACACTTTATCTTGATTTGTGTCTGTGTAATTAATTGTGAGTTGTGTATCATAATGAATTTAGAATCAATAGTTGCTTGAGGAACACTTAAGGTTATCAGGTTAAATTAATGAGCCAATCAAAGGTAATAATCAATTGACAAAGTGATGATATTGACTATAAATTGACACCAAAGGTTTTATCTGATTCATTATCAATCTATTTATTCAATTATTGCTGAGTCTAGAAGAGGCAAAGATACTTGGTTAATTACAGTGCAAACAGAATAATCAAGATCAATGCTAAATTAAATAAAGATAAGCTGATAATAAGAATCGGTTAAAATAATTGAATTCATTTTAACTGGAAAGCAATTAATTAAACAATGGTTAACACGACAAGCAAATGTCTAGATGATAGAGAATCACAATTTAAATTCAATTGTTATCTTTAAAAACAGTGCAACATTGAACATTGTGATCAAGTGTTGATGGAACCATTGAAATCAAAGTCAACACAAATTATCTATTAATTATCTAATAATAATGTTAACCTAAATGATATAATTTGATAAAAATTTCAGGCTATAATGGGTTTCATTTTTTAATCAAATAGTTCATAAGTCAATAGATGGTAAACACAAAAATATTAATTAGTTCAATTTGTTATCAATGTAATACATAACTCAATATCTGATTGTTACTATCAATAGAAATGGGAAAAAAGGTAACCAATTAAACAATCGTAATCACAATTAATTGTATTAATAAAATGATAGGAAAGATCAAGGTGGAAATGGTGTTGATTGGATTAAGAGTGAACGTTTCATTTTCATTATTGATGGATTTATTGACTTGGAAATTTGATTGAAATTGGGTTCACAGGATTAAATCAATAAAGGTTTAGTTTTGTATTAAAAGGTTTTGTGATTTTTCCAGTTAATGCAATTGTAATGTAACAATGGTGAAAGACAATGTTGATTGAAAATGGGAAAGTAAACAATCAACTAGGACATTAAGAGATGAAGTGAACGTTGATCAACAATTTAAAAGGTAACGTTGGTTGACAAGTGAAACATTATTTTGTATTCGCATCAATGGATCAACTCAAGGATCACAATCAGAAAACCTTGTAGATAACTGTCTTTAATTATTAATCCATTTTGTCACTTTTTTATCTACAATTTTTCCTGTTCACAGCATCTTAAAGACATTGAACAATACTTAAATCAACAGTTTTTCAATTGTCTTGTCAAAATTTACCAGATTTTAGTCATTGTTAGGTGAATTTGGGTTTGTTTGTTTTTGAAAAAACAACTGTTCTAAAAATCAAATGTTCATTTGATGATTGTTTGGACAATCTGGACAAATTGAGTTGTACTGTGTAATTAGTTGGCTCATGACAATCAATTAGTATTCATGTAGAGCAAGGTCAATCAAACAAATGTTAAGTCAATATGATTACATTGGGTTTTATTGGGTGAACTTTACCCATAGACATTTACTGAAACCTTGGTAATATTGATTAACCCAAAGTAATCCTCATGGAAATCAGGTTTGTTTAACTAATTGTCACACATAGATTTGATGAGAAAATGATTTAATGTTGTTTTAGCTTCAAATCTGTTGTTGTTTTCAACATTGAATCTAAAATTTAACCTTCAAGTTTATTTGATTTGGTAATTAACAAGTAAATTCAATTCTCTCACAGCCTACAGTCAATTATTCTTGATTTTTAAATTAATTGTTAAAATTCTTGCTGGTCTGCTTAAATTACAGACCTTTTTGTTTCTATTTGTTTGTTCATCATTATCTAATTAAATTACGTTGTTGTTTGGATTGTTTTCCTATTCGTGCTAATTGATTAGACGCGGTCAGATGAATTGGAAACTGATTAAGTGATTAAATATTTTAAAATAGAGACAAAAGTGGGAGAAAAAAGAGAAACCTTAAGGGCAGTTTAATATGAATATCAATGTAATCTTCTTACCTCGACTAAATATTCAGGGATATAAACATTAACCTGGATAAACTCTTCTTGGATTGGCATTGAATCTTCTTCATCTATGTCACCAAGTTTATTGTAAAATGAACAATTGGAATCAGAGTCACAGTTGTTGGAAAAGGTTTCAAGTGTTTCCAGGTTAAGTGATGATCGAGAAGGTTGTGAATTATGTCCATGGTGTTGATCATGATCATCAAGGTGTTGGTGTTGTTGAGGTTGGTTATGATGTTGGTAAGCATGGTTGTTAAATTGATTATAAATTGATGGTGGTGCTCCAGTGTCAACAATATATTGACTTGGTGGCCAATCGATGAGCGAAACACTTCTCATAGTTGGCTGCCGGTGATTGGAATAACGTTTTAAAGTTGATTGGTTATAAATTAGATGATTTGTTGATTGGAAAGGTTCCGGTGGAGTGTCGATGGTACTTCGACTTCGGAACAGATTTGGCTGTCTGTTGGAGAAAAATTTAGGCATGATGAGTGTTTTGATGGCAAAAAAAGATGATGAAAAAGCGTCTAAAAAGAAGCAAACAAAACCAATGAATCACTAGTTGGATTGACCATTTTTTTATCAACAATTGGCAAAATAAATCAATTGACTAAACATAAACATTGTAAGTAAACAAAAAAAAGTTGAATAAATGAGTGTAGCTAACTTTAAACGTTAACTTACAATTAACTGCTGGTTAAAATGAAGTGAGTAAAAAATTGTCAGTTAGTTTCTCATTAGGGAGAGAGAAAAGGTTTTGAAAACAAATCAACCAACCAACATTGAGAGTGTGATTAACATTTTAATTGGATAACAGGTGGCGATATGATAGTTAACATAGAGGGGGGAATAAGGGAACACGTTTTTTCTTTCAGTCATTTTTTCGTTATTAACCTCTAATTAAATTGGAATAAACAAATTATATTTGTGATTAAGAAACCTATCAATTCCCTGTAATTTCATAAATGGTTCAATCTTAACATCTTTCTTTCAATAGTCCAAACATTTGTTGTAAAGCTTGAGAATATCTTGTCTGGTTTAACGATTAAAAACAACCCAAGATCAAAAATTGCTCCAAATCGATTCAATGTTGACACGCTGATATTTGAAACCCTTTCCAATGGTTAAAACTACCTGAGCAGATGGTATAAACTATTACATCAATACTTGAATCATCGGCAATCTGGAAACTAAATTAAAGACGGAATAATTTAAATTTGAAAATAAAATAAAACTCAATCTGACTTCTTTAAGTCCTTTCAATTAGCTTTGCTTTTTAAGGTTTTGTTTCTCTCGAAAAATAACCTCAATTGTCTAGATTTGAACTTTGATTAGTCCTCCACTTTCACCTCTCGATGGATAAATTCAAATTCACTTATCAATATATCTTTTATCACAATTATTAAATTCATATAAGGTCAATCTTTCCGTTCGTAAACCTGAGTGTATCGGTTTAGATTTGTATCGAGTATCTTCCGTTGGGATATCGATATCTTCAATCCTGTAATCATTACAATGTAATGATGTGAAAGCGAAAGTGTCATGTCATTATTACTGTCTCCAACCGTTCATTTTAACATCTTTAATTATCAACTTGTCTTAATTTTTTGTCATCACTTCTCATCGTTGTTACAGTTTCTATTATTTAAATCATCTTTTCTCTCTCCTGATGTCGAACTCATTTTCATGAATGGTGCTTTCTATTTCATCTAAACGCTCTTTTTTTGCTCCATTTGTCGCCTACTTAACAGTTTTGTTGTATTGGGTTAGTATTATTTTAATTTTACTTTCAATCATCGATTGATTATCAACGTAAACCTTTCCCTTCTTTGGATATTGATTCAATTAACTCAATTTTATCCTCAATTGAATCACTTTTTTTCTCTTCTACCTTCTGACTCCTCCTGATCCGTCCTCAATTGTTTGTATTTGTGTACCCTGCATCTTCTAATTAACTAACTGGAAAGCTAATTACGCTAATCAATGATTTCAATTTTTTTCTTCTTAAACCTCGATCGTTGGACATTAATCATATGCTAAACATGAGAATCAATTTTAATTAAAACAAGTCAAAAACATTGTCGGTCTGATTGATTGATTTGAATAGGGAAAGTTAAAGTGAAAGAAATGACATCAAAAAACTAAAGACTTGAAATAATTTCTTCCAGAACAGTCAATTGATTACAAACCTTCTAATTTTTAATTAATTTTTTCCCAACAGACATAAGCAACCATGACAGTCAACATGCTTATTAAACACTCCAAAATGGTTTAAAATGTTTCAATTTTGGTCGGTTAAATGGCACTTATCTGGACAATTGGTCATCATCATCAGTCGTCTAATTTTGGATGCAAAAGTACAATACTGTGAGATATCAATAGAGAGACGCTATTTGACTTGAAATGGTTGGATTTGCTGTGTTTATTAAACTGGATGTGGTCATTAGTTATCAACATTTAAAGGAACCACTTCCTTGTAAAAAGCCCAAAGAAGCTTCCTGAAGAAACAGTTAACAGTCATAAAGATGAAATAAAACTAAAATCTGGCCAAGTCATGATGAAAAGAAGCAATGACAATAATAATCCTGAATAACAATGAAAAGTAATGATAATAGAAATATAATTTAGTTATTATCAAATGGTGAACGTGTGAATAGGCCTTTATTGAAAATTTTCTGAAGTCTATTATCATGATGAAGACATTATCTCTAAATGAATCCCTATGACTCTTGGAGGAAAAATAAATTACTGTACAAGATGACCATCAGCCATCTGGATCATGTGAACACGAAATTTGGATTTACAGAAATTATTCATTAAGGATTGGAACCAGAGACTGGAATGGTAAATAAACTTGGTGGAGTTCAATGTTAATGCCAGGTCAACCGGAGGGTGCGGATTGCACCAAATTTCATGGTTAAACAGTGATAATGGATAATTGTTTTTTCCAGATAATTTATTCATCATTGAAGTTTAATTGATTTTACATTGTATTGATTTTAAAAGCGTAAAGCGCAATGATTTTTAAAATGCAATTTAACCTGTCAATTGTTTACCAGTTATACTGTAATTAATTACTTGATTATTCTTATACTTTTTTTGCACCAATCCTTATTAGTTTATGTTTTACTGTAAAATTGAGCTGATGGTCAAAAATAGGAAGCTAATTTATCCCCTTAAGGATGGAATCGGCCAGAATTGATTAAACTTATCAAAAAAGATGAAAAGATGCTTTTCACAACCAAATTCAATCATATTTTCAACCTTTTCATATTTTATTTTTTACCTTTAATTATACCAATCATCGTTATTATTAACCTTTATTAACATTTAAACATATCCAATCTCAGCAACTGATTATTTACCTATTTTAATTTACTATTGTTATTATGGTTAGTTGGAGTTATCATCATTTTAATAATGTAAATCAACTTCTTAGGCCTTCTCCTATTGTAATTTATTAGCCAAGTGAATTACACATCTTAATTATATTCCTTCCAATTCTTCACTTGATTTATATAGTTTTTCTTCCAACTCTAAATCACCTTAACCTTCCTCCTGAAAAGTTAATTGTTTTAACTTAATAACTTTACCTTTAATCTTGAATGAAGAGGCCAAACTTAAATCAACTCTAATTGGGCAAAATTAACAGCAAAACAATTTCATGCTTTTACCCTTAAATATACACTTACATGTTTGGGTTTCCATTGAAAGCTGCCCTTTATGCTGTTTAGTTTTATTCAACGTTAAGTCTTTCAACATCTAAGGATTGGCATAATTATTGTTTCTCATTTTCACTGGATTAATTTACATTTGTTGTTAAATTGTTTACAAAAATATCATTAATTTTTCACTATTAGTAATTTCAGTTTTTCAATTAATTGTTTATTTTAATTGTGTTTAAATTTGAATTAACCAATCACTGGCAAGTTATTTAACCGTTAATAAAAAGCTTATCATGTTGCCAATGCAACCAAGAAAGATAAGGAAGCTCCATTTGTTTACATTCTGGTAACCCTTGAAAACCGTTTTTATATCTCATTCTGGTTAAACCATTATCCATTAATCATTTGGCACTGATTAGCAACATAATGTTTCTTTTTATTTTCTGTTTATTATCAAATCTATGGATAGAAGAAAAGTAAGTTGAAAATCTATTAACAATCATGAAACTTGACCTAGCTTGTTTTGTTTCTCTGGTTTTTTTGTATGTATAAGATTCAAACAATTTGAGTAAGTTGAATTTTCTTTTCTTTTCAGATTCTATTGTTTGCAGATTTCAGACAAAAGCTACGTCTGGTCAACAGGAAGATAAGCCCTAAAAAACGTAACTTTGGATAAGACAAGGAGCAACAAAAAATATTGAGATGCTGTTGATGAAGATGATGATGCAGAAAAAAGGCCAGAAAAATCAACAAGCAATGTCAAGCAGAAAGATGGTCAATAGCGGAATCTAAAAGGTGAATAGTCTCCAATAGATAATGAAAAAAAGGTTTCCCATTGAAATCATCAAATAACATGAAAGATGGTTAGTATAAACAGAGTTTATGTTGAAAAGTAAAAGTTTATTTTAGCCCTGAGGTTGTAATGGCAGATCACTTATACTTGTTCACAGAATCTATTACTTGCTTCGTCCTTCTCCTGACCATGATATCTTTTGCTAATGATTACATTTATTTCCGCATAACAGTGGTTAAATGTTGAAGCTAGGATTATTATTTAAAACAGGTATGAAAAGACATGAGTTTAAAGGCTTTTGATGAATCAACTTTGGTTGAACTGTTTTTTGGAAATGAAATTAATTCAATGAACATGATGCATCGTTTTATTATGTCCAGATCATCATTATCATTATGATTACTTTTATTATTACCCTCGTCATAATTATTAAGGGCCAACAGTGAACTTGGTTACTGTTAATATCCTTTACCTTAAAGTTGATCATGTGGTTATTGATTACACTTTTACCTTTTTCACTCCAAATTATTCAAAATTAGCCATCAATTTGCACCTAATAAATTCATTTTTTCTCTCTCTTTCTTTCATCTAGCAAGACAACTTGAAAAATATCATGAAATTGATGGGATAAAAATCAGTCCAAATTGATTATGCTGAGATGATTTTAATTGAAAAGCTCAAAAAATGTAGCCCCATTTGGATTGAGTTTTCCTGTTTCTTTATCATGTTTCTTTTGACTGGTGATGATTGACAATCAAAAGGCAAAGTATTTCAACAAATCAGGCAAATCAACGATTGGTTAAATCAAAAAATTGAATAATCAATAGGATTTCTCAATTCACTTTCTCGAAATTGCGACCGATTGATGCCGGAAAAAAATTGAATCAATTTTTCTATTGAAATGGATCATTTTGATGGTGCAAATAATCAAAGACAAAACGGATTTTTCAACATAAAGATATAACAAAATCTCATCTAAAAGTTGAATCTTGTATCCTGAAATAACCATGTAAGAGTGCCGTTTCCCTCAATTTTGCTCATTTTTTCGGGCAATTTTCTTTTACCATTACTATCTTAAACCTGATCAAATCAGTGATAAATTCAAATTCATGATTATCTAGAAATGAGGAATCACCCAAAATTTTCCTCTTTAGATTATCAAGATTTGATGTTTTTAAACTTATTCAATAGCATTAACTGCAGCTTTTCCCATCAATCATTTCTAACTCATTTTTCTTTCTAATTATCTTCACAGAATCCGATATGAAACATGATCATCATGGTACTGAAATAATGAAAGTGTCGGATGAACATTACTGAGTAGATTCATTGCCCGATGTATAATTTTTACCCATTTGAAAGATTCAAGACCTTGTTATGGATCAAGGTATATTTATGATTTTTAACGAGAAAGATTTCCATTTAAATTATGAAATTTACAATTAAGAAAATTGATTCTCTCTTAATTGTCTTGATCTTTCAAGTTATATTCAATTTTAGGATCTCAATTGTACACCTTTAGGGTATGAAAAGGTTTCGTTGCTTGACTATTTGTTTAAAATTTTATTCAAACTGAAGGTAACTTGTTATTGTTATAATGATATTAATTTAAATTTTCATGATTGTGAGAGAAATTCAATTAATTATTTCATCTAATTTGTTGATATAATGAACAACCGAAACACTTTTACTTTTTATTCACATGCTGAGTAAAATTGGAACATCACTGAATGTTATTTAACCAGAATGAAAGGATAACAATTAAAAGTGTTCAACTGTTATTTAAATACACTCAACTCTCCGAACTTGTCTGAGTGTATTCAACATTTTGTCTTAATTTAAATTCCATCTCCTTTTCAGTTCTCATCCTTCACCAAAGTTTCCCTATTCAATTTTCCCTGTAATTCAATGCAGAAAACCTTGAATTTACTAAATTTCTCATTGAACTTCAATTAGACTAACTGTTTCATCTTAATTTGAAATTAACTAAGCATCCAACAATCGCTAATCCTCTTTAACTCCTTCACCAAACAACCAGATTCATCTAAATCTTACTAATCTTAATAATGATTTATACTTAATCATATTTTAATATCATTTTCTTCTTTGATCTCAACAGACTGTCATGGTGAACAAAATGAGAGCCAACGTTGTTACATGGTGTTCATTATGCGGATAATCTCAATTAATTGCATTGATGATTGTTAATGGGTTGAGCAATTTATTTTAATTTATGAATATTGAATATTCAAAAAGGATTTTTCAACTAATTTTTATCGTTTCTTCTTTTACAGGAAAAGCGTAAAAATTGTAACTAAAACATCTTCCTATTTCAACCCTTTCGTGGCTATGGTCCTGTTACATATTCAATTTTTTCATCATTAATGATTTTTGAAGATGAAAAGATGTTAATAATGGTGTTTAATGCAAACTATTTGAGGCGGAAGTGTTGGAAAAACGGGTGAAAATTATGCTTCTCATGGTAAACTTAAGACTTGAGTTTGGATAAAGTAAAAAAGAGCTATTCCAATATCAATTGAATTGAATATAACAATAGTCTGGTCAAACATGTTTAACTCTAATAATTGTTAAATAATCAACGGGATAACCAATGGACGATAACGCATCACTGCTGGTGATCATCGATTAAGCTGTTTACAGATAATCAAAGTGAAGCAGAGCAACATACAAAATGATGTTGAATCGTTGTGAAGGGAAAACAAGGAAAACAATTGATTGCGGATGATGAAGACAAGCAAAGTTAACTCTTTACTCCTTGAAGACAAGATAAACCAGAGAAAAAAGATGTTGGAAAAAAGCATAAAAAAAAGGAAAGGCAAGAATAGACAAGGAAAGTTGAATTGGACTGAATGTGCTGATGATGATGGCTTCTTTGTTTCCACCCTGGCTTTAGCTTAGATAATCAATGAACCATGGTCAGAACAGAGGTTGATCAAGCTGATTGGGTTCAATAGATAAAAGACAGGTAAAGTTGACTGCAAGTTTCTTACATGTTTTATCAACAGAAAAAAAAGTGGTTACTCTTTATCATAACCTTTCAAAAGAAATCTCCTTTTTATTCAACATTCTAACTCTTTTTTTTTTCTTTTCTCTTTTTCAGCCTTTTTTCATGAACTTTTCTCTCATTGACTATTCAACTCAATGCAATTTACAGTTTACCCGTTAAATTTTACAGAAAAAAAACCTGATTTGCCGTTGGATTACACACTATCTATTGTCTAAATTACTCAGGTCACTAACTTTGGATAACCGTTGGACTAAGGCTAATATACATATATCAACACACCAAAAATTAATTTACTTTTAACTAACAATTTATCTGATTGTTGGACTCATGGTTTAGTGTGATTGTTACCTCGTTTATTACTTTTCAACTGATTTACATGCACGTCTTACCATCACATTGAAATTTTTATATCATCATTATCAATTAAGCCTGAGAAAAAATATTACTGGTAAGTAAGACGTTTTATCAAAGTTAACAATTTTCTCATGGTAAATTGAATTGTACCTAATCCAATTGAACATGATTACAATTTAGTACAGCTAATGACTTTCATAGCCTATTATTAATGTATTACTACTGTTAGTGTTAACTCTAATCAACGGTCAACTTGTTAAAGGTTACCATATCATTCAATTACTTGCATGTATATTTCAATTGAATTTGTAATCTTAGGTGCTGCTGCTTTTAACCTCAAATTGTCATTTAATTTAAAGATTACATTTGTTGCAATTAATACAAAAATATTTCAGAATTGTCCTCTCTGTTGATAGTTTTAGCCATTCAACAAGTAATTTAGCGATAATTGTTGTTGAACATTTTGATAGCCTCTTTTAGACCACCTTGGATGCTGTAATGGCCAATATAATTTCAAGTTATGTTGAGTTAATGAACTCAATAAAAACGTTTATTGATTAATCAATGTACTTTTAGTTGAATAACGATGACAATCATGGACAACTTGTTTCAATGTTTTCACCCAATATTTCTAATTTATTCTTCTAATTCTAGATAATCTTCCTGAAAAGCAACCAAATTATCAGAGCTATTTGACCAACTAATTTACCCCAAAAGGATATGTTGAAGCATTACAATCAATCAAGATCAACAATTCCAGTTTAAGGTTAGTTGATACATTGGGCGATATTGAAATGATTGCTAATTACAATTGATTCTTTCTGTTTTCTTCTATCCTTTAAGATGCTAATCAAATGGAGGATATCATCTGTACTCTAATCAATTGCAACTGTCAATTCACAATAATAATGGCAATCTTTTTGGCAATAACCTTCAAATTGTTAAAGATAATTATAATGATTGGAAAAGATTGAATTTAAAACACAAACAATACCCAAATAAGGTTGGATATTGGTTAATCAATGATGACCTGTTGATAGTGAAAAGAAATCGATCAAGCTGGCACTTTGAGTGTAACTATTAAATCCATTTATATCAATAATCTATTCATATATATTTGGAAATATGAATTTTTAATTCAACAATTACATTATTTAAAGCGAGGTCAAGAATGGATTAATATCGCCAATCCAAGGTCCTAAACAACTGATTGTAATATTTACAAAAGCAATACAACATTACAACATTACAACAATTTAAAATTACCTTTGATTGTTCAACTTTTCACCATTTTTCAAATTGCTTGATGCTATTAATCAACATTTGGATTCACTGATTAATAGAGATACAACAATGCAAGATGATCGTTAATCAAAATGGCTCTAAATGTAAAAAATGAAAGGAAAGATAATTTGTTACCAGAATATCATTTGGACTTGGACTAGTGGTTAAAAGCTGTCACAAATGAAAGGGCAATCCGTTATTGCCTTGGGTCAATTTATTTTTAATATCATCATGAAAAGTTGATTAGCAACAACATTTAAACCTGATGATCAACAATCCTCAAAGTAAAAGTAACAAGGTTCTTGGCCTCATCCTCATCACCAACTTTCCTTAACTTTCATCTCAACTCTCATCACCATCCTCATCCTGATCATCTTCCTATCCTTTTACCTTTCACTTTTTGTTTAATCTTTTTTCCTCTCTTCTTAACCTCTCCTTGTTTTCCCTCATAAGGTTATCTTAATTTCCTCCATCAAGTTACGTCAGGTTTTTATATACCAAAGGAATTTAATCTCTCAGCTATCATGTAAGTTAAAAAATTTCATCTTTAAGTGAAATTAACAGAATTATTATTGAAGAGATAATGCTTTTTGAATAATCTCTCTCAATCATTTGCTCATTCACAGAAAATATATTCACTGAAGAATCTAATTTCATTTGAATAGTAAAGGAGAAGAAGAATAAAAAAATGATAATAATAATTCCATTTATTCACTTGCAATTGCTGATTCATGATAATCACTTTTTGTTTGTATTGCATTTAAAATCGACATTAACTCTCCTTTTCTTTGCCTCTTTCACTTCTAGCCATTTCATTTGGACTCATGATAAACTGGAATAACCAATGTCCCTACGATTGCTGAGTATCAAATTCCGGAAATAAAAAAGCCAAAAATGGATACACAACAAATGGAGTGAAAACTGTTCATTATTGATTGCCAATTGAAAAATTTGAATCCTTAAACAAATCTCAAAAGGATGATGTTGCTGTTAGTCCAATTTTTCACCAACACCTCTTCAAATTTTTCGTGATTATAATAATTTAATCTTAAATTAACTGATTATAGTTAATAAGAGAGTGCAAAAGTGAAGACGAATCATGAAGGGAAGGTAAAAAAAGGAGAAATAATTTTTTTTCTTTCAAAACACTTGTTCATCCACTGAACACTATTTGATTTTAATGATGAACCATAGTTTTCCGGTTGATGAATTGAACACTCCCACTCGTTGATAAGTTTCCAGAAATTATCATCACCATCATGGCTACTGTTGATTCATTTTATGATTGGTAATTTACTAATAAGAAAACTGTTGATTATTAATCCTTTGGGAAACATCAGTTTCTCTTCCTGTTCAATTGGAAATTTACGTTCACCATCAACATCAAAACAAATCAACATGAAAATGACCATCATCAGCATCATCATTTTGCTACCTTTAAACAGTTGGGTGAATGATTGGTCAATATGACTACTGGATTGGATACTGAGTTAACCAACAATGGCTCATAAAAACCAATGAAATATGAAATGAGGAAGAAAAGAGGATAAAACGAAGAAGACAAAACAAGTTTAAAAACAGATTACTCATGTAAATAAAGGTAAAACTGGTAAGTTAAATTAGCATTTTATGATAGTCATTGAGTCTTTCATGTTTACTAATTGTTACTTTTGACACTTTTCCAGGTTCCAGGATAAAATTGAAAACAATGAGACATTACAGTTGAATATGCTTTACATTCAGAAGGGACAATCAGATGAATAACTTGACTTGTTGAATAACAAAATAACCTTTCACATGGCGATAACCCAAGGGCCCAACCAGGACATGCTGTGATTTGAGTTGCTACTATCTTTTGATTAAGTCATTGGATATCTTTGTATGAAACAGCAAACTTGGACTTGAAAAGGTGTCTAATTTTTACCAATGACAAGAAGTGTAGATGAAAAAAGCAAGATTTATTGGTAAAAAAAGGAAAACAGAAAACAGTTTGAAACAAAATTTATGTTTTTTAGCAGATAATTCAGGTCCATATTTTGAAGTGCCTTAAGGTTTTCCCTCTAAGTAGACATCATTTATCATCAACATGATAAACATTTGAAACCACTGATTTTCATCTTCTCTTTTACTTTTATTCAACTAATTACAGTTAAGCTAATTAACCACGGCTTTAATTGGTAGTCCAGTTACTCATCTTGTTTTCAACTCACACTCTGTTTTACCGTAAATCTTGTATATCTTGTTTCATTTGTAAAACAATTGTGTTGACCAGCAAAAAAAAAACTTCAAATGCAACAAACAAGAGCAATTGTAATAAGTTAAAAGCAATTGAAATTACTATTTTAACTTATTAATTGTTCAGTTATGGTAAACAGATAACAATAAATTATCTTTACAATTGCCTTTTTTTGCCTCTGCTTTGAAGTAACGCAAAAGATATCAAATTGCTTCGTGGTTGATTGTAAAAAAAGAGTAAGTTGAATATTTCATGATTGGAAAAGCCTGACTTTATTTCAACAGCATTTTGTATAATATTTCAATACAATGAATAGCTGGATGAAGATGAAGATGAAAATTATTCAACTTTTCTTGCCTACTATGGACTTTAAGTGCCTTTAAGTACAAAAATTTGCTTGTTAAAATGAAAGTTAACAGCTTATATTGATTTTACTATGTTAATGGTAACCATTGACTTGAAAAGTTATTTCATTTTATTTCAAGGATAATCTTGTTCTTTCCCTGATTCCTGATGATTGACCAATCATTTGTAATCATCTTGTCATGATTTGTTATGCAAAAATGTCTCAAAAAGATGAGTTGAACACAACAGACTCTTAAAGCTGAAATCTGATCAAAGCAAACAGTTTACCTTAATTTGATATGTAACAATTTATAGCAACTCATTTTCATCTCTAAAAAATGATAACTTGATTATTTTGCCTTTATCAAAATATTCACTGGCTTCTGTCACTTTGATTAACGTTTATCCAACTGATTTTTCAATGTTTAAAATGTACTCTTTTTCATTGTTATTTAGGCTTGGAAGGAAACTGGATTTAGAACAATTAATCAATGTGGAAATCAAATTTGGTGTCACTATTTACATTTGAAAAATGTGTTGAAGGATCGATTGTTGACTGTTTCCAATTGATGATTAATGTGACCGAGAAAAAAACAATCAATTTAACCTTGATTAGTTAATGTATTTGGACAGTGGAATCAATTGAATCAATAGAGTCGATGGAATCAATGGAAGAGTCTGTGAATATCTGATTCGGAAAGGATAAACATTGAGTTATTCATGTGAGATCACCAGATGATGATCACATCGATGCAGACTGTCAATGTAAATATCAATGAATCAACGTCAATATAGATGATAATGAGATTGCCAATGAATCTTGGAAAATTTGATTGCCAAGATGATTGAATGTACCAACAATTTTGATTCTAAAAGATTAGGTTTTAACATATTTTTAAGCTTCTTTGAATTACCTTTGAAAAAAATACTAGAAAAGGTGAGAAAAGCTTGTTCGATGAAGCTAATAATAGTGATAAATAATAATGTAAGGAATGTATTATATCAAAGGAGAAAGGTTAAGTACAAGAGGGTCAAATGAAGTAAGGTCACGGAGTTACCAATAGATGTAAAGACTGAATAGGATTTTTGCTCTTCGCCTGGTGAAAACCTTTTCTTCAACAGGTTGGAGGAAAAATTTCCAGGGTCCAAGTTGAATCATGAGGATGATGGAGATGATGAGGGTTTGATAAACAAGTTGATAGAGTGAAAAAGATTGAAAGATTGTTTTGTGATAATCTCTATCATTTTAATTCTCCCTCATCATGTATTGGTCATTATCATCATCATTGATGGCTTAAATCTAGTCGATGAAGCTTCTTACAAAAAGTAGTTCTTACCTAGTAATAGTAGTCAGTGAAGTTGGGAGAGAAACTAACCAATGATACGGAAAAAGTAGTTAGGATGATGATGATGATAATAATGGTGAAGATGGAAGAGTGTAAACCGCAATTGTAAGCGTTTTTTGGCAACTAAAATAAATAACTGGGTGCTACAATCAAACCAATTCACAACCAATCATTACAATCACATTTCATGTCAAAAAATCTTCTACCATCAGAAAAGGGCTTCTCAAAGATGTTACATTGAACATGTTACGATGAGAAGCAAGGCTTTTAGGTGTTTGGATAAATTTTAAACTTAATCAACTGATTGTTTTATTCTAGGAGTTAAATTATCGTCAATTATTGTTCCTTAATCGTACCAACAATCAAAGGCTGCATAATCATTTTGCTCCATTAACATCATCATTGACCATCTTTACCATTAAAGTCACTTGTTGCGGTTTAACTGTATTATTCAATTATTAGGTGATGAACAAGGGAAACACTTTTAACACTGAAAAGCGCAATAAATCAGTATAACAATTGAATGGTCAGTAAATTGTTGAAATTTAATTAATTGTCTTTTTTTAGGGAAACAACATTTTCTTCAATTGTTCACCGATCTAACTATTAATTCAATTGTCAGTGTTTAACAGGCTTTATAAAATGGTCAATCAGTTGGTTATGGTTGCAATCAGATGAATCAAAAGCAATTGTTTAGTTGATTGAAAAGGATTGACACCAAGAATTGGATTCATGGAAATATTCAAAAAATTGAAATACAAAAATACAAATGAAATGCTTTAAATCATTCAATTAATTCAAACAGCTAAAAGATGATTTAATTAATCAAATATTCACCAATCTTATGGTAATGTTTTAAAAATTTGCTCAACATTAAATCAATGGTTGGTTAGGATCATTCAGTTTCACTTATTAAACAATATTCTGTACCAGAAAATGTTGAGTTCAATGATTCTCAAATAATTCTTGTTTCTTTTTAAAGATAATTAAACTTATTAAGATAATGATTAACTCAATTATCTTGAGTTTAAATTGGTAGTTGTCATTATCAGTTGATTACATTGGTTGGAGAGAGAGAGAGACAAAAAAGGTAAACAAACCTGATTGTGATGTTTGAAAGTTGATCTTTGATGAAATATCCAATGTAATAATGAAATAACACAATTTAAGGTTCCAGTTTTAAAGTCAATTTGTTTAATTGCATTGGTGTTGTATTAAATCCTGAACAATCAATATGGAATCACAAAACAAATCAAAAATATTGGACACAAACTGATTGCAGAAGTCACAAAATTGTTAGTCACAAATGCATCAGCAAATTGGTTGACTTTTTACAAATTTAAATTTAAACACAACTTGGAATGACAAACTGAAATTAAGAAACATTGTGGTTAAATTAACTTGAAATGCATTATTAATTGAAAGTAAAATGTATTGGTAAATGTTCAGTGTTTCTGTAAGTGTATATCATTCAACACTGAAACAACTTTTTGCTTCTCCAAGCTGATCTTCAATCTCACTTATCATTCGCTCACTCACAATCTTGCTGAGCAACTTGTTAAACTGAAACATCTTTTTCCCTCCTCATCATCCTCATCATCATCCGTTTTTTCACAGAACTAATCTCAACTATCTTTACATTTGCTTTTTTTACATAGAGTCAATCATGTTTGACCTCTACTTTGGAGCAAAATTTTCACCTTAACCATTTTACCAATCTTGATTTATTTCAAGATTTCAAGATGATTCATTTAATATTTAATACTGGAAATGCATAGGATTTACATCTGTTAAATTGTCAGCTCGTTTATTTATGAATTATTAGACGATAAAATATGGAAGATTACAGGAATTTGAGTTTTTATTTTCACATTGAAACACTCATTGGATTGGATTCAAGATATTGGTACAAAATATCTTTATTATCAATCTTCGTTATTGTTAAAGTGAAAATTGTAGATAACAAAGATTATTTGAATTACTATTGCTTTCAGGCTAAAGGGTTTTGATTGAATTCATATTGAATTTTGGGTGATTAAGAGTCTAATGAAAAATAGAGATCACGATATTCCAATATTTAGTATTTTTAATGTTTCCTAGAATACTCAGCTTGGTACAAATGATGATAATTTAATGGGTTTCATGCATAATCTTTATGATAGTACCAATTGCTATACCATTGGGTATTGTATTTGATTTTGATTTCATTTTTACTGTTCAACTAGACATTGGTTTGTCCATCATTTGTTTGTCATTGATCCCAATAAAACTTATCAGATAATAATTTGTAGTCTCTGAGTAATCAATACTTTGCTTCATAACACCTATTGAACTTGAATGAGACAGGTTCAAAGTAATAGACAAAATCATAACGACTAATAATCTTCTGAGTTGTGTTCATTTGTCAAATGATGAAGCTTAACTTTTAAGCTGATCAAAATCCTGGTTCAAAGAGAGAGTTTAGTTTTAATCAATGCTTTTGGAATGGTTGGTCTGCTTGTATTTTGGGTTAGATTTTTTAACAGTCATTATTTCAATTAATTAGTAATTGTCCGAGATGGATAATTTTTCCGTAGAAGTGGTTCTGTGACTGAATATTGCGATTAAAAAAAGAGAGAGAGGAGTGAAAGAAACACATACAAGGCTTGCTTTTGTCCAAGGGAAAGTGGGATCTGTTACTCGTTAGGCTATTTAGCACAAGGTAAACCCAAATAGTAACCATTATTGTTAATTTGTTAGAGTTATTTATTCCTGTTGATGATAGATTAATTGTAACCTTTTATCCAGTAAACCGATCTTTGTAGATTATGACAAGACAATTATCGATTGCTTTAAACTAGGACAAGATTTTGCAGATCGTTAGCCTCCAGTTGAATGATCAACAAGTGACCCAGCTCTTTTACCTAGATTTGATGATACAAGAGATAGCCTCTGTTGCTCTTCTCGTCATCAATCAGTCAATTGTGACCTAGGTAAATCACTGGCTCAATCACCAACCGAAAAGTGTATCCCGTCCATTAGCTTTCCTTGTTACACTGAACATTAAAGTGTTTTCTATGAATGTTGTCAAGCATGCAAATTGGGATCTATTGCACGAGAAGTAGGAAGATCATGTTCACTAACAGCAAGTTTTACAAACCATTGGATGTAATCTTTTACTGAATGCTGTCAAGCAAAGTCAACATCCGCCAAGGATGATTCTCGTGAAACAGATACATCAGAAACAAAAGGCATCTATGAAAATGGTTATCGAGACTCAAACGTCAATCGAAAGATGTCGATGTAATCAAGGTTACAAGTTGATTCCTTTCGGGTCATCATGTTTAAATATAAATGAGTTTATAGAGCTTGTGCACCATGGCAAAGTTGTAACAGTCAACCTGACTCGTACAATTGCACTAATAAGCCAGTTGATCAGCTAACAAGATTCAATCAGTATTCATCATCACAAGCTCTTTGTCCACCAGGATTAACCAGAAGTAAATCAATGTATTAATATCGATAAATGCGTGCTTGAGCCTCCTGTTTGTCATTCAATGTTGGAGACTTGGCTCATATCGATGTGAACGTCAATTACCCAAAGTCGATCCACCTCAGTGTTCGGCTGGTTATACTCGGTATACACAAAGCACAAAATATCGAGCTTTGCCTTGGCATTTAAAATTCACTCATTGTCAATATTTTTGCCCTTTTTCTGATCATTTTTTCGTCGCTCGAATTCCTTCTCTTCAATTCTGTTTCCAAGTGTCTTCATTCAATTTAAATTTTCAACTTTCTTTTCTTATTTAATTTATTTTTTTCATTTAATTTTTGTACTGAAAGACCAAGTCTAACTTCAATCATGTCAATTCACAAGTTACCTGACGATTGTTTGATATTGATCTTTCAAAATCTTCATGAGTTGGATGATGTGTTCAATTGTTATTCAAGAAAGTAAGTTAATTTATTTTTTTCTTCATTAATTTACCATTTTCAATACCTTTGACTCTAAATTAGTAATTAACAAAGGTCTATGATTCATTCACTTTTTAATTTTGAAATTTAATTTCTCTGGCAAATTTGATTCTACAGTGATGTGCCAGATAATGGGAATAATTTTTTTCAACGGTCCCTGAGTAGAAACATATGTTTACTATTTTCAATAAGCTATTCCCACCTATTCCCATTATCTGGCACATCACTGTAATAGACTAGAGTTTAAACTAGAGATTTTGTTGCAACCATCAACTGTTGATTAATTAATTAAGTTCCGAGTGTAGAATCTTTTATTGTTGCTCAATCAATTTCAAATTTAATTTGTAATCTGCCAGCAAGAAATATTTTATCTCATTCCGAGTAATTATTGATAGAGACAGATTGAGAGTAGGTTGAACTCTTTCTGTGTTTCTTTTAATTTTATCGTAAATTGAATCTCTGTGTAAGGCTCCTCAGTCGTAATTGAACTTTCCATAGTAGATGGCTGTCGCTTCGAAGTTGTTCACTAGTTTGGTTAGCATACAGGTGTTGAGTTATTTGGTTATTGGGCAAAGAGTATTACTCTTAGGTGGACTCGACCCGGTGGAATGATCGATTACAGTAAGCATAATTAGTTTCCCTTTCTCAACAGTAGCCAGCTGAAATTGAAAAGAAAGACGCTTTGTTAATTTTCGGCCGATGCTCGAAAATTGAAAGGCTGGAAATAAAAACAAGCTGACTTTTCTCTGGATCTCTGGATGGAAATAATGGATCGCTGCAGAAACCTCGAGATGCTTGCCATGACTATCTAAGGCCATGTTTACTTAGATATGACCTGTCCGTAAATAAAAGCAACTTCAGCTAATGGTTCATCAACTGGATTCTTACCGTTATGATGCTGAATATTTCCCCAATCTAAAGAGACTCAATATCTACAATGATGAAGGTAGGTTCCGATTTTGTTTTGATAAAATTCTATTTGTCACATTTTCTGTATTTCAAAATTGTATTGTATTGATTCTTGTATTAGGTCGATCAGAGGGAATGTTTAATGGACCAAAGCTTGAGAAGCTTAAAATTCTGGAGATGAGCCTTATTTCAGAAGGATAGATGCGATGAATTTTATGGATTTGAATTTATGAACTTTTGCCCTGCATCGGAAAGTGCTTATCTGTTGCTAAAATCAAATAAACATATCGTATCTACGTCAACTGTTAATTACAATATGCGTGATCTTGTTCTAATCTATGTAGGAAAAGCCTCGTTTAAAGCATTCTATTCTCCAATAATTACGACTGATGCAATAATGAGCTTTATTTCATTTGCACAGCAATCTGGATGTGAACAAGAATGGAACTCGTTGAGGACTAATGCGATATCCCATATTAAAACACTAAGCTTTGCGTGATAATTTCCGAATCTTTTGTTTACCATGTTGAAAAGTTGGTCTGAGCTGATGCTCGAAAATCCCTCGATTTTATTCAACATCTGACTGAAAAACATAATCGTACAATTCGCTTGTATTACAATCTAAACGGTAAACAGATGGCAATGGATCTACCTCATATATCCCTTGATAAGGATTGTATCGTCAAAGAATTTTATTACATGCGGCACTGCTTAGCCAAAAAATTGTTAATCTCCCATATTTGATGGGTGTTTAAGACAAATTTGTATCGACAGAGCCATTACATATCATTAACCATTCAATAAGGAACTCGAGAAATCAATTTAATTTATCATTATGAACTTTAAACCATTCATGTAAATATGCTTTCTGTTAGTTTTTCAATTTTTTATATTATTTTCGATATTACATATTTCAAACTATCAATTGTTTCATTTTTCTTCAAACATTTCTTCTTATCAAATTACATTTATTATATTTTTCATTTATTCATCAAATTATCTCAGTCATTATTGACAGTTGTAAAAACAAGTGTATGGCAAAGAAACGCGAAATGCATAAAAATCTGATCCTGGTAATGAATTACTCAGGAGTAAGGAAAAATTTGTGTGTTACAGTAACAATGTAACAGCATCGATACTTCAATTATTGTATTTTAAACAGGAAAAAATCTATCTTAAACATTTTAACCGAATAGAAAGAGTAGAAAGTTATGTCAATATTGATTTTGAGTAAACGCAAAGGGATTTTATACAGTTGGACAATCGAGATTTCCAATTTTAAGATCGAAATGTATACTCAAATTCAGCAACAAATATGGAATCACGATATTTATCAGGGATCCAAGGCACAAATTGTAAGCTTCTAAATTTATAAGTTAACAACTGTCATGTGATTTTAAAATTTCAACAAGCTGATTTGGATAGAACACAGATTATTTGAGTCCAATAATCTAATGTTGAAACTAAACTGTCAATAAACCAATTTGAGCCATAGGTCGATTGAATGTACTTCAGTCGATGAATTAATTTTCTTAATTCTCAAGATTTCACAATGGCCAAGGTGCGAAAAAGGATTATGGAACTTTTTTTAATAATAAACGGAACGGTATCGAAAAAGTCTACATTTCTGCCTGAAGAATATCATTTTAGTACTTAAGAGTACTATGATTAGAACATCTACGCTTCAGTTTTAAGTGACCTGGCTCTCTGGGTTAAACAATTGAAATATTGGATGTTGCTTAAAAAAGGTTATTAGGAATGGCTCCGCCAAATATTTGCATCCAAGAAATTGGTGTTTTCCAACGATTTTGAGGCTTTGAGCTGGTGATTGGCTGTAACATAAAAACATAATCAATTAATTAACCCGGAACTTTAGAATGAATAATTTCAATTTACCTCTTTAACTTTGATAATCTTATTCGCGGTTTCTAATATCTCCATAGCTTCAGGAGTATTATCACCTTCAGAGCAAAAAATTACCAATAAAAGTCCTGGTACATTCTCTTTTTGCCTGTAAATTAAAATAAATTGAGTTTAGTTCAGAGTCGGTGACGCTCAAAATCAGTTAAATTCAGTAATTACCAGTATTGATATAATGTTTTAGTAAGGCCACCGCCGACTATAGCAGAAATGCTCAGCTCTTCATCATTTTCAGATTCTTCTTTTAATTCTGTAACCTTCAACTGGTCAGATAAAATAGAAGGACTATTTTCTTTAAGTATATTAGTGGAAATATATCGAATAGGCTTAGATTCTTTGTCGAAAATTTGAGGTGAAAGATACTGAGAGAAGCTTGATGATAAACAAATGGCCAATTTAAATTTTTCTTCCCCAATCCATTTAGATAACTCTTCGACGAATTGTTTACTTCGTTCCTATCGTGAAAAAAGAGAAAAAATATAATTAAATAATGAACAATGTAATCTTCAAAACAGCTAACTCTTACTTTATATGGCGGGGCTCTTAATTGGAGGATTACCAATTTGTGATCTACAGACTCATAAACTGTTATAAATCGGATAATAACCATTAATTATATTCAGAAAATTTGCAAGGCTGGAATTTATGATATCTCATACCTTCACAAGTAGTCATGATAGGACTATCGTCATCAAATTGATAAGCATTAGGACCAGAAACGCTTTTCAGTGCTGTTGAAAATATGCGCCCAACTAATTTCACTTTTCTTTCCCAAATCAATGTTGTAACTAAAAGGTCAACAGCTAATTGTCCAACATTACCAACTGATACAGCAGGCTGAAAGATAAGAATATAGCGTTAGTTTGTCATATCGCAAATGAATCTGAAAAAGTGATGAGCCAATACGAACCATCAAAAGTGTACATTCTTGCCATTGACAGCCTCTATCACTGAGTTGATTGAAAAATTGAATATCTTTCATCTCGGTGGACACAATTATCTCCAACAGATGATTTATCTAAAGAACTGAAGAGATAAAAAATATTTAAGAATTAGTTGATGCTAGTGGAAAAAGTACTCATAAAATCTAATTAACCTTTAAATTCACAATGCAATCTTTCGATCATTAATATTTTAAAACCGCCAATTGATTAAAAATTGTTAAAACATTGAAATTTTAGTAAGATAGTAAATTTTAAATGACAATCATAATTTCAAGGCTTCTCGGGTAAGCTTAAGGCGGTTAAATCAATTCAAAATCTCCAGTTGAACGCGAATCATAATCTGTCGAGTGTAATTTTTTTCATTTCAATACGTTTTTGGCTGCTGTCATCATCAGTTTTTTATACATCACCAATAGTCGGTAGTACAGCTGTATGCTGGTATGGAATACATTTCGAAGGAATGTCAACTATAAACATCTGAATCCGTCCTTACCATCTTAAAGCCTATGGTCAAACACCAATAATCTCTTTGAGGCCGTCCAGCACTGCAATAAGTAACCGTTCAGCACCGGTAAGTGAGATTTTAGGCTCATTTTGTTTGTCATTCACTTGGAAACAGACTGTAAACATATGATTCCAAAACCGTTTATAGTAAGAGCAAAATTTAACAAAAAGCAACCAGATTGTTTTAACAGTTTTTTAGTCAATTAACAGTCATTATTTTAATTAATTAGTAATTGTCTACTCACCGAAGTGTTATTATTGGTAGAGATGGATAATTTTTCCGTAGAAGTGGTTCTGTGACTGAATATTGCGATTAAAAGAAAGAGAGAGAGAGGAGTGAAAGAAACACATACAAGGCTTGCTTTTGTCCAAGGGAAAGTGGGATCTGTTACTCAAGTAATAATCAAGGTTGGAATGACTGGTTTTACAATTCATATCCAATTTTATTATTAATTTCATTTCATTTGTTTTCAAATCATTTTGTATAAACATCTTTTTATCTCAGCTCCCTTCTTTAGGGAATAGGTATGTGAATTATTATTATTTTTTTAATTTTTCTATATTTTTTCCAGTAGCTTTTCATCATTGGTATTTTCTTTCATGAACCGATAGATGAAAATGCTGTAACAACTGATTTTCCTTTCAAAAGCTACCTGTATTCTTATCATTAATGTGATTATTTTCCTCATTTTCATGTGATTTTTGCATCAACAGGTTGACCGATGTCGACCGAAGCATCTATAAATCTCCCCGAGGACAATTCTGCTACCTCTGAAACTCGGATTGAGTTGAGCTCAGAAGTATCGACGCCAACCTCATCTACAACCCTTCAAGCCCTTTCAGAGAGAGAAATGTAAGTTCCATTGTTTATAACTGTTCGCATCACAAGTAGTTGGATGGTAATCCATATGTTTACTCAATTACGCATTAAAATTATTTTTCTGTTTTTCTTTCAGTAAACAATGTTGGGTATGTCTCCAGACTGAGGATGAAAAAGGTGCTGATAATGATTGGGTCCGACCATGCCGGTGTAGAGGTTCCTCAAAATATGTACACCAGTCTTGTATTCAAATGTGGATTGACGAAAAAAAGAAATTCAATTCAAATGCTAAAGTAGTTTGTCCTCAGTGCCAAACTGAGTATATCTTAATTTTTCCTCCTTTCAGTGAGTACAATTTCTCAATCAATCAATCCTGCCATCTCAATCTTTGCCAGTACCTTTAAGTAAGCTTCAGTCAAGTTGGAAATTTCATTTCAATCATTTCTTCCGTTCTCTATTGCAGCCTTTTCACCAAACCCAGATGAACCTTTAACGTTATACAACAAGGTTAAAATTGTACATTTTTCAGCTTTGGATACGACGGAAGCTCAATTCGATGTGGACTTGTTTCTTATTCAGAGTTGGTTCCTCAACAAATCAGTTTGCCAAGGTTATAGTGATCTACACAACAATTACTCATTTAAAGCACCGTTGGTGGCAGTTGATGGAGCTATGACCATCATTGAATATGATATTCTGACCAAAATACTGACCTGAAATTCTGACCACGAACTTACTTTCCCCAAGTGAAGACTACAATCAATCCAATGTCAACCTATACTGACGGCTTTCTAACGATCTATCAAACATCTCGCATCAAAGATCAATGTATGGTCAAATTTATGAGACGATTGTCCATCACAGTTGAATGTAAACTTGATTTCAGGCGTTTTCCAAAAGATACACAAATTTGTCCGATTGATTTAACTTCAGGTAAATTCAAGATTTGTTTTGTTTTCTCAATCTTTCAACCTCACCTTTTACCCTTCTCTAGCTTTCTGGTCAATGTCAACATTACATTATATTTGGGATGAAAATCCGATTGAATTTAGGCCTGAAGATTTAGATCAAAACAACTATCGAGTCAACATAACTGCATCATCACGGATAGACACAGCATATGATGGAAGTAAGTAAACAAATATTCAATAACATGATTGAGTTTCAGTTGATTGTCATAATGTTTTTAATTTGAACAGAGACTCGCAGTTGGTTGACATTACAATTTAAATTTGACCGTAAAATAAGTCATTTTATTCTGGAAATCACAGTTCCTTCAATATTGATAATCATCTCAGCTTATTTCTCGTTCTTCATCTCGATTGATACTGGATCAGGTCGATTTGCTTTCAGTGCAAGACCTTTGTTTAATTTAATTGTCCTCTACAGCAGTTATAAGACATATTTACCACCATTATCATATGTAAATGTGAGTTAATTATAAAAAAATAGATAGAAATTTAAATATTAATTTTCTTCTTCTTTTTCAAAGGCTGGTGATATTTGGATGCTTGGAAATATTTGCTTTGGCTTTTTTACAATCATAATAGTTGCTTTCAACGTTCATTTAGGACAAACCAAGAAGATTAAATCAACAGCTGCTAACAATTCAAATGCTAATACACCATCAGAAATATCATTTGCTGTTGATAACTTTACAAATGCTAATACAAATAATAATTGTACTTGTAATCGTTTTAGGCACATTTTTATTTTAAAACATTTTCGTTGCTTCAAATGTAAAGTTCATCCAATGCCTAAGCCGATTTTATTGAAATCTCAACATTATGACAAGATGATGAGAGTCTTTTATCCAACTGCTTTTATAATTTTCAATATTGTCTACTGGTTATATTTACTTTAACAAGTGTTAGTACAATATTATCAAGTAAATAAAGTTTATGTCATTAACTTTAGCTTCCATAATCACTTCATTAAAAGATAAAGGTGGGAAAAATAACAATCTGAATTACTTCAATTAATATACGTATTCATATTAGATTTACACTTTTGTTTGATATTTAAGTGATGATGGGGAATGAAAGGTCAGATTTAAAGATGGTTTGCTTTAGAGCAATTATCAGATTTATCCTTTACAATCAAACTACACGTCGTAGGATTAGCAATTTGGCTATTTTTCTGTAATATTTAGGACAAATAGCCCTTATAAGAGTTTTACAAAAATTTAATTATAATTTTATTATTTAATTTCGGATGTTTAACCGAGTAATTTGTATTTAAACTGGATTAAACGAAGCTGTTTACTTGGTCATCAGGACTCTGCTAAAATTAGCGAGGGTTCCCTGTTATGCGTCGGTTAATTTACAGTAGGATGAGTGCTTTGTTGAATATTAATAGATTTGACAGTCAACTTGCACCAGTTTGTCACTGTCATAGCATTGAAAATTACATTATAACCCATTTATAATATTGTTAGTAATTGATGATAAGGTTATCAGCAATATTGTAATTAATAAGAATCAAGAGTTGAACCAAAGTTGATCTTCCTTTTCTCTTTGAATTGAACTACCCATAGCTCATAATGTCCAATAAATTCACAAGCAAGTCTCGATGGTTTGATTTTAAAATGATACTGGCTTAACAAATCATAATGATCACTATAATCCAATGGTTTTTAATTTTAAATTGTCAAGTAGACGATCCATTAATAATTATTAATTATATTCAGAAAATTTGCAAGGCTGGAATTTATGATAGCTCATACCTTCACAAGTAGTCATGATAGGACTATCGTCATCAAATTGATAAGCATTAGGACCAGAAACGCTTTTCAGTGCTGTTGAAAATATGCGCCCAACTAATTTCACTTTTCTTTCCCAAATCAATGTTGTAACTAAAAGGTCAACAGCTAATTGTCCAACATTACCAACTGATACAGCAGGCTGAAAGATAAGAATATAGCGTTAGTTTGTCATATCGCAAATGAATCTGAAAAAGTGATGAGCCAATACGAACCATCAAAAGTGTGCATTCTTGCCATTGACATCCTCTATCACTGAGTTGATTGAAAAATTGAATATCTTTCATCTCGGTGGACACAATTATCTCCAACAGATGATTTATCTAAAGAACTGAAGAGATAAAAAATATTTAAGAATTAGTTGATGCTAGTGGAAAAAGTACTCATAAAATCTAATTAACCTTTAAATTCACAATGCAATCTTTCGATCATTAATATATTAAAACGCCAATTGATTAAAAATTGTTAAAACATTGAAATTTTAGTAAGATAGTAAATTTTAAATGACAATCATAATTTCAAGGCTTCTCGGGTAAGCTTAAGATCCTCTCAACTTTTTCCTTCAACGATTATTCAGAAATTTTTCCTCCATAAATGAGTAGTCAATCTTTAAGGCGGTTAAATCAATTCAAAATCTCCAGTTGGACGCGAATCATAATCTGTCGAGTGTAATTTTTTTCATTTCAATACGTTTTTGGCTGCTGTCATTATCAGTTTTTTATACATCACCAATAGTCGGTAGTACAGCTGCATGGCTGGTATGGAATACATCTCGAAGGAATTGTCAACTATAAACATCTGAATCCGTCCTTACCATCTTAAAGCCTATGGTCAAACACCAATAATCCCTTTGAGGCCGTCCAGCACTGCAATAAGTAACCGTTCAGCACCGGTAAGTGAGATTTTAGGCTCATTTTGTTTGTCATTCACTTGGAAACAGACTGTAAACATATGATTCCAAAACCGTTTATAGTAAGAGCAAAATTTAACAAAAAGCAACCAGATTGTTTTAACAGTTTTTTAGTCAATTAACAGTCATTATTTTAATTAATTAGTAATTGTCTACTCACCGAAGTGTTATTATTGGTAGAGATGGATAATTTTTCCGTAGAAGTGGTTCTGTGACTGAATATTGCGATTAAAAGAAAGAGAGAGAGAGGAGTGAAAGAAACACATACAAGGCTTGCTTTTGTCCAAGGGAAAGTGGGATCTGTTACTCAAGTAATAATCAAGGTTGGAATGACTGGTTTTACAATTCATATCCAATTTTATTATTAATTTCATTTCATTTGTTTTCAAATCATTTTGTATACACATCTTTTTATCTCAGCTCCCTTCTTTAGGGAATAGGTATGTGAATTATTATTATTTTTTTAATTTTTCTATATTTTTTCCAGTAGCTTTTCATCATTGGTATTTTCTTTCAGGAACCGATAGATGAAAATGCTGTAACAACTGATTTTCCTTTCAAAAGCTACCTGTATTCTTATCATTAATGTGATTATTTTCCTCATTTTCATGTGATTTTTGCATCAACAGGTTGACCGATGTCGACCGAAGCATCTATAAATCTCCCCGAGGACAATTCTGCTACCTCTGAAACTCGGATTGAGTTGAGCTCAGAAGTATCGACGCCAACCTCATCTACAACCCTTCAAGCCCTTTCAGAGAGAGAAATGTAAGTTCCATTGTTTTATAACTGTCCGCATCACAAGTAGTTGGATGTTAATCCATATGTTTACTCAAATACGCATTAAAATTATTTTTCTGTTTTTCTTTCAGTAAACAATGTTGGGTATGTCTCCAGACTGAGGATGAAAAAGGTGCTGATAATGATTGGGTCCGACCATGCCGGTGTAGAGGTTCCTCAAAATATGTACACCAGTCTTGTATTCAAATGTGGATTGACGAAAAAAAGAAATTCAATTCAAATGCTAAAGTAGTTTGTCCTCAGTGCCAAACTGAGTATATCTTAATTTTTCCTCCTTTCAGTGAGTACAATTTCTCAATCTATCAACATCGCGTTACCATTAGATGGTGATCACAAATAATTATTTATCACAATGATCAAGATTGTATTGCCTTGATATTTAAAAAGTAGCCTTGCTCATTAGCATTGAACAATCTATCAACTTGAATGTCCATTGAAGGTTTCATTAATAAGAAGATGAGAGGAAATTATACACAGAGAGCAAGCTTTAGGCAATTATCCTTCAATCTAAACTTTTTCAAGACATAATTTCTACCTGGATTGTTAATTAATTGCCCACAATTTAATTTCTAAAAGTTGATTTCATAGTTATTGCTATTTTACTAGAGATGACTATTCTCACCAATAACTCAATAACTAGATATAGTTGCGTTACTATTTCACCTATTTGAACTCTTGCATCAGATTTTTCAGTCAGCGTTCTATTTCCATAAAATAAACATGATGTAATTTTTCAAAATGTTTTCTCTTGACACTCGAATTAACTCGTAACTGTTTTTGTCTATTTCAGGTGGGTTTGTTTTAATTTTGGAACGTTATGATGGATTTTTGCTACATGCAGCTCCATATGCTTTTGGTACCATGTTACTTGGTTCCGTATACTGGGTTGCCTTATCATACGGGGCTATTACCGTTCTGCAGGTCATGGGACTCCAAGAAGGAAAAACAACATTAGAACAAGCAGACCCTTTCACGTTATTAGCTTTTTTGCCAAGCATACCTTTATTTTTGGTCTTAGGTCGTTTCATTAGCTGGCAAGATCAAGTTCTTAAGATTTGGCGTAGACATCATCGCCACATTCCTTTTCTTAGTCGTATTTTGGGCTCACCACCTCCAGGAACAGTTGAAAGAGCTGAACGTATGCTTAACCATCGTGATCTTTTCTCTCACCCTTTATATTGGTACCGACAAGTTAGTGGAGCTTTACTCCTTCCTACTGTTTCCTCTTTCATTGGTAAATATTTATTCCCCGGAATTGCATCAAATTTACAGCGAACAATGCTCGTAAGTGTCATTTCCAGTTATGAATTGAGGTATACAATCACAGAACTTGGTTTGAGCTGAAGAGACTAAATCAATCTATGCTTTTGTTTTGAAAATTAACCTTTCATTGTAAAAATCTCAAGATAATCTTTTCTGACTAAGGGTAAGAGGCTCTAGAAAGTGAAAAGGTGGTTTTATCAATCTGAATTGATGGTATTGACACTCATTCATCTTCTTCAAAATTAATTGGAAATCAGTCAATGCTCTTCTCTATGGTTAGAGACTTTTGTAACATCCCTAGTTTATTCTGGTGAAACCAATCCTTTAACGGTACAATCTATTATGAATTGTATTTTGAAAATGCGTTTCTGTGATTTTATCCTCATTATTAAGTTTTTTGTGTAACATCGTTCTAATTTGAAACTAAAATTTTCTCTTTATTTCAGGGTGGCTTAACCTTCGTAGTCGCCAAAGGACTTCTCAAAATTTATCTACGACAACAGAGATACATCCAACAATCTAATCGAAGTATCCTCGATTATTTTGAAAACTCTTCTTCGGCAACAATAATCAACCACAACTCAACCCAAACTGAAGTCAATGATGATAATTTGTATTGAAGAAAAATTTTGCGCGATTTTGTAAATTTCTGAAAATAAAAAAAAATAAATCAATCTATCTTCCTTCACAAGCTCATCTATTGTAAACAATCAATCCTCAATGACAATAAAAAAATTGAAATTTCGTACCCGTGCTGTACTAATCATAATGCTATTAAACTTACAATGTATATATAAAGCCTAGGCATTTGATCAAAATGACCATTTATACCCACAAAGACCAGAAAGGTAATCAAAATAGCATAAAGAAAACATTTCTTTGTTCAGAAAGCCAGCTTTTGCTACTCACAACTATCAAAAGAAACAATAAGAACGACATTTGATTTTGAATAATTAAAGCTTTTAATTCACCTCAGCATTAAGCGGACAAAGCCACCCAGTAGCAATTATTATTCAAATTAAAGCTAAAACAAGTCCAAAAAATCAAGGGTAATATTATATCTATGAATAACAAGTTAATAATAATAAAATCTAACAAATCAAAAGAAAGGAAAACACTTTTAATTAGCTAATAAGCCCCTTTAAAAATATCTCTTTGAAATATGACGTTCAAATCATGCGCATTTTATTTGTTTTGTTTGAAACGGATGACCCTGTATTAAGAGGGCAAACCAAATTTTAAAAGTTGCTTCCATCGTAAAGGTGAAGAGTCAAGCTTGAAAACAAATGGTTCAAATGAGATTAATGTTGAAAGGCCAAAACGTGGGTTACTTCGAAGTTGCAAAGTCTATTTCATTTCAAATTTTCATGGATTTTTTTTGGGTAAGTCTGTAGTATTTATCTTTTCTCTATCTCTTTCTTTCCTTATTTTGTTTCTGTCTCATTATTTCTCTTTCTATCTTTTTCCTTCTTTCTCTCTCTCTCTCTTTCCCTCTTCCTCTCCCCCTCTCCCTATCTTTCTCCCTCTCGCTCCTGTCATTCTCCTCTTCTTTTTCCTCTTTAACGAGTGAGTTAGTTGTTTGGTAGTTTGTACACATGAATCCACATACATTTTTTCTGACCCAATTTTCGTTTCTTCTTGTCATCCATATCTTTTCTTAACCAACCTTTAATTTCGTTCTTAATTTATCTCCACAGTGTCTTAGGTGAAAAATTATCCAGCTAAATGTATCTCTTAATACATTCTGGTTCAACTACTGTTTCCTCTGAACCGCCATTGTGCCTCACCATTGGTTAATGACCTTTATATTATCAATTTTTGGTGCAACTCCGTCCTTAAAACTAACTACATCATCATCACCATCACCATCAATTACCACAAAAAAAACATCAACAAACATCAGCATATCCAGCTAAACTGCTTGCTATATTTATATATTTTATTCATCTTATTACATCGCCATCATTTTTATACTTCCATTTGTATTTTTTTCACCATCTTTTTTAATCACCACAAGTCCAAATGAATTTACAACTACATTATAAGTTATCATTACAACCTCTTCTAACCACAGCTTCGTCGACAACAACAACAAGCTCACCATCAACCATGATAGATGAAATTTATTCTCATGAATTGGAAAGTTATTTTCCTACAAGGACTGAGGAGAAGAGTGAACAACTAAAAAAGTCCTGTTCTTTTTCCAATTTTCAAAGTTTACTTAGCCAAGAAGAGTCCAATAAGAATAAGTTTCTCGTTGATTTAACGCAGAAGAAGCTCAAAATTTTTGCCTTTCTGAGCGAATCTTCATCCAGCGCCTTTCGGAACAAAATTTTACTCCAAAATACACTTAAGAAACATAACAAAGACGATGAAAACGGATCATCAACTGAGCCAATCAGAATAACAGATGAAGACTACAATTCATTTATGAACTCAGAGTCTTACAATGTGCCTACAATGAATGTTAAATTTACTCCTAGGAAAAGAGAATTAAGAGAAATTAATGAAACAAACTGTACAGATGGAGACGAATGGAGGACAGATTTCAAAAAGTTAAAAGTATCCTGCCCATCCGAAGAAAGTGAAATGAAAGCATCTAGCAGTGAAAAAGATGACGATTTTTTACCTGATGATTTGGCTTCTGTGTTACTAGCCTTAAGAACATTAGAATAGTTAAAACATCATAATTATAAATACAACAATTATGAAATATGTACAGCCAACAAGTTCATCTTTTCAAGTTTGTAAATACTTCATATGCGCAGTTAACCAAATGAGATAGTCTATCACAGAGTTACAATGATAATTTTTGTATTTAATATATGTTTTTAAAGAGCTATTTAACTACCAAACCGTTTAACCAATTCATCCTTGATATGTGCTATTGCCGCGCATTAGATATAGAAATTATCAGCAAACTTGAATCCTTTGTTGTACAAACATCCAAACCAGTAAATATTTATTCCCGGAATCAAGTACGATCTGTATATAAGAATGATGGGTAAGTTGAACTTCAAATTGATCTAAACTTTTAACTTTGCCCTTTTATGATGTTCATTTATCCTTACTAATTTCATATTTTTATCTACCTCTTCTCTTTTATCTAGTAATCGCACGATTTTTTCACCTTCGAAGTCGCCAAACGGCCTATCAAAATTTTGTTAACGACAGCAAAGATGCATCCAACAATCAAATCAGAGCTCTATCGAGTATTTTCAAACTCTTCATCGATATTCTCTTGTAACATAATTTAAACTCTGCCTGAAGTTAAAGATGACATTTGTATTGAAACGTTTTGTTCTCAATTTTGTAAATTTTGAAAAAACAATAAATCATTTATCTTCTTTCATTTACCGATTTTAAATTCTCAAATTTTACATAAAAATTCAGAATATTTACTTAATTTGCAAACCAATTTGAGACAAAAATTCCGTTATAAACAGACTTTATTAAAATTCTAACAAAGACTCATTATGATTAAATTTTCTGGAAGGCAGCGACATCAACTGATTGAACAAAATCTTCGAATTTTTCAATTTCTTCAGTCAACCAATCAATGGAAACTTTATCATCTTCCACAACACAAACAATTTGAAGTTTCTTGACTCCAAATGCAACAGGTTGTAGCTTAGATATACCCCAAACCATACCATCAGCTTGAATGCTCCGTACTGCTTCCTCCAAAGCTTTCATATCTGTTTCATCATCCCATGGTTTTACATCGAGGATAACATTCGATTTGGCAATAACGGCTGGTTTCTTAGCTTTCTTTTCAGCATAAGCTTTGAGACGTTCTTCACGAACTTTATTGGCCTCAGCATCTTCCTCCTCTCCGAACAGATCAAGGTCATCATCATCATCAGCTGCAGCTTCAGCACCAAAGTCAGCTAAAGTTTTCTTGACGCCGGGGAAAGCCTTCTTCTCAGCTGCTGAATAGGAAGATATGTGGCGAAACCAACGAGCAACGTTAACGTATTGATCACCAGAGACTTTGTTGGCTGATAAAGCTCCAGCTAAAACGACATCGGACTGTGATGGAGTGTAGCCTTCAATGTAACTTTTATTGGCAAGGAACTTGTCAAGAGTGGTCAGGTTGGCAGGAGAGTTGATATCACCGGAAAATTTGAGGGCCATTTCGTCTCAGAATTGTTAACGATTACAAATAAGCTTACTAAACTAATTTATAAATAAGAAAAGACTAAGAATTGCTTTCCAATTGACAATTGCAAACTGTTAAAAAGACTGTTATATCCGGCTGTCAATTTCCGCTTGCCGAGCTGCCATCTCTTGGATTATATAAAGTTATGTCTCGAAGTTTGATTGAACAATAAATGAAATCTGTTAATTTGAAATTTAATTGCAATGAGATTTGAACTTTCAACTTTAAATTAACAGATCAGTTCAAAAAATTGTCTCAAAAATTCATACACTGCAAGTAATTGAAGCAATAATGTCTTACACGTCATTATTAATGACCTTTAAAAGTTTAATCTCTTTAATTTTCATAGAAACTAAATGATACAATTAGACAGTTTTTAATAAGAAATTTGTGATTAATATTATGATAAATCAATTTGATAAAATTTGCATAAATAATTATGATGCTAATTTAACATGGAATTCCTAAGAAGAAAATAATTTTATAAATTTTGTAGGGAAATATGATTTGTTTTTCAATTTTTAAAGATGAAATTAAAGCCCAGCTTAGTTGATCAGAACGGAATATTTAAAGTAAGAACTTTTTGTTTATTATTTTTTCAGAAAGTATATTTAATTATAATTATTTAGTTAATCACATTGAAAAGTCATGGTCAGAGTCTCATTATCAAATTGCATTCCACATGAGATGACCAAATTTTCCATACAATCGGTTGCAGATTTTGCAAGTTCCTTATTACCTTCTGTCATACACCATAATAATCTTTCATATAAATCATAAAGAAGAGATGTTCCAAGAACAGAATAATACTGAGTGAAAACGTTGATAACTGAGATGAGAGCGATGTTACCAGTTGTTGTCATCCATTCAATTTTTTCTGCACTACTTTCAGGTCTTTTCATTTGATCAATGATCTTGAAAATTATTTCAAATAAATAGTTCCACCAATGCTTTTGAAAACTATCTCCATATGATTTGATAATTTCAAACATAACAGTTAAAGCACGGGTACGCACATCCAGTTTACATTCAGATACAAGACGTTCGAGACCAAAGAGCAGAGGAGACCAGCCTCGGTTCCATATTTTGTCAATTTCACCAACTATGTCAGAGGGAACATCTGAATTCACTTGATTAGCCTGATCTAAAACAACATCTAAAAATCTATTGGGTTGATCAGCGATATATTTTGCACAAGTTCTTATCATACTGATTGCTTCGATACCGGTATCAGGAAAATTTTGATTACAGGCAAACTCGGAAAGGCACTTAACTGCATCTTGGAATGAGTCAATCATAAGATGGAAATAATTTTCATAGTGAACGTTAATAATTTCAGAAGTCTTTCGAAAAGATAATTCAACAATCGATTGATTTGCCTCTTTTGCTGCCAAACTGAAAATGCTGAAGATATTTTTCCATCCAGATTTAATGTTTTTAGCTTGCGAGGTAACCATTTGTCCGATACAAGCCACAACCAAATATCTTACGTCAGGACTTTCATTATGTTCCATAATATGTTCAAATGGACGAAGGAAATCTTTTTGAAACCGGAAATTGGCGAACTCTCCTTTTTCAATAAATTTCATTGATAATTGACGAAGAGAGTCAAGGGCAAAAGAAGCAACCGCCTCATTGCCAGAGCAGCCGACTTTATTGAAATGAATACCTAATTTTTCCCATATCCTGGACCATTGAAGCCTAATTCTACCCATGTTATAATAAGATATTTCCACTAGTTTTTGAAGACTGAACATTCTTGGGTGAGAACTCGATGATAACTCTTCCAAAGAGACTTTACATAGAGCATCCACAAAGTGAACAATTGCATCTCCATCAAGTCTTGTAGAGCCTAAGATGAAAATCAAAAACAAAAAAAAAGATTAATATATTTCTTGGTTTATTTGATATTTGATTTCAATGAAATACCTGTGAAAATTCTGTCCACCGCAACTACAACGCTTTGTGAACTTGTTTCATTTAAAAGCTGGTCATCTTTTTTATGGAATGTAGTGTTGGTTCGTGACGCAGAGTCACTGGAGAAGATTGAAATTCCTTCAAATCTGGATATGCTTACATTAGGAAATGATGTATTGGATGTGTTTAAAAGAGAAGGTTTAACACCGGTACCAATAAGTTGAGCTAGTTCAAGTTGAGAGATACATCTAAGAATTTCAAGCCAAGATTGACCCAAATAGTTGCCATCGGTGTGAGCTACTGCTATCAATGTTTTGATTGTGTCAATGTTTTTAGTTTTCATTTCAGTGTGACTGGACGTTGTTGTTAATAAACTAAATTGAGCAAGAGCTTGCACATAAGCTTCTCTTGCAAGATCCATATGAAAAATACAGGCGATTCTGATGGCACAACGGATACCTTCAAGGCACAGAGAGGCTATTTCCATGTCATCATCACAATCTTGAAGACCAACACTGAAAGTGGCTAAAAAGGGAGTCCATGCTATTTCAAACATAGGTCGAACATGTTCAAGATGCTTTGCTGATGTAAAAGGTGCTTCAACATGGGCAACACTTTCCATTAACACTCGGGCAGTTTTAGCCATTTGTTCAATCTCCATGTTGTACAATAATCGTCGCTTTTTCAAATTAGTTACATCTTTATTTAGTTTCCATTTCATTCCATGATCACCTTTCATTTTGATTTCACTTTCAGCTATTTCATCATATATTTGTGATAGATATTCTTCAGGTAGATCCTTGCTATCATTGATACCTCGATTCATTCTAATGTATTGTTCTTTGGTCATTTTATTTTTAACTTGAGAACTGTGAAGATCAGTAGTTAAAATTATTATTGAATAGGCCAGAACATAAGCTGTATCAGCGCTAGCGAACAGGGTATCATTTGGATTACATTCACAGTATCTTGATGCAAACTTTTCCATCAATCTATCGATTTTTTGAGCTTCTCCGGGTAATCTAAAACCTTCTAAAAATAGCCTTAAAGCTGATACAATATCACGATTGCTAAAGTCCATCTGATCAACATATGCGTACATGACTTCTTTATTGTTAGGATCATTATCACCAAGATATTCACCAATCAATGTTTTATCCAGTCTATCGTTAGAATGGAAAAATTCAGCTATATCCCATGCAGTCTCGCCAAGATAGCCATGTTCTTGGAGGAATGAAAGACCCCGCTTAGGTTTCCAGTTGAAAAGATCGATTCCTTGTTCAATAATTTTCTTTTGGTTTTTGACGACTTCAATTTTTTCTGGATTGTCATAATCATCTGATGTAGTATGGATTCCATTATCATCGCCGTTTTCTTTGGGTTGATTTTGATTCAAGTTAGCCATTTGATGAGGGTTAATGTAAAGATCTTTACTCCACTCAGCCATGCACTTGAGAATAGAGACTAAACATTCCAGACCTTTGATCCTCATACTTCGTTCTTGGTTCGCTGTAACTAAAGCCATATCAAGTAATTGTCCTCTACCTTGAGCAATCCTGGACAAATCGTTGACTAATCGTTCAAAGATGTTTGCAGAGGAGAGGTTACAATCATAATTAACATAAATATCAACAACACTTTGTGCATCAGCACATATTTTAGTTAAAACTTGAATGACCATCCATTTATGTTCGAAGCTACTGGTTGGTGTTTCCAAGATATTTAAAAATATTTCTTTGAAGAATACTTCAATCTGCATTTTTAGATGCGTCTTGAAATTTTTGAGGAGAACAGAAAAAATAGCCAATGATAACTCAAAAACCTCAGGCACATTAGATACCCCATTCTTGGAGAGTGCGACACACAAGTATTGTTTTATGGCAATGGCAAATAAGTCACTAGATTGGAACACTGGTCCAGGATTTTGCAAAATAGATAGAATTAGTTGGAGGGAAAGTATCTTGGAACGAAGTTCATGAGACTTTGGGTCCAGGTGTCCTTCAGGAAGTACTTTCATACTAAGCTTACAAAGAGAGCGAAAAACTAAATATGCATCTTTTTGAGTTACATGAGTAAACTTTAGACCAGCTCCTCCTTCACTGTTAGCTAAAGAGGTTGTATCGGAGGCTTCAAGGCTATCAGATGAAGGTATCCGGTGATTTAAGTGATTTGAGGCTATATGATTAGATGATGATGATGAATTAAAACTTCCACTACTTCTTTCCGGTTTTAAATCGTGTCTCTCTTCACTAGAAACAACATAATCTACCATGTCATTAACAATAGACACAACAGCTGATTCAATCTCTGTGTCGATATTTTCTTGAAAATCGGAATTTGATAAATTATCTGAAACGAGAAAGAAAAATTAATTGAAAGATACTATTTACCAGAAACCATTAAATTCAATTAAATAGACATTACCTTCAATATTTGCACATTCTTCCATCCTACGAAAGATTACATTCAACATTTGAGTTAGAGTTGCCTTTGCAGTGGTCTGGTTAATTAAATTTTTGCTTCCTATGTATATATTATAACAAGTTTTAACTGCCAATAAAACACTTCCCTCATGAACTTGACAATATTGGGAAGAAACAACGGTTAATAGGGCTTTGATAATCTGCAATTGGACTCCTTCATCGGTACTTGGTCCATGAAAACATGAACATATAGTATCAACAATAACATCAATCAGCAGTTTTTCTGGATTACGGGGATCTTGGGTATTACCGGTTATGTGACCATATGCAATCAACTTTTGGATACAGTCTAAAGCAATAATCACAATTCTAGCTGATTTCGATCCACAACTAAGCTCTAGAGGATGAAAATATTTTTCGGCATCTATGTTGATGCTATTTTCCTGGTCCTTAGGTAAGGGCAAGGCTGTTGAAAAATTTCCAGAGCTTTGATTATTTACAACATCAGGTCCCATTTTTTTCTTGATCTCATCAAGAGCTGTTTCACAAGCCTTTTTAATGTGAACATTGGCCGACTTTCTGATCTCTCTGTCGGCCAAAATTTTCTCCAATGTTTTAATTATGAACATCTTGCACGTAGTTGGAGGTCTAACGGTAAGAGACATTTTAATAGTTTGCCATTGAATGGTAATCTTAGCACTTGGCCCATGGAAAGCAAGAAAGAAGAAGAAAGGGTAAGGGAACAGATAGAGAGGTTGAGAAAAAATGAAAAAATTTTTCGGTATTCACATCAATTTGGAAGTAAATGAAGGATGATTTTCAGAATATAAGGTCCTTAGACCAGATGAAATATTGAAACATAAGCCAGTAACTTTGTAAACACAGCGGTCACAGTGAATTTTATGAACACAGGCTAAATAAATAAAGGAAAGGAACACAACCAAGGGAAACAATATTATCAGTAATAATATTTTTGACTCATTGATTCACAGAATTCCAAATTGCACTCAATACAACCCTTAGAAATCAAATAAGTTTTTATTGTCAATATTTCAATTTACTAACATTACTTGTACATTCAGTCATTTCTTACTCTATCTTTCTCACATCCTTATAATTGAACAAAATGACGCCATCTATTGATGATTCAAAGCTGCGCCTATCACATTTATACTCAACAGTAACTATTTCATGATTTAAAGTGTGACAATTAGCTGTCAATCAGTAGTGTCCTCTATTAAATTGGATACCCGATCAGCAATAATATTAGAGGATTGACTGTATGACGAAGCATACAAAATCCATAACAAATATCTAAAACACCGCTAAGCGCCAGTTTTAAGAGTGTCGGTGTTTAAATTCATTGAATTAATCACATTTTCACACCTGAACATTCAAAAATTGATGATGAAAACAAAAATGTTGAAATCAACATTAAAAAATTATTTTGGCAATTGGATAAGCTGAAATTATGAAACCAACAAGAAAAATCATTTAATATCAGTATGAATTGATTTGAATACAGTGAAGGAATGATTAAAAGTTGATCAAGTATACAACTAATAAATTACTAAATTTATTGCACGATTGAATTGAGATAATTTCAAAATCAAATGTTGATTCAAGATTTGCAAAAATCTTCAGACATTTAGAAAAATATATTCGTGTGACCAGCAGGAGTAATAAAAGAGTTTTAGAGAAAAATAATCATAATAATTGATTGATAGGATCTGTAGAATGATCCAATAGGTAATTCAAGAACAAAAAAAATTATAGACGTAATTAGTGCGTCAGTAAATAATTAACAATGAGCATCAATGAACTAGTGATTGTTATTCAAATTTCATCCCTCAAGTTGATATTTATCCAAGCAACAACTGAATGATCAGAATGAATCTTGAGTAATCATAATTAATTGGATAATCCATTAGACGAAATTTTTAGCTGCTTTGGTAGTTTGTGATCGTGTATTAAACTAACAGTTCGTCCGACCGATTCTAGAACAAGCTGTGCTGCAAGAGGAAGATCGTTGATAACCGCTAATAAATAGTAATTTTCTTTCAAATGACTTTTGATTATACTGATATCATATTCCCTAATAGCGTCTTTGATCAGACCAAATTGGTTAACATCATCCTCTGAGCGTCGATCAACAATGACTATTCTCTCGTCGTTTTCCCAGGCATCGAGTAAATCATCCATAGTTATACGAGGACAAATCTCACTTACTAATTCGTTGATTGGAAACTAAATTTCAAAACAATGAAAAAAATATTGTTAATAGCGAATCGAATGAAAACGTTAACTTTCAACGTACCAAACCTCTTTTTGTAGCACTTGGTGGAGTTTTTTTAACAAATTTTATTGCGTCTTGGACGCATTGATCAATATTAATCTCGGGTAAATCACTTGAAATGAGTATACAGTCATTGAAGGTGTAACCAAGTAGCTGGTTTCTTAACTGGTTCAATATTGACAAACCAATGGATAAGGGAAAAGACTCATCACCAAGCAGAAGAGTATCCCAAACATGGAATATTTTATGTAACGGTAGTACATGAGTAAACATGGTTAAAAACCAAGGAATACAATAGAGTTCTGGAGTAAAGTTTAGGTGATAAAGATGATTAAAAAGATCGACATCGTGAAAGGCAATAAGATGCGAAAATAAAGCCAAATATTCTTGAATAGTTTCAGAGTTGTCTTTAGCAAAAAATCCTCTTAAATATTTGTGTATAAAAGCGTTGAAAGATGCAAAAGCCATTGCTTCATCATGAAAATTGAGCAAAACAAAAGGAGCCGATAACGAATCAAGCCCTTGCCAATAAACATAATTAGGCTCATTATGTCTTAACCAAGCTTTAAGTATTCTTGAAAATTTTTTATGGCCCTTTGGTGATGCTAAGAGATCATTGTATTGGTGACATCTTGGAATATCAACACTGATTTGTCGATCAGTGCTAGTTGGTGTTAGCTTGTCAATCTTGTCGTAAATTAGTAAATCATTCCAATTAACCTCTAGTATCACAGCCCAAGCCTGAGCTCGATACATGGGAGGTATGTCGATAGTTGATGCCTTTAAAAGATCATCTCTCAAGAAAGGACTTTCATTACACAATCTCCTGAATAGTAGAACTCTTTCAACTTGATACATGAAATCGTTTTCTCGAATAATGATAGGAAGAGCTGGGTCAGCCTCAAGTTTTTTTTCTTTCTTGAATCTAGTTGATATTAATGGAAACAAAATTGTTGGATCTAGTTCACTGAGACGCTTTTTTAGATTGTCCATGGGTAAAACTTCAATGTAATGAGGGACAAATGATACTCCAGATGATGCAGAATTGGTAGAGTATGAGTTGGAACTTTGTTGATTTTCTAAAATAACTAGAGAAGGTAAACGCATGATGGGTGGATCTTGTTTTTCATCACATTCCTTGTCTCTATTTGCAGTTGAAGATAAACACCAAAAATGATATGCTTCACGGATAGTCAATGGGCATTCATCTTTACAATACTCTGATATCTTATTATATTTTATCAATTTATCTAGTGGGTAGTTCTCAGGGATGGTTGAATCGATATCAAGTAATTTCATTAATTGTTTCACAGTCGGCCTTGAGTTCACTTTAGGATTTAAACATTGGGTTATCACTTCTTGATATTTTCCAGATAACTCCGTAACATTTAGTCGCTTTAATACTTCATCAACTGTTTTACATGCAGCAAGTGTAACTGGATTGCGAGGTAGTTTTATTTGAGGATAAAGGTAGCAAAGGAGAACCAATCCGAATGACCATATATCTGACCTCTTACATGGTTTACTTTTCAGATTTATAGCACGTTCAGGAGCAACAAAACTCAAATTCTCAGGCAATAAAGCAGAGCTATCGAGAAATCTTCCATATTCAGTAATCACATTTAAAGGCCAATGTATCCATTTATAATTGCTGCCATTATAAACGATTGAATCAGGAGTAATATTGCCATGGACTATGTTTAAACATGAATGTAGATAGTTGAGACCAGTCAGAAGATGCTTGACAATAATATCAATATCTTCGTTGACAAATTGCTTTTGGTAATACTCAAATACAAGGCAGACCTTTTCTGTAAAAACGTAAGATGAGTCATTAATTTATATCATAGAAAAATAACAATATATTTTGAAGTAGAAGAAGCAAACTTTCGCAGATAAAGATGAACTTACCATTTTTGCTACGATAACAATCAACGTATTGAACTAAATTGGGATGGCTTATATGATCCACAATTGCTTTAAAATTGCCAATAATCGAAATTGAATTAGGAGTTGTAGGAAGACCATTTGAGCCACAATCATCTGGTGAATTATGACCTGCTTTCAAAGTTATTTTACCAAACTCATATCTAACATTATATTTATTAACTACTTCGGTTGTTTCAGCCATGATCTTCATAAATATAAAAAATCAAAATAAATAAACAGCAAAGGTAAACTTGTTAAATGGAGGAGGTAAATTCACGGTTACCGGTTACAGTAACCAGAGAGACTCTCAGCTTTATCGTAATGCACTTTGTTGTCGGTTACTATAAATAACAAAACAAACTGGTGTCAATAGAAAAATAAATCTACTTTAATATGAAACATCTTAAAATAAACAAATTATTCAATTATATTTTATGTCAAGTTTAATTATCTACGAAAAATTGTAATTACATCTAGTATCATCTCTTTCATATCTTTTAAACTGCATTTGTTGTATTATTTTTAGTGAAACACAATGCTAACTCTTCTATCATAAACAAATGTTTACTTCTGTTTTGATAACATAATTTTACTGTAAACAAAGAGATTCGGTTATGGATACAGAATCTAAAGGCTTTGGTCGAGTTACTCTTAATTGGTCACCAGCGTCTGAGATTATCTGGACCAATGGTAGAGAACTTTTACAATGTATTGATTACAGAGATGATTACTATAAATCGATTGAAGATGTCTCCGTAAAAATGAGGGAAAGAGCCTCTCAAGATTATGGCCTTAATGAATCATATGTTCCTGATGATCCCAAACTTCGATCTCTATGGACTTGGATAGAATCTGCTAAAGAAATGTCTTCAAAGATGTCGACTTCGGACAAAAATGATAAACTTATTGGTGTTAAACAGATCCTTTTTGGTCCATCTAGTGTTGATGATTCCAGTTTAATGTTGAAAAAGAGTGACCTTAACTATGCGCAATGGACTGATCTACCTTCTAACACAAAAATACCTGTATACAAAAGTGATGAGCGAAGTCACGCTCTTTACCTTTGTGGCTGGGGTGAAAAACTAGACGCTCTTATTGATAATCTCAAATCTAAAGCACAATATACTAGAGCTGCTGCAATCTCGGTGTTTAATTTAAAAATGAGGAAAGCGATTGATTGTTTAATATCGGGTTCATCAGCTCCAACAGAGAATGGCGGTGATCCTACTTTGTCCACGGTAGCTATGGCCTTATCTGGTTATACTGGAGAGAAAAATTCGCTATGGAGAGAAATGTGTTCAGCATTTCGATCTGAACTGAATCATCCATATTTAAGAGCAATTTTCAGTTTTTTGACCTCAGAAACTGAAACATACGAAGAAATTGTTTACGATCAATCTCTCGAATTATCTGACCGTGTTGCCTTTGCGGTTACTTTTTTACCTGATGCACAATTACAATATCATTTAGATGCATACACAGCCTTGTTGGTGGAAAATGGTGATATTGATGGTCTATTAATGACTGGAATCACTTCTGAAGGATTAGATCTACTCAATCATTATGTTGAAGCAACAAGTGATGTTCAAACAGTTTCCTTTGTGGCCCTACATTCACTACCTAGTCACCATCATAAAGATCCTCGAGTACAATTATGGGTAGAAAATTATCGTAATATTCTTGATTGTTGGAGACTCTGGCATAAAAGAGCTTTGTTCGATAATGAATGGTTCAAAAGGTTAGATTATGAGCAAGTTCCAGGTCCTCAAATGTTTGTTAGTTGTAACTATTGCGGTAAAAGTGTTTCCACAATTCATACTTTACCCACCGCTAGTAATGCTAGAACAATTGGAAGCAGTGGATCGGGAACTGGAGCTAGTATCAATAATCAGCTGAGAAACAGTATGGATCATCTCCATTCATTAACCAAGGTGTCTTCTGCAGTTCATAAAGCTCGAATACAAAGTTGTCCAAATTGTCGTAAACCATTACCAAGATGTTGTATTTGCTTGACACAATTCGGAACTCCTACTAGATTTTCAACAAGATCAGATTATTCCAATACTTCTAATGATCCAAAGAAAAAAATTAAACCATTAAATAGTTGGTTTTCTTGGTGTCAAACTTGCCGTCACGGTGGTCATGCTAAACATATGATGGACTGGTTCATGGAGCAATCGGAATGCCCTGTCAGTGGCTGTCCTTGTCGATGTATATCTCTTGATACAATAGAAAATTTTCAAAGTTGATAAATAAATGAAATGATTTTATTTGCTGAATGATTTGTGGAAAGGGCTTTACAATTAAAGGAGTAATATTTAATCATTCGAGAAAAAAATGTATCGACGCGTTTGTGTGAGGTAATTTAGGTATTATTCTGCTAGATCATGAAGCGACATAGGTTGAACCCACATTGGAGGGGATAACATTGGCGTGTCTGTCACAGAACTGGAAAAAGGTTCATCTTCTTCACCAGTGTTCATGACTAAGGGCTCAAATCTAGGGAAATCGTTATCTTGTGACACAACGAAATCTGATTCTTCTCTCATTTTGTCAGCTCTCTCACTTTCATCATCGAACTCTACTGTAAACATATCGTTGGCAAGACTTACAGTACTGTTCAAATTTATATCATTATCTTTATCGAATTCATTATCGGATAAATCTTTGTCATAATTTATCGATAAAACTAAATCACCAATGCTTGAGTCGACAGCTTCCATATCCGCCTCAGTAGAAAATTGTGGCTGTGGAGAAGGAGTAGGAGGTGAAGGTGGTTTCTGAATTTCTTCAGGTTCCGATTTTTGCACAGATTCTTGCTCTGATTTTGCAGAAAAAGTAGGAAGCTTGCCCTTCATCATAAGTTTCATATGTTTTTTCCAGCACAGCTGCCATTCATCTTTAGGGATATGAACAATTGGTTTCATTGCCAACTTTCTGTCACGGAACGGAAAATGAGGACCAAAGACATTTTCATCCACAGGTTCTATGATCGTTGTTGAGCTTTTATTTGGTTTTTCAGTTTTTTTGGAATCATCGTGACGCTTCGATTTGTTTTTAAGTGCATCTCTTTCCCTCTCTCTTTCTCTTTCTTTCTCTTTCACTCTTTCTCTAATCTTATCTCTACTGTGGCTACTCGACTTATGTAAAGAATTCTTCGTTTTCTCTCTATCTCTATCTTTTTCTCTATCTCTATCTCTATCTCTTTCCCTCTCTCTATCTCTATCTCTATCTTTCTCTCTACTTCTCTCCCTATCCCTCTCTCTGTCTCTTACAACTTTTCTATCTCGGTCGTCTTCTCTGGAAGTTTTGGATTCTTTTTCGGAAGATTCTCTATTCTTTTTTGACCTGTTCTCTTTATCTTTCTCTTCGGCCATCCTCTTTTTGATTTCAGCTTCAATGGCTCGTTTTTTCGATTCTTTTTCTCTTTCCTCTTTTTCTTCTTGTTCGCGTTGACGTTTAGCATCTAATTTTTGCATTTTAGAAAGAGAGCGACTCTTGCTTACAGAGTAATTAAGCTCTATTGTACCATTCATTAATACATGACGCTGAAAGAAAAAAAGCGAATTAGAAACACAAATAGTTTGAAAATGAGTTATACTCACATTAAAACATCGATTGTGTTTGTTTGTTTTTAAATGATCTTCCGCATGGCCTTGGCTTCCCAAAAGAACGCCACAAACTTGGCAAAAATATCCCCGAACAGGCATGAGTGTGTGAGTACCTTTGATTTCAACTGGTATCTTTTTTATATCGAGCTCGATTTTAGGTTTGATTTGACTTTTTCTCCATGGTTCTTCCTTTGTTTCACAAGCTTTCCAGTGTTTATCACTTTGCAGATGTTGCAAGTATGAACCAAGATCACTGACAAATATATCACACTGTTTACACCAATGGCAGCCAGGATCATTGAATACTTTAAAGCTGATATCCTCATCATCATCAATTATAGGAGCACCAATGAAAGGTTTTGGAATTGAAACATCGATTGTTTCTACTTTTTTCTCTTTTTTCTCTTCTTTTTTCTCCTCTTCTTTGTTCGCTCCTAATCTTCTTGATACCTCGAAGAGTTTTCCTTTAACTTCTTCGATCCTTTTTTCAACATCTTGCTGTAGCTTCAAATTTTCAGCATACTGTGGACATTGATTCACATCTCTTCCGCGAAAACTACGAATTAAATCACCACCTTTCTTTGAAGTTTTTTCAAGAAGAGCTTGTAAAGATGTTAGTTGATTCCTCAGCTGTTCACGATCAGCCATATCCTGATCACGGGAAGGGGGATTGAAGTCAGATGAGGGTCCAGGTCTTACAATTTTTGGAATTCTTATTTGAGAGATTGGAAGTGGCTTGATTCCATTTGTAAGTGGATTTGGAGGAGGTTCATCTAATCCGTTATGATGGTTCCAACGTTCCTCTACCATGTCTTGAAACGATCAGGCAAATCAGAATATACAATAATGATAAAAAAAGATTAGCTAAAGTACAAAATAAAAACACAGCTTTTTGAGACGCAATTCCAGCAAAATTTGAGTATAAATGTGAAGGGCTGTGTTTGACTTGACACTCAAGCTACCACAGCATTATTAAATCAGCATAAATAACCAAGAAATATACAATTAATTTATAAAATGCATTGAGAAACAGTTAACTGGTAAATTAAAACATAATAGACAGACTGATTCATAGGCTATTTTCAAAAATGTATGTTAAAAGATGTGGCTCCATCTCTTGTCCAAAGGAAATATTTTATTGTTTACTTGTTTACTTCGGTTAACCAAATAAGTTTTCCGAAAGATTATTGCTCATCTCATCATTTAATAATCTCATTCTAGCATTCCAAACTAGTTAAATATGACTGGAAATTGTTTTGTTTCATTTGAAACGCAAACTGATATCTTTCCCAACATTATTTATTTTGGGAATCTCAACTTTAGACTTTTCAACTATCACTTAAAGGATTGAACTTGAGCTTTGTTAAGAAAAGTTTTGTGTACTTAAGATAAAGAAGATTAGCAAGATTTGAACTCTGCTTTTGTTTAAACTATTTCTCGATGATTTGAGATTTGGATCTTGTTCAAACAATAGATAAAATAATTTATAACAATAACAAACTTATAAATGAAATAAATGAAATAAAAAGTAATTGACAAATGTCTCAAGTATAATAAGCAATATTTATAGACAAGAATATATATATGAATATATATATTTTAAATTCACATTGAATTTAGATTGAACATCATAAATAATTTTAAATTATTCAGCTTTGCTTTTAGACGCTTCTTGTGGTTCATCTAACTCTAAATTAGAATCAGAATGCGCTGGCCTGGATGAACTTGCATTATTTGACTGAGACCGGGTGTAAGGAAGAATTAAAGAATGGACAAAGGGTGAAACAATTATCCATGATATGTAAAACAAGTGTCCAGAAAAATAAACGTGCGCCAAAACGGGAACCCATTTCGTATAAGTAAGTAGTATGAAAGGAGCAAGACAATATCCAAACATATAGACGGTGTAAATGTGAAGAAAAGCCAATATTGATAATCGAACATAGCTTTGATTAAGAATATTGTCCAATGTTTTGTTGGATCGTCGAAGTTTTTGCATAATTGCCGTAACCTATTAGAAACGAAAAATAAGAAATTAGAAATAAGTAAATAAATTTGGAGAGTTACTGTTGGAATTAAATGATGGAAACAACACGAAAAATTGCATGCTATTGATCGTTTGAAAAAGCAATTTAAACTTTTTCCAAAATTTAGTCAAACTATGCAAGCTTATTATTATTTAGAGTCATCAGTTATTCATCGATCCAAATCGTTGGAGACAATTTTTGACAGTTTAAAAAAACAATTACTTATTAGATAATAAGTTATGAATCAAACTTATCAATTGTAATTATAAAGTTGAAAATGATAAATCGATGACAATACATAATAAACTAGCAATATAATTACTGATACAATATCTGTTGTTATAAGTGATGTAATGATATTGTATTAACTATCAGACTATTGATTATTACAGCTTACCTCCCACTCCATTTTCATGATCATAAACTCCATTCCAAAGGTAACATAGTAACCTGATTTCCAGCCATGCCAAAGTGCAAGATATGCTAAGGTAGCTGCATGGCTGATAATCCTATTGCCAAGAAACTTCAAGCGCTTGAAAATGTATTTGCCGGACCAATGATTCGTCGTTATATTGAAGGATCGAATGATCCCGCCGAAGGTGGGAGTAGTTTCAAAGAGATATGGATCTGCATTGCAATAGTTTCTGAATGTTTTACTCTGCTTATCATAAGTGAATCCAGACATGATTAGGCTTCCCTCCTAAAGACATTGAATAAGTGAATAAGGAAAAAATTAATGGATGAATGGTTAGGAGAGAGATATTGGAAAATGTCGAAAACTTACAGAGAGAATCCAAATACCAATATACTTGCAAGTTTGGATCTTAGTTGTTAATGCAATTAATGTGAAGCTCATGAAAAACCCAGATGCCTAAAGTTGAATGAATTTAGTTGAGCAAGATTATTTGTTGATCATGGAATAAGAAAGGGAGAAAAATAGAATTGAATAAATGTAATTAGAAGTGATTTTAGGTGTGGTTTGAAGGGAAATTCAATCTCAAAGTAAAAATTGCAATATGATTAGAAGATTAGGGTGTATACAAGAAATAACCTAGTCAAAGAATAGAGGGAAAAGGTCGAGAATAAGTTTGCATTAGGTGCATTAGTCATAGTTTTCTGAAAGGTTTAGTCAGGTTAGTTTAGGATCATTTTGGTATAATAATTCAAGGCTTACGTTGAAGTAATCAGATAACAAAATAGATGGAGGACAATATTTTTCTCCGATAACATAGCAAATTAAATATAAAACTCCAAGTCCAAGCTTCTTGGTAGCTTGATTTGCACTGTGAAATGAAAAAGATTAGAATATTAGTCAATGATGATTTGTCATTATTAAAATATGATCAAATGTAGATCAGTCAAGTGATTCATACCATATTTTGTAAACATTTTCCTTTCCATTTAAAAATTCTTGAAATTTTTTGTACTCAAACTGAGGTCCCACCAGGAATGAGAAAGGAAGGTAACAACATGCAAATAATTCAAGAAATTCAGGAGCTTCATATATTGGTGCATCATTTTTTATTGGTTCACCATTAACAGTTACTTTCGCTTGAATTCTTTTGCCATCATAAAGATCAAAAGCTATTGCAATTAAGCGAAGAGTTAAAACACATTGAGGAATAGTCCATTCGAAGCTATAATCATTTGATTTCATTTGAGTAAGAAAATAACCGCATAACAAGTAGGCCTGGGTAAATGATTAAAAGAGCAAAGAATAAAGATTAAAAAGTGTCAAATTCATAACAAATAAATGTTGATAGTAATTCATATGGATAATCAATTTCGGACTAAATATTAGTTAGCAAAAGTTCAATAACTGAATAGTCGGATGGTTTATAATCAACTGAATTTACACAGATAATACATTGCACAAAGATATTGTAATAGGGTTTTTCCATATAAATTTTAGTCCGAAATATATAATCATCTTTTGTCCATACATCACTATAATTTGTGTTAGTTGTGATTGTGATTATTAAACTAATGTGATTTATTAACTTACCGAACAAAAAACATAAGCAAATTTAACAGAAAATTTAGAATCGCCAAACCATTTAAGCACAAAATACATGGTGAGAATTGTAACAGTCGTATGGAAAAAATCATAACCTAAGAATAAATAAAAGCAATTGATTTGTTAAGAATAAAATTTGTACACAATGCAAGGTTGTAGCAAAATTACAACAGCAACTTACCATGATTGAAAAGTCCCAAAGCCAAACCAGAAACGATGAAGAACAATTTCTTTATCAATTTGCTTCTATTGACAATACAATAATTATAAATTATGGCTATTGGATAACCTATGTAAATAATAAATAAACAAAAATCATGCAATTAGAAATAAGATCAATGTAATGAAAATCAAGTTGATGACAGATGGATGATAATAGTTTTAGAGGCTCAAAAGATTATAATGCATGTGTTTTGATTTGATTAATGTCAATGACTAACAATGTTAGAGGAATGCAGACATGATAAGTTCTGTCAATAAATAGAAAATTGAAAAATGCAGTGAATTGACTTACCAGCTAAAAGTGTAAAAAAGATTTTAACTGCATTTTCATTGGCACCTAATGTTCTAGAAAGGTATCCAATTAAAGAATAAGATGACGATGAAGAGGAATCCAATTCCATGGTGGATTAAATTATGGAAGCAGTGTAAGGGTAATGAAAAATAAATGAAATGAAAGCTTTTGCTGCGTCAGCTAAACGAAATTTTACATGATTTACAAAAAAAACCAAATCAGTTAAATTTAATAGGAAGACCTTTAGATCATACTGGTGAGTTGTTTTATTTAACCATGCACCGATAATACACTCTGTACTCAGAATTCAATAACATTCAGTATCTACATCAGAGATTAGATAAACAATACTATAAATTGGATTTCATGAATAAAACCGTAATGCTAAAGATGCTCACGTCAGTGGTAACCGGCTACCTAGAGGAGAGGTAACCGATACTGGTTACTCTACCCGGTTGCTTTTATTATTAAAAAATTAACTTTAATCATTTGAATTGATCATTTCAACGCTCTTCGAAAATCAGAAATAGTGACCAATTTGAATTATGGTTAAAAATGAGATTCAAATTCAATTCGTTTTTGTATTTACACTTATAAATTAATTTCCGTCAATTTTCAGAAAATTTACAGAGGCACCTATCGTTTGTTAAAATAAAAACTAACCCAATGTTTTTGAAATATTTTTTAAACTTACAAGTGTTAATCAAGTTGAAATACGACCATTTTCAATGCAAAATTGTTATTTTTATCATTATTGCCACCAAAGTGAATAAAAATCTATTATGTACCTTGGAGCAACGGATATAAATCTTTATTTATTTATCCATAAATCAATGTTTCATCTTTGCATGATCACTGGATCTAAACTTCCCTAGGTTTCATTTGAATGATCTCGAGTTTGTTTAAATAGTTGATTCTTATCAACTGAAGATTCAATTATTCTGTCTAATCACTGGTCTCCTTAAGCTACTTAACTTTTCACTCAAGGTGTAGATACCTTTATTGATATATTTGAACTTTTATACCTCAAGGTAAGTTTGGTACAAGGATTTAAGAAATATGTTTGCGACTTTAAGATGATTAGTTTGACCTAGCTTTCCATTCGTCCTCCAAGTCTTATAAAGGTTGTCAGATCAAAATTGCAAACCTAGTTTCACACTATACATTGAAACAAACATTTCATCAGTCTTTTATTCTGGTCTAGTGAGTGTACTTTTCATCTATTCTTCATCATGTTTAATGGTTATGGCTTCAGTTTATTGATTTTTACATCTATCATTTCCATCTCTCTATCGTTTAAACAGGGCGAAGTTTCCACCAAGTCACCCAAAGAAAAGGAATTAGATGCTTATAAGTTCGTTGATGAATATGACTTTGCTCCTTTACCTCTTAATGTTGAAAAAAAGCACGTGAAATCGGCTGCTAAGCTTACCAAACAATTGACTGTGGCAAACTCATCGGACACTCAATTCAATTCAACAACCCAATCTCCACTTCAAACAACCACATCATCATCCACAACAACAACACCTAACTCAACAATTCCTATCATCAAATCGTCTCCGGTCAAGTTGAATGATTCTGTCTCCATAAAACAAGCTGATCAAGACAAAAATGTTGAACTTAAAAAATCACAGACCAAGTCTAAGCACCGGGACATTCCTGTTAAGATGAGAAGCATTGCATTTTTGGTGAAAAACGTCGCAACTGATTATACTTTGGCAAGTTTCAAGCTTGGTTCAATCCATAAATCATATCGAGGTAAAACAGTGAAAATAACTGATATACTCAAAACTATCAACATTGGTCGTCACAAGATAGGATTTGGAGTTCAGATTCACGGGTTACATGAAAACCACGAACATAAGGATGATTCAAAGGACTCAAAAAATAAAACCCTAAATGTAGTTTAAATCAAGATCCATTTCTGTAATTATGTTGAATTAGTCAATAAATGTTTGTCTATGAATTCACTGTAACCAGTATTCAGCAATAAATTATTTCACAAAGAATGACAGATCGAAAATGAACAGATGAGTTGGAGATTGATATTTAAATTGCACAAATGGACTCAGTTTTTATGTCTACAAACCAAAGAGTGAAAGAAATCAGTTTTTACCCGTTTGTGTCATTTTGTGCATAAAAGTGACAACTGATGTGTAAGTTGTGTCTTTTCATCAACAATCCTTGAATTCCTTTAAGATTTTTCTTGTTTCTAACTTTAAAATACTTTGTCAAGTTATCTGTTTGCAGTTATCAGTTCTTTAATTATGGAAATTTTTCATCGGCCAATAGTCCGACTGTTTCATTTTGTGAAATGGAACCCTCATGTTCTTGCTCATTAACTATTTAATGTGAGACCCTGATAAGCATTTTTAATTAAGTCTACAATCACTAGCTTATGTTGAACTGTTTCATTGTTTCTATTAGATAAAGCCCGTAGTTTTTACATTAGCTTGCTAAGCAATGATCATGAACTTGATCTGCATCTGTTTCCATCTCGATGTCTCAACTTGCAGTTGACAATTTACTTGTGGGTTGAAACATGGTCTTTAAACCATCGAAATTGTCCATTTTGGTTCTCATTTTTGGGACACTTCTGTTTCTGGCCCTTTCTTCCTATGCTGATCCAATCATTAACATAAATGCCGTTCTTCCCTGTTTCACAGTTACATGTTACCCTGAAATTGGCTGCATAACTCCATTCATCTCTCTTATGATCATTTTAGTCCCACCAATTTCAATATGTGCCGATTCACCCGAAGAAGTAAACGCAACTTATCACCTGATGACACCGAAAGTAAAGAAAAGTCAATTTGGTACTTTGAAAGATCTAAGACCAGGAACCAACTTAGCCTTTTATGCTCATGGTTGTTTCGCAGCTTATGCTGATAAACTAACATTTGCAGTTGGATTAGCTTTGTTTCATAAATATGATCAAGTCATTTTGATCGATTGGACTCGTGGTGCCAACCCAAGAATGTTTGGTAAAGTATCGATTCCTCTAGTTAACATCTTTCTTTGCGCTGCTAACAGTGAAGTACTTGGTCGTCTTGTTGGCAATGCAATTAAATATGCTGTTACCGAAAAACGAATCAACCCTAAAAAGATATTATTTGCTGGACATAGCGCTGGTTCTCATGCAACTGCTTTTGCTGCTGAACACCTTAGAAGATGTTGCTTAATAAAAATTGGTGAAACTGTTGGTAAGCTTTTATTAAATAAATTTAATCACATTTGACTAATTTTCATTTCTAAATTTCAGCTTTGGACTCGAGCACATCGCCATTCGCCTTGTCAAATCGCAAGTTTCCTGAAAAGGGTGATGCTACTCATGTTACTAGAGTCCTCTCGACATTCAATTTTCCAGTTCCCTTTTTGAGCGATTTAAGAGCAATTATCTTTCAATTGGGTTACCCATTTCCCACTTCTGATACGGACATTTATTGTAATCCACCTTTCTTGTTCAGGGAACAATTGATGTGCATTTCAATACCAATGTGCAGCCACTTTTTTTCTGCCCTCACCTTTATTGGTTCCCTTCGCAATTGTTTATACGAGGCCTGGCCCTGTATACCAAATATCTTCTCACCTTTCAATACAACTTACACTGGAATTCGCAGTTCAGTTTTTGGAGCAAGAGGACCTCTCTGTATTCGTACACCCATTAACCCTATCAGGTCCTGCGATTGTTGCTCTAAAGTCCCAAAATCTAGATTTATAAATGAAGATGGTGATCCACAGCAAAGGATTTTTACATGTAGTAATGATGATAAATTTTCAAAAAGACATCTTTGACCATTCGAAAGTATATTAGCCTTTATTAATTTTTTGAAAATTGTATTGTTAAAAGAGTGATCATCTAGATTGAATTTCAATTTTTATCAATAAAGGAGTAAATGAAAAAGCTTTGACTTTCGAGGTAAGATTTAACAGGTTTCAGCTATTCAATTATCTGAGCCATAATTTTCAATAAAAAACTGTCAAATTTCAAATTTCGATCGCTCTTTGGACAGTTAGGGAACAAGAAACCACCAAACTAACCTTTCTCCATCAAGAATAATAGTTTCGTATTTTGGAAGATAAAATTTGTTATTGCATTTCGATTTTCGGTTAAATTTATTGCTTCGAAACCTGTTGATCATGATCGATCAAAATTTTAACCTAGTTTTACTCATAGCCTGTCCCAGCACTTTGAGAGGGATTACATAAAAGGGTTTATACAATACGCATTGGACAAAAATGGAACCCATCCTTTCGAATGAGTCCCACTAACTAAGATTGTTTTACCAATTTCAGTTATGAGTTTGTAGTCCGATGAATTTTTACTTCTAAATTTGCAGATAGAACTACCCTGACAGGGTTCGATCCGCAGACCTAAGGGTCGTCACCCTTGGCCTTTGCTTCTCTTACCAATGGTCAGGGTAAAGGAAAAGCTTCTTATTTTTATTTTGTTCAACTCATACGTTTAAATGAAACTAGTAAACTAAAATAGTAAATTAGATACTTTAATTTTTAAAAGACGAATAAAATGATCTAAAATTTTGATTTTTAAGATTGTCTTTTTAATGTTTTTTTATAATTGTTTTACAAATTTTTCACAAGAATTGTGTATCATTACACGATAACATAAATAACACTGATGGAAATGTATTTAACTGACGACTATTAAGATTGTCAGGCACTTAATTGACAAAGTTTATAAAAATTTTAAATTGAAAGATCCACTTTTGACAAAAAAGTCTGAAAACAGACTGGAATAGGTATTAACGATGATTTGGGCGAACAATAACTAAATTGAAAAGGCACTCAACAACATTCAAAATAAAAGCCATTTAAAATAAAATAGCCAATTAATGATTGGTGATATTCATGATAAAGATGAATATGGTTATAGTGCTGGCGGTGTTGATAAACAAGAACAATAGACAAAATCATCGAGATGCCATAAGAGTAACGAATGACAAAATTAATTTCATAATCTCTTTGGAGATTTAAAATCTTTTAAGAGCTTTTGTTTTCTTGAGTGTTTGTCCCTTCATTCAGCTGATTAGTGACAAGAGATTCTTTCGGATTGTTTGAGCTTGCAGTTTCTTCCTGATTGGCAGAAACGTTGTTTGGTGCTGGTCCATTCTCGATATTGTTAGCCAATGCTGCTCTCTCTCTTAAACGAGCTTCGATAGCTGCAGGTTCTGGTCCATACCAGAGGATATTTATCTCATTACGGAACCAAGCAATGACCAAGGGAGGAACTAAAGTGGCTGGGACAAGGTAAAGTAAAGCTGGTTGAGCTTGGTTCATCAAATTGAGAGCAATAAAAGTAACAATTAGTCCAAGTCCGTAAAATATACATTCAACCGTAAAATAGAGACGATAAGGTGTTTTTTGGAAAAGATCTAAAGCGTGACAATAGGAAACTAGAAAACCTGGAACCAAAACATCTCCAAAACCAAGTTTTGATGTCCAAAATACTCGACCTTGGTAGCATTTGTCTGAGAAAAGGGTTGAAGATAATGAGCGAGGCCATTGAAAAACAACCGGAAGAGATTCACTGATCGATTTAATTCCAAATGAGTAAGATATTTCAGAGCTGGTTCCTCCTGTGGCTACTTTTACCATGATAGATTCGCCATCACTGGTCAAGAAGGGAGTAAGGAATACAAAGAAAATATCATAGGCGAATAGCAATGTCAACAGGAAACTAGTTATTCGAAAATTGGGAAACCGAAGGTTTTGCAGAATGTGAATACAAAATATTATGGCCAGCGCATTTTGAAGACTCCAAGCTTGATTTGTTTTGCGAATGAAAAACCAAGTAACTGGAGCTATTAAGGAAACCAAGGTAACTCCAATTCGCCAACCGTATTTAGACCATTTAGTATTTAACCGAGGTGCAACATAGTTAACTGATAAACCCATGATTAGTGAGTATATTGAGATTGTACAGAAAACGACGAAAAATATAATCATGATGAAAATCAGATAAGAGTAGAAGAAGTACAATATTAAAAGGACCGCACACATATAAATGACAAAGAAGACAACAGTTGTTGGAGTCACATCCAGAACTGCATCATCCAACTTCGTCTTCTTTTTCTTTTTTCTTTCTTGGTCATTACTTCCTTCTTCCTCTGATTCTTCTAAAGCAGCTTCATTTTCATGTAGTTGACGGGTCAAAAATAACTCATATCGAAGAATCCCTGATGAATATCCTCCAATGGCAACTGTAAAGACAGCAATTAACCAGATACCAACCAAACTTGATTCAAAAATACCTCGTTCTTCATCATTACTATCTTTAGGCTGGTAAACCATTGCTCTAACTTGATTCTGATATCTGTTTAACATATCGGCAGTTGAATCTTCACCAATCAAGGCAATGATGAATTTAGGATCCGTGATGTTTCTTTTGACAAACAGCTTGTAAACATTGACATCATTAGGAAGTGATATAATGATACCTTAAAAAAGGAGAAAAAAAAACAAAAAATCAATTAATGAGTTCGGATAATCAGTAATTAACTGTCAGTAGGAAATAGGATCTGTTCGGATTAATAGATTAATTGAAACAGAAAAAAATCAGACTCGTATGCATTAACTAAAACACAACGTTGAGAAGTTGACATCGAGATTAATTTTAGTCAATTGTTTCGATTGATTTCAAGTAGTGACGAACAACGACGATGATGATGGCAAATCATTGAGTTATTACATCAAAACCTTATTCAATTTAAATAAATTATGAAGTAATTAATATAAATGAGTCAAGTGTTGATGATGTACATAAATGGGAAAAGTGTTAATCTATTATCTTATGTTTTATTGTTAAAAGTGCAACTATTCATTTCATGTTACAGTCAAGATGAGCCAAACAAGCTACAGTCAAATGACGATACAGTTGAAATCAAAGAAAAGGTGAATCAAGGATTAAACAGTCAAGAAAAGGATTATGATGAAGAAGATGATTCCTTATTGAAGGAACAAAATGGACTAAATTTGTTTCAGTAAGTAATTTGAAGCATGTATCATAATTAAATGGTGAAAAATTGACAATTGAATACTGAATAATCTTTTTCTCTGTCAGATTCATGCGGTCACCAGAACCAGGATCATATGAATCTGGTTATCGTAGAGGAAATGATGACCATTTAGTAGAAAGGAGTGAAAAAAAGGTCGGCAATCAAGGTGAAGTAAAAGTACGCTGGAATGATAAACATGATGGTTTGGGCAGACAGAAATGGACTTTTGGTAAACGCTCAAAGGATAATCGAGAAGAGAAAGAAATTATCAAATTAATCAATTCACAAATTGGTTCATTAGGACTAATGAATTAATGAGAATTTACAATTTTGAACAACTCATAAATGAAATATTTAATTAATTTATCAATTGATAACATTTAAAATGACATATCTTAATTTTTTTAGTGCTAAAAATATGGAGTTGCTGGGATAATCGCCGAACTTTGAATCAGAAATATTAGTTATGCAATAAAATGAGATAAATGTATGTAATATTTAGCATTTCCATAAAAGGATAATCGCCTCATTTGATGAGTTAATTAAAACATTCATGAACATAACTAAAATTGTATTTATAAGGACTAATATTCATTGACCAGAATAATTTCTGACTAAAGTAAATCAATTCAATGCGTCAATCAGTTCATCGTCAAGGTTTTCAGAATAATTCTAGAGCCTAACCTTAGAGAAAGTGTGAGTCAAAGCTTTACATTTACAAAAATAGCAAAAATGCAGGAAAAAGAAAAAATTATTGGAATTAGAAATAAGCTCTAAAATTATTGATCAAGTTTTCTACCATTGATAATTGATGAGTGCTCGGTCTTCAGAAACTTATCACTTATGAGTTCAAGAACATTTTTTAAGGGTTTTAATAGCAAAATATCTTTGTCAAAAATGAAATAATGAAGCCTCTGAAAGTCATTAACATTTCAACAAAAACAATGATAATTTTCATACAGAGTATTGACATGAAACAATTTTTTGAACTCTAAAGATTATAACTATACAGAGTGAATTGAATCTATCTATAAAAGTAAGTTAATTGTAAGCAATACAATTGCTCAGCCTAAGAGTACTATTTTATGACATCATTTTTTACTATAACTGTTGGTAAGGATGACAATAATGAAGAAAATCCAACAGTCAATCAACAGTTGTTTTCATTTGAAATAATTTTTAAAATGTAGCAACTACTGCATCTAGCTTACCTTTACAATCTTTATAATAGTCTTGAACGTTGACAGCTTGTTCAATTAAAGTGCACTTATTGTTGAAGTTAGTCAAAATGTAAGACCCTGCATCAGATAGACCATTCTGAGACTTCGGTGGTGGTGAGCAAAAATTGATATCGTCGGCCTTAATCAGGTTGAAAAATTGAGCTTTATCAGGCCCATCAGCAATCTCTCTAGAATTGTAATGTGCTATACAATAGGTTATGCCTGATCCATTTGTACGACCGGTAGCAACAAGTAGACCAAGTGATACAGGTAAACCCTCTTCAGGAGCAGTTGTATATGAGTATGAACTAGATGAATCTGATGGTGATCTTGGAGATCTTAATAGATATTTGAAGGTTGATGATATTGTCCGGTTCACTGAGGTATCATTTAGAGATGAAGAATTGAAATAAGAGCCCGGTAAACATAATGTTTGTGATACAAATAAAACTAGAAGTAACCCAAAAACAGGGTTACAATATGTTGGTTGAGGTAACGTTGAAAGTATCATGATTGTAATTCAAAGATGATTAAGTGAGTCAAACAATTTTAAAATGATATTAATGCTGAGCTTGTTTGGCTAAAAATATTGCACACATGTAATACAAAGGAGAGCTTCAAAAGCTAACAAGAGATCACCATAATGAGGGAATGTAGTGTTGATTTGGTACAGTTATGCTTGAATAGCGGAAAAAGCAAACTGTGCATCAATATTTAAGAGACATAAATGTAAAAAAATTAATCAAAACAATTTCTAGAGACACTGAGGACTTTCACCAGAGATTAAACAATAAAATGTACAAATCATCTGGTTTTTTAAACTATAGAAATGTAAGTTTTATTAGCATCTCTCATAAGCAACTTTAAATATTATAAAAGCCACAAGAGGCGCTGAAAGTAGTTAGTGCGCAAAAAGATTACGCGTTCAAACTGAAATTTAAACATTCAGTTTGGTTTACAATCAACAATTAAAGACTGTTAACAGGTGAAAAAATTATTTAATTCAACCAAAATTGAAGTATCTTAATCAATAATTTCATCCAGACATTAGGTGTAGATTAAAATCAAATATTTATTATTGGCAACTAAAATTTACCATATTAATTGATCGTTTGAAATATAATTACTGTGAGAGATTTAAGATTTTCTGGTTCGCCTATTAGCTTCGATACTGGGCGACCTGTTTGGACTATTACTCGAAGCTAAATTTGAGAGGGTAAAAGTTCAAACTAAAAATGAAAAGAAGCGAAATATCTTTAAAAGATCTAAGGCTTTCGAAAGATTCAAATGAGTTAAGTTCCCATTTTGAGCTACAAATCAATCAAGAAGCTAATGGTTCAGTGTGCAGTTTTATTTTGTCAATATGTCGTTGCCAGAAATCGCGATTCTCGAGTTTTACTCATTTGCATTTCTAATTAAAGTTCATGGATTGCTTTTAGTTATGCTGCCATCTCAGTGAACTAAAAACACTGAACATTACTAAAACCACTAGAGGCGCTTAACGCTTTTCAGGCTTGTTTACATCACGTAATTTTGTTGTGGTCCTAATTAACTCATTTTTTGTGCAATTGTTCTTGATACTCACGTGTGTTTCTTAATCTATCTTGATACTGTTGATTTTCAGTAATTAGTCTGTGTTATAAGAATTCGAAAAACGAAGGTAAAACCAAGCCAGCTGTAATTTATATTTTGTTCATTTCAAATAAGTGTTACAAGTATCCTAAAATGGATGAAGATATGAATGTTATTCCAGCTAGACCTGAATCTGAAAGTTCATTTACTACGGATGAAGAAGATGAAGACAATAATGTTGAAAATGATGTGGTTCTCAACAGCGAGGATGAAAATAACAGACGTGTTGAAGGAATAGACTATGATCCAAGTCTACCAGCTCAACACACATATCTTGGAAGTAATTTGCGTGAACTGTCCGGTCGTGTTGTTCTTGACGATGAGGCTCTTGTAACTCTTCCATTGCTTACTCTACCTGGTGTTATCTTAATTCCTGGTCAAATACTGCCATTACGGCTAGAGCATCCAGCAATGATTGCTATGATGTTAAATGCCATTGAGAAAGAACGAACTTTTGGTATTTTAGCAACAGATTCTGATGTTGGAACTACCGTAGAAATTCGAAGTTATTCCAGAGGAATTGAAGATGACGCAGAAGAATCAGTCTTAAAATTAAAAGCCGAAGGACGTCAGAGATTTAAACTGATTGAAAGATGGAGGCAAGATGATGGGTTTGTGATGGGAAAGGTTAAAATTATGTGTGACATCGAAATAGCGCATCCATTTGACAAAAATTTAGACTTCACTTCACGAGGTAATAAGTATAATTATAAATTAGTCCCAGCATCTACAGTATGGCCATCCTTTGTTTTCCGAATGTATGATTCACACTTCATTATGCACAAGATTAATGATCAGTTGAGAAACTGGGCCAACATATCCAAACCTAGCCCTAGCAATCCTGCTGTTGATCATAAAATTAAAGATGTTCAACAAACTGTACACGAAACTGAAGATACTGAGGGATCCATACAAATAAGAAAGACTGTTGTGACAACAATTAGACGTGACGATGACGATGAAATGGAAAGTATTGAATCAAGTGAGGACGAAGAGGAAGACGCACAAGATTTTTCTCAGACGCTTGCATCGCCTTATAAATACTCATATTGGGTTGCTGCTAACCTTCCGCTTTCAGATGATCAAAGAGTTGAACTTTTAAAAATACCCACTACAATTGGAAGATTACGTTTTGAATATGATCTTCTTCAAAAATGTCTCTTCTTATGTTGTATACAATGTGGGTCCAAGATATGTACAAGGGAAGACATTTTTTCAATGTCCGTTGAGGGTCCACTGCAAAATTATGTTAACCTATCTGGCCATGTTCATGAAACATTAACAGTCTATCGTGTCTCCAATCTTGCCCTAGTCGGTCGCTCATCTACTCAACAAAGCTGGTTTCCTGGTTACTCATGGACAATTTGTGAATGTTCAAATTGTGGACATCATATTGGTTGGAAATTTATGTCAGTTAAATCGACAAGACCTGAATATTTTTGGGGAATCTCAAGAGCAAATATCCAACCAAAAATGAATTAGATTATCATTTCACTCGTTTCAATTTGCCACAAAGTTTTCTCTTCTATAAATTTAAGCATGAAGAATTCAAAGACTTTACTTTATATCAGTATCTAATGTATTATAGACACTTATTTGAAATTGTAAATTTACTTTCGCCCCATAATTACTTCTGGCAAACCACATTTGTATTTACTTCATGTATCTATAAAGATGTTTCGCACGTTACTTCTAGTCTCGTGAATTGACATTAGTTTAAGAATTACTGTTAATTTCTCTTACTTGAAATAAAGCATTTTGTGCAAAATTCATTGTAAATGATATAATTTCATGGATGGACGCAATCAAGTTGAAAATTTGGATTTATTATCAGTTTTATTTAGTCTTATTTCAACAATAGTCTCTGGGCATTCTAATGCATCTATATTGCATCCAATGTGATTGTCATGTCAGAAAAATGAATGTTGATAAGAGTGTAATATTATTCTCGTTTGAAATAACAATTTGTTAATCCAACAATTTCATTTGTGAAAAAACACTTCGATTGAAATTAAATTGTGCGGCACATAATTTACTGATTAGAATATAATTACAAGTTGAATTTGTGTTGCAAGTATAAAAGTTGAAAGGGGGTTATATTATTATTAGCATAGGAAGACTTATAATTTTTATAATTTTATGTGAATCTAATTATCCAAGTGCATTATTGTAACACTGCAATTCTGGTAAATGTACAGTCACATGAAGTGATTAATCCAATTTTTATTGCACATGTTGAAAGAAATTGAAAATTGAGATTAAACAGGTGAGTATTATTGAATGATGCAATGGGGAAAATGATAAGCTTTAAAATCCTAGTAATATTGCTTCCAGGTAATCCAAATGATAGATCAACTCGAGATCCGGAAGAATTGTATAACAGGATAACAATGAGATTTCTGGCAGTAATTGAAGGTTAAGTTTTGCATCAAAAAATTAAGATACTGTTAATGGGCAATCTATTGCTCCATTCCTTTGAATACATCAAACGGTGCATATACATTATTGTTGTAAGTAAGTTTGCGCCACGACTTAAAATGACATTAAAAATTCTAGTAAAGTTAGAAATGTTGATCATCTGCGCTTTTCCTTACGTGATCTTTGATATGGTGTAGGCCATTGCTTGGCATGTAAATACTGTGTAAAGTATAATATGATGGCAAATATTGGTCCAAATGTTATTATGAAAGGAATTTTGTATGGATCTGGGATAATCCTGATTACTGAGTATGGCCAATAGTTGATAACATAGCCAAGATAAAGAATCCAGAGAAAGTATGATACAATATATGAAAACAGAGCCACGAAAGCTTTACGATTGTCACGGGGGTGATAGAAGGCAAACTCTTCAATCATAACTGTAACCCCAACTGCAGAATGTGTTATTTGATTCAACCATTCTGGATAATATGGTCGTGAAGCAATTGGATAGATAAGTTCTGAATCTATTGCATATATCATCCAATAAACAAGGACAACAAACTGTAAAGAAAAACAAAAATTAATTGATCAGTTGATTTTAAAGAGTAAGGAGTTTAAGTTGAAGTTATAACTGACCAGTCCTAAGGGTAAGGCAAGTCCATGGTGAACAATATCTCTCAATTTTACTAAAACACTCGATGATTGATTATGTTTATAGGTTCCATCTGATGACACTAAAAATAAGTCACAGTAATTAATCAAAGTAAAAAGAACAAATTGTGTTAACAGATTCCAGTAAGTTAAAAATTTAAGCGAACCACCAAAAGAACCAACACTTTCGTATGGAGGAACAGAAGGATGAGTATTTATCCATGCAATAGCAAATCCGTACATGAAAAAGCTAAGCAAACGAAATAATCTAACAGCAAACACAAAAGGTCCATTGCTATAACGATAACTAGGTATTGGGTTGGTTTTTTTTGACATGGTCATCTAAACAAATGGCAAAGGTAATTTGTTTCACAACTAATTGAATTAAAAAACACTGCTAAACCATACATGAGAATATCTTGAAACATTCATGAACTCAACTGACAACTGCTCGATAAATAGTCTCAAAGGTTAAACATACAATCTTTGGACTACAAGCTTCAGCCTCCAAACTTGAATAATTTACTGGACTGTCTATTGACGATTTAAAATTAAAAACCATTGGATTATAGTGATCATTATGATTTGTTAAGCCAGTATCATTTTAAAATCAAACCATCGAGACTTGCTTGTGAATTTATTGGACATTATGAGCTATGGGTAGTTCAATTCAAAGAGAAAAGGAAGATCAACTCTTGATTCTTATTAATTAAAATATTGCTGATAACCTTATCATCAATTACTAACAATATTATAAATGGGTTATAATGTAATTTTCAATGCTATGACAGTGACAAACTGGTGCAAGTTGACTGTCAAATCTATTAATACAACAAAGCACTCATCCTACTGGAAATTAACCGACGCAAAACAGGGAACCCTCGCTAATTTTAGCAGAGTCCTGATGACCAAGTAAACAATTTCGTTTAATCAAATTTAAATACAAATTACTCGGTTAACATCCGAAATTAAATAATAAAATTATTATTTTTTCGTAAAACTCTTATAAGGGCTATTTGTCCTAAATATTACAGAAAAATAGCCAAATTGCTAATCCTACGACGTCTAGTTTGATTGTAAAGGATAAATCTGATTCTTGCTCTTAATCAAACCATCTTTAAATCTGACCTTTCATTCCCCATCATCACTTAAATATCAAACAAAAGTGTAAATCTAATATAAATACGTATATTAATTGAAGTAATTCAGATTGTTATTTTTTCCACCTTTATCTTTTAATGAAGTGATTATGGAAGCTAAAGTTAATGACATAAACTTTATTTACTTGATAATATTGTACCAACACTTGTTAAAGTAAATATAACCAGTAGACAATATTGAAAATTATAAAAGCAGTTGGATAAAAGACTCTCATCATCTTGTCATAATGTTGAGATTTCAATAAGATCGGCTTAGGCATTGGATGAACTTTACATTTGAAGCAACGAAAATGTTTTAAAATAAAAATATGCTTGAAACGATTACAAGTACAATTATTATTTGTATTAGCATTTGTAAAGTTATCAACAGCAAATGATATTTCTGATGGTGTATTAGCATTTGAATTGTTAGCAGCTGTTGATTTGATCTTCTTAGTTTGTCCTAAATGAACGTTAAAAGCAACTATTATGATTGTAAAAAAGCCAAAGCAAATATTTCCAAGCATCCAAATATCACCAGCCTTTGAAAAAGAAGAAGAAAATTAATATTTAAATTTCTATCTATTTTTTATAATTAACTCACATTTACATATGATAATGGTGGTAAATATGTCTTATAACTGCTGTAGAGGACAATTAAATTAAACAAAGGTCTTGCACTGAAAGCAAATCGACCTGATCCAGTATCAATCGAGATGAAGAACGAGAAATAAGCTGAGATGATTATCAATATTGAAGGAACTGTGATTTCCAGAATAAAATGACTTATTTTACGGTCAAATTTGAATTGTAATGTCAACCAACTGCGAGTCTCTGTTCAAATTAAAAACATTATGACAATCAACTGAAACTCAATCATGTTATTGAATATTTGTTTACTTACTTCCATCATATGCTGTGTCTATCCGTGATGATGCAGTTATGTTGACTCGATAGTTGTTTTGATCTAAATCTTCAGGCCTAAATTCAATCGGATTTTCATCCCAAACATAATGTAATGTTGACATTGACCAGAAAGCTAGAGAAGGGTAAAAGGTGAAGTTGAAAAATTGAGAAAACAAAACAAATCTTGAATTTACCTGAAGTTAAATCAATCGGACAAATTTGTGTATCTTTTGGAAAACGCCTGAAATCAAGTTTACATTCAACTGTGATGGACAATCGTCTCATAAATTTGACCATACATTGATCTTTGATGCGAGATGTTTGATAGATCGTAAGAAAGCCGTCAGTATAGGTTGACATTGGATTGATTGTAGTCTTCACTTGGGGAAAGTAAGTTCGTGGTAACCATATTTTGGTCAGAATATCATATTCAATGATGGTCATGGCTCCATCAACTGCCACCAACGGTGCTTTGAATGAGTAATTGTTGTGTAGATCACTATAACCTTGGCAAACTGATTTGTTGAGGAACCAACTCTGAATAAGAAACAAGTCCACATCGAATTGAGCTTCCGTCGTATCCAAAGCTGAAAAATGTACAATTTTAACCTTGTTGTATAACGTTAAAGGTTCATCTGGGTTTGGTGAAAAGGCTGCAATAGAGAACGGAAGAAATGATTAAAATGAAATTTCCAACTTGACTGAAGCTTACTTAAAGGTACTGGCAAAGATTGAGATGGCAGGATTGATTGATTGAAGATCGTATAAAAAATGTAGACATTAGTCAATAAGCAGAGCTTAATCATTATTTAACTAAATTGAAAAACTATTGATGTAAATTCACAGAGCCATTTATAAGATCATAAATATAATTGTGATGTTTCTCGTACAATAATTTAATAACCTTCTTTATGTGATATGCCTCTAAGAAAAAGCAAGGATGATCAACTCGTGATAAAAATTTCATTATGATAACAATTAAGAAAGTGTTTAAATACTTCTTGAGTCACACTCAAGACAAATCATAGAACTAAATTTGGCAGAATCAATGGAAGAAAAATAATTAATGATGTGTAGTTTAAGAATTAAATCAGCACTTTTATTTAATTAAAATTTTTCAATACACAGATTATTGATACAATATGTAATAATATTACACGTTTTGTGTTAACATAAATGTTGAACCGTATTATTGGCATTGGAAGACTTTTTTGCAGTTTTAACTGAATTTAATTTTTCATAACAACATTATAACTCTGGAGTAATTAATTAGATATTTGGTGGTGGACATGCAGTTGGAAATTGTGGTTTATCTGGCCTTAAACCGATCACACCACACGCAATTGCTTTTCCAACGTTACCTGTGATGTTTGAATCTTTTCGACCAACACCAAGATCATCAGGCCACTCATGAACCTAAACAACAAAAAATAAGTAAAAGTGAATTTAGATGAAAAAATATTTAATAGATTTGATTTTGTTTCTTACCAGAATGGCTCGACCAAGTACGGAATTGTTTGCTGGTTTCAATGTTATCTGACTATTGAATTGATTTATGAAAGCAATGCCTCTTTGATCAGCTTGTAAATTACCCAAATCACCAGCATGCCTGTATTTATCTGTAGGCCCACCATGGTACCAACGCACCATACTGAAATGTGGTCCTGATGCATCACATCCACTGAGTATGGATCCAAATTGGTGAATATGGAAACCATGATTGCCGGGTCGAAGACCACAAACTATTCCATAAATGCCAACTCCATTCCACTGTAAGGAAGTTGTAATTAAGATTAAACGGAATCATTTATAAATTGTTTACTTACCGAATTTTGAAAGTAAATTACGCCTCTTACATTGGATCCTCCTCTGATAATGGCTTCAGCAAAAATTGGATTTAGATAAACGTTATTAATTGGATGAGTATTTGGTGGTGGTAATGTTACAGGTGAAGATTCAGATGCGATTTCGTTTGTTTCTGTTGGCTGGACATCTCTTTCAAAACCTTCATCTCCATGATAGTCAACTGAACTATCTGTTGATTGAGACAAAATTTTAGTGACCAACAAAATCAAAAAACAAAAACTTATCTTCATGATTCTTCCGAAAAGAGCTACAGAAGTTATAAGAATCACTTGAAAGTCACTCACGCTTGAAACAAAAAAGAATCAAACGAACAAAATGTTGATCTATTGATTAAAGATGACGAGTTATAAAATATCAAGAGGAGGCAATTAAATTGGTGATCATCAAAAAAACATAAAATCTGAAAAAATAGTGAAAAACTTCCGAGAAAATGTAATTTGATTTTTGGCCAACTTTTCAAATTGATTGGGAAAATTTTCAACTTAAAATTGACATATTTATTAATAATAACTAGAATGGTGCAAGAATTATTTTCATTATGTAACAAAGATGAAAGAAGAAAATTAAATTACGATTTGATGATGAACTCTCCTAGAGAACGGTTTAAGGAGATCGGAAGGAACTGGAATAATACCATAATTAATGTACCAAAAATGTAAGATCCGAGAATAAGTTCAATTAATTGATGAGATTGTCTTTCTCGATTTGTATAGAGATGGTGGAGATTGAAAATTACCCCATGATTTTTAATGAAAATTTTTCGTAGAGTTGAGGATGAATCTGAGATTTAGACTATACAGCATAACGGATTCTTTCGTAGCTGTATCCTGATGATGATGAAGAGGATGATGAAGATGAACCAACACAATATTCATTGTAAATAAGTTTAGCGAGGAATAGGTGAAATATCACAATCAAAAAAACAATGGAGAGCCAAAATATTGCGGGAAGCCCACCAAGTTTATGACCATGTCGATGAAGAGCAATGATATTATGTTCGTGAGCCGGTGCTTCGACTATTTCTTTAACATGAATCGTATGTTTCAATTCCTGGATGTGTTCCAAATCAGGAGTTATATAGAGAATAGCTGTCAAAGGTTGAGTTAATTTCACAGGAAATTGTGCTGGAATTGAGGATAGCTTTATTGGAGCATCCATACAGCCTCCATCACAAGCATAAAATTTGTGATCACCTGTAAATGAAGATAAAATCATCGATTAGCACAGGTGGTTACTCTTTAAAGGCATTAAACGAAATCTTGAATAAGATTTTATCAAATTATACAATTACTTATGGTATTTAAATTATATTCACCTTCATTTTTATCAATAGTCACATAAAGTGATGCTTTGTTATCTTCCCCTAAAGCCACAGTAATGTTTAACAAAGTATTATTACCATAACGAAGACGACGAATGTAATAATCTCGGTGTAATTCTTTTGGATGAGTATTGAATTCGATATGATTCTTTGTAAATTTAAGGGCACTTAAGCTTAATATGTAGGCTTGTAAGGTTCCAATAGCACCAGATTCAATTAAATTGTGGCAACCATGTTTTTCTAATGTCATCAACCAAAGAGAAACAATTCTGTTAATATCACCTATTGAATCCATTGGTGACCATAATGCAGAAGCTTGTAATGTAGGATGTCCATTATAACAACTATCTGGTTTGTTGAGCAAATTAGAGGATCTTGCAGCAACCAAAGCACTAGGCAGGTCCTTGAAAACAAAATCATGGTCAAAGGCACTCTTATGACTTAATATATAATAAAGGGTAGCATTAATGGCATCGCCGTTTAAAATATTTTGAGCTTTCGAGAAGCTGATTCCAAAGCCGCTCTTCCACAACTCAGCCCAAGCATTGATGTGAAAGTTAAACAAATTCAAGGAAGAAGTATCAGCTATCTTTTTAACAGTTTCACGTAGCGTCAATTTAAGATCAGGTTCATAACGTGCAATTTGATTTTTCAATATTGGTTTTGTATAATTTAGAAATGTACGAAATTCTAAAGTTTTTCTTCCATTTGCGGGCACTTGAATTGTATTTGGAATCTCAGGGGCGATTACAGAATAGCTAATACTTTTACGATTATCATCTTTCCAGTCAATCTGACTTTGTATTTGAAAATAGTTTAATTTATCCTTAGCATTTATTGCAACTACTTGACTTTTTGCTTTTGTATCTCCTTTCCAACCCAGTCTTTTCAAATTGAAAACAAAAGGCACATCCTACAAAATGATTGAAAATAGTTAATTAAATTGAATTATTTATATTCATAAAGTAGAGGTAATAGAGGGTACTTACAAAGTAGTTTACTATATCAATTTCTTGCACAAGAAGAGAGTTTATTAATCTATGGGCATAAATCGTTTCTCTGACTGACACATCTTTGTAGAGGTAAGAGTGACAGGTCACTTTATAAACAAGACCTTTAACATAACGAACGGAAGTTAATCCTTCTGAAAAAGAAATTTTAATAATAAAAATTAGTCCATTTGAATGAAAGTTTTTACAAATTAACAAAATACTCACTCGTATATTTATTACTGTTGGCTAGTTCAACTTCAACCAATGGATGAAACGGTATCGCAACATCTAAAGCTCGTTTTCCCAGAATATAGAATGGTTTGTCCGAATAATTATCCAAAGACAAGCCAATTTTACCGTTACCCACATACGGTAAAAAATGATCCGAGGTTTCAGTGATTGGGTTAAAATTATTCCAACGATGGGCCTCGAATCGTTCTTCTTCTTTTAAAATTTCCCGATATGCGCCAGGAGCCTCTAAACATGGTTCTAGCTTATCTGAAAAAATATGAAAACATTAATCAAAATGATGAAAGACAGATGATAAATTGGTTCACAAATATTACACGTAAACGCAGCTGTGACGTTATTTTGTTGTTTTATATTGTCATTACTGAATAATCGCATGATTTGCTTTTGCGAAAAAAATTATTGTTCGTAAACATTAGACATTTTAATTAAAGTCTAAAGAATCTTGTCATCAGCTGTGTTCAAAATGAAAAATTTGAATAGCGTTTTGTCTTGACAAGTTACCTGGTAATATTGGTTTTTTCTGCCAGAATTTGAAAAAGAATGGTCCAATGTAGACTAATATAATACAAACGGCTAGTAATGTAATAAGTAAACGTTTACGGCTGTTGAACGATAAAAATAAAAAATCAGATGTCAAAGTAAATTAAAGTAGGGTGTAGGAGAGTAATATGTTGTTAATAGTAGAAGATTTAACTGATAACTTACGATTGATGAGAATCATAACGCTTCCACTTTCTCAGGTATAGATCCAAATAATCAAGAATTGCCATAATTGACCATAATCAAATTCAACATTGCCACATAATTAAATAATTTTCTATGTGAAACAACTTAGCAAAAGAGTTTTGTTATACAACTCAGCTGTCGGTTTCTAGAGATGTTCCGATTTAATTTATTATCGATTTCATCGATTTCTAGCATCACATCAATAATTAGTTATTAAGAGTACTTGATAAATAAACTTTTTCCTGACATGTTCCTAAATAAAAGAAAATTTGACCGAATCAAATTAAAAGTTTGTATTTTTTTAATTTTCATGATTAAATTGATTAAACAATAGCGAAAATCGAAAGAATCGATCTTCTCAAATCAACTGAAATGATCGGTTGCTAAGGAAACCTCAGCAAGATTTGAATTTCTTTAATTTCTTCTCTAACAAGTTGGTTTTTGTAGTTCCTTATTGATCATTCTGAATGATTAAACTATGATAGTTTTATTTAATATGCATCAGTGAGTCGAACAAGTTATATTATCAAGGAATAACACGAGAACAATTGACACTCAGAATATTAAGATTATCTAAACTTGTGATCTTTGGATGAGTTTATTCAGAAGTGACAAAATAAACATTCTCATGGTTAAATAATGGAATTGTGAAAATCAAATAGTCAACATAAATTGTTTGCATATTTATTTGATAATGTTATGTTTACAAATTAATCTCGGTCAACTTGAATTACAAAAACTACGAGCCTTGGTGTTCATAATCATTTTGTCAAAATCACAGAAACAATTTTTTTTACTCAAGTAAACCATTGAGATCAAAGTTGCATCAGTTAACCCATTAGAAGATGGCCCAAAATTATTGGCTTTAATTTAATTTGATAATTTTTGTTTTGAATAATATGATTTTTAAATGGTTAGCAGAAAAGTAATTTGGAGGAAAAAAAGCAAAATAAGGTTGATAATTGAGTTACCGAAAAAAAGACGAAGGTCCACATATACATATTTATAAAGATGTACATACATTTATAAATTATACTGTATTAATCTGATAATTAATTTCCATGACTTTATCGCTGATAAATCCATTTAAACACGGAGTTCTGCAAAGATTTCATCATAAATATGAAGAATTTGATGGAAGCTGCAATGTTCATGGTGAATATTTGAGAAACATATGCAGATAATTATGAAGGTGATAATGTTGATGTGAACGATGGTTACGAGAAGCGGAAGATGAGATGATATTTTGACAATAATCAATTAGACATGATAAATAGTCGTATTCCCAGCTAAGATATAATGAGTTGTCATGAGAATGTGACATTATTTAGGAGTGTTGTGAAGAGAGTTTGAATTTTGTTATAACATCATCAAGTGTCATTGAGTAAATATTTATATATGATCGACTGAGTCCAAAATTAAATTTCTGTTTTCTTTGTTTCTTTCAAATTGGTCTTCTCATGTCCGATGATGAAGTAACAGCAGACGAATTGGAAGATTGTGGAGCAATTCCGATAATTGGTGGATATAACCCACTAGATGCTGAAGTTGTTCCAGTGGATGAATAGCTAAAAATAAATTCATCGATATAAAATTATAATTTGAAGACAATTATCTCAACAACATGGAAATTGCTTAAAAACCGAAAGGAGAAATTTATCTTTCTTCTCAGGGAAACTTACCTAGCAAAACTCTGAGTATCATCTGTGTAATAAGATCTTTCAGCACCGTAGGTTCTTTAGTTCGCGAGATTGAAGAATAGCCCGATAATTAAATTTCCGAAAGAAAATTAACGAATAAAGAATAAGAATAAGGAGGAAAGAAAAAGAAAAAATAGGTTTTAAATTGAGCACGAACACGAAAAATTTTTAGAGTGACGTATATCACCGAATAAGATGGATTAAGGGTAAAATAGACTTGGATCTTTACCGATCTGTGTTTGAAGGCGACCTTCTGTAAGCATATTCTTCGAGATAAGGTCTTCTATAATAGTACTCTTCGCGGGGTGGTGGAGGTGGTGGCCGCCTATCATAAAGATCCGGATAGGGGCGAGAATAAGCACGATCATAACCTCGATCAACCGGATAATTACGAACAGGACCGTATCTTCCTCCATACCAACCAGCAGGGCCTGGAGGAGGCATTTGTGGTGGTGGTGGAGGAGGAGGAGGATGAGGAGCACGACTAAAGCCAAACCAGAAAAAAAGTCAAGGTGAAAGTTCTGTTAGTTGTATAGAAAATAAATTCTAGTTCTTTTTTGGGAATATGATATGAGATTAAATTATTGTATGCATTGGTGCATAAGCGTTTTTAGTTGGCTTGAAATAACATAAATAAATAAATAAAGCTTTCAAACAAAACAAAGCAACACCGTTTGAGATCACAATTGGTTTTGATTTAGGATGGCTGAGTGCCGAAGAAAATATCAACTCAGAAGCGGATTTTTTCCGTAAAATTGCAGCTGAATATTGGATAAAAAAATATTTGTTTCACAGACTTTTACTGAAAGCGTTACACACCCGTTATGATTATGACGATCATGTGTGTTTCGTGGACATTCTTTAGACCAATGACCACTTTTTCCACATCGATAACATTGACCTTTTCCTCCCATTCCTGGTTTTGGTCTTACTTTACTACGAGAAGCTTCCACCGTAATCTTGACTCCCATGAACTCTGCTCCATTTAATGCTTCAATAGCAGCTCTAGCTTCAGTTTCATCTCCCATATGCTAAATTGACAGTTCAAGAATGCAAAATTTGATCAGTTGCATGAAACACAATTATATGCAAGAGACTGTGATTAACATGAATAAATAAATGAATCATGTACTTACGACAAAACCAAAATTCTTTATGATATCACATTCTTCCACTTTACCATGTTTCTCAAATGCATTTCTTAAGTCTTCAGCACTACAAGAGTCTGGTAAGCCTCCTATGTAAATCTTCGTTTGCTGTGGAAAAAAACGATCATTTAGTTACAGAAAGAAAAGGAAAGTTTGTAGAGAAATAGATAAGATTTAACGTAAGTTACGAAAGAATAATCAAAAATACAAATAACTTACTTTAGATACAGAATTCATGGTTAAATGAAAGGAAGAAGAAAAATTACACGAATTGATGATGATACAGAATTCGGACCAAAGGCCAAATGAGAAGCTATGATTCGACCAGTTAATATGAGATAATTACAAATGATCTAAAATTAAATAAGTTAGAAGCTAAGCTTCTTGTTTAATTAGTCTAAGGATTTGAGTTGTAAACCAAACCATTTAATAATAGAAGATTTTCAATGCAAAACTCTCAATGTTGGTAAGCCTAACCTTTAAAAAATCTTTTTAAGCTTAACCGCCATTTTTGAATGGTGGAAAGCTAATTGATAAGTTATCAAGTTGATATTTGTTGCTAACATGAAAAGATCATGTAAAATCGATTTGTATCATTTATGCATTTAAATATCAAATAAAAAGTAGAACAATTAATTCAGATAATAAATTTTGGTTATTTATTCAGATTTTAATTTAATGTATGAAAGATTTTTAGAGATCATTTCAAACTAGTTTTGGTTTATTTGATAATTGAATCAATTGGAGATCAAGTTGAAATCACATTGAAGTGAAATATTTTCAATCGTTTACATTTTGAGAATCAAAATAATTAATTCTATAAATGTCTAAGCTAAAAGCTTCTTTGATAAGATCGGACCGGTCTTCTCGTTCTGAATTAACCAGAAGATGTTGAAACGAAGCTTCCAAATCTTCATGAGTGAAATGAGGAAAAAATCTGCTTTGAAGAGTAAACGAAATGTTATCCCAATTGTTATTTAACTTTTCTAGGTACCATGAAAGCGCACTAGGTTGAATCAAGTATACTTTATCTCGGTATGTATCATTGCCCACTTCTCTCAGTTTATTTGTGATGGATTCAGGAAAATCCAAAATTGAGAGATCATGAAAAAGCACTCTTTCATTATTAACTGGTATATTCAGCAATGTTTGTGGCGGAAGATAGGTACGTGAAAATATTATATCGAATCTCGAATCTCTATCTTGCACAATATTACTATTCAACTCAAAAAGTGCTTTTGTTACACCAGATTGATGAACAAAACCATAGATGTACGTGAAAAAGATATTGAATAGTATCCAACAAAAGAAAAGCGATTTCCGAACTCGTAACTTTTCAGCATAAAGGTAGGAAAGAAAGATGAGACATGGAAGAAGAAATCTCGGTTCTTGATGAGGAATGAATGATAAAGTAATCAGGGATATCCAAAATGAGAGCAACATTATTTTTCGAGCGGGAATCATTTTGTATCTGAAAGGTTGCAATGAAATTTTGAAAATTTCCAAATATGCCAAAAGTCCAAGTAAACCAAACGACAATGGAACGTTCACTAACATATGATGGAAAGGATCATGAAGACCATGATTTTTCAAATTGCTAGTGTCTCTGTTGTAATTTATGAAATTCCAAGGCGTAAAAATTAAAGATGTTTTATCTAAAAATTGTGTCAAAGTCAATTCTCCAGAAAGCAGTTCCTGAAATAAAAAATTAATGAGTTAATAATTTTTTCGTGATTTAGTATTGTATAACTTACAATGAAATGATCAAAAATATCTCGACGATAATAAGCCGTGTCAACCAGAACATTTGCCAAACTAGCAATGCTAAAGCTGGGTAACATGTTTACACCATTTCTCCATTGTCTCTTGGGGAATTTATTTTTACCAATCGAAAGCCAAAAAAGAACTGGAATAGTTGCGAATATCGGAAATGTTGGACGATTAAATATACCCATGGCTAAAATGATGCCAAGTAAATGATGATGTTTGGTTTTTTTGATGGACAAACTGCTGATGACAATATACAATACCACTGATATAAAGATAGTCTCTAATGAATTGGTGAAAGTGTGAGTCAAATGGGTCAAAGTCAGGTAAGATGTTGAAAAAACTAAACATGGAAATGACCATTGCCATCCAAGGGTTAATTTTGAAATTTTGTATAAGCAGTAATCAGCAATGAAAGATAGTCCAGTAAATATAAATCGAGGTAGAACCATAATGATATAGCTATTCAACCATTTCTGCTTAAGAAGTAGGAATGGTGAATTCAATAGAAGAGGCATGGAAATACTTCTGATAGGCTGATCAACTTTGAATTCCCAAGTTTTAAGTGACTTTATACCCATGAAATCACCAATGATGGGCTCAGTAAATTGAAAAAATTCATCTGGTTGAATATAACCATGTTGAGGTACCAAAGTTAAAATCAATCTTAAGATCCACGATATCCCAATCAAATTCCGTATTGGTGAATTGGATGTCATGGCTATTTTGGGACGGCGATTATTCACTCAACCAGTTTTCTTGAATGGAAACACTATCTGCTTGATCAAAGTCCACAATTGTTATCACCTGATTTTCAGATCAAATCATCTCAAGCAGTCTTCATGAATCTAAAAATAAGAAAATCGCAAACAGAATTTGCACGAATAATTAAAAACAATGTAAATTTTTATAAATCCAGCATAGTCAAGTAGTCATATGTATCATAATGAACGCCGTTTTGATTGCAAACATTATTATTAACAAAGACATAAATAACATGCTATTTTATCAAACGGTAATTTTAAAGCAAAACATTATCTAAAATTACCTCAGATTTTTATGACAATGTAAACAATCCATATTTTTACAATGGATAAATCACACGAGTTGAAACTGTAAAATTCAAGATTATGAGATAAACTGTCAATAACAGCTGATTTGTGTGACACTCATTCTCAAATCTTTTGTAAACAAATCACGATATGCGAGGTAAATTCAAAATTGACAGCTACACTTGATTAAGATCTGTTTTTAATTTATTATTGCAGATGATCCTAATTGATTTAAATTTACTAGAGTGTACAATGTATCGGTATTCATTAATTTTTGCATATATTTTTTTATTTAGTGAAGACAAGACAAAAAACAGCAAGTCTGAGCTAATATGTGATATCGATGCTGGATGCCAAGGTGATCTAAGGTATATTGGAGAATGCTGGATGATCATAAGAATTCTGATCGATTTCTTATCAAAAACTGCTCTAATTTTTACTGTATTCTCGCAATTGTCAGATAAATTTCAACATAAAATTCAAAAAATTCACTTAAAACATGCCAATTGTTAGAGCTGTGTGTTAAATAAACGCTCCTCCTTGTGTCCATGTAAATTGTTACATCTATCCAGTCTTTTCAAAGGCGAGGGTAATTCAAAATTGAACACTCGGATAATTTTAATTTTTATTTAATTTTTATCTATTCTTACTTTTCATAATTTTCATAATTTCTCGATCCGACAAAATTTTGTATCGACAGTTCTCTTCTGTTGTATTACTCTTTGATGTTGACTGCTTATGAGATACAAAATGATAAATTAACCAATTGCTCAATCTATTCTCCTCTTCACCAGCTAACCTTAAATATTTAATTAATTTTTATCACTCATTATTTATGTCCTTATTGATTTTTAACCGTTAACTATTTGTTACATTCAACTGCATTCATCAATGTGATAGTTATTAGGACTCCTGATTCAGGAGCAATGCCAACGAGTTACAATAATCTCCTCAAGATCAACAGCTAACGCACAGCTGATTTTGATCAAATCTCACTTACAAAACAACTCTGCTCCATCAACCTCCTCTTCATCTTCATCATCTTCATCACTTGTACAAGTCAAAACAACAGTACACTTTAAATGATGTTTTCAGTATTAATGTTGATTATTTTACTATTTTGATTGTTCACAACACTATTCCCAATTAACCAGGCTAAAAAATCATTTGGTCGATCAACCAAAATCTCTGTAAATTTCTTCAGTTGGTTTATTTTGTATACACTTGTTAAAAATGAATGTGATGTCTAATTTTAAGTTTATTTTAAGTCTTGTATCTTTTGTTGGCCTCTTAATTAGTCAAGTAATTTGTCGTGATTTAGATTTAAATCTTCAAACATTCAAAGATCTATCAACATCAACAAATTTACTCGTTCTTTTTTTGGTTCCATGGTAAGCAAACATCCTTCTTTGACTACATTCTCATTGAACTTAACATCATCAACATAACCTAACAGCCTTATGAATCCCCTATTTCGATAGCACAATTAGTCAGATTATCTCAGACTATTAAAATGCATAAGACGGTAAATTCAAATTCAGTAAAAGCTTCTATACCGATAAATGAACCTAGCTTATACTGTGATTATGCATAAACCGAACTGTCCTTTCAAATTCTCTTATTTTCTTACTTCGTGAAAATTGTGTCCACTTCAGCATTATCATGTATTAATTATTCTCTAGCTATTCAAATTCCGTAACTCCTTTGACCTGACTTTTACCCACTCTATTCGTACAGTTAAACGTTTAATCTAATCCCTTTTGTTAACTGATATCCCTCAAATATAACAAATGATCGTATTTTGGCGCACAGATGTTAAGATAATCCTGCATTTAGATCCTTACGTCTAATTCCTGGCTTCAACCCCAATTTTAACGGTTAAATGATTACCAATTGAAAAACCTTCGCAAATTTCACTATTACCAAGATAATGATTTCTTATGTTTCTTATTTCAAGCTAAGCCAACTTTTTCTGTGACAATTTTGACATTTCAAGCTTACCAATGTTCATCATCATCCTTGATGCAAATTTTTTTGAATTTAGTCAAGTTCCCTCCATAATGCAATGAAAAACAGTGAAAATAATCATGAGACTTCATCACTTCATCTTCTCAAATAACAATGAAATGCATATCATATTCATCCTTACTTTTGATTGTAAAAAATATTACAAATAGCTAATAGTTGCGAATTGTATCAACATTAGTATTTCACTGATATAATTCATCTTCAAGCATATGCGATGAGCGATTGAACTTGCTTTCTATATTATTATTTCAAATATTTAGCAATGTTTATTACATTAACAATGATTGCTTGACAAATTAGATGTTTGCTTCATTGTAGCCATTAATATTTGCTTACAGCTATACCATTTTTGTTTGCAATCAATGTCGCTGTTGATGTTTGTAATTAATAGGATTTATTACCATAAAACCTGCCATTTACAATCACCGCTCTCAATTTGCCCTCTTTGTTTAAACATTTATTCAAAACAATTTTCCAGTTTATTAAGCTCTAACCATCCATAAATGGTACCATTTTTGCCTATTTGTTTAAGCTATTCATCCAATTTATGTTAGTGTATTAGTGATTTCTCATGGTTACCATTGATAAACTTCATTAACTCCTTTTCGTGTGATTCTGTTCCTATTAATTATTCAAAAGTTGTGTTAGTTATCAAAAATAGTGTCAAAGTAGGGATCAATACTAAAGTAATATCGATGATGATGCCAACACAATTCAGTAACAAGACCATTTTAAAGCGTAATTTGTCTCTTTTTCATCCGTTAAGGTGTGGACCTTGTCTCAATTACCAGCCTAAATGGAAACAATTGATGAAATATTTCAATGATGATCCAACAAAATTTGATTTACTGGTTGGACGTATTGATTGCTCTAAGGAGGTTGAATTGTGTGATGTTGAAAATGTCAATTTTTACCCAACTGTCCGACTTTACTCACCAACTCGTAAACGTCCGATTGAAGCAATTGAATTGAAAGATTTCAATGTAATTGAGGAGTTTCTCCGTAAAAATATCAAGCTTCGTGCTGAGGTAAGTTAATGTTTGTTTAAACATCTTCTAACATTGAAACTAATATGTTTTCTTGTATCTTACAGATTGATTTTGCTAGTCTTATGTCTACAGAGCGACTGGATTCCGATGAATCAAGTGAACATGTTTTAACTGAACCTGATGAACCCGAGCCTGATCGAGTCAGTGGAGTTTATGAACTCAATGAAGATAATTTGGAAAAATTTCTGTCCAAGGGTCGCCATTTTGTCAAATTTTATGCACCTTGGTGTGGTCACTGTCGCAACCTGGCTCCAACTTGGAAGCTTTTAGGTGACACCTTTCAAAATGATAAATCAGTGTCCATTTCAATGGTTGACTGTGAAGCATACTCTTTAGCTTGTCAAAAATTTGATATCAACAGCTATCCGACTTTATTGTGGATTGTTGATGGGGAAATAGTTGACAGATATAATGGAATGAGATCGCACAAAGATCTTAAGGTTTGTACTTTTCTTTTGTCTATTCTTGCTCTTTTGTGTTGAATCATAATTGAGTGTCATTTTTATTTCACCATTTTTTTATAATTTTTACAATTTTCCCACCTTTTTCCACTTTAATTTGATTGATTCAGGCTTTTGTCAATCGTAAAAAGAAGGAGGATCAATTGAAATTAGAAAGACAAGGAACTGTCCGAAGTGAAGATGTCATCCACACCCTGACCAATTCAAATATCAATAAAGTTATACGCCACGGAGTCACTTTTGTAAAATTTTGGGTTCCTTGGTGTAGCCATTGTAAAGCCTTAAGACCCGTTTGGAATGAACTTTCACGCAAACTATTGGGCAGAGTTAAAGTCGCTTCACTAGACTGTTCACAATTTGAAGATATTTGTGAAAAATATCAAGTCAATGGATATCCAACTTTAATCATTTTCAGAAATGGCCGCGCTGTCAGTGAATATGAGCAAGAACGATCTCTTGATTCTCTCGTTGATTATGCCTTGTCTTTTGCCGACGATTCTCGTGATGAATTATAGCAATCAAACGGAGGGATATTTCGAAAAATAATCCGGCTTCGAGCTTTATCTTCTTTCAAAAAAGCGCTTCTTTACCTTGTCAGTTAACACTCATCAGCTAACCATAATTTACAATTGAACCTCACAAAAGCTATCTCGTTTATCCTGTCATTTTCAATGGATTACAACAAAACTTCATTGTTTAGACTACAACTCAACGATAACCTATTCACTCTCTCTAGTGACTCGTCTAAACTTGAATTAAGATTTAATTCATGCCAGGAAAACCATTCATCATCTAAGCAGATTTTACAAGAAAAAACATCCATCAATCGAAAAAGCTTTTTGTACCAAAGATCTCATCTAAAATATACATAACCCATTTATTTATACAGCTAGGCAAAAAGCAAATGCTAAATAAAACCTCTTCAGTCCATTAAATAACAGAATCACTTGAAATTGTATTTTTAGTTTTATTTTTATTTCATTTCTGTTTTTTTTGTGCTCATGTGAATGAACAATTAATGACAATCGGGTGAATGTCATATACTTGAGAAAAGGACGGATCTTAAGGGGTAAAGGTTAAACAAAGAACACATAATCTTTTCCCTTTTCTCATCATTTCTATTTAAGAACATTCATGTTGATTGGTAAAATGAAATTCACAGTAAAGGTTAACTAATTGAAAAATGAATAAGAATACAGATTTGAAATTTTGATGAAATTAATGGTAATGCTAAGACATGACAATTTTAAATGGTTTTACGATGATCACAATGAGGTGAAGATGACTTTTTTTTAACAAAACTAAATGAAAATTATAACCCAAAAGGGCATTTGAACATTTCGTCAAAAGTAAAGTAGATGAAGCAGATTTTCGGACAAAAATAAAATGAGTAAATAAGATTACATTCAGTAAGCTGATTCCGTATTTTTTTTGATTTTCACATGAGGTTTCTCATTTTATGCATGTTGTTCAAAACTATCGTTCAAGTTAAATTAATATGAGTAGATGAGTTGATTACTATTAACTCATATTAACAGTAACATTATGTATTTGATGTAAAATGAAAATAAGACATTATAACACATTTAAAGACCACGACCTCTGATTCCTTGGTCACCTTTAACCCGTAAAGCTTCACGATCTCGAGCACGTTTGAATAACCAGCTTCGTTTATCGCCATCTTTAGAGGGATACAATTGATTGGTTCGCCTTGATTTAGCTCTTGAAATGTACCAATTATCGATTTCTTTTAAATCAGAAACATCTATTTCCTCTTCTGGTTCAGAGTAACCAACTTTGTACAATCTTTCTTTATTTTTTCGCCATTTGCTCTCCAAATTTTCCATAATCTTGGACATTTTTGAAGTTAATTTTTCAATTTTCTGAGGAACTGGTTTAAGATTGGTGGCAAATTTATTTCCAAGATCATGAATCTTTCTCAAGCTGCCCGCAAGTAAATCCGTCATCTCCTTCATAACTTGTTGATATTCAGGAGTAGGATTTTCCGCCATGAATTCAATCCTTCTAACCTCTGACCATTTTTCCCATATTTTATCCTGTAAGCTATTCAAAGCTGCCATGGTTGAGTTAATCTTTTGATGCATAGAGTCAGGAATCATAGTTTGTGTCTCGATAGCTTTTTCAACAATCATTTTCATAGCATCTACAAGCATCTTGGAACCACTGGAAAAACTGTCGCCAACAATATTGGAAAAGTCCATATCACCTAACCATTCATAAAACCGTCCATTGCTTGGTGAGTTTGCTTCTAAAGACTCGTCAATTGGTTCAGGCTGAGATGAAATGGATTCCAATTTAGCATGCATCTCTTCATACATTGCTTTCCACTTATTTACTTCATGTTTCTCACTGTCTAACATTTCCTGTAACTCTTGGATTTTGTCTTCAAGTGGAGTTACGTCTTTGATTTCATTGCTATTATAGCCAATGTAATTTCCCAAACCCATGAAAATACCAGCGGTTATAGCAAAGCAAACCATGAGATTCAATTTTAGGTTAACATTTGAATTGGGTGTGTGGGTATAAGCCCGAGTACGATTTCCAATAAGACTGAGATCAATAATTCCATCGTCTAATTCAATATCTTCAGTATCATCAATATCATCACCATAGTCTTCTTTGTGCATTCGAGACGATGACTCTTCTCCAATCATTACTGGATAGAGAGAGGGTTGAGAAACTCGAACAGGTTCAATGTCAGATTCATTTGAAAAACCCTCTGAAGTACTTCCATAGCTTAAACGTCGCCGTCTACTCAACCGTGGAGTTGACTCTATCAGGTCAAATTTAGTTTTATCCGTTTCATTGTCTGAATGGTTCTCTAATTGTCCATATAAAGCAATATTTTCATTTGACGGGTGTAAATTTGATAAGTTTCCTGAAAATTGGTTTTCTTCGGTTTCATCAAGTTCCTCAATGTCACTCTGGTCATCTTTGTGTACAAAAAAGTCCGTTTCTTGGGCAACATTAATCTAAATCGGTAAAAAAGAGAAAAATGACATTATTATGACGAAAAATTTCAGAGCTTTTGATATTGATAAGTAACAACAAAGATAGGTTAAAGTAAAATCAGATAAAAGATCGAGATTCAGTGTTTGAATCTGATTTATTGGTCTAAATATTTAGAGAAGAAAATTAAATGTAAAAAATGAACATTTTACATTTTTTTGTACGCAAAATACTCGACTATTTGCATCATTCAGTTCTTTGTTTGCTGTTATTTCATTGGTTTTGCCTTGAAAATAAATGACAAGACATAGAATAATAAAGAGCAAAATGGAAGAAGGCTTCAGCTGTTAGCCATTTAAGCTTAACAGGTTTAAAACTGGTTTGGGTTTAAATGTTTACGAAGAAACAAGCTTTAGTGAGGTGGATAAAGCTAACTGGTAAACTTAAAGCTAGATCATTATTCAGGTCACTTAACCATTGAAAAAAACTAGACCTTGAACAATCCATAATAAATTATTATATTATTTTCGATCTCTTTTTTGTCAACACAATTCTTGCTATTCATTGTATCAATCAGCATTCGGATTGAATAGAGTTTGAAAGTGAAAGCTTAATCAATATTGGATCATTTTAATCAGGACTAAACAGTACTTGATTTTTGATCTGCTTATCAACTGATTAATTAAGAAAATCTCAAGTTGACCTAAAAAGGATTAAATGTTTATAAATGCTGACACTAAAACACTTGGTTTTGATGGTGAAAAGGATTATTTGGTGTTGGGGTTTAAGATGGGACAAGAAAATGATACAAAATGTAAATAATGAAATTTCAATCAAACTGTAAAGGATATCAAATCTTCATGATAAAGGTTACTGAAAGGATAATCAATAGACATTGAAACAGTTGAAATTATAAGATAAATCTAACTGAATACTGTAACCAGTAAACTAAGGGACAATAAAATCAATTTGATATCCGTTGTAGTTACTGTGAAGTTTAAGCTGGCAATATGATTATTGATGAAAAACGAAAGTAATTTTGAGAAGCTTAAACCCGAATGTAGCTCAAATAAATGTTAATTGGATACAACTGATTACAATTACTAATGATAACATTGAGTAAGGTCAAGGTAAGTTGTGCTTTAAAAATAACAGGAGAAGAGCAAGATTGTTTAAAGATTTGTTTTTAAGCCATTCAGGGTTGCTGAATGTTAATATTTTGTTTGGTAAAGAAATAATTTGATATAATTAAGTTCAGTGGGAATCGTTGAAAGGAGAATGACTTATTACTGAAATTAGTTGAGTTACGATTTAAACATTGAAATTGCTTGGCGACCTCAAGATATGGTTCAAGTCACAAACTGTAGGTATTTCAATGTTATTTTGGCCTTTCGCATTTGTTCATTACGCATATTATGTTATACGAGCTATTGGAATTATTCCAAGATTATGTATAAATGATGATGACTGTGCATAAACATCAGGAACATAACAACCTTTCGTCATAATCATCTGATGAAAAGTCACAATGAAGTATACTTGAAACACCTTGATACAAGCATAAATTGTTCTCAATGAAATTAAAAACAACAGTTTAATTACGCTGTGACAAGTTAACAACAAGATAACTAATCTTACTCAATATAACTTTATAACACTGGTTCAACAATCAAACCCATTTTGTATTGTTTGGTCTTTCATTATTTTTCAACACTTTCAAATTTTTGAGAAACTATCATCGATATAACTGATAATCGCTAATTGGATAGGTCTTTAGGTAAACCTATTCCGATTGGTAACACAGGAATTGAGACTTTTATTGTTCACTATCCATATGGTTTAATCACAGATTATAAATTGCTTGAATGGATCATGATTTATTTAATATCTGGAAAAGATTTTTAATTGAGCTTGTCTAATCGATTAAAAGTAACTAGTTTTTATAGCTTAATTACGTTTAAGGTGAATGTAATGATGACGAAAGATCAAACAATAGTAACAAAGAAAATAGATTGAGTCAAGTACAAGGATAGAAATGGAAAGGTGAGTTAAACATGGTCCTAATTTTCTGTAATTAGCAGGGTTAAGTATTCTAATCGAATGGTAAGAATCCTAAAATAAGATGAAAACAAGAAATATTAAACATTATTATAACATGAGCATTGGAAGGGAAGAGTTGGAAACATCTCAATTTTGATTGCCACTTGATTTTGAAAAACAACAAACACTGAGAACACAAAAGCAATAGAATAATTAACCAAATTTAATGGAAGCTAAAATGAAATTACACTCAGTAATTACCTCATCTTTTGAGGGTGAAACAGAAATAATTGTCCACTCATCGGATGTGTCCAACTCCAATGGTATTTTATTTGAAGAAGATGATGTCAATGAAGAAGATGATGGAGATGAAGTATTAAACGAACTGTTAGGATTTTCATTTGAATCCATGATTGGAGAAAAAAGGTGAATGAGATGAAAACAATAGAAGCCACAAAAACCCAAACAGATGGGCTAAAAGGTGAAAAAAGTAAAGAATGTTACTGGTGGCGAGACGAACCAAAAATCACAAAGGATCCAGAAAGGGGAAAATGGCGAAGAAAACAAAGACCCAGAACCAGGAAAAATTTGTTATGAAGAACGTGAAAAAACCAGGTCAAATAAAACGTAAAGAACAAAAAAAATTAATAAATCCAGAAGATGAAGAAATAAAGAAATAAGTAATCCTTTGTCTTCTCACTGAAAATATCTTTCTTGCCTTCTCAATATATGACAAGGTGTAAACACATTCGGATCAATTGAAGAGATGATGATTATTGAGATAGCAATAGAGTTACTTAACCCTCAACAACAACAAATAATATACAAAGATCAAATTTGATTATTTAAACGCTATTAATCACAGACAAAAATTTAGACTTGGATACATTGATTTAATTGAAATTGAAATTAAAAATGGCAATAATAAATAAAAATAACAAAACAAAACAATCACCAATTTATTCTGAGCAACTGAACAGATGAAGAGAGTCAAAACACAACAAAACCAAACTCCTCCTTTCTTGCTTCCCCCTCTAACCCGAATTTCCCCCAATCTAATGTTAACCTTATCAACAAAAAGGACCAGCATTTCAGTCTGTTTTTGTTTTTTGAATTAACCAATTTGTTAAACCTGGAAAGTAAATTTAATTGTAGTTTTTTAATATTAATTATTAACATCTCTTGTTTTATAATTTAAGCAAGTTTAAGTTACAACCGGTTGATTAACTGCTTGTTACAATGTTTAACAATGTTGAAATCCACCCAAACCAGGATCGTTAAGGATTACTCTTTCTCTTCAAACACAACCCTTCATTGCTTTCTGGTTTCACTTTCAAAGAACAAGTTGGTTATAATGGGTTCTATTCCAGTTCATGATTACATATTCGTTTGAAACTTACCCAGTGAAAGTCAAAGGATTAGATTTAATTAGCAAATAAACACATAATTTACTAATTATTTAAACTACATGACTTCATGAATCGATCTTCAACCAAATCGATTATTCGATTATATTTAATCAAACCCGGTAGTAATAAGTGAAATAATTCTGGTGTATGGATGGTTAACATTATCAAGGTGATAAGGTGAATAAGGATGAAATGAACAAACTCGGACTGAAAATTGTCAAACTAGTTTTCAAATGACCATGTTGAATTTGAAATTATAAGCTATTGACCTAAGTGTCTTTCAGATTTCAGGTTTTATTATTGTGAACAAGGGATCCATTATTATTACATTAAGTGGTCAATGTCGGATAAGATTTTATGTCAAACGGTCATTTGTTAAGTAAATTGTGGTTTTAAACAAATAGGTTTATTGCAAATTTATAAGTATTCTTTGTTAAGTATTAATTCATTGTAACTGGATTTATGAGAGTAGCAAAGGATGGATTAATTGATAAATGAAAATATCGATTTCGATGAACTTTGATTGATACCGAGCCACACACCCCAGCACACCCTAAACGTGTTGATCGTTTATGAATGATAACAACTATTAATGATAAAACAGTTTCTAAATTGTTGTACATAGTTTAATGATCATCTGTTTCATCAGTTGCTAAGTTAAAACTAGAAGTCAATAATGGACTTGAAATAAGTTGATCGCATCTTCAGTTGATAATCACTCATTTTTATTCTTCCAAGTTAATTTGCTGTTAATTGTTGTGATAAATATAAATGGTTTGTCAAGTCTCAAACTGTATTAGACTTAAAATAAAATTGCACCTTGATATATACATTGATACATTGATACATTTGGATTTAATGGATTATTGTATCTTAAATTACGTTCAGTATTACCAATGGTTGCAATTGAATAATCTTACACAATGTTTCTCAATATTGAATTTACTTCTCTATTCAGTCAGATTCCTCAAGTTTTAGGTGTTTAATCAAATTTGATTTCAATTTTGTAACTATTAACTAACCATACAAAATTAAAACCAGAAAATTACGATAACAGAAAGACTGAATAAAACGAGAATCTGAGAGACAACTTGAGACTCTGAAACTGAGAGGACTTTATTTATTCAAGATTGAGAGGGAATCTTTTGAATGTTTTGATCTGAGTTAACCTCACACCACGAATAAACAGAACTAATGAGGCCACTTTGTTAATTGTCTATTGTTAAATATAAGAGAAGCCCGGATGAAACTAGATTGAGGCATCATTTCAACTATTGTTGTTAGGTTTTGATAATTATCGTTGATCTAAATGGTTGACAATATCGTCGATAGTGGATGAAGGAAAAAAACATCTGATTAATGATTTTCTTGATGATGAAAGAAAGACATTTCATCTTTACTGAAACTATGTTCAGATTAATTGGAATACTTCCTCAAAGCATATGTAGATCTCATTCCTAATATCATGGAGTCTAATCTCAATCCTGAATCACTGTCAAGTAATCTTCAAGAAAATTTATTACTTAATTAGTAAACTATTAATAAATTTCTATGTTCATCTCTTCTGAGCTCAAATCAATTTGAATTATCGGACGAATTATTGTTAGAATCATGAAAAATTTCCATTGCTTCCAAAAGACAGATTACAGCTGTATTATGAATTTTGTATCATGATCACAGCTAAACAATATTGAAGTGTTGACTGCTGATAGCTCAAATTACAGCTGCAAGAGTTGTTATTGTTGTAATTCATTTCATTTTGACGCTTTTATGGCCGAAATCGGCAGAGTTTTATTCATTTGAAGGTGAGGCAATTGGAGTCGGATTTGATAAAAAAGTACAGCGATGTCAAATGCTGAGACACTTATTTTAAATACTCGTAGGATCCGGACCGTTTTGTTTACGAAGTTAACTCAAGACTTATTTCACTAGCATATAAAGCCTGCTAACTAAAACTTTAAAAAGATCAAACTCACGGAGTGAGTTAAGAGTTTTACTTTGCTCATTGAACTTCGATGAATCTGCTTCATCTGTAAGCTTTATATTTTAATTTCTCATGTTTTTATGGTTTTTGATAAAAAGACACAATAAACACAACTGTCACATTTATGGACAAATTGCAAGGAACAAATTGACAAAAAGTAACACAAATGCGTCAAAACGGATTGGTTTCTTTCAAATTTAGACTTTGTTGGTTTGTAGAGGCATGAAAACTGAGTCCATTTGTGCGATTTGTAAATTTCTAAGATGGACAGTCTTCGAGAAAATCGCGTTCAAAGTTGAAACTTCAATCGATTTCTGTACAATTATGGAAGTAGGTTTTGTTCCATTCTTGCCAATTTGTGACAATTATTTGAATTGCAGCTTCCTAGTAACAATATGATTCAAATGGCCGAGTGTTAAGGTGTAGGATGTATCAGTAAAGCTGGGTAGATAGTTGCTAAGTTAAACCCTTTCACCGTTTTCGCAGTCAACACCATTTTTAGATGAATAAGATGTGGTTGAGGGTATTCCAGGAGGGCCAAAGGACCATGAGCCAGGCAATGTTGCTAGACGAGAAGAAATATTGTTATCCTTACTGGTAACAACTTCAGTTACATTATTTTGCTTCTCTGTTGAGATTCCCCTCATTTCAGGACTTGAAGGGATGGATTAATGAAATGGCTCATTGTTACCTAAAATTTCTAGAGCACTGAATCAGTTGAAACAAAGAGGTTAAATTGAAAGAAGGATTGAAGAGTTTATTATAAGTTAATAAAATAACGATACGTCGAGAAGGAACTTAAGTCAAGTTTTAAAAGATTTTGCGCTTTCAAATCCATCATGGTTAGCTAGATTGAATTTTTTGATTCAATCAGAATTGTATTTAATTTTACTATCGATTAGATTGAAGAACGATTCATGTAGCCTTCTCATGCAGTTTAAATAATTAGTAAATTTTTATTTATTTTTCAATTGTAACTAATCCTTTCAACATTCACATAAATGTGTTATTGTTAGCTAAAATGGAACCGAAAGTGTTTTGCAGAACAAAACCATTGTGTCCACAATTAACGATTTAACATAATTAGATCTGACTACATTTCATTAAGGTTTGAATTGAATTTACTCCAATAATTGTGATTTAAATTTTAAAATCAAATTGAAATGTAAGACTAAAGGAATACCAATATCCGATACTATTTTATTGAATCTCAGATCCGATATTTGGTTCACGTTTCTGTTTGTAAGTTTACAGTCACTGTAACACAGTGTAAATAATGTTTCTAAAATGTTTCTAAAATGTTGAAGTATTCATTTTTAATCATTGGAATTTAATTTTTCTTTTGTTATATTTGGGCTTAGCATTGATTGAGTTGTGTCATTATAATACGCTGCCTGGTTGACAAGCAACTATCCTAAAATGATGTGCACAATAATTAAGGCAAGTTTTTTACTTGCTTTTGGGTTCATTATTCGGATGTTTTTGATTACCAGTTCATACCAGAAAATGATCGCTGATAGAGTAGAGGTTTCTACTCCAGTCAATTCTTGGAGAAGAGGTAAAGTAATTCCATATATTCCACTAATTTCCTTATCAGACAATCAGATCTAATGTATCTTTATGAACTCTTTTTTTCCAGCTGTTGAAGGAGTTACTTTGATGAAGCTGAATATTTCACCATATGAAGGAGATACTTTTCACGAAGTTCCACTCTTTCTTCAATTTTATCATTTTCTGCTGACAAACTTTGAACAGTGGATACCTCTCATATTTGCCATCATTGACATACTCACTGGACTTTGTCTCAGCTTGGCTAGTTATAATCAATTGAAGACTATAAAAAGATGGGAAAAGATTAGGCTGTCAAAGCTGCCATCATCTGATGCTAAGAAATTGGAAATACCAGAGAAAAGTATTGCTCAATTAAGCTTCCGAGTGTTAGCAATCTACCTGTTTCTTCCATATTCAATAATGGCATGTACTGCTCAAACAACATCTGTGTTGATCAACTTTTTAGTTAGCCTTACAATGTTGTTTATAAGTTTTGGTTGGCGAGTTATCGCTTGTTCATTAGTCGCTCTGCTAACTTATCATTCATTTTATCCAATTTTACTGATTTTCCCTGTTCTTATGGTTTCTGAGAAAACCAATCAGAAAGGGTAAGCAATATTATCCTGTAGCAAGAAAATGAGTTAATTTATCTCACACTGATTCATAATTTATATTCTTTAATCTCTCTTCTAGAAAATCATTTACATATGCTTCAAAAAGCTCGTGTTTCTCATTGATATCATGTTCAATTGCAACTCTTCTTCTTATCTCCATTCTTGTTATGATTTCAAAATCAATTACTGGATCATATGATTTCTTTTCGTCAACATATTACTTCTTGTAAGGTTCAATTCCTATTCGACTTAATATACATTATCTAATAATTGTCTCTCTTTTCTATTAGACTATCCGTCCCAGACTTTACTCCTAACATTGGACTCTTTTGGTATTTTTTTGCTGAAATGTTTGATCAATTTCGTGAATTCTTTCTCTGGACATTCCAAATAAATTCTTTTGTTTACTCAATTCCTCTTTCATTAACTTTAAAGTAAGCAAAAATTCATAAATATTCTATTACATTTTATTAATTTGCATTTATTACTTTCTATTTCCAGGAACAATCCAAATTTCTTCTTCTTGATCACCCTCATTCTGCTTTCCCTTTTCAAACCATATCCATCCGTTAGTGATTTAGCTATTTATTTAGCCTTATTACCACAATGGACACATTTATTTACATGTAAGACAACCTTAAAAATCTTTTAATGCTATTTCCTTCAAATTTATTAATTTTACAAACTTTTTTTATTGATTTATTTAGATATGAAACAAGGACTTCTTGTCGCTTGTGTGTTTATTTCCTGTAGTGTTCTTGCCCCTCTCATGTGGCATATGTGGATAATTTTAGGAACAGCAAATTCAAATTACTATTTTGGAGTTACATTGGCGTATAATGTTGGTCAAGTAAGAATCATATTGTGACGAAACTTCATCGTCTATTCCTCCATTTTTAAAATTTACTTAAAATTAATGCATTTTATTTCTTTGCAGATTTTTTTAATCACTGATTTACTCTTTGCTTACTTGAAGCGTGAATTCTATCTGTCTAACGGAATCAAAGTCGATGATAAAGATAAACCATTGAAACTCGAGCTGTCTGCTGAATAAACAAACCATTACTGTATAGAACTAATTATTCTGTTGGAATGAAGAAATTGATCTGAATCCGTCTCAATTCATTCTGGCTCATGGATAAACAGCTCATTTAAAAGAAATAAAAAGTTAATTCAAAGGGTGCGTAAGGCTACTATGTTAACACGAAGACCATGAACATAAAAATCGTTAATATGTTCCAATTAAATATTGGTTAATGATAAAAGGGAGACAAACAGTTTGATAACTTTTCTGATGACGAAAATCGTGAAACATTTTCTGGTCATTCATTTACTGTAATTGATATTTATTCTTAACTCAGAATGATCTCGTATGATTTTTCAGAAATTACACATCGGAATTGTCTCCTTTTCCTATCATAAATTAACTATTTTTTTAGTCTTTCACATTATTTTGTGTACTCCAAGATTATCTTTTGGATAAACAATAAATTTGTTTAGATGGAAAATTGATTGTTTTGACTAACAAAGTAATTACAATTTATTATAACTTTGACATATATTTACAATAAAATAAAAGTGAAAACCAGAGTGAGAAAAAAATTGGGAAAAGAGCATAAATGAATGATTTTGTCGATTAAGTTTTTAGGGTTAGAATCAACTAACATAGCTACGCGAAAGTACGGGCCATGAGTTATGAATGATTTTTCTTATATAATCATTGTTTGCTATTTAATACATTTATCATTTAATTTGAATAGTCAAACTTTTTAGATAAAGAGGACATGGGAATTTGGGTGCATCCTTTTTTTGGTAGACTTTGTTTTCTTTTCTTTTGAAACATGTTGAAATAATAGGCTTGAAGTTGTTGATACATCTGTAAGTGGACTATAATAAAAGAAAGGTGAAAATTTGGTGCAAATTTGAACAAAAGGAGAACTTCAGTTGCATTACGTTATGAAATGAATGAAATGTCATTTCTTTTCTTCTCCACTTGTTAGTTATGAAGATCAAATTCTGGACCATTTTAATGTTAAACGGAATTCACAATTCAAAAAACCACCGAGAAATCTGTTCCAACAGCCTAATATTTCAGTCAAATTCCTCTCATTGTCTTAGATGCAAATTTTAAACAAAATTTAGAGTTGAGAGCATTTACACAAAAAATCAAATGTTGAGATTATAACTTGTAAGATTCGATGAAAAAAATGCCAATAACAGTTTTGATTTGATAAAGCTGAGTGCCAATCAGGTTCAAAAATCATTGATTTTCTCTCTGTTTTCATTTTGCAGTTCACTATTCATCCAAACAAGAAATGAGTAATGATGATTTATAAACTATACGTATTTCAGCGTTCTTTTTACAATCAGAATCCAATGAATTTTTCGCCTGGTTAACGAGCGAGGAAAATTGAGGATTAAATGGTGGGAATTTATGGGTCTTTGTTTAACCGGGTAATTTTGTTTAGAAGATCCATTAGAAGTACAATTATACAATGTCAACATTTTCTGATATTTTGGCGGTGATTTCGCAAACAGCCTCAGTTTCAATATCAAGTGTTTGTGCCACTTCAGGTTCATCACCATCTTTGGTCAAAATTGTCATCTCTTTGTTTGTATCTACAACTCCATCAATCAAAATATCCTGAGCAACGGCTATTTTGGAGTCAATGATGACTTTTTGATCACTTAAATCTTCATGCAAAGCAATGCTGACAATATCTTTGGAGACATCGGGGTCGATAATAATTTTTTCTTCCTCTTCTTCGATTTCTTCTTCAATTCTACTTTCTCTCCTTTCATCATCTATTTCTTTGGTACTCAGAGAAGGAGTTTGTTCTTGCACTTCTTCAAATGTCAAAATTTCTTCTTTGATCTCTTCACCTGTGTGCAAGTCTTCAGTTATCAGTGTTTGATTATCATTCAGAGCAGGTAGTCCCGGCAGTGAAACATTTGATTTTTTGATAAGTAGTTTTTCTTCTCTTTTCGTCCTACCTCGTTTTATGTTCCCGCAACCTTCCGGTTTTTGTTTAACGTTTCGACAATTACTGAGAACCGGAGGTGCAGTTGGTTCATGTTCCGCTGATTGTTCGATGGATGAAACTGAAGATGTGGAGAGAGACCGAGATGCAGCTGAACGAGTGGGCGATGAAGAGGCTTTGCTTTTCTTCTCTCCGTCAGATGAATTAGATCTTTGGCGATGATGATTTTCATTGAGATGCTTAACTTTTTTACGGTGATATCCAGCACCAAGATCAGCTGAATGATTCTCTTCAGTTGTTTCCTCAAAATCAACCTTTCTTTTAGCTTTCTCGATTTTCTTGCGTTGCTGTACCTGATTCTCTGAGTTTGGTTGTGGTATTGGATTATCACAGTTTCCTTTTTCTTTATAATATTGGCGTAATCTTACATGCCAAGCAATGGAAGCAACTGCTGTTACGGTTCTGAATTGATGAATTATATTACGAGGTAAAAAATAAATATCATTATCATAAAGATGAAGTCGAGCATATTTTATGCCATCCCTTCGTAACTGATTCAATTTTGCATCCTCAACCCATTGAATACATTGTGATACAGGTGGCTCGTGTAAGTCAAGCTGAAGTTTTTCAACCAATTCATCAAAATATGCAGCATCAAATGCAACAACGTCCTTAACTATACGATTTGAGGTATGTGGCTCATTGAAATGAACTGCTTTCATAACTCCAACAGCAGCAGTTGTGTGCCTATCAAATCCTTGACCAACTTGGTCAGCATGGCAACGAGTTCTATCTTCGAACATTATCTCCCTTGGATCTGTGGCTCTCCTTAATGTTAAACTTTTTAGTTCATTTAAACGTCCTCCTCTTCCCTTATTTGGTGTTTTAGATCCGAGATCAGCAGTAGGTATAAGTTGTTCACCGGGTCGTATCCAAAGGATAGGACCATCATTGCTTTCTTCAGGTGAACTCAATCTTAGATTACTTAAATGGCCCCATGGCATAATTAATTTAAGAAAAGGATTTTTTTTCAAAATTGAAAGAAACTTTGGAAAGTAACCTCCAACTTCTTCATGTGCAGTTCCAACAAGACTTAGTTGATGAAGTGGTCCAGCTCTGAAAGTACCATTGCAATAATTTTTATGAACAGATTCTCTATATGCTGACATAGTTGTTGTCTCTATATCAGACCCTGAGTGACCAATAATACCAGTTTTGACAACTAAGTTAGGATGATTATCAGCAAAGTAGTCCATAAAATCCGGTAGATGATAGGCTCCATTATGGACCACAGTTATTACATATTTGGCGATTCCAAGTGGCTCTTCTCTGAAATTGAGAAAAACACAAGATTATTGTTAGCTATTCTATATGGTTTTGAAGCAGTCATTTACAACCAATGATGGTCTAAAATAATTATGTAATGAAACTCAATTGATTGATATCCAGTCAAAGTGAACAAATATTGAGCAATAAGAATTGTAATAGACCTATTCAACACAATAAAACATTGCTTTACCTGAAGGATTCCTTTAAGAATTCAAGAGCCAATTCAGTCTTCTCATTTGGCGGTAGATTATATATTTCATCCCAATATAATTTTAATATTTTACCACCTCCATTGGGATGCTCTTCCAGTCTTATGTATTTTCCATATTTTAAATGAGACAATTCATAAGCAGGTAACGGAAGTCTTGCCATTCGAAAGGACAAGCTTAATTCCTTTTTCATGTATGATATCTTGGAGGCTAAATACTGATCCATTTTACATTGGATCCTGACATTACAGACTTGTTTCTTTTTACATCGAGCACACATTGATGAGGAAGAGGATGAGGAAGTGGTTACATTAGTCAAAGAAACTGTCGATGTTGTGGTTGATGATGATGTTAATGCATTGATGGTAGAAGATTTGGTAGAAACTGTGTTGGATGATTGTAAATGGTTTATTGATTTTGATGATAATGCACCACTGGTAACAACCGACGGTGCAGCTGATGTTTCCTCAACAGGTAATGAGTTGACTGGTATTGTTGTTAAATTGGCATTAATTGTTACATTGTGTTTATTTACATTGGTACCACTTTCACTTAATGGTTCTTTCCGAAAAACAACCGGAGACACCAAACAGGTATCAACGAATGTCGCTGATTTCTCCATCACATCTAAGCCTTCTAAATCATCTTTCACATTGAATAAACAAACAAAAAGAGATAATCACATAATAATCTAACATTAAATAATTAAACTTGATGCATTGTATGAAAAAACATCGAGATGATCAAACATAAAGAAAAAAAATATATTGGTTAACCAGGGACCAATACCATATTATGAACTGTCTGCAACAAAACAACTCAACTGGTGGAGAAAATATAAACAACAATTTAACAGTTGCTTAATTAGTCATTTATTTTACAGTAATCTAAAGAAAAATTCCGATTAATTACCATTGTAAGCAATTGTGGATATTTAAGCAAATCATTTAAAAATATTTCGAAATTGTCAATCCTTTTGATTTACTCTTCAAACGATTGTTATAGCTTCTCCCGTTTAACGTTTGTGTTAAAGGTACGATGCTTTTTTACACGTTAAATGGCAAAAAACAAATAGAATCAAATATCGCTAATACATGGCATAACGAACCAATTCACACTGATATTTAACTGTCCAATGAGCATACTGCAAAAACTTTGAATTTCGAGTTAAGAGTAGTGACTTCATGGGGGCAGGAGCATAAATACTGATTGTTGTTGCTATAAAAATTTAATATTACGTTGAATTTGACAAGGCGAATGGCGATGTGCTCGAGTCCAGAGCTGAAATTCAGATATGAAAATTAGTCAAATGCGATTGAATTTATTTAATAAATGCTTACCAACAGTTTTACCAATTTTTAAAGCGCAACATCTTTTTGGGTTTGATTTGTTTTTCGGTGACAGCACATTTAATTGCATTGCCAACAAGACGACCAAGTACTTCACTGTTAGCAGCGCAAAGAAAGATGTTAACCAGAGGAATCGATACTTTACCAAACATTCTTGGGTTGGCACCACGAGTCCAATCGATCAAAATGACTTGATCATATTTATGAAACAAAGCTAATCCAACTGCAAATGTTAATTTATCAGCATAAGCTGCGAAACAACCATGAGCATAAAAGGCTAAGTTGGTTCCTGGTCTTAGATCTTTCAAAGTACCGAATTGACTTTTCTTGACTTTCGGTGTCATCAGGTGATAAGTTGCGTTTACTTCTTCGGGTGAATCGGCACATATTGAAATTGGTGGAACTAAAATGATCATAAGAGAGATGAATGGAGTTATGCAGCCAATTTCAGGGTAACATGTAACTGTGAAACAGGGAAGAACGGCATTTATATTAATGATTGGATCAGCATAGGAAGAAAGGACTAGAAATAGAAGTGTCCTAAAAATGAGAACCAAAATGGACAATTTTGACGGCATAAACACCATGTTTCAACCCACATGTTGTCAACGAGACATCGAGATGGAAGCAGATGGAGATCAAGTTCAAGATCATTACTTAGCAAGCTGAGCCTCAATATTTCGAGAATGAAATTCCCTACAATAGTCACTCTTTGACCAAACATTAGATTTTATTATTTGCTAAATGAAAGAATACATTTAATGAATATCTTCCGGGCACACAAGATTTGTACTTGAAGTAACCAAGAGCTCCAATCAATCAAAATTTTTATGTCAAAATTAAGAGAACTGTTGATAAATTGAAAAAAGTATTCAATCGTTGATGTATCCACTAATTTTTATGGACAAATAATAAGTTTCAGCTCCTTAATTCTTACAGAAAGCGTTTGATGTTACTGAAAATCGAAGTGAGCTGTTTTACAGACAACAGAAAATTTTATTCTCAAAATAAGTGCATTTTCTGGCTGAACATCGAAAGTCACATCAGTAATGAGCTTCATGAGAAAAATCTGCTTCCAAAATTGCATATAAAGCGATCCAAGTAACTTTGAGCTCGATTTTCTCGAAATTTTTCAATAGCACTAATGGACTCAGTTTTAATGTTCCTACAAAAAAAGTCTCAACTCGAAAGTCAAAGTCCTTTGGACAGTGTTCATTTAATGTCAGTGTGAAAGAGTTTGTTATGAAAGCTAATTTCAATAAATTGGGTGAAATAATCAAAAAAGTAGTCGTTCTGGACTTGATATGAAAGATGGTCGATCAAAATTGTTTTCAGTTTCTAAAAATGGATAATTTAGTGTTCAATTGCAATTTTAGGATAATCTAATCCAAATAAAGGGTTTTAGTTATAATTAACCGAAGTGTATTTCGCATTATTGAGCAAGCTCAAGGCATTGAGTTTACTTAATGAAACCAATTGATGGTTATAATCCACATTAATAGTATAAAAATCAATGCGATCATGATTTGATCTTTTATCAATAAATTAATGATGAATGTATAATTATATCAAAAGGATACAAAAATTGATTAAATTGGAAACCTTGAGAGTTACTAATATTTGATTACAAAATGATAACATTAACGGGTTAATAGATTCGTTGTTTCTCAATTAAAGCGATTGCTTCTTGTCTTAAAATAAGCTTAAAAATGAGCTTGAAACAAAATGGTTGGTTATAAATATAATTAGTATGCATAATCAACACTTTTACTTCTCAATACAATGTAACAATTGATGATTAGAATGCTGATTAAGTTGATTATAAATAAACCGATATTTTAAAGGCAGTTATGATTGAATAACTAATAGTTAAACCTGGCCTATCGATGCTTAAAATTAAAATTGCATTTGACAGATTCGAGACTCGTTTTAGGGTAAATTGTTGCTTATAAAATGACATCAACAAATCAAGGTAAATAGAGATGATAATTGTGATGAATTGTTGTAAGTAATGAAGGGTTAGTTCACAATTATCAGCAGTTCTCGTGAGTTAAAATCTGGTTCATAATAATATACATAAGATTGGTATTTACAGGTTTAAAAGATACAGAAATAGTGAACGATTGAGTTCAAAATATGGCGATATGAGAGAAGAAGAGAAAGAGAAAGAGAGAGAATGTTGCAAGATGATGATGACGATGATGATAAAGAGGAAGAGAAGTGACTTGCTGTTGATTGAGAGTGAGGTTGATAGGTAAGAACCAGAGTGATCGGGAGAAATGATGAAAACAGGTAAAGTTGAAAACAAGTTGATTCTCGGAATCAACTGATAAACAAGCGACCGTTAGTTGCTCGCGGGCTTTAAATTAGTTAGTTGAAAGTTAGATAGATAATGATGATAGCGAAATAAATGTATAATAGCTGAAAAATTCCTCATCTCTGACCCTGAAGAGGATCTATCTTTAACCACATCAACGTTTGTTCAATTTGATCAGGAAAGGAAGACTAAAGTTTAAACACTACAATTTTTAACTTCAAATATTTATGTGAAAAAAAAGCTTTCCATGTTTTACAAGGATCATTCAACTCTTAGTAATGCTGTGACTCTCATTCGGTTAACTCTGTGTTTAAATATTCAATTTTAACTTTCTTCTGCTTCTTATTGGTAACAATTGTTGTTCCATTGGATTTCTGGTTTTGTTTCCCATCAACATTGACCATCATCCTTCATTTGTTGTCCACATTTTAAAGTAATCTCGCCATTTTCATCATTTTCAAGCTCTAAATTCACCAACAGTCAGTATATTCATCCTTTTTTATTTACCTTAAAAGATATTGGTTTCCATCTTATGTCAACTCGGGTTTACTTTCAACCGTTTCTTTTCATCTTTCTCGTTTGACTGTTAAATTGGACCAATTCTTCTTCTATCATTCAAATTTCATTCTATTAGTGTGTCTTTATATTGTGTCATCAATGTTAATAAAACAAGTGAAGATGACATTGCTCGAAGTGGAACCGTCCATTAGTTGGTTTGTTATTCAACTTAAACCACCATATCGTCTCAATTATTGTTAATTTTTCTCCTTTTATTGGATTTACTTACATCCAGCCAAGTGTAAAGGTCCTTTGATTGAAAAAGAAGGGTTTACAGGATTCCATTTCATCATCTCAGTCTATACTATCATCGGTTGAATATCTGTCAACAACACCTTCTGACTATTTTCACTTCACTTAAACTCTGTGTCACCGTGTTAACCTTGCATCTTAAGAAAAACCATTTTCTTTGTTTTGTTTTCTCCTCACAATTTTGTTTCAATTTTTTTCTTCTCTCAATACAATCGTATTTTTGTCCCTTAAGACCAGTATTACAAGTTTGGATCAAGTTTGACTTTAACTTTAATTTATATCGCAATTACCCTTTTTATTTTGTCTTAAAATCATCATCATCACCATCACATATTCACCATCATAATGATCAGAAGAGATCATCAAGTTTTTACCGTAGAAAGCTCTATGATCAAAGGGTCTGGAAGATATTTTGTCAATCCAGTTTTCTCTCATGATGAGATTGTTCCAGTGTCAAATGGTAAGTCACAATTTGATTCTTAGATCCTAATTCAATATTTATCCAGAGCAAACCAAAATTCTCCATGTTACCTTAAAATCATATAAATAGAGCAAATTTACATTAGAAGCCTATTGACCTGGTGAAAAGCCTTTCTCTTTTCTCAACAATTTATGATAGCAAATATCAGTTTATTAGTAAGATACAATTCCACATGAATTAAAGTAAATTCTTTAATCTATTTTATATATAAATTGGTAGACAGTCAGCTTGAGGTAAAATTTTGAAATGAAAGCTTCTCAAACCTTCAATCCAATTTTAGGTTTATCAAACAACCGCAAACTAGAAAGTAATAACTACTCAATTAAACGTAACAGTCATTAAAAGATGAACTTTTCCGAATTAAGCTGTCCAAAAGATTAACCTTTATTATTTTAGATTTACCTGATATTAACTTACACTTTCCAACCACTTTACAGTCAATTTCAACCCTAAGAATCAAGTGTTTTAAATCACAGATGATTCATATCAAAACTTGCCTCACTTGGCTTTAGATTGGAAGCTTAAATTGTAGTATAAGTTAATCTTTTGAATACAAATATGTCTTTCCACATTATCATTAGCTTGATCACTTGAAATTTGGAAAACAATTTACTTGCAATAATAAAGTTATTATGTATTTGAAAAGTCAATTGAATGTACCATTTAAAGACTAACATGGTCAGGCCACTAACCTCTTTTCATGTACCAATACAGAAAAGACTTGTTACTTTCTTTGAGTATCCCAAGAAGAGGAAGAGATGTGATAATGTTGTTGAAGATGAAGATGATGATGAGGGAGAGAAGGAAGTTGATGTAGATATCTTTTTTTATTGGTAAATAGCAAGTTACCTTGCAATAAGGTAAGGCCTTCTTCCTATTTCTAAAGACCCAAAGGGACAAAAAAGACCTTAGCTATTAGTTGATTGTATATTTCAATTTGTTATTTTACTTTTGGCAAAAGTTGTCAATCGGGTTTGAGATGAGAAAAAAGAAGAAGATGATTTATTGATTGAAATCAAAGGTTTCTATTGTTGCTGTTTTGCATGTGAAAATGAGAAAAAAATTGAAGATATATTCATCATGTTCAGAATCATGAAATCGTCGATTGTTCTCAGGTTTATTATTTTATCATTTCATTATTGATAAACAAATAACAGATGACACTCTTTATAAACAATGTTAATGATGGAGATGAATTGTTAGCATTTGCTGAGTTGAAACTTGATTGGTAACTCTAATTGAAAATACCTCATTTTTCAATGTTATTGCTTTACAAACACAATTAACTGAAACTGTTGATAGCTATGATTAGTCAAGATAAGCGTAATATTTATGCTGGTGAAACAATTTAAACAATTGTAGCCATTGATGTTTGCTCATATGGTATTTGGCCTTAAACATTTTCCCCAGCAATTGTTATTCCCATGTCCAACCAATTTTAATTTAATGCTAGTCTAAACTGATTATTGTAATTAACTCTCTTTTATTTGTACAAATCTTTTCTTACAGTGTTTCGCCAAACAATCAATAGATGTGACAGAAGTTTAAAGCGTCAATCAAGCTTTCAGCCGGTAACAATTGAATGGCAAGATTTAAGTGTTTCAGTTCGACCAGGAAGAGGATTGTTCAAATCAAAAACATCTCATAACGAGCTTATTCCTATTATTAAAAATGGTAAGTTATTAACAATTGAATGGTTTGAATGAGTGTCAAGAACGTCCACAAAAAAAAGGCCAGACCAGAAAATACCTTGTCGACCGTATTTCAGCATTTCAAACATTCAATCTGTTTTACTATTGATATTAAGTTCATTCACCATGATTAATTTGCAGTAAATGATTTTAAACTCATTTTTATTTTCCCCAATAAATCATTCCAATTACCATGCAAATTAAGTGAATGTTGTTGAATAAATTTAAGGCTTTAATAGAAGAAAAATTTTCTAACTCAAATTTTCTTTCCTCTTTTACAGTCACTGGACATGTTGACAGTGGTCATCTTCTTGCCATCATGGGAGCCTCAGGAGCTGGTATGTTTATCATGAACCATTTATTGGTCCATTTAGGTGGTTAAATGATTAATTTGATTTGCATTTATTCACAGGTAAAACAACATTCTTGAATGTGTTGACCGGCAGAAACCTTAGGAATCTTGATGTTAGCGGTAAAGTGCTGCTTAATGGGCAAATTGCGACAGCCGATAAAATGGCTGCTTGTTCAGCTTATGTTCAACAGGATGACATGTTTATCGGTGTTTTAACCGTACGGGAACATCTCATTTTTCAAGTGAGTCTTCACATTCATCTTCATCCATTTGACCAACAATTCAACTTTAATATTGTACTAAATGTTGTACGATTGTATGTTTGTCAAAACAAAACAATCATTCACTTAATGCTTTATTAATAGGCTAACATTTAATGGGTAAAACGATTCAGTAATTTTATATGAAAAAAAAGCTTTCCAGACTTGTCTACTTTTAAGGTCAAACGGGTGAATCAAAATTTCACTCACAGTATAGCAAATAGACAAACTGAACATGATCTCAATTTATCTATTTAATAATACTTTACAGTTAAAGCATCACGAATAAGGCTCAAGAATCTTTTCTTTCATTCAAATGAACATTGATCTGAATGAAGAATGAATGTTTACTTATTCAATGTCAATCTCATTCTCATGAATTTTTATTCAGTTTAAGGAAACTTGTACAATTTATTTATTGAAATTCAGTTTACTTTAATAGCGGCTTTGCCCATTGGTTTTGCTCTTAATCATTCAATTGACGTATTATGGCGTGTATTATATGATTGATGCTTTAGATTAATAACGAGTATCAATATTGATTCATTTGTAATCATTATTGGACGGAACTAAACTGACCAAGTGGCTGTTATTTTCACATTTCATTGTTCTGGCGATTGCATTGAATAGATTATGGAAGTTGCGATTCTTTCAAATACACTTTAAGCTTAGCAATTAGTTAATAAGAGTCAGCTTATTGGCCAATTTTAGTTAAATTTAAGATTACTCAAGATGTGCATTTCAATAAATCAAAAAAGGATGAAGTTGGTCATTAGAATTATTCAAATCCTTTTCATTATTGATATCATGTTCAATTGTAATGCACTTGTTTTAATGCTAAAATATGAATTGATTTTTATTTTTTTATTAATTTTCAGGCTCATCTTCGGACAAGTCATTCTTCGGATAAAGAGATAAGAGCGAAAGTGGACAATGTTATTTTTGAGGTAAAAAAATGTCAAATTATTGTCATTCCAAATATTCATCTACAATTGCTTGAATTTTTAACAAGAAACTAATCTTTTTTTATTGAAATTATTGTAGCTTGGTCTTAAAAAGATCGAAAATTATCGCATTGGTTCACCAGGAATGAATAAATCAATCTCAGGAGGGGAAATGAAACGACTTGCATTCGCATCTGAAGTAAGTATTCACATTATTTGCCATTTGTCTGCATATTCTCATTGCTTTTTTCAACTCATCTTTCTTTAGATTCTGACTGATCCATCAATACTTTTCTGTGACGAACCAACCTCAGGATTAGATTCATTTATGGCTCAAAGTGTGGTTAGCGTTTTAAGAGGGATGGCAGCGACTAAACGAACCATTCTAGCCACAATTCACCAACCTTCATCACAAGTATTTGAAATGTTTGATGAATTATTGTTGCTGTCACAAGGAAGAGTTGCTTTCATGGGAAGCTCAGCAGATGCTCTTATCTTTTTCTCTCGGATCGGTCTTCGTTGTCCTCATAACTATAATCCAGCTGATTTTTATGTCCAACAACTAGCAATTATACCGGGAAGGGAAGACGAGTGTAAACGAAAAGTTGCTGTAAGCATGTGATTTTAATCAATTTGATACTCGGTTCAAATTTGAATCATGATAACTTACCAACTGAAATACTTCTTTATCTTTTCAGAGGATTTGTACCAAATTTTCAGAATCATCTTACGCATATCGGACTAAACAAGAATCTGCGCCAGTTGGACTTAAATTTGGCTTCAAAACACAAATAGATTTCTCTTATAAACGTGGTTTTTTTACACAAATCAAATGGGTTGTTTGGAGATCATGGCTAACTAATCTTCGGGATCCTTTATTAACCTTTTTTAGGATAGCACAGACCATTGTGAGTTTCATCCGAATCCCTAATCAATACCAAATATAATGTACAATTTAATTTCATGAGTTCATTTCATTATTTTTACTACAGTTTGTCGCTCTACTTCTGGGTGTAGTTTATTGGAAACAGGAATACACGCAAGAAGGAATTATGAACATTAATGGAGCATTATTTATATTATTAGCTAATATCACATTTACAAATGTCTTTGCCGTTGTCAATGTAAGTTTGATTGAAAAACGCCGATCAATGCTAGGCGACTCCTCGGAATTTTAAAAATTAATTCAATTCTATTGTTTTCACAGACATTCTGCTTGGAACTACCGATATTTATTCGTGAATATGGCAATGGGCTTTATTCAATTGCAGTTTACTTTCTGTCTAAATTACTGGCTGAATTACCGTATTTCGTTTTTCTTCCATTTGGTTTTGCTGCCATAACTTATTGGATGATCGGTTTATATGATGATATTCAAGCATTTTATCTTGCGGCCATGGTTTTAGTACTTATAGCGAATGTTGCTTGTGGCTTTGGTTACTTCATCTCATGTATTAGTAAAAGTGCTACCATTGGATTATCCATTGCACCACCTTTTATAATTCCTTTAATGCTATTCGGAGGACTTTTCTTAAATAACAAGTAAGATTCTGAACATTCTTGCTCAGACTCGTTAGATTTATTTCATTAATTTATTTCTTTCCCTGATGCACAGATCAATTCCATCTTACCTTGCTTGGATCAAGTATCTCAGTTGGTTTTATTATGGAAATGAGATTCTTGTGGTGAACCAATGGCGTAAAGTGACCAATATAACATGTGATATACCTCAATCTGACGATGATTTGAATTCACTTGTTGGATCTTTAATGTTAAATATATCAGATATCCGTGAAGGATTAACAAATGCATTACCACCAGGATTAGGCTGTACTTTGGATGGTAAAGGGGTAATTCAAAGATTACACTTTGATGAAGACAACGTAACCTTCAATTTTATCGCTCTGGGAGTTCTTCTAGTCTCTTTTAGAGTTTTGGCTTTTATCGCGATAACCATTCGAGCTCGACTATTTAGATAATTATACTAAAGATATTTCAAAAAGATTATTTTTTGCAAACAATTTTCTCTTTTAACTTCACACGAATCATTCCATATCAAATAAATTTAGCCAATGATTCACTTATTTCAATATCCATTTATTTGGCTATCAATAAGTTCATTTTACAATGTAATAATGACAGATATATTACCGGTTATTATCATTTTTTTGTAGTAAAATTGACTTCACCATCTAATTACCTGTCAAATGTCATCATTTATTTGCAATCAAATTTCTTCAGTCATCGATATGACCTGAACGCAAGGCTGTTTGAAGTAAATATTATCTAAAAACTCAAAATCAGAAATCTACTTTGAAACGCTGAGAATCTGAAGATTATTATTCTTGTAGCAAATCTGACTTCTCGTTATTTTTTTTGTTTCACAATCTAATTACTGTCTAATGTCATGGTTTTATTTATTTCAAATCTTTACCTTTTAATGAGATACTTTAGATCTGAATCTTTGAATTTTAATTAACAAAACCAAGTTCAAACCGTATTGGCTTTGGATTCAATCCAAAAAGTTTTAATTTTGACGAATAGCTGAACTTATTCGGAATCAGCCAGATTTAGGATAACCTATGTGATACAAATATTTACTATCAACCCTGAAATACACCAATATTAGTATTAACTATGATATAATGATTTCAATCGTTTAAAAAAGCTAAAATGGTCTACTTACCAGCTATAGGTAAAGATAAACGTTTATTCATATTATTTTTACCAGCACAAAATAATCATGGTTCATCTAGCCAACTTCAATCTCAAGTTATTTGAAGTAAATTGCAATTCATTTTCATCATGAGCAGGTAAAATACTCTCTGTAAGTATAAATTTTATCAGCTAATATTTGATTTAGCCTGGTTTGTTGAAATATAACCAGAGAAATTGTGATTAAAATATTGACTTTTAGGTTTCCTTGGCGTATTGAAAAAATTGAAACCAGGTAAAGATAGGTGCATAAGTTCATGAAACATTTGGTGTTGATCAGAAGAGCTTTATGTTTATCACTAAATACATCTTTCTTTTGTTTTAAATCTTGATGTCTAATTGCATTTTATATCAATTAAATAAAAAATGGCCATTAATTTCATTACAGCCTTCACCCAAACCCAGTAGAAGTGGATGTAAAAAATTTGGATGCAGTTTTGCAAAACAGATGACCAAATTAACAGAAGTCTATACGATTGGGATGAATGTTTTGATTATTTTTGCCTATTTACCTATGGTTATTAATTAATATACACCTTAATTGTTTATTTAAAGTCGGAAGAGAATATTTTTGTTCAGTTTTCTTTCTCTCTCTCTTTCTTCTTTGGCGAGTTTCCTCCTTTTTTCTCTCTTTCTTCTTCTCTGGTCTCTTTCTCATCATTCTGCTTTGTATCGGTTGCTGCTGTTGCTGCTGCTTCTCTCTGTCTCCCTTTTCAGTAAATGTATTTTGTCTTGTTTTTTATTTAAGTTTTATTTATTACTATTCTTATTGCTGGTTAATTTAATCATTGGAAACAACATTGTCTTCTCTTGTCAATCCTGTTTAATTGACTTGTCTGGCATACTGATCCATTTAGAAGTTATCAATTCATTGTGATTTGCCTACATCTATATTTCATCTTTTTTTCTACATCTTCTGGTAATGTTTGCTACAACTCTGAAAGATAACAGCGGATCGTCAAGAGGCACATCATCTAGCTTCTTTCATTACTCCAGATGAGGATACCATGATGTGTCGATGGTTTGTTATTAAACCAATGTATCCAGTTCCATTGACTGAATGTGAAGCTTACACATGGTAATGGAGGGATAGGTATATTAGCAGAATAAAATAAGAAAAGAAAGACCGGATAACCAGAGGAAGCAAACAAAAAACCATTCAATATATTATTATATACACATACACAATCATTCATCTCTATATAAACATCGCTATAATTTTCTATTTTTATTATTATTATTGTAATACTCTGATGAAATGAGGGACTAAAGGATGCTGTTTTGATTGTTGGAGCCGTATGAGTCACTCTGGTAAGCAATCAAAAAAGAAAATGGTTGTTGGTAAAACAATGGCAAATTGTAGGAAAACAGGAGACAAGGGACAGTCGGACACTTGCTCAACTTATGTAACTCAACAAATCTCCCATAAAAATTCTAATTACTCCTCCATTGGTTTAACTGCCACAGAGCTTTGTGAGTTTGATGATCTAGCCATAACCCTTATTATTGATCCCTATCTTGGCTTCTGTACCCACAAAATGAACACAAGGTTGGTAAAGTTATCATTTATTCATTATTCTTAACATGCTTAAGTTCTGTCTAGAGTTTGCCAATGTGATCAATTTTGATATTGAAGGTGTTCTATTTGATATTGAAGTGCATCTTTCGGGACTCCCTGGTCCCATATAAATTTCCATCAGGCCTTAAATATTGCCAGGGTTAATCTGGTCTAAAGCACAGACTAAAACCGGTTACTTTGTTTTGAGCTCTATAACCTTTAGTTTTTGTTTACTATTGCAATCCTAGTAACTAAAGTCAACGGAACCGTTACTGTTTAAATTTTAAAAATGGCACCACTTTAATACAACTTCTATTTTCATTTATATTTGACAGGTTTAAACCACCTAAAGTATCCAAAGATTTTCTCAGACAATTGGTGCATGGATTCAAGAAGCACCAAAACTATGAGGCTGCTTTTGATAAGCTGGTCTCTGGAGATTGGGCCCACACTTTATACCATACTCGCAACGAGAGACATAAAAGATTATTCAAAGAGCATATTTTCAGATTTTTACGGATTTTTGATAAAAATTCAGGTTTTGATATAAAACCATGCTACAGGTAAGATTTATTATTTAGCTTATAATTGAAATTCATTCCCAAATTTAATCAATTTTTTTCATCCTTTATTGAATCAGGTATTCTGCCGAAGGAAATGTTGGAGCTAAACTAGTAGCTACCCAGAAATGGTTTAAGAATGAAAAAATTGAAATGCTCGTGGGTTGTATAGCTGAACTCACCGAGAAAGAAGAAGAGGAAATGTTGAAACCTGGGATAAATGATTTTTCAGTTATGTACTCTTGTCGTAAAAATTGTGCTCAACTCTGGCTTGGACCAGGTGCATTTATAAATCATGATTGTCGGGCTAATTGTAAATTTGTATCAACTGGCCGAGATACCGCATGTATCAAGGTACTAAGGAATATAGACATCGGAGAAGAGATAACCTGCTTTTATGGAGAAGACTTTTTTGGAGACAATAACTGTTACTGTGAATGCGAAACATGCGAAAGGCGGAAAACAGGCGCCTTTTCCCAAAGAAAATCCGAAAACCAAGAAGATATTAACCCTCAATGTTCTCAAAAAATCTACAGTTTCAGAGAGACTGACAATAGACTGAATCGGATGAAACAACAAGCTAAGAAAAAAGAAAGTGAAGAGACAACCAAAAGAAGAGGGGTGATAGGAATAGAAGGTGGAATAAAAGACAACACTAACAGGAGTACGAATGTCAAATCAAAAGCTGGTGGTAATAGTAGTAATAGCAGTAGTAATAGAAATGGTTTAGTCAGAACTAAACCAGTTACTCAAAATAATTGTAAAACTTCTATTGTCGATCAAATGGGCGAAGAAAGTTTAGATGATAGAACAATGTTTACAACTAGAAGTGGAAGAGTTAAAAGACACCTTAGCACTGAAACTAGACAAGTCAAGTGTGAGCCCGGAGTATTAAAAGGAGTCGACCAACCTCATAAAAATGAAATTTTAAAAAATGAGCTTAAACTGGATAAAAAGGCTGTTGATTCGGACTCTTCAGACAATAAAATGGATCATAAAAATAGCTTTAACATCGCTCAAGTTTCTACCGAATTAAAATCATGTGATAAACCAGGTGACATTGCTAGCTTGAAAAGTGAATTAAATCAACTAAACTTATCTGATTTCAAGGAATCCTGTGAAGATAAAGATAAGTTTTTAACAAGACCACCTTTACGCCGATCAACTCGATTATCAAGTAGCAATTCTAATCCCGAATCAATTGAATCTCATCACATACCACAGCCTATACTTCCTAGCCCACCATCTTTAACCTCCGATAAAAACTTGTCAAATAAAGTTCCAATTCATGACTATAGCCAAAGAAATGATTCAACCAACGAATGTGTAAACCATGAAAGTCCCGACTTAAAAAACAGACAGAAGCTTACATTGACCATCAGACTTCGACGCAAAACAAACAGTAATAGTGGTAATTCAACATTAGACGATCGCTCTAACATATCTGGAGCTAGCGATACTCAAATTAACAATAGCTGGGAAAGAATAACTTATGAAGTTTTACCTGCCTTTTCAAGAGATTGTGGCGATTCTTTTTCGCCAGTTAAGAGCCCGATAAAAAACCGTCGACGGGAAAATCGTAAAAAGACAAGGAAAAAGAAACGGAAAAAGAATTCCCGATCATCTGATGTTGACCCTGATAGACTGGAAGAGAATAATAATTCATTCGATACCAATAATAATTCGCTTGAGGATGAAAGTCGATTGGAGTGTAAAAACAATGACCTCAATAGTAATAATCTAAACAATAATTATAACGACATGAACTCCTATTTATCTAGTGATCAGGCTGCTGTTAACAAAAGGAAAATAACCACTCGGAGTTGCCGTGATTCGGTGGTTGTTGAAGATGTCGGAGTTAAACGACTTAAACTTCGCTTAGGTGCTGAAATAAGATGTATAGAATTACCTAAAACATCATCATCCAAAGTCTCATAGTAATTAACAGTTTGTTTAATTATGTATCTCTATTGTAAATATCTATTATATTTATATTTATATTTGAACGATGGATAAAAAAATCTGTTCCCATCGATCATCTATCCCTCTTAAATCAACTTTTCATTTCTTCTTTTGCATGTTTTCTCAATCAACTCTAATTATCTCAATTCTTTCTTACGTTAATTGTGAATCCCTTCTTTTGTCCTCTTTTCTTTTGAATACTAAACATAAATGAAACATAGATTGTCTAAATTGTCTCACCAATATACCAAGTTACATGGTAATAGTTGTACAAACAGTTGGCTTACATTGAATCAACTCCAATTTAAAATAATATAACATTAATATTGTAAGTATAATTTCAACGGATATCAAAGGAAATTAGCTAACAAATTAATAGCCTAACAAATTATATATTTTCGTGTTAACTAACTGCCCACTCCAAATTTGTTTTTCAACACATCATCTTGAGTTGCAAATTCAGTTAAATCAATGTTCACCTTTTCAATTGTCTTAAATTGTCAAACAATGTGAATTTTCACCAGAAAATTTGATCATAATGATCATAAAATCGATCATCATTCAAATTGTTTTCATCTGTTCCACAGCCAATAGATAATTCAATTTTGTACATAATTCATTTCAACAGACATCAATTTTGTATTAAAACTATCATAACATGAAACTTTTCATCACAAACAAATCATTTTTACTTTCGAGTTTGTATTACACCAAATTACTGAATGCCCATGATCAATATGCTCAAAAAACGAGATGAAGAAGGCTTAAGACAGAAGATAGGAAATGTTAGAAAGCTCTATGTTAAAGAATGGAACATTATCAATCTGAAAATCCCTATGGTTCTAAAAGTTGATTAGTGCAATGAAATTAATTGAATTGCTCGCAAAATATGCTCACTAATCTTGATATATTTAACTAAGTGAAAGCTTGATAACCTTTGATGCCTTCAATGTTGATTCGAGAATCGCCATCATCAATACAATCCTATTTGTTATCGCCATTCCTTGTAACCAGTGTTACCATATTTTTCATTTACCTAACCCAAAATGTTTTAAGTGATGATTTGCCTACTTGCCAACCGGTAAGACAATTTAATAATATTTTTCCTTCATTAGATTGTTACGACTGATATCATTATCTAAATGCAATTCAATTGCTTTAAAATATTTGCGTTAATTTTTTTTGTATTTTTGATTAGTCTGACTTTCAATATGCTTTCACTGAGTGTGACAAATATCAAGGCCGCTATCGAGTCTCTATACCCATTTCACCGGGTAAATGTGTTGGTGGAGCTCCAAATGCTCCTGTGCGGGTTAATTCATGCTGTAAGTTTAATCAATATACTTGTGATTACTTTAATTATACATTATTATTTTCCTTCGACAGATACCTCCTGTGAACGTGGAACCTTTTTCAACTCAACTAGCCTTACCTGTGAACCCTGCAAAGCTGGTTATTATTCATTAGGTAAACATCAATTATCTTTTATATTTTATCCTTTCGATTCTTCAAAGTTTTAATATTTGCCTTCGCATCATTTTGATTTCATTATTTCCAGGAGGAGGAATTAGATTCACTTCATTCAACCAGGCAATTTTAAATAACTCAGGTTTTGTCATAACAAAATCAGACGATTCAAAAAACTGTTCAGGTATGTTCATAATACGCTTTTCTTCTCAATCATCTGATATTTGCCTAATTAAACAAGTTTAATATGATATTAAACTGCTCATGATTGCAATATGGTTATAGCATTTTTTACATGTCTTAATGTTGTTTTGTTTTATATTCAACAGGGTGGCGTGTTAACAATGGTATTCTTGAAAATCGACCAGATGAAGCCCACTTAACTTGCACTTCAATATTATCATACTCAGTGAAGATTGTTAAACAAGGGAAAATTAAATTCAAATATCAGTTTATTGGACCAGATGATCCGAGTTTGTACATATTCTTTACCTTTCTGCATTTAAATTTGAAGGAATCTCGAGGCAGTTATAACAGATGGAATGATAAAAATAGTAAGGAACTCAGTGCAACCAGAGACAAATCAAAGTGGAAAACTATCACTTTAGATTTACTGGAACCAGGTTATTATTCATTTGTTTGGCGAACCTTATTCTATGGAAATGTTCAAAGTAGATTATCGTCATCAATGTATTTCCAAAAACGCTCCAGTCATGAAGAGAGAAGTTATGAACAATTTCAAGAGGAAACTAAAAGAAATGACCATTCTATGAAAGAATCAATTATTGATGAAAAATCAGTGCTGTCAAATGAGCTTGGAGTGGTCCGAATCCGGTCTATTGAAGTTTATGGAGTATCTTATACATCTGAATGTTCACCTTGTGAACCAGGTACTTACAATGATGAACCTAATTCTGGTCACTGTAAATTTTGCCCAAAAGATACTTACACAGAAGAGTATGGATCAAGTCAATGTAAATCATGTGATAATCAATCATCATTTGCATTTGTTGGTTCTTCCAAATGTCTCCCAAGACCATCTTGTACAAGCAATGATTATTTTGAAACAGTTAGCTCATGTGATTTAAAAACTCGATCTCGACTTCGTCAATATCATTGGATTGAACCAAAAATATGTTCAGAAGCTTCAGTCAGACTTCCAGTTGCTCGTCAAGAGCCTTGTGATCCTCACAAAGAAGCCAATGGAGAAGCTGAATGTAGTCCTGGAATGGAACTGGTCAATGACACTTGTATTCCTTGTCAAGAAGACGAGTATAACGATGGAACTCTTTCTCGATGTAAACAATGTCCACCCACAACCTCGCCAGTTTACTCTTTTGTCCTAAACACCTGGAAACATCCTTTAGGTTTACCCGGAAATGGTCCACTCAGTCTTAGTTATAACTGTATATCTAACAATTTTAACGAACATGAATGTACTGATAAACAACCAGCTTGGGCTTTTGTACCTGGTTCACCTTCTTACATACGATCATCAACAACTGCTACACCAAACTCTTTCTTGATTCTCACTCTGAATCTGGTTGGCTTTCGATCTTATGGAGGTGGTAAATTAAGCTTTAGATTTGAAATGTTTTGCCAACCCGATGATGATTGTGAATTTTTTTTACTTAACATCAAAAGTATTCTTGATGATCAGAGATTTATCATTCAGAAACAATGGGATTCAAGTACAATTGGAGTTCGTGAGCATTCCATAACTATTACTGAAAATGTTACTTTTTCACTGAAATGGCTTTTTTCAAGACAATCAATGGCGAGTCATGTTCGGATTTATCAAATAATTTTAACCAATGCTCTATTTTCTGGCGCAATAGAGTGCAAGCCCTGTCCATTGGACATAGAATCAGATTGTATCCCTTGTCCAATAGGCCATTATATTAACACATCAAGTGCTTTATCTCAGGAAAATTGGAAAAGTATCGAAAAAAACTTGACTAATCGAGATAAGCGTGCATTATTGTCCACAACAGTGAGTCAATCAAACTCTGCCAAGAAGATGAATGGACTCAATAAAATAGATTCAAAACAAATTAACTCAACGCTAGCTAAATGTGTTCAATGTCCAGCCAACACTATTATAAACAAATCTCTCCAATTTCCAATAGGATTAGACCAATCATGCATCTCTTGTGGCCCTGGACTGGTTTCATCAGAGGATCGGTCATTTTGTTATAACGATTGTAATCTTGTATTAGGATCTGAAGTTTTTAATTTGTCAGCCATCAATTCAACTTTATCAATGAAAGGAGCAACTATATTCGCAGATGGTGGTGGTTACTATCATTTATTTAATTTAAGCCTCTGCGGAACCAAAGGAGTAACATGTATCAACAACTTCACCGATTTAGATGAATTTGATTTTAAAAATACCATAATTCGATCCCAAGTTTGCAGATCAACTATTGTTACGAGGATGAATGTATCAACTCAATCAGTACCTTTAGGTAATTTTGTAAATCTTTATATTTGTATATAATTTTAAAACCTCTTTTAAATTAATCTTTTTACAATAGGTGATGAGATTGTCGCTGTAACCCGTGATACAGTTTACGATTCCATTTCTGTTCACCCAGAGTTTAACAATACTCGAAGTGATATACACATTTACCTAGTCACTCGGATAACAACTTCAACTTGTATTAAAGGACATTCAACTGTAATCACACTTCGTTGTGAGCCCAGCCTTGAAAATGAATTTGTCCTGACTTCACCTAAATCTTGTCCCGATGGAACCTGTGATGGATGTAATTTTCATTTTATGGTCAAAACTCGTACTGCAGCTGCCTGTAGAGTCTGTAAAGATGATGATTATGACACTGTGGTTACCGAATGTATCGATGGACATCAAGAGATACATTATATTAATCCTCGTGGTTGTATCATTACGCCGTCCGGGGATCAGATGGTCAAACATCGAGCTTGCTCAATGATTCCGAGACCACTCAAAATGGCCATAATTGCTATTGCTCTTATCGCCATGATTTTGATAGCTTTGGTGTTTCACTTTTGGAAGATTAACCGTAAATTGGAATATAAATATTCCAAGTTGGTGGAAAACAAAAATACAGCTGAATGTTGTGCTATGGATGATGAAGATGAAGAACCCGAGATTCGAGTTCGATCTCATAATAGAAAAGATAAACACAATTCATCTTCCGATTACGAGACGATTCAGTTAACCAAACACTCTCAAGACGATGTTTTGTAACCCAAATCACCAGAAAAACCTGCGATTGTCATTAATTTTGCTTTCTTTTCTAAACAATTATTCAGCTTTATATACTTCTTTTTGAATTAATATCCTCTTTATTATAATATATATAATGAATTTGACGATTCTCCATGATAATGACACGTATTAATGATGGTCGCACACATTATGATCCAAATTGTGATTCTATTAATTGATGATCTCATACATAATTTATATTTTTTGTCTCCTCTAAAATGATTGAACGTTTATTTACAGATACAAAAAAATTGACTGTTTTTTTATTCTCATGGTTTTCATTGCTGTTATTCAATTACATTTAATTTTGTCAATCATAATACAAACTACTTTTGTTCAAATTATTGATCATTACATTAATTTAATTTCTTATCTATCTTTAGACACATGTTTTTAATTTTGGTTGAATTATTAATACATTACCAAGCCTTCTAGATATCCTCAATTGTTCAACCTTTTAGTTTCTATTATTTCGAGAAATCGATATTTTCTCAATTGAAATGAAAACCTTAATCTACTTTAATCAATTGCTAATCAATCTTTCGATCAAATAAAATCTTATATTAGATAAAATTTTATGCTCATCAATGTTTTCAAATATTTTCAGACAGCTTTACTAATCAATAAAATTACATTCAGTACATGTATTCCCTGAATAATTGAATTGCAATTGATTTAATCTGGTATTGCCTTTTTTTAAAGCATCAACAAGAAAATAGAAGTCAATTCCTTATTAAGATTGATTGAGTAATATTTTACGATAATTCTTGATGCTTTAATCAATATTGGTGAATGTTTTCACTATTAACTTAACATGTGGTAATTTTCATGTTGATTAAGCATTAAGGTAGTTTCATTAATTCGTACCTTTTATTGATTTTTACCTTTTCTTTTGATATTTTATTTAATCAAAAACCCAAAAAATCTATTCCAGATACCGGATTAATCGATTTTTTGAAACATCGATTTGATATCGATTATTTTATAGCAAGCTGTTTGTTTGTTAGCTGTTGTTTGAAAGATCTGTTCTTGAGCTGAAAGTAGTTGAGTAATGAGGGAACAAATGAAATTTTTTGTGATTATTGTTTGTTATGTAGTGATTTAATCAGTGAAATGGTACTACAGTATTAGTTAAACAATGTGTCTATAATCAACATACAGTCTCATACTTATATGGTTTTTATAATTTTGTGTGAAAAGGGGAAAAACAAAGTGTTACCAACAAAATAAAGGGTGTAGTCATTAAGATGCCATTGATTAGCGAAGTGATTAAAGAGTTGATCAATAACACAACTAGTGATCAACTGGATTTTACCGATGTCAGCAGATTGTATACAGATTCGGTTGTAATTGCTTCAAACATTGACAGTGGCAGATCAGTTGATCATTTGGTAAAATTGGGTATTAAAACCAAAACTTGGTGTTGGGTTTTACAAGGTATAATAAAAAGATGGACTGTAAGAGAAGAAGAAATAAAGCTACTAACACCACAAGTGGAAACAATACTTCAAGTGATTAAACGATTGACAGAAACTTTTAAGCCTAGCACCTTGGTTCTAAGTGTTAATATTTCTAAGCCGGATGCTCCGGGTCTGGTAAGTTTTTTACTCTCAATGTTAAGTCCAAGATTCTTGTTATGTTTTATGTGTTTTAATCAAAATGTAACTCTAACAAGTTAACTTTCATTTTTGCGATCTCATTTTGATGAGAGTGGTAGCAAACCCGTATGCTGATAATTCCTTTCTCTTTCTATCTTTTTGCTCCAGATTGGTACAACTACTTCTGCTAGTGTTTCCGGGTCATCAATGAATGAAGACCAAGTAATGCGGGAGGAAAGCAGTGAGATGTCCTCTAGTAACAACAACAACAACAATAATAATGATAATAACCTTAACAACAGTAACGAATCTGTTATTGGTGATGAAAACAAAGTATTAAGAAAGAAAAGGCCACCAACCCCACCAAAAAAACCCAAAATCAATCGAAGTGCTCTACCAGGTTATCCATTTCAAACTGGGTTCAATTCACATCCTACTGGCTCAACATCATCCTCATCTTCTACCTCATCATCAAGAAATCCATTATCCTTTACCAGTGGAGTCGAGCTAAGATCCGAACCTGTAAGACCAAGAGGATCATATCAGCTGCAACATCAAAGTCGTTCTACTGACTCTTATGGCTCTATCAATAAGCCTTCCATGATTGAAAGTATGAGTGAAATGAGGATATCAACAAGTGAAAAGAGTTATGATCCACCATCCGATAATATTAGTGTTCGAAGTTTTCCTTTCTCAAGTCGAGACTCTCTTAATCGTGTTGGTCGTTCAAGTCAAAACCAGAGTCCGACCTCAACTTATTCAAGAGGAAGAGATTTTTTTGGTGGTAGCAATAGTAGTAACATATCCAACAGTGCCACTGGTAATAATTTCATCAGTGCAAACAGCGGCAATAACAGTGAATATAACCAATGTATTATTTCCAAACCAGGCCAAATCGTCCATATTAGTGATAAAGCTATTAAAGACAGTAGAGAAGAAAATTTATCTTCTCTCGGAACAAGTCATGGTTCATTAGAACGTCACGACAGTGAAAGTGCATCTGATTCTGGAGCTAAAAGTGAAGTGTTTAGTGGTGTTTGCTCTCGTGAGGGCAAGAATCAAATGGTAACTAGGGATATAATCAGTGTTGAATACAATAACCACAGAACTGACAACCCTGATGATGATGGTGTTGGTGAAATTGAAGACGATGAGCCTGAAGAAGAGGAGGAGGGGGAGGACGATGATGATGATGTTGATGAAAATAACATCGAGAAAGTTACTAAAAGCCAAACAATATTATTTGCGCCTAATTTGGGATATGACGATGAATTATATGACGAGCCACCAAAATCAGATGGTAAACCAGAAGATAATTTAGACGAGGAAGATCTAGCAGATGAACCTGAAGAGGAAGAAGATTACGAGAAAGAAGAAAGAGTTATTGAAACTGAAGATGAAGAAGAGGCCATTTATGATACTGTTGCCCCTGATGAGGCATCAGTTGATGATAACTATTCCAATGATTATGATTATGAAGTTGAATCCACCACTCATTCAGATTATCACCTTGATCGAGATTCATCCATGACCAATTTAAACAACCTTAAATCTTATGGTGAAGCCCATTCATTTTCAAATTATGTGAATATTGATTACTTCTTAAGAAGAGAGGAAACCTCATCTAAAAATGACTCGGATGATAATGAAACTCAAATGTCACGTTCAATGTCCAGTGATCATGATATTGATATTGACGATTCTCTGCCAAGTGTACCTGCTGTTGGCTTAGGCATCAGTACCCTTAGCAGTATTGGTGGTAGTGTTGGCGCTTTAAATGTAGAAAGAAGTTCAACTTTAAGATCAAGTCAAACAACATATGATGAAGTTTTTGAGCCAACTGGTGATAGTGAACCAGGTAAATACGTGTATTTTACTGATCATTTTTTCTTTTCTATTCTTGATTGTCAAAACATTCTTATCTGCCTTTATGCTTTAATGAATGAATTGCAAATGGTTAATGTAAAAAAAATAATTTACATCACTTTTTTTCCTTTTTTACGGCTTCTTTTTCTTCTATAGAAAACTATTACGGTATCAGTGATACGGAGCATAACAATACTTTGGATTCTCAAGAGTCAGAGGTAATTCACTCTTTTTGGAAACGCTCTGTTTTATTTCCATTTCCATGTTTGTCTTTAATCAATTTATTCAATTTTAAACAAATTTTTATCCTTTCCAAATCAATATAAATAGGCCGGCCTACAAGATAGCTTGGATTATGATGAAGAAGAAGCCAAAGCCGAATCTGAACGCTCCTCCATGTATAAATGTATTTTATTTAGTATAGTTGATAGTGAAACTGTTTACGTCGATTGTCTCAATACATTATTGCAGGTAAAATTGATATAAAATTATTGATAATTCACGAAAAAATAGCAATTTTTTATTCAAATATTTGTTTTACTTTCTCTTGCAGTATAAAAAAGCGCTCAAGTCTACAACTGAAAGTGCTCATCCTCTTGTTTCATCGACCGATTTAGAAGCAATATTTCACAAAATTAATGATTTATACACTATACATAGTAACTTTTTAGATGGTGTCAAAAAATTAGTTGCACAACTGAAACAACACCAGCAATCCTTGCAATCTCAACAATCTTCACAATCAATGAGCTCAAATTTACCAACACTTGGTGATCTTTTCAAAATATTGGCTAGTCGATTAGGAGCATACAGTGCATATCTTAAAAATTACTCAAAGGCTCTGGAAACGGTTCAAAGATGTATTGCCGCTAACAACCAATTTGCAGAGATTACTCGGGTAAAAATGACTAAAAAAATCCAATTTTTGGTTGATCAAATTTACAATTAAACTCATATGTTTCCATCTTGATTCTAACTTTTCCTTCTTTCTATTTTTTTCACTTTACAGGCTATAAAACTAAGTTCAATGAAAGGTCAATCAACAACTCTTGAAGGTAAGTTTGATGCTGTGATGCTTCCTGTTCTTGCCAGACTGACTCTTTCTCAACTTTAATTTTCTCACCTTTACATCTAACCCTTCTTTTTTTCCTTAGAGCTTCTTCACAAACCTGTGGCGCGAGTTCAAAAAAATGCTCTCATTTTGCATGATCTTTTAAAATATACACCAGAGAATAGCCAAGAATACAAATCTCTCAAGACAGCTTTGAAAATGACTCAATGTTTCCTCAACGAGCTTAATATTGCGGCAACGGAGCAAATGTTTCCGGTAAATTATTAACATATATTTTCATCTGCATCATTAGTTATTATCTATGTTCACCTTTTTTACCCACATTCTGCACATTACCCACTTTCAATTTGATTATTATCAGATATTTTTATCAATTTATATCCTTTTAATCTCTATTTTCATTTTGTTTCAATTTTCAATTCAGGTTCAAGACAAAGCACAACGTCGTTTGGTTAAGGAAAGTTTTATTATTGAAGCGCCGGAAGGCAGAAGAAAACTTCGTCATTTATTCCTATTCAATGATACAATTGTATGCGCCAAATACAAACCATCTACAAGGTAAAAACAAAAGATTGATAATAATTCAGTTGACTTTACAATTGATTTAAATATCATCAAATGTATCATTTTAGATTGGGTTTCAAAGATGAAATCGCATGAAAATGCCTTAAGAAGGAGTAAATACATTTAGTGATAAATTAGCATAATAAATTGACGTCTATTAGAGTAGACTAATTGCTGCTAATTAGAGTATTTTTAACCTTTTTCAATTCAAGATAACATTAACATCTAATTTATTTACACTATTTCAGACAAAAATTTACGTTTGATGTCAAATGGTATGCACTTCTTTGTGATATTACACTTCCAGATACTGAAGGTTTGTTTATTTTTTAAATAATTGACAAAGAATGCAAATTAATTTTATGTTCCATTAATTCCATAGATATAACCACAATTGGAATCAAGGAAAAAGAACTGAGCTCCGAGATAAGAAATTTACGGTCCAAAGTGAGCAGTATTCGTGATGCTATCATAAAAGAGGTACATAATCACAAAGATAGATTGAATCACATTAAATTACGTCTCTATGGCGAAGAAATGAATCGTGAACTGGTTACTTTCTCTGTCCATTTACTTCAAATTGTGTCTTCATCTTTTGAGAAGCTTTCAATCACCTTGGGATTAAACAATAATGAGCTTTCATTTATCCAGCCATTCTATTCCCATTTGTTATCCTTTCTGCTTGATCCGTTATCTATTTGGTTGACTGATTTTTGACCATTATTCATCATACAATGATTATCTTCATTTTCACTTGCATTCTCACACTCTCATCTTCAATGCTGCAATTTGAATGAAATTACATTTCATATTTCTTATTTTGATCTGAATATTCTCGTGAAATTCAACGCCTTCTTTTAGATTTTAGATAAGTTTTGGTTTATGAAAGTCAAAACATCTTCCAACTTACCTTCTTAACCTGAATTTTTACGAGAAAATGATGAATCAAAATAAAATGCCTTTCATTCACACCAAAAATTTAACATTGATGGTCAAGAACGATAATTGATATTAACAATTTTTTTCATTTTTATTTACAGAAAAGTAAAAACAACAGTAAATTATTAGAAAAATTGAAGAAGAAACAAGCTGATCATGTAAGTTTTGCCTTTTCTCAATAATCATTGGATTCTTTGTTCAATTGTTTCTTACCCTTTTCTATTCTGTTTTTATCTGTATCAGGAAGGACAATTGGTGTTGATTTTACCTCAGCTTCCATTTGTAATAACTCATAAAAGTGGAAAAAATTATACTTTCTACTTATCGTCTGAATTTGAGCGAACTCAATGGATAGAATCGATACGAGTTTTACAACAATCAGGTTTGTATTTTGGTTCGGTCAACCGAAGGTTTCAACAAGAAAGAAAAGTCAATAAGAGTTTGCATTTAAGGTGAAGCAAAAAGTTAATCAAAAGATTGATTGTGATTTAACTGAATAGTATGGCAGAGTTAAGCTTGTTTTCGTGATCCGTAAAGCCTATTTTTTCCCTGATGAAAGAAAATAAACTGAATAAAAAGGTTGAAAAACTGAACTGAAGGCGATGATGATCACACTTGTTAGTTAGCTAACTTTAGATGTTTCAAACTGATTTCTTGTCCAAACAAGTGTTTATCTAATCAACATTTTATGCAATTAGTTTCTTATATTGTATAATTAATTTATTCGCGCAATTTACGGTTTAATGAGTGTGAAATAGTTCAATCTAATGTAATATAAACGATCTTTTGTTGTTTTAGACTTGAACTTTCTTTGTTTTCATTATCTTTTTACAAACTCTTCCTTTCATCTTTAATTTCCGAACATTTTTATCCACAATTTCATTCATTGTATTAATAATTCATCTTTTTCGTTTACTTCCAGCCGGATCATCTCATGATACAGTCAATTTTAGCGAGCTTCAAGCTTGGATCGAAACATGTCGTAAAGTATGTTTTTGTGGTTTTATTAATTGCTAAAATCTTATTAATGTTGGTCAATTTTTTCGTTTATCTAGGGCTTAAATCCAAGTTTAGGATCTTTCCTCATGAGGTCTAGTAAAGATGAAGATTTACTTCATGGTGATCTTTATCTTACCATTGGAATTTTATACGGGATTCCTCAGGCAACAGGTAAGAGTCTTCTTTGATTTCAATTTTTGTGCAAATTTACTAATTGTATTTTTTCCCTCACAGAATTGTTTATCGTTGTTGAGCTTGATAATTACGGCCATTTTTTTCAAAAAGCCAATACCAAAGTCATTCGAGGTTCCCATGAGTTACATTTCAACCAGGACTTTACTCTTGATCTTGATGGTTCATCAACACTTCGCTGTATACTCTATGAAGAAGTACCAAGTCAAACAAAACCCTTGTTAAGAGGCAAAGTTACCCTTGAATTGGGTAGATCATGGTTGAAAGATAAATACACAACCAAGGAGTTAATATTTTCAGACGTATGCATCATCCCCTGGTTCCTAAAATTTGTTCATTTTTCATCTCTGCTTTTGTTACTGTGATTGAAGTAGATTACAATCATCCAGTTTGGATGAAAGCGTGCGAATCCAGTGAGAGTAAATCTAGAAGTCAATTTATTTGAAAAATTTCTCCCATTTGGCATCTTAATCATCTCAATCCTTAACAAGCATGATTACATCTTTTAATACACATTACCTAAAATCTTTTCTTTTTTTCCCTTTTTCAGTGTAAATTATCCATAAACCTGAAATTCATATCCTCAGAAGTAAGCACAATGAGATTCCCTGCCGGTAAAGTTTACGGAGCATTTGGTGTACCAATAAGCCAAGTTACAAAGTAAGTAATTTTATCAAATCATTAAATGGATAAATCGTTAATTGAGGTAGCTCTGAGTACTTTTTTCAACCATCTCTCAATCATTTTACACATTTACCTGAATGGGAAATGTATTTTTTTATTGACAACCAAGTGAAACTTGAGTCTTCCAATTGAACCATGAATGAGAAGATTATCAGAAGATAATTTCATCTGATAGATTTGGTGGCAAACAAGATATCTTAAAATTCATTGATCCATTCAAAATAATGAACAACTCATGTGTCATACTTGTATTTGTGCAAGAACTAATCTCATTTTCTTAATAGCATTATTAATTTATTGGCACGAATCTTAGTAAACAATTTGCTAAATAACGTGACATTTTTAGCTTATTTACCGACTTGCAATACTCCGGATTGATTATTGATAATTTATTTCTCTGATTTCAATTTATTATTGAGTGTTGATATTAGATTAACTTGATTCCAATAAACTTAAAATTGAGATAGATTATTATTCTAGTTTTATTTAGAGTCATTTGTTTACTGAAAGAGTTTTCAATATTTTGAGTTTGAATAATTCCGTTCTTTTTGTTTCTGGTTGCAATCCTGTCAAATACATTCGATTAAAAATCGAATTGACTATCGAAGCTTGCAATTTATAATCGACACTTCAGTTAGTTTTTTGCCATTTAATAAGAAAATTTTTTGTTATGAAACCAGTTTTAAATATGAATTAGAGGTCACAAACAGTGCGATTTCCTAGTTTGACGCTCTATGAAGAACTATTCATTTATTCATTCATTTTAGTCACAATCTTAAATCAGTTGCAAATATGTTGCACAAAATAACCGGCATTTCGCTCACAACCAAACCATTCGACATGGACAATCACTTCAATAAAGAGGGACAATCATTTTGAAAATTTGAAATCGATGAACTCCATGTTTCTGTTGAAAATTAAAGTTGAAAAATGACAATAGATTCAATATTTTCTGAACAATTTACTTACGATCCAGGTTCTTTCATAAAAACTGTGTATTTGCAAATAATACTGCCTTGATTAAAGTACAGTAAAGGCTGAGATAATGAGACTCAATTTATAAACTCAATTTCATCGCGATTTCTTTAACTATTAATCAACTCAATCAAATTTTCTTTCGTAAAATATCAATCAATAGACTCTAGAAATCAGATTAGCAATTCAGGTTGATTTTGATCTATTAAGGAAAATTGAAAATGATGAAAATGTCCGTTGAATAGTGTGAATAAGTTACTCCAAGAGAGTCCCCATTATCTCAACCTTTACTGTAATGCCTTCGATATATTGATATCTCTCAAATCATCAGCTGATGAAGTTAATCATTAACCATTTATGGAGACCTCTAATTTTCATAGCAATTAGCTCATCCTTTTTATGGTATATTTTTCTGGTATTTGATTGTTCTCACCCATACTTTATATGTTATTGAATGTAACATTCTTATATTGTTGCTAATCGGTTGACTTGGTAATTATCAAGTTACCTAGATGAGTCATTTTTATTTATATCTGATTGTGTTTATCTGTTGAGGCCGTTGATCTAAATGGTTCTCATGCAAATATGGATACAATTTTGATTTTCACAATTTTTGTCAAAATAATTCTCAAAATGATTGTAATCTTGTGATTTGATTTTCATTACAATAAGGGTGTGAATAGTACAATTTAATCAAATGAAGCACTTTCCATCCGATGCCTTTTTAGCCTAAATTTCAAGGCTATCAATTCGCAATTCAACTGATTGAATGATAATGAAATTTACCAATGAGAATAATTAATAATTTTTATAATAAATTGCCTTCCTTTTTGGCTTTAATTTGACAATATCAAAATAATCAAATGTTGCTTCATTATTCACAAAATTATTGGAATCTATGTTAGGAAAATCATGATTTCCCTTTGATAATGTAAATTGTGTTGAACATTTATGTCACTCGTCAGTTGCTAGTTGCAAATGATAATAACTTGTATAATTTATTATCTTGTTTTCATAAATAATCATTGAAGATAAAATGTCTATTGACAGTTAATTGTCTGTAATGTATCGTCAATGCATTTTTACAATTTATACTCATTTTCCTCTTGTAACTCAACTCTAACGAATCTGTCCTCTCAACCATTTCATTTCAATTTCATCTCAATTTGCATCAATAATTTACATTCTGAAAATTCCAGATGATACAATTTTGAAAATTGTTGCATCCAGCTATTGGTTAGAGTTTTGATCAAACTCACAAACCGAAAATACCGTTTCAATTGATTAATGATTAAACTTGAAAATGAAAATCCAATGTTCCAATAATAAATCCAAATACCAATCAAGCTCATATAACCACAATTTCACAATGAAATTATGAATTATTGCTGTCAGTCATCACTGTAATCAACATTAAAGTAAAGGCCGAAATTGAGTTTACCATGAAAACAAATGATACAAGGCAACAATGATTAGAAAATTAATTTTATTATTTTTATCTAAAGATCTTCGAAATGTGCAATTCGTTGACGGAAATTTAATTGTTGCATTCGATGATAGGCTTGAATTTTGCTTTCGGCTCTTTTCTGTGCAATTTCACGTAAAGACAAAGTTTTCAGCTTTTCCAACAATTGACTTTCACTTTCGTCTTTTTGGCCATCTTGTGTCACATCTTGACCACCTGTAATACCATTATTGTTGTGCATGACATTGTTATTGTTATTATGAATATTATCACTAGATGTTGACCAGACTGATGATTTTTCATACAAATCCTTTTTAACCACCAATTGAACTTGATTTTCATCATCTTCAGGCAGTGCAGGAACATCGTCTTCACTTGCAAGTGTTGCTGATCGGGTTATTTTAGCCTCAGTGTGGTTAAATTGTTCCCTTGAGCTTGATTGTCCCATAACAATATCACTTTTAATCGACAGGTTGGACATTGATCCAATTGTGGAATATATTTTATCCTTTTTACCACCAAATAGCGATCGTTTGAAAATTTTTTTGGTAAAACTTGATTTCTTTGATTTTCTCAATGGAAGTGTTGATAATTGATGAGTCTCAATGTGATCATAAATTGCTTCACTTGTTTCCTCATCAATTGTATTGTATTGAATTGTATTGTATTGGCTTATCGTTGAATTGCGTATACTGTGGTCACCAATTTGTTGATCATTTAACTCTTTAATTTGATTATCAGTTTTCAATACAATTGATTGTTCTTCGTCTCCGTGTTCATCTTTATCATCAGCTAGTCTTGAAGAGCTTTTAGATTTATCATTTAATGTTGACTCTGATGTTGAGCTTGTCATTGACGAGGTTAACTGATTTGACATTGTTGTTGTCGCTGATGATGAAAATGATGGTTTTTTGGGTAAATTTGGTTTCGTCTTGTGGCTTGTTGACAAATTGGTTATTGAATTTTCAAGGGAACGAGCAATTGTGATTGAGTCTCGGGTTACATCGGTATTTGATAGGTAAATGACGTTGGATTGATTTGACTTTGGCACTATTCCGGCTTTTTCATACCATTCATGTTGACCTTCTGGAAGTACCAAAAGATGTAATCGGTTACCTGATGCTTTAATACGACCCGTTACTTGAGCATGATTTTCAATGTTGATGTTTACACCATTGACTTCAATCACTCGATCCCATTGAAGTAAACCTGCAGCTTCGGCTGGACTTCCTGGATCAATATCGGCAATCAATTTGACTCGTCCTTTCTCATAAGTGTTCAAAGTAAATCCAAATACACCATCAGGATCTTTGCTTATTGAACATAACCTAGGTCTTGGTGCATCATCAGGAACCCTAACAATAGTCTTTCCTCGATTGAACCGATCTGCTTCACTTAATGATCCAAAAGACCAGTCACTTAGTGTTGATCGAGATTCTCGTTGATTTATTTTGGATGATCGAGTGGTTGTTACTGTGCCTGTTGTCGACGTCGACTGTCTCACATCTTCTTTATCGTCTTCTTTATCATCTTCATTGTCTTCACGGTTAACCTTTTCCTCGGGTTCAATTTTTGATAATCTATCAGTTTGATCCTTTATTTCAACATCTCCATCACTCGAGTTTCCAGCTGATTGTTGAGATAAACCTCTTCGATATAATTGACTTCTCCTATTGTCTTCTATCGATACTGAACGGTCCAATGTATATCCTGGTTCTCTTAATCCTCGATGGTCACAATAACGCACTAATGATCCTCCTGCACCATGATGAATCCTTATATTGCGCGATTGAAACCATTTATAAGATTTTTCATCAACAACCAGTAAAGTTACTTCACAATCTGCCGATTTTCGGATCATATTAACCACCGTATCATGATCAGTATATTCAACATTAACATTGTTTACTTCAATTAATCTATCATTTTGACAAATGCCACTTATACCAGCAGGACCAGTGGGTTCAATTGATCTTAAAAAGTGACCCCCACCAGACGGTAAAGAGTCCATTTTAAAGCCATAATCTGCCGTTTCCGAATCTTTCCTCACTTTACATTGACGTGCAAAAAATTCACCATCCAATAAGGTTAAGCTAGTTGAATGGCGATTATCTTGAAAAGCACTATTTGTATCACTATTGTTATTGTTTGTGATAACACTATTATTGTCTTGTTGAGAGTTGTTATCGATCAAGTGTATGTCAGCCAAAACCTTTTCCTGGTTACTTGAAATTGGTCGACTATTGTTACCTCTTTTAACGTCAATATAAATAGCATGATCATCATCGTCCACATCAGGAGAAAGTATTGAAACTTCATCTTGCACTTGATCAATAATGTCATGATCATCAATATCATCCTCGTCCTGATCAATTTGACTTGCCATCAACATCTCTAATGATTTATCTCGCCAATCGGCAATCTCCTTTTGACGCTGTTCATCCAATGAACCAGCAAACTGTCCATCACCATGAGCTGATTGTCTCATTGGGATTCCTTCAGCTCGACCATTTGGCGATTGACCTGAAGGCGACCAATCAACCACATTATCAGACATTCCTGAAGGTATTGGCAGTGAATACCGATGATAGACACTAGGCTCTGAATCAGATTGTTCACCTCTTTTACCAATCACTAATCGGTCAAGTGCACCATTCAGAAATGAACGCAGTTTACCTTGATAGGGCGGGGTAATGTAATGAACTAGATCAGGATGGGAGCTTGTGATTGTAACTTGATTCCGTTTCCTCCATTTATCAGTTTCATTTGGAGCCAACAGTAATTTTACTGTACCATTTTCCGATTCCTTGATTAATTTGATCACTTCACCATGGTTAAGCTTTTCAACGTTTACTCCATTAACTTCAATTAGCCAGTCACCAGCTTCCAAGTGGGTTGCCTCAGCAGGTCCACCTTCATGTACCATTGAAATATAATGTCCTTCACCAGACTTTTTGGTCATCAAGTCAAATCCATAGCCTTCATATTGAGGTGTCCACTTTGATAGGATACATAATTTTACAGGTCTATGAGATAAATCCATTTGTGAGATCCAAGTATTGACCAAAAAACAACAATTTACACTTAAATTGTCTTCCCTTTAAATGTGACTTTGTTTTTGTTTAACACTGATTACTGACAATTATCAATGTTTTTACCACTTGAAAAATATTTACTCTCTCGGTTGAACTTTTCAAGCTTCTAACTTGAGCACATAAGTTAATTGAATGTTTTAATCACTTTCAATCAATGTAGGTTGATTGTTTAGACGATTGATCGATTGGTGAAATGACTGATGATTTATTATTATTAACAAAAAAGATGTAAAGGATAAAATTGAGGGAGTGTTTAAGATATTTGGAATCAAGTGAAGTCTATGGAGAGACGATGAAGATGTTGGCTTTATGGTTGAGTATGAAGTTGTTTGTTGAAACCTGATATTTGCTGTTTTGTGATGATTTTACACTGATCAATCCATGATTTTTTGAGCAAAATTTTGATTGATAATTTAAATGAGCACTTGATTTCAACTCACACTAATCCTTTCAATGATTGGATTCATTAATTAATGTTTAATTATCATGATTTAGAAACATTGATAGTTATACTTTTATTTTGTGATAACTTTCCTGTTAGCCCATTAGAAACTCACTATATCTCACTCTTGATTTACCTTTTCATCATTTTCATTACAATTGAGCTCACTTCTTATCTTCCTTCTCTCTCACTTTTCTCCATGTTATTTACTCACTCTAATATCTTTACTCTCACTAATGTAATTTATCGGGATGCTCTTTGTCACCATAAATGAGACAATTATCATTAGCCAAGTGTGTGATTTTAGGTCTAATGGAAATGGATTGATGAAATTAGTAGAAATGATTTAGTTACGGTTTTGCGCCGTTTTCATTTTTCTGCTAACAATTTGTTGATTGAAATCTTAGGCCTTATCCATGTTGCTTTACAATGTATTTTGCTCACTCAACAATTGAAGTCAGATGAGAAGACTGAGAAAAAAAGAAAGAGAAGACAATGAAAGTAAAGTAAAGAAAGAGATGATAATCTTGATGTTTTATCATAATTAAAGCCAAGGTTTCTCGTTTTATCATCTTCACAACTTCATCATTTATCTTGACATTAATATATCTTGTAGTTTGCTGACTTTATTTCGTGTTTTATAAATCATCTGATTTTCCAACATTCAATGGTCAAAGAGACAATTGAAAATTACAATTTGATTGCTTTTTCTCTGTGAATCATTTCAGTTTAATCATGACATCTATCATGAAAATCAATGACAAATCATACCAAAATTGAACCTTAAAAGGTTATCCACAATTCAAGACTCAAATTGATGTGTAAATCTGAATCAAAGTTAAAGGTTTACTCATTCAAACCCATTTATCTAGCTAATTGTTTCAATTGAGATAAAACTATGCGATTATGTTAACCGTTGCAAGTTTAAACATTGAATGTTCAGTTTTGATTTATTCATGAATGCTGCATGAAATTTGAATTTTTATTATTCATTGATTGAAGTTTATATTCAATTGATTGAATGTAAAACTATCAATCATATCAAAGACCACCTAAATTAACATGAAACTGTTACTCTGTTAAATTGTATTAAAAGACAGGTTTATTAATATATCAAGTCTTAGTGAATTATCCTTTGATTATATCAAATACTAAACAAACGCCTCTCTCTAAATATCAATGTATCACTCAATTGAGTCTGATGATAAACTAATCGCTCTGAAATTCCCATTGCTAATCATTGTTAAGATTTGTCTTTGTCTTTAAAATGTCTAATAATTGAAACTTGTAAAATCTAATGTTCAATATTTTTAATTTCAACAGAAAAGAGAAAAGCTCAATTCCATATTTGATCGTTGGATGTGTCAAAGAAGTCGAAAGACGTGGTGTTAAAGAGGTTGGAATATATCGAGTTTCCGGATTATCTTCAGATATTCAGCGATTAAAACGGGCTTTTGAATCTAGTAAGTTATTCTTGATCAACAACAAAATGATTCATTTATCAAGTCAATTTATGTAAATGATTTCATCGTCTTGCACAAGTTTGTCTATTCAATGAGCAAAAAAGGCGAGGAATTCCCATTTGATTAAATCATTTCTTTTGATTGAAAGTTACATGAAAATCTAAGTAAAGCTTACGTAGTATGTTACTTGAATGAAGATGATGATTAGTAAACAATAATCAAACAGCCACAATGAAGTTGATTGTTGCTTTTTAAACTTCATCTTAAAAACTCAATTACCATTGACAACAACTTGAATATCCTTGTAAGATGAAAAAAGAAGTTTCTTTTATAAGATTACCGTATTTACTCACCAGATTCAAGGTACTTTTTGGGCTAAATGAAATTTTTTAGTAGCTTTGAGATTCCAGCAAATTTCAACTGACATGCTTTGACACTTTGCTCATTAAAACAATGAATTAACTCTCATCTTTTCATTAAAATTTTACTAATAATTTTCTTCCATTCACAGATCCCTATGAAGCTGAACATCTCCTCAAGGAAATCGATATCAATGCCATTACGGGTCTCTTAAAAATGTATCTTCGTGAACTTCCCGAAGCTCTATTTACCAATAGTTTGTACAAAAAATTCTTTGACGCTTTCAGTAAGTTGAAATGGACAAAGAGACTCAAAACAGACAATAATAATCTTCGTAAATATGAGATATCATGACATCAGGATCATTAAAAGATGCAGTAAATCAGTCAAACCATAAATCTCGGCTAAATTATCTCATGTTACTATTTTTACCATGCGATTGCTCCTAATTACCTGGTTAAAAATTTACGCTGTTTTGACCTCAGACTTTTATTGTTGAATATCAGTACTAATTGATTTTTGTATCTTTTTTTCAAAGGTCTAACCAGTAATGAAGAAAGGAGGAAGCGTTTAACGGATCTTTACACTCAATTACCTCCGGTCAATCAAAACACAATTAATTTTCTAATCGATCATTTTGTAAAGTACGTTGCCTGGACAATTAACAATTACTTGGATACCAGTTAATTTTATTGGATGAATTTGAATCAATATTGTTTCCGTTGATTGCTATTAACATTTGTTGCTCAAATTATTCCAACAGTTTACTGTTGGTTAACGATCAGCAAGTTTATTAACATTTTACGGACTTATCGTTCATTTATAAATTAACTGTTTACCCTTAAATCAACAATCTCACCTTAAAAATTTATCACTTCAGCAAATTAATATTTTTTCATTTCTTTCACCCATTGTAGTGTCAACAAGTATGAAAATTTAAACAAGATGTCTTTACATAATCTGGCAACAGTTTTTGGACCAACTTTAATCAGACCTGGGTCATCAACAGCGGCAATCAATAATGCTGATACATTCACTGCTGGTACAATCGATGTTATGGCTCAAGCAGGAATTTTGTATTTCTTTTTGAAGAAGCGAGTTACTGAATATGACACAGGAACTCTTTAGGACTAAATTAATTGATCAAAATTTACCATATTTATATATTGAATTTTGATAAGAGAGACAAACAAATTTCCTATTTCTTAAATGACGACAAATATCTAATTTTTCAACAAAATATATCTTCACCTTTGCCATTCTCCATGTAAACATATGTTCTATTCATATTTTTACATGATTAATCCTGAAATCTAACGTTCCTTTTTCTGTTATTTACCCACTTTCTGTTTGATTCTTGACCATCTTTGTAATCCTTTCCTCTTCAAGCCTTTTTGTCATCTTCATCTTATTTTATACTATGCTTTGGATGACAAAAAAATCAAAGCATGACAATCGTTCCACAAGAATTATAGCGAAAATTTATATTGAAATTTTTTCATCCTATTCTCGTATATTTAAAAAAATAAAACCAAAAACATAAATCAATGACAAATACACAAAAATATTAGACAATAAAATCTTATTTTATAAATAAACTAAATCATTTAATTTATAAATGAATCAATAAAATGAAATGATGAACAAATTATGGTCTTTAATAAAACCTATCGATCAAAATTTAAATATAAACTGTGACAATAGTTAATGAATGTTGAAAACCTAACAGTGAGAAATTTGAATCGAATTGAGTTGATTAGTTAAGGAAAACCGATGAATCAAACAAATCGTGCATAATTTTAATGACAACTTTATAATCACTTGATTGATTAAGTTAGCTTTTCTTGCCTTTTAATAATAATTGCCAAACGAATAACAATCGATAGGTCGATAGAGCTCCTGTAATGACAATGTTGATTGATAGGGTGAATAGTGAGGTTATAAAACTAGATTCAATAGCAATTAAATTGGAAAATGTCAAGCGAACATTAGTTTTGTCATTCGAAGTTCATCAAAATTCAATTTAACATTTTTTTCGATAAAAGTCAGTGGTCAAAAAGCGACAAGGGACAGGGACATAAGAACCGAATCTATTTGTGTGAATAAAAAGTTGCTCTGATTGTTTTTATTAGCAGTCAAATACAAAAATTACCGATTCGTCAAAATTAGTTATCATTATAAGTCGGCTGAATTAGACAGAATACTTCTCAGTATATCTGCAACATTATCATGCAAAGTCTTGTCCGAACTGAAACCTGTGAAGAAGGAAAATATCTCTGTTCAGTTTCTCAATTAAAATTTTAATTTAACTTACCAGGCAATTTAATCTCATCAAACAGTGTATCAATCAGGTAGTTAACAGTTTTCTCAGCTGGGGCTGATGGGTCTATAACTGAAATTAAGAAGCACAATTAATTTGAAATGGATCATTTTTTGAATAAAGAAAGTTTCTTACTTTGAACTTTTGCAATTGCAGACTCAATCCATGAAGTTATGTCATTATGGACACTTTGATTAATATCAATTTCTATGGAGTAAATAAGAGAATAATTAATCTGTCTAATTTTATTCCACTCAATTCTTACCTGGAATAAGAGTCAAAGCATTTAGAATCCGGTCAACAATCGATTGCTTAAGTTCAGGTTTGTGTCTTAAAGCTAATCAAAGCAGATTAAATTATGTCTTTCATTATAAACATTGCTTCTATTGGATTGTATGATCATGATATATTTACAAGAGACTTACCAGAAAATGGATATAATTTGAAAATGCCATCCACCAAGATAATAACATTATCTTTTACTGATTTTGTTACATTGAGTCCTGAAATTGGGAAGTAAAAGATTGATCAATGATTGATTACTTTAACAATGGCTGGATATACCTTCGATGGGAATCAGTTTAAAGTAAGCTTCAGCAACATTAACCAGGTTGTCTTCAATATCTTTATCAGGATTCCAACCTAGATTTACAGAATGATTAACATGATTGATCAAGATTCAGACCTTATCTTACCAAGTATATAACCAGCTTCCAGTGATTTATCAGCCAAATTAATTGTGTTTATCTCAATTGAAGCTTTGCTGTCCCAATCTGTAATTTAAATGGTTAAATATAAGTCAAAGGCTCTGAAAATCAGCATTTATTTTGATGCTAAAACTCTAAGTTGACAATTGGTATCCATAAAGATCAACTATTATTTGTTAAATCAATCAATAATGATTCAGATTGAGCTCAATGGGTTCCAAAAGAAACCAGATCTTATTTCTTACATTCAACCAATTTAATGATTATACTTACCAGGAATTAAGAGTTCGCCTCGTGCAACCATTTTAGAGATGATCTCGATGATGGCCTCAGTGATTGGTGATACTGCTAGTCAATTAAAACAAAAATATCATTGAAATCATTTCTTTTGTTAGATTTTTGAGCAGAATAGCTCAATTTCAGACTCAATAATCAACTTTCGATATTGAAAGTGAAAAACCATGTGAAAAACGTCGCTTACCGTGCTCATCGACCTGATCCAAAGCATGAGTATTGACAATACAGTAACTCAACAATAATATAAAAAACAGCTTCATTGTTGGTTTGAATTACGATTATACGAGCTTGGAACAGAAAAAATAGAAATGAAAACAAAATTCCAATTTAATCATATTTATACCATTGATTATATTATCAGGAATGAGATAGTATTCTTGTTTTGTTTTCAGTGAATAATATTTTCCAGAATTAAAGGGCAAAGTCACATGAATCTTTATCCATTGAACATGAAGTTCAGCGATTCAATTTTACCTGAAGAAAAGTAGAAAGCAAAAAAGATGAGAATTATTGTTTCCCGTAAAATTACTCGAGTCACATCCAAGAAAATGAATAAACAAGGATTAATAAGTTTTTACGTAGCATTTTGATAGGTGAACAATTGAACCTTTTCATTAAACTCAAGTTATTTTGATGGTTAGTTACGATGATCCAAAAATAGCAATCATCAGACTTCGCATCAACTCATTAAACGATATTCCGTACTATAAATACATCTGTAAATTATGTATAATACCTCTTAATTGTTTCTATTAACTAAAACAAATCTTTGAACAATGTCATTGCCATCTTTTACATAGAAAGGTTACCATTCACAGCAATGAAAACCTTTCCTTACCTGGCTAGACTAATCTTGATAGTGTGAAATGAAAACCCAAACAATAGAAACTCGGACAGTTTAACAATCAAATATTATTGAAAATATAAATGAAAATTTGAAGCTTTTTTGATGATAGTCTTGTTTTAATTTTGCAATACAAATCACTGTCTAATCAGGCTACATAATGTGTATCTACAATTTGAATGTAAGACTATTTTTTGAATGAATTAAGCCAAAAACATTCATTTCAAGTAATCACATAATAGCCAAAAACCGGTTTTCATTTTCACAGTTGATCATCTGTTTCCTATTTTGACTGTTTATTTTCAGAAAATTAAATGTTAATCTATTGTAAACGTTTATCTAAAAAGTTATTATTGCTTGTATTTAGTGTTTTAATTGTTTTCTTGATTATCTTGAAACTGAAATCAAATTATTTTGATCATGTTTACCATTTCTCTGACACAAGTTTAGATGACATTGATTTTGACAGTTACTCTAGAAGTCACCCATTTCTCAATATCACTGGATTTAATCAACTAATTGTTCCAAATATTGTTCATCTTGTGCAATTAGATACTCCTTACATTTCATTCATTACTTATTTGTGCATCAAAGCAGCTATTAAAAATCAAAAGCCAGATATTTTAATCATCCACACCAATCAAAACCATTTGCTTGGTAAATATTGGAATTACCTTAAAAATGAATCAATCAAAGTGCGAAAGGTTGATAAACCTTTAACAATATTTGGTAAATCAGTTGCTCATGTTTATCATTCAAGTGACATTTTACGATTAACTATTCTCATTGAATATGGTGGAATATACATTGACAATGATTTATTAATTTTGAAAAATTTGGATCCATTTCGTCGGTTTGAGTGTTCAATTGGTTGGCCGGTCAATGAATACATTGGCAATCAGTTGATTATTGCTCATAAAGATTCTCGATTCATCAAGAAATGGTTTGATTCATATCGCAGTTACAATGGATCAAGTTGGTATTTTAATGGCGGTCAATTACCTACCAAATTGATACTCTATTCACATCCAGATTATGTTCACCGAGAAACTGAATCTTTTGGCGTTGCTGCTGAAGTAAACTATTTGTATAAAAGTTCAAAAACTGATTGGAGCTCAAAATTTAACACGATTCACTTGCTTGATCGACATCGATCTTATTTGGTTCCAGATGAAAGAATCAAATATTTCAATGAGATTAACATAAAATCATATAATAGAACATTTGGAGCTATGGCGAGACAAATTTTATTTGATTCACCTGATTTAGTATTTTAATCAATAAATATTATTGAATGTTATTCACTTTAAAATTATCATAACATTCAGAGCAATCGAATAAGACAAGTCGATGTATCGAAAATATTTAGTTTTAACTCCATCTGCTGGAAGTGTGAAAAGATAGTGATTTTAAATTCGTTTGTTTAATTTGATCATTCAAGTTAAATTGATTTATCTTCAGTGGAAAGTTTCCTTTTAATCTTATTTATATTCCCATATTTGAAACAAAATTTGACTTATCGCTGGTTTATCATTGTACATGATCAATTGTCAGAAGACCAAATGCGGCTCCTGTAGCCTGCCATTAAATAATCGAAACTTATTATGCAAACTATTAATATTTTGAGTGGGAAATCAAATAAATCCCAATTCGTTAACCAAAGCTTATTGTAAATGTAATAGGTGAGAAAAAAGCAGAAAATAAAAGAGATAAGAGTTTTTAAAGTTGAATGACGCTACTTCAGATACATTCATCTATGAAAATAGATGCACGAGAATTAATAAGCTTTACCAAATCTTTTTGATTGGAGAACAACTGAAGATTCTCAGAAAACGTCAGTTATTTTGATGGCTGTTTCATGAATCCAAAAATAGTACTCGAAAGACTACGCCTCAACTCGTGTAACTGTTGTGTTAAATGAATGTGCAATGAAAAACCAGAAGACAGAGTCTATGAAGATGGTTCTTGAGTGAATTGTAATGCTAGCTATGAAGATGGTTCTTGAGTGAATTGTAATGCTAGAGACTATGAAAAACGGACATATTACACATAATTTCATCTTTTATTACTCTTTAGGATATGTGATAGATATTACAATAGACTTATATCTTAAATCATTAATTCTTGAACATATTAAATCTTGCAACATTGAAAACCATTTCATGATTTTAAGTCGTTTAATTTAGAATGGGATATTGAATGGATAAAGTGGGTGACTTTTGTGTTCTTCCAATCCACAAGCTCGCCAATTCTTGTTGAATCCAAAGATGGTTTCCATTTCTTCCTTTGACAATTCAAAATCGAAAACTTGTATATTCTCAGCGATTCTTGCAGGTGTAACACTCTTTGGGATAGTAATGAGATTTCGTTGAACAGCAAATCGAAGTAATACTTGAGCTGGAGTCTTTTTATGGGCTTCAGCGATTTTCTTTATAGCTGATTCTTCAAATAAAGATGGATCTCCTGGTTTAGCCCATGGTCGATCAGGTGAACCAAGTGGACTGTAAGCTGTTATAGTAATGTCACGTTTTTGACAAAACTCAACAAGCTCTTTCTGAGTTAGATAAGGATGAACTTCAATTTGATTGTTAACAGGTTTAACTGAACAATTAGCAAGAATTTTTGCAACCTGCTCTGAATTGAAGTTGGAAACTCCAATTGATTTTGATAAACCAGCTTTATGGACGTCTTCCATACCTTGCCATGTTTCGACTATATCAACATTAGAGTATGCAGTTCCACCCTTACCATCCGAAGGTGACATTCCGTTTCCTTCAGCATAGCCCATTGGCCAATGGATTAAATAAAGATCAAGATATTCCAAACCCAGTTTAGATAAAGTAATCTTGCATCCTTCGGTTACTTTAGCACGAGAATGAAACGAGTTCCAACATTTAGAGGTAATGAAAACATCTTCACGTTTTAAAGCTCCAGATTCAAAGACTTCCTTCAAAGCTTGGCCAACTTCATCTTCATTCTCGTAGATCAAAGCACAATCAATATGGCGATATCCACCTTCCAATAGAGCAAATTTAACAGCCTGTTTGACTTCACCAGGCTTCGATTTCCATGTTCCTAAACCAAAAATTGGCATAGTATTTCCATTGTTCAAAGTTAATTTAGTTCCAATTGCTGGCTTGGCCATGTTGCTGTTTAAGAGAGAGAAATTAAATTGTTTGAAAATATTACGATTCAAATATCTAGGGTTTAATAATTTGGACACAAGCATTCGATTAGAAATGAAAAGAGGGAGACTCACAATACAATAACAATGGCAGATGTTAAATTATTTTAACATATAAGGTGAAAGTCACAAGTATAAGGTTTTCGTTTTTATAACGAATAAGACTAGAATTATCAACTAAACTTTGATGATAGTTAAGACAAACTGAAATATGCTAATGATCGTCAATGTTTATATTCTCGAAAAATCAGTATTGTGTAGCCAATCACAACAGTCATGTTCGGTTGTGCAAAAGTCTAAATGAAGAGGGCGCTTCATTGCTATAATGATACTTTTTAATCAAAATTAATTTCAACTCAATTTTTATTTTTCATTTGTTTAAAGATTACTTTTTGAATAGTGCCTAGGCATTTCATCAAAAATTTCATGCATTGTATCTGAAGCAATCAAGGTAAGTGTGGCTCACTCATCAATAAGAAACAACAGCAACCAGAAAAATCAACAAAAAACTTACATAATAACAAACCTAACAAGAAGCAAAGTATTTCTGATTTGAATTGAACTAACTTATTATCTAATTTCCTCCTGTTTTTAAATTTTGAGTTTCCAAATATTGTCATGATTATTTCAGAGACTGCAACTCTTACATAAAAAGATTGAAAAGATATAAACAAATCATAACAGATAAGTCAGATATTTTGAATTATGTTAACTCGTCTTCTAACCGTAAAATCTATGTTGATGTTTTTTGATTCAGACCTTTTAATCAAAGAAATTCAATCTTTTCAATGACACCTGAATATAATCGAAAACTCGTGTAAAATTTCAAGTTTAAGATCAATTAGCCTCGGAAAGATGAAAGCTAAGTCAAGTTATTCAATTGAGAAAGTTCCATAGGAAATGATAAGACGTGTAGCATTGAGACAGAACATGATCGACTGGTTGAAAGTTTTAAGATAATTCAAAAATCTGTTGTTATCTCAATTATTGTCAGACATTTTCATAATCAAACAATAAAACACTCAAATAGGCTTGATTTAATTTTCTTCAAGATTCTCATTTCAATAACTAATTTATATCTCTAAACATTTCGATTGAATAGAAGGTAAAGTTGTAAAATCTTCAATACATTTCGTATTTCATATGACATTCAAGGACTCATGAATATTGGGCCTCAACGATTGAACTCTGGTTGTTTTTTATGGAAGTTTAATTGGTTAATGACTGGCCAATAATTGATTAATCGCTGTCAAGAATTGAAATAAAAAGCTGTAAAATTTAAAATGCATATGTTATAATGTCTGGGTTGTAATGAGAAACGGTGATTCAAAGCGAGAGTTGAACAATCAACTAGTTAAATAGTTAATTTGTTTGAAGCATGAACAAATTGACCCTTGTTTAAATGTTAAATGTATAACAGTGACTAATGATGAGACTGCAAACATTACAATGTATGACATTTTGAACTTTGATGATTCTGATGGTAAAAGGATGAGAAACAGACAGTTTGACTTTGAGGAAGAATTGATTATGAAACTTTGGAACATTCACCATATAATCATGCAAAGAATAAATTATCTATTCCTACCGAAGAAAACATTATTATTCAAAAAAGAGCCATGTTTGGATCATGTGTTTTGAAATAGTCTAAACCAAGACAAACAGAAAACAATGTTGAAAATACCTGATGAATAGCAAGTTTGGAATGATGATAGCCAATGAAATCAACTTTAAACCAATTCACCGGTGTCTTGTTGAAGATGTAATCCATGAGAGAAACTGGTTTTCTTATTCGCTGCTTTACATCGACCATTTTATAACCAAAAAGTAAACTCTTTGTGCACAGCTAATCAGATGGTAAATGAGCTAAAAGTTGAAAAGCAATGGGAAATCCCCATTTTAAATCCTCAAGGGACTAGGACCTCGACAAGGTTAAAGGAGGAGTTTAACTGTTATAAGTGACTACATTAAAAAAGATGAGATACGGTTTAATCAGCATAGTTCAGGATCGCAGGATGAAATAATCTTTGAACAAAATTAACAAAATTATTGAGTCCAGCGCCCTCTTGTGTTTAACTCATGTAATTTACACTCGATGTAAACCAATAAAAATAGCGGATGCAGTTTAGTCGTCAGTTGTGCTTCGTTGGAAACTTTAGTCGATCCACTTTCTATTGCAGTTATTAACTACTCTTGTACCTAATCAAGACTCTTCATTTTCAATTTAACTCTAATCTTTTCTAACAATCCTAGAAAACTATTAATTCTGTTTCTGAGTAAGTTTTATTTTATGACTGTTAATAAATTGATTGTTTATTAAGTGATCAAAGATCTGAATAACAACCTTTTCTTAATGTAATTATTTAATCTCTACAGGAACAAAATGGCCAAACCAGAGATCGGAACTAAATTAACTTTGAACAATGGAAATACTATGCCACTTTTTGGTTTAGGAACCTGGAAATCGAAGCCTGGAGAAGTTAAGGAAGCTGTTAAATTCGCTCTGTTGGAAGGTGGATATCGCCATATTGATTGTGCTTTGGTTTACCAAAATGAAGATGAAATCGGTCAAGCTTTGAAGGAAGTGTTTGAGTCCGGAGCTCTTAAACGTGAAGATGTTTTCATTACATCTAAATGCTGGAACACTTACCATTCTCGTGCTAGAGTAACCGAAGGAATCAAGACTACTTTGTCTAAACTCGGTTTGGAGTATCTTGATCTTTATTTAATCCATTGGCCAATGGGCTATGCTGAAGGTGATGATTTTTTCCCAAGCACTTATTCTGATATTGACATTGTCGAAACATGGCAAGGTATGGAAGACGTCCATAAAGCTGGTTTAACAAAATCAATTGGTGTCTCCAACTTTAATTCAGAGCAGATTGAAAAAATTCTTGCCAATTGCTCTGTTAAACCTGTCAACAATCAAATTGAAGTTCATCCTTATCTAACTCAGAAAGAGCTTGTTGAGTTTTGTCAAAAACGTGACATTACTATTACTGCTTACAGTCCACTTGGTTCACCTGATCGACCATGGGCTAAACCAGGAGATCCATCTTTATTTGAAGAACCAGCCATAAAGAAAATCGCTGAAGCCCATAACAAGACTCCAGCTCAAGTATTACTTCGATTTGCTGTTCAACGAAATCTCATTACTATTCCAAAGAGTGTTACACCTGCAAGAATCGCTGAGAACATACAAGTTTTTGATTTTGAATTATCAAAGGAAGAAATGGAAACCATCTTTGGATTCAACAAGAATTGGCGAGCTTGTGGATCGGAGGAACACAAGAGTCATCCACTTTATCCATTCAATATCCCATTCTAAATCAAATGGCATAAAATCAATTGAATTGAAATCATTTTTAATGTTCTTAAATTCAATGTGTTCAATATTCAAAATCAATGATTAACGATATAAATCTAATAAAGTACGTAAGCTAAGCAAAAATAACGTTATTGGTTTCAATAGATCTTCTTATCTTCCGTTTAATTGCTTATTTTTTCTCACAGTTTTTGTTCTCATCATAAGTTCAATTTTTGCTTTATTTTTTAACTCTTTGTGTCTGTTTCCCACAATTAACTGTGAGTAATTTGTCTAGACAAGCGTCTTGTTTACTTTTTCCAACCTTTAGTCATACTCAAATCGATATCACTAATTAAATATCAACTGTAGACAAACATAATGATAGCATAGCAAGGTAAGAACTCAAAGAAATTGTCAGATTTATTTCTTCAAATTTCATTTTACCGGTTTCTCTTGATAAATTCATTTGGGTGCGCAGATATTTTAAAAATTGTTTGATTAACAGTGATTATCATGATCTGGGCGATGTAGAATAATATTGAATATAAATGAAGGTAAAATGATGAAGACTATGAGAAGAGAAAGGAAAAATGGTGTAGAATCCATCTTTTGATAGATTTTGATTATTAATGTCTGCAACCATTTTAAAAAATTAATCTTCTATTAATAAAAATATCCTAAGGTTATTAATTGCTGCTTTTTTTGTTTTAACACCTATCCCAAGAGCTCAATCCTGTCAATTAGATCTAATTGAGATGTTCCGAAGGAAAACCAATCAACGATTCTTCAACTTCATCTGTTGCTTTAAAGACTGGTTTAAATATGAACTGTTAAACATAGTGGACCTAAACAATTTTGACTAAAGTTGGATTTATGATACAAGTTAAACTTTTGGATTGATCAGAAAGTTCAGCAAAAAAGCGACACCTTATAGAATCATGCTCAAGTTATGCTCAAGATGAGTTAATGCACGAAATGTGAGGGATGATTAAAATAATTCTTGATCTTTGCTTAGATCAAAGGATCATCCTATTTCGGATTGAAAAAGCGAAGTGAAGTCGCAACCCAATTGGCCTAAAATGCCCAATCTTTCCATGAAAAATTATCTGACCCTTTATTAAAGACAATGAAGCTATTAATAAACACAACCATTCATTGATTAAATAGTCTTTATGGTTGAACTTTTTGCTGATATTTTTGGCTGTCTAACACTTTCTGGTAACTCATAAAGCTAATCATATCCTAAGAATTACATTCAAAGATAATTATCTGCAAAAAACGAAAAAAAATGGTTCGTTCCATAAAAATTTGAAGCACTGAACATTTACTGACGTAAAGCCTGAAAAGGTTTTGACCATTTCACATTCAATGCCATGGTATAAATATATCCCATAGAATCACATCTCTCTACAGTTGAAATGTTGATTCTGACGAGCATGAGCATAGAACACTGAACATTAGATTGACCGGAAGATAAAATGGCCTCCCTGTGCAAATGATGATAATAATGTAGAGTTTTACTTTTCTTGAATCCGGTGGTTCATTTATTGTGAGCAAGTTGAACCATTGCCCTGGAAATGGGTTATGAATGCGCAAAGAGGAATCCAATTGAAATGTCATTCCTTTGGCTAAACGTTTCATTCGTTTAACTGAAACTGCGCAACTGAACCCATAAAGAAACCTGCAAAGCCAAAAGCATCTTCAACTCCATATTAACTCCCTGTAACTCCATTTTTATTTCAACATCACCCTGTATGGAACCATATGAGACAGCGAAGAAGAAGTAAAAGCTGAGCAAAAAAAAAGGATGAACAAGAGATGAAGGTAAAGAGAGGAATTTTTTTTTCTATCGAGATTATCGTTTGGTTTTCAGTTTAATATCATCATGAATGTTTACTATTCATCCATTGTTGTTACTTTACTTTCAAGATAATAATTATAATAATATACTTTTCATCTTCAAACCAACATCAACCTTTTACTTCAATTGAAGTCTTGAAATAGCAAATTTGGTTTCCATTTTTTTCCCTTCTTGTTAACCAGTTCAATTTCAATCTCATCATTGTTACCATCATGTAAGTGAATATTATCCCTCTTTATACACATGAATATACTTTCCTTTCTTTTCTGGTTCTTCAATTATAATACTTCGTTCAATCTGTGTTAAAGGGAAGTGAATATCATTTGCTTCATTGGACTTATATCGCTCATTTGACCTTCTTACCCATTCAAATTGATTGACTTTATCCAATGTAACATGAAAGATTCATCTTGAGATTCAGTTTTTTTTTCATTTCATATTTCCAATTATCTTTTGATGTGATATTAGTCAACTGGGAAACCTCTTTAATTTCAATCTTGAATGTCAATTTGCTGGTTCAATCTCATGGAATCTGATTCATTTCTAATTTTTGTTTCTTCATTCTTTCACAGTTTAATGACAAGATGATTGTGTCAAAGTTTATAACATCAATTGGACCTGCTCTTGGACGATTAAAAAGACCTTCCAAGAAGAATAATCATGATCTAACTTGATTACCAGTCTAAACGTGAAAACCTGAGTTTGCAGTTCTGTGAATACTCAGTAGTTATCAATTTTTGTTTCTCTTTGGATTATTATTGTTTTCATAGTTGAATCGTTGAAAAGCTGCAATCAAAATTGAGGCCATTAAAGGTGTTTGTAAGCCTAGCGGCCACGGTAAAGTAAACCTGAAGATACCTTTACCCAACACTGAATTGACTCACTTTTTTCTGGTTGCGGACCGCACAATATGAAAGCATCTGTAACAATTTTACCTGCTCAGCATTTTTATCATTATTGTAAGCCGTTGAAGATAGTTGAAGCAGCAAAAGCAAAGCCTTTGGACGAAAGTTATTTAGTGGTTGTTGTTGACCTTTACAGTTACAAGGATAATAATCAGTGCAATTTGTTATTGTTATCATCTTCCTCATCACCTCACTCTTCATCATCATCATCTAAGAGCCAGTATATTTGTGCCCATAAAGCATCGCCTTTCCTTGAGTCGTGCACATCAACAAGGAATACTAGCTTCATTGACCTTCCAACCAACCTAGACACTTCACCTTCCCTGCATCAAATCACAAGACTCGAGTCCCCTCTACTCGTCTTGTATTCATCAACGAAACGCTCAAATAAAGTTGAACGTTTCTTTCACTCGATCATCGCCCTTCAATATTCGCGTAAAAGATTCAGCAAAAGCTTATCTTCTCATCAAATATCACTGCCTCTTCCACCTTCATCACCATCATCTTCATCATCTTTATTACCTTCAACTTATTGTCTGTATAAAGGCAAAAGTGATTCCATTGAGGTTGATAAAAGTGCTAATCTACTGTTAGCGTGTTACTCGTTGCTACATTCATTGGAACCACATCCAACCTCAACAACCAGTTATTATTATCATTATTGCAATTACTTTACGTTAAAGTATATTATTGATTGTTATACATTATTACCCTTATATCTATTAGTATTTCAATTCAATTTCATTTGCAACATTTGTTTCAATTTTATCGTTAAACTAAACCTAAATAACCAAATTAAGTTAGCTTGGAGCAAAGTCAATTTTATTGAAATCAATAGTAAACCCTGTTATCGTACATACTTGAACATCAGTCAAATTTAATTTGAAAATATTAGACAATTTTTTAAATATTTATAATCACAGTTTTCCAAATTGTTTACACTGTTTCATTTGATAGCTGATATACAAGCCTTTATTCATGCAATAGTTCAACTTCAATTATAACGCCGATAATTACAATTGAAGTTTCTCTGCCAATAAATTAGATCATTCCAAATATTAGCAGATTTATAGTAAACTAGAAAATTAAACCTTAATCAATTGCTGATGCAGAAATTTGAACGAAAATAAATCAAATTTCTGTTCATTTCGCTTTTCCCTAACAATTGCCGAATCGCAGGCAAAAAAGATAACCTTAAACGGACAATTTCGTTTATCGATTACTTATCAACACTGAAAGGAGACAAAAAGAATCGCCTTTTATTGTCAAAGTCAAGTTAATTGCTGTCAAGACTTTTCCCATTTCAAATACAACTAATTGCTGATCGAGAAGACCAACCAATCTCAACAAGATTCATCCTCGTGGGAACCACGAGCACTCTGCAATGTCCTTTCTCTTCCGGTTAGTACAGTATGTAATCGAACAGTTTCTCTCTTTTAAAACGTTTATTTGTCAATCCAATCAACACCAAAAACTCGAATCTCCCTAAAATCGCTTCAACGCTTTTTCGCACTTTTCTGGTCAACTTTGACTAACCCAAGCTGCTCAAACTTGAAACCAAATTTTGAACCAAAAACTGGTCCATTTGCAATGAAAAAGCCACTGAAAAGACTAAAAATAGATATGGAATCGAAAAGAATTGAAAAGAGAAAAAATTTTGGTTCCAATTTTTTGCAGTTTTGGGTTTCAATTTTGTTTCATTGTGCTTTCCCTTGTCCTGTTCATGGTTGATGCATTCATTGTGACTTGCTCTTGTTTCATTAATCTATCCATTCATTCATGCTGTATGTTAACTTGTGCTTAACTGCTTTTTTGAATGTGACTTTTTTTGCTCTCTGCTTCTCAACTCTGAACAATATGATGTGAGAAGGGAAAAAAACAGAATCACAAGAAAGGAAATCAAATTTTTTCTTGCTGCTTCTCTTTACTTGAAATTTATCCAATCGCAACTCTGTTCAATTATTTCAACCTGAATAATTTTTGCATCCAAAGAATCCAGAAGAGCTAAAAATAAAACTAGAAGTAAAAGAGAATCAAATATTTCGTGTTTTTTCAACCCAATTTTCTTCAAATATCATCGGTTAATATTTAGCATCTTCATTGAGCATGAATTTCCATTTCAAAGTTTATCTCTTTATTTTCAATGTCGATCTTTTTGCTCCTTTTTTTCATCACAAATTTCCAGTTGAAAAACAATTGACTTTGTTTTCAGTTGATTTCTTCATTTTCAACTTTAATTTTCTTTTCCATTTTTTCCTCCAAGTGCACTCGACGAACATTCCCAATTGAAATTGATCAGTTCAGAAATCAAGAACTCGTGAAAGAATGAAAATTTTGCGCAAAAAAAAACAAAACGTATTGCACAGTCAAGTTCAATCAAAAGCACATTAATTTTCATTTTTCATTGTTATGCAGTTGATTGAAATGAATAGCATTGGGAATCAACTTATAGAAAGGATTTCAGTATTTATTTTGATTGAGAAAGGTCTTCAACATGCTACATGAAATGGAATCTTGAGAATATAGATTATGAGCAATAAAGAATGATTTTTTTCTTCATTTTTACTCCGAATTTTCGCCTTTTAATGTTCAAATAAACGCTTCAAAATGAGAGAAATTCATATTTTGTTTTGGTAAAACAAACAAAATGTTTATTATTTTGTTAATTTTTACACTTAAAATGTCTCTATCCGATTTGCGCTTATATTTGTGTCTCAATGTTTATCCCAATTACCTTTTCCCATTTACATATCTAACACATGTCAACATGTTGCACTTGCTGACCTACGGACTTTTGGACAATTTTCGGACCTTTCGAACTTAATGTCCAAAAAATAATATCTAAATTCGCCAATTCACTGCTGCCATCGCCACTCGTGCTGCCTCAAAACCAATCATTGATTATCACGTTCACCCAAACATGCAACTCCAACCCCAACCCAATCTATGTGTTGGTCGCCCATCAAACCCAATCCAACTCCTCGTAACTCCCTGTAACATCCTTCTTGTGCTGCTAACCATTTGTTGTTTTCATTTCTTTACTTTTGCCATTCATCTTTTTACTTTCATTTGCCATCAATGTCGACCTTTTTGTTTTGTACAACCTTCACCCAACATTGACCTAATACTAACCTTAATCGACCCTTTTTAACCTTTCACTGACCTTCAACTCACTCTTCATTTGATAACCTTGACCTGACATTGTTCAATGAAACTTGTTACACACACACAAATATATCCTGTCCATCCGACCTCATTGTCCCCTGACCTTGATACGTAAACAGGTTTCACGACTTGATCGGTGGAATCCATGTGCCGGTAGACGATGGAGTGGACAAATTGAACCGAAAATATACCTTATTGGTGTTCCTCTTCCTGGCTCTGCCCATATTTACCAAACAGTACATCGGTGATCCAATTGAATGTTTTACACCAACATACTTCACCGAGCCTCAGGCTCGATATGTCAACTCTTATTGTTGGACTGCTTCCACTTATTACTTGGTGGCAGCTGATGCCGACGATGAAGATTACGATATAGTCGGTCAATTGGGAAAGAATCAGGTAATTGTGAAGAAGTGTTTACACATTTCTTGAGATTTCTTTCATTCAATTATTATCATAGCAAGTGCATTCTTTATAGTCGAGTTTTGGTTCAAAGGCAAATAAAAATAACAAAATTCCGATCCACTGAACAAGAAGGAAAAGTAAACTTGAAAATATTTCAAATGTTTGGTTGAGGAAACTTCAACTTTGATATTCCATAAATGATACAATCAAGTAATCATTCAAAATAAATAAGCCTTTCGAAGCAATTTCAACTGTCTCCATGAATGATTATTTGTCTTCGATTGAATTTACAATTAATATTATCTTTTCTTATTGGAATGTTTCTTTAAATTTTAGGATCCACCCGATCCTCGAGTCCTTCCTGAGGAATTAGATTACGGAGGTTTCGATGTTGCCTCAACGGGACCGGAGAGATTGAGACGAGTGCGTGTCGGCTATTATCAGTGGGCTCCGTTGATATTATTAGTGCAAGGATGTTGTTTCTATGTGCCCTTCCTTGTGTACAATTCGTGTGCTCACAATGCTGGTGTTAAACTTCGGCGTCTCTTGAAGAAAGCCTCGGACATAGCGAGTCTTCCGCCTGGTTGTCAACAGAGGGAAGCCTTGTTGGCCGAGTTTGTTGATCAATTCCACACTTTAGTTACTGGGGAAGCGGGTTGGTGTACTGACCCTTCATGTCGACTTCCACTTTCATGTCGTTGTTGCTCCGGAGGACCCAGTCGGTATTTGTGCCTACTTTATTTACTGGTTAAAAGTCTGTATGTGCTTAACGTTGGACTTCAATTCCTGTTACTCGGTTCATTTATGGGCCGAGGTTTCCTTCGCCATGGCCTGGAACTTATCCGCCGACTGATGGCCGAAGGTGAATGGTGGGCCTCACCGAGGTTCCCCTTGCAAACCTTGTGCCAAGTTCGAGCCGCCATACAAGGTGGCCTTCGAACGTATACCTGCCAATGTGTACTGCCCATTAATGTATTCAATGAGAAGATATTTTCCGTTGTGTGGTTCTACATGGCCTTCTTGTTGCCCCTTAATGTATTAAGTCTACTCTTTTGGGTATGGCGGAGCTTCCGGTGCAACAGGTTGGCCTACATTCGTCTGTGTCTATGGCGAACCCGATTAGTCTCAATGGCTGAAGTGGGTCGAATGGCCCGTAAGATATCAGGTCAATATTTGGGTTGGGACGGTGTTTTTGTCCTTCGTTTAATTGAACACAATCATGGTTCCATCATGGCCACACTCATAGTTTCCCGTTTATGGGAGTTTTATGCCAACCAGATGAAGATGCAGGATGAAGGTAATACAGGAAGCGATGTAGAGATGGGCAGTGTTGCCAGTGTGGGTGCACCACCATCTACTTCTTGGCACTCCTGCCATCCAACAGCCTGTCACGTCACCGGGCATCATCATTTCTCCGGTGCAAATGCTTCTGGTCCTCAGGGTACCATCAGCCATTCAAATAAACGTATGCCTCCAAATGGCTTTTGGGGTAAATGATGATGTGGGAATCCCACACCGACACAACTGCGACTTCTCACTCCTTTTCTTGTTATTTAAATGTTTTTTACTTATCTTTACCATTATCATATTATTGATGCACAAGCAAAACCCTTAACCGCACAATTAACCATTCATTCAACACCCTAAGTGACCCTTCAAGTGCCCATCTAATACAACTTGAGATAGCAAACCAAGAAAGTCATTTCATTCAAGAGTCTCAATCAGTAACAAGTATTGCTATCTTGAAGAATGAACAACAGTAAGAAAATCAATAAATACTTATTGATTTTCAATAGAAGTACAATTTACAATCATTAAACTTGATTCTTTGATAGGTCAATATTTCTTGACTAAAAAGACAATCAACTGAGAATAGAAAATAAATTTGCGAGAAAATAGAAAAAAATAAAATTCTAAAAATAAACAATTTCCATTCCCAGTGAATCCTTGTCATTCCCTGTTATCCTTCCCTTCCTTTGCTTATCCAAATGCTTAACCTTCCGCTTTGCTTATGCAATTGATTAACATTACAATTCAATTCTTATCATTATTATCTTTTTCTACTTTTCTTTTATTCATTTTCATGACAGGAATTTGACACACCTAAATGCTTTAGATTAACCTATTACAATTGATACGAAGCAGCATCAAAAGGTTCCAAGATGTCAACTTCATCAACGAATCGAGTCTTTGAATGGAAACAAACTGTAAATTAAACTGACCACCAATTGTGCTGCATTCCTTAATGTACATTATCATGCAAAACACACAGCGATCTCACCTCAGCCACAAGACCATGAGCATCAAGGGTGACTAAAACTACGGACAGAATAACTTTTGTTTTTTTTATTGGGTAAACACATGAACCATGCAATTCTGTTCACACTTATGTTCAGAACTGATGATCATCATTTTTCATTTGAAATTCACACAAATGAGAGTCCAAGTGAGTTTAAACGGTCAAAGAGAATAAGAAAAAAGAAAGAAAAGCTCAACATGATATAAATCAATGAATCGTCAACATTTAATTGGAAACAAGCACAAGATCGAGAAGTGAATTTCATCAATTTCCTTCTTCTTCCTCATTCTGTTGATGATTACTTGATTGGTCTTAACCATGTTTAACTAGCAATTCAAGCCTTCCAATTCCCACAAAACCAGACAAAATGCCAAAACTTGAGAACAGGATTCAAAAATTCTTCTTCCATTTCCTCTTTAATTTCAATTGCTGGCCAATAATCAATCCCTCTAATGATTCCCTGTTTCTTTAGTCATTGAATGTTTATCAATCTTAAACCAGAAACTCAGCAATATCAATTCCTGTTGACCAGAAAACTGGTTAAATGGCTGATGAAAGGTTGGAAACTGAAAAGAAGAGTTTAGGGAACAAAATTATTCGTTTGTTGAGATAATTATGTATATAAGAAGAGCGCATGGAAACACCAGATTTTTCAGTTTCAGTTGAACCTCAATAGAGACTGGAACAACCTGAATAGTCTTGGTTACAATGGTCAACATTATGATGGTCAAAGAAAGATAAACACTGAAGACGATGATGTCAAGGAAATGATACTTTTTTTGTTCTTCTTTGCATTTCCTTTTTATAATCAAAACCAATTGTTATTGTATTTTATATCTTTTATCTTATTCTCATTATCAACGTTTACAATGAACATGGGAAGACATAAATTCTGAAGGCAACATGATAACACCATTCTTCAACGGTTAATTCATGTTCAAACATCAACATGAAAGCAACAACTTTTAGTGAAGGAATGAAAAGTTCAAGTTGATAGCGTCACAGTGGACCAGCTTAATATCTTGGTCAATCTTGAAACTGGTAAACATTGGAATGTGCTAATTCAAGAATCTGATTGCTGAATGATATTGGAAGCGGAAAATAACACCAAACAGGAAAAGTAAAATGTTTTTTTCAACAAAATGAATAAACCTGCAACTCTTCGGATAAAAACAAATCAGTTGTAAAACTATTAGATAACAAAACTATTTAAGAAAAACAAATATTCTTCCCATCTTTTCTTCTCATTAAATCCATTCCCTTCAACCTTATTAACGATTTTGTTCAGACGAACTGTTTATGACAAAAAATACGTTTCAATTTATGAAAAAAAAACTCTTTAAGCCAATAAAAAAACCAGTCACAAGCACAAATTACATTGCGTTTCTTATTTAATTTCAGTGCCAATGGGTAAAACTGTGAACATTAGAGAGTGAAAAATTGGGATTTGTAAAAGATTATTGATTTTTGATTATCTATTTTCATAAATGAATGTTAGCTGCAGTAATTTCACTTGGCTTTCAAATTCTCATCTCTTTTGGTTTCTATTAATATACTTTTCTTCACCTACAATCTGAGAGCCTCAATTTAATCGTTGATTTTGGATGCTCGAGAGTCGAGTCGAGAGCAAAGCTTTTCAATCATAAGTTATGTTTTATAACCAAAGAGTCACTTTTGGGTTTTTGGGTTAAATTGATTGTGGTGACATCTGTTGGTAGAAAAATCAGCCTTTTGTGTTTTAAATTCTTTTTCGAACTTAGTTTTTTAATTCGCTTTTTGTGCTTAATTCAGGTTAGTCGCTTTTGTGTTAATTATTAAATAATTTAATAATTATTTAATTATTTAATTTGAATTTAATTTAATAATTATTATTTTGTTTTTATTACATAGAGTTTTGTGGTTCCTGTGAAAATTGTGAAAATTTGGAGGTTCTTTTCATTGAAATTGTTTTAACTTGGTGCGTTTTCTTCGTACATATATTTTGTCAATTGTCAATAATTATTTTAATTTAAATTAATTTCCTTTCTTGTTATTTCCAGGTTTTAATTTTGGTGAATTCCAGTTGCTTATTTTTATTCAATTCAATTCAATTCAATCTACCAATTCAGTCATTTAATAATAGCTTACTTTGATAGCTATACGGTTAGTTGTCTTTCAATGTTTTCTGTTTTATCAATTATTTAATTATTCAATTATTCAATTATTTAATTATTCAATTTTTGTTTTTTTTGTGGATCAGATGGACGTAACCCGTGCTCAGGTTACTTGTGACCATTCTTATGCTGAGGATTTCTGGTGTGGCATATGCCACCGGTTGGCGTTGGCTCCACGGATCCATGATGGTGGTTATGGTCAGGTCTTTTGTCGCCGTGTTTTTTGCTCAAGCTGTATTGATTGCACTTCCTTCAATCCCGAAGCTAGAACTCGTATTGGCCCGAGAGGAGAAAAGATTTATGCCTGTCCTACTGAAGGGTGTTTTCAAAACTTTGTACCTCCATTTTTTCGCTTTATGAGCAAGATGGAAGAGGGACTGTACAAGGCTCTGTCCATTAAATGTTTGAATTGTAATAATTCATTCAATGTATTTCAGTATGCCACACATCGGATCCGTTGCTCTGCTGCTCTTCCCGCTGTTTCAGCCTCCGATTTCGCGGATTTTACGCCAGAAGATTTAAAGGATATCCTTTAACAGATACAAAACTATTATTCAAACATACATTGATCAAGCTCCACTCAAATCATGATTAAATCAAGAAAAAATCTGTACACAATTGTAGGAGTCAAATTTATATTTCTAATACTTTTTTATTATGCTAATAACAAACAGCGAGTGTAACAATTTGTAATGTTACAAAGTTGTAATAAAGGTTACTAGTTACATTAACATACATCAAGTGTTGATGTAAACTAATAAATATGGAAAGTGATTCACAGACTGATTCGGGGACAAAATTTAAAATTATTTATCAGGCACTTAACAATCATGAAAATACTGATGAAAATAGATAATGAAATGTTTATAAACATTTACGATCAATGATAAATTTTGTATTTTTCTTCGCTTTATAATAAAACAATTGTAACTACAAAATCTAATTAAGGTGTCTCTCTTAGTGCTTCGAGTTCTCTATTATGCATTTGTAATCGACTCCGGCGACTTCGACGAGCTTGGAGTTTCTCTTTTAATCCTTGTGTAACTCGAGCTTGGTTTAATTTTTGATTCCGCTCCAAGTCCATAATTTCCTTCTTGTATCTGTTTCTTAACGACTCGATTCGTCCTAGTCACATAAAGAAAAATCAAAAGATGAAAAAATTATAGATGACAGTTAATTACGAGTAAGCAATATGAAATGGCTTGAGGATGCTCTTTACTTTTTTAGTCAGTTCGCAGAGTAAAATACAGAACTGTCAGAACTATCATTTAAAAGAACAATGTACGAATTAGAAATCGTATAATCTGCTATAAACAGGGGAAAATTAACAGTCCTTCAATCAAAAAACTATGTATTTTTTCATCAGATTAGTTGTGTTTATTAACAAGGCACAATCGATTAAAAATTAGGAGAAATCGCGTATTTTTGTAATAGAATAACAGTAATTCAAACAGATAAGCTCATCTTATCAGACAATTATCGATGAAAATGCATTCTACGGAAAAAGATTCAACGATTATCCTAATTTTTAATTGATTTTGTCTTTCTTTCCTGATTATACCTAAGAAATATGACAACAATCTAGTAAATCATTTCCTCACAAAAGACAAACGAAGTCATTGATTTTTGATATTGCTTACCAAATATTTCTTCTTTTTGAGGTGTTGGTGCAAGATCTGCTGAGGGTAAGGGAGTTGGCATCACGAAAGGTACTCTTGTTGGATCTGGTGTCAACGACTTGGCACCTTTCCTCTCACTTCTGGATGACTCAAAAATACGTGCAATTTGTTCATCTGCAGTAGATGTGTCATCAAATTCACTGTCAACTCCACTGTCTAAATATCAGAATGAAGGAGAAACAAGTCAGATTGAAATTGGGTCGTGAATGAATTGCTTATTCAAAATTATTTACCTCTCAATTCATGTGAACCTTTCCCATCATAGTCTAAATCGTTTCCAGTTATCTCCTTAATTCTTTGTCTAATCAACCTGGTTCTCTCATTTCTTAATTCAGATGCTCGAGCCTTACAATCCTCTGTAATTTCAAATAGATCACGAGAAATTGTTGATGTTAAAACATGTTCCAACCATTGCTTAAGAGACGCTGCCCTTTTGTAAGTCGTTTGGTAGCAAAATAAAGCATGTTCATGGCGTTCTCGGGTTTGCATGTCCGTAAATATGTAAGATATAGCTTTATCGAGGGTCGCTATTTCATCCGGCGAACAATATGGAAATGTTATATTGGGCAAATAACGTTGAGCAGACTGTAAGTCAGAGCTTGCTTCTGATAACTTGTTTCTAACTTCAGCGACCATTTCATAACGAGTCTCATTTTCTCTGTTCATAAAAAAAGAATCGTAAATCAAAATATCAACCATAACATGAATGAATTGAATAGGTGTAAAATTACTAACTCTATTGGAATTGAAAGAACATCTTTCCATTTTTGAACAGATTCAGAGAGTAAAGCACAAGCTTGTTTAACTTGAATCTGAGCTTGTCTCCAACGAAAGTAGGCTTGATCAACATGTCGTTTCTGTTCCAATAACCAGTCCAACTCTCGTTCCAATTGATTCTCCAAGTCACTTCCATATTGTCCTTCAAAAATTGTATCTAATATAAAATATGATAAAAAATAAACCAAAGGAGTTGAAACAAGACACAGTTAACCTTGTTAATTGACGTCAATAGACTGGTATTGACCCAAATGTAACCCACAATAGGAAATAAAACTCCCTAGCAAAACAATCAACACATCAATATGGACTGATGAAAAAAGGAGGGAAAATATGGTTCAATAAAACAAAAGGGTTGCTCCAATTACAACCACTTCTCTCAAATTGCGCTATTTTCAAAGGCTCCTAATTAAGAAGGTTAACGTTAATCTTTACTTTCTTTTTTTAATTCTTGCCAATTTTTAATTATTCTACTTTTTTTAATTAAATCTCATCTCATGAAATCAGTTATTAGAGATATTTTAAACATAATTTTATCTATTAAATGAGAATAAAAAATAGTGAAAAGCCATCTTCAGAGATTGACAACTTGAGAAGTGAATGCTTTTTACTTACCTAAAAGTTCATCCCTCGAAGCATAAAGCTTTTGTAATTTTTCACCTTCCTTTGATAATCTTGCAATGTCCGTTTTGAGCTCCTCGATTTGTGATAATGTGTTCTTGTAATCCCTTTCAACGAGTTCCTTTGGAATAGACTTATAATGAATAAAAATTATCTCTATGGAAGTGGTACATGTTTGGTTGGTAATATGAATAGACTCTCATCAGATAATACTGTTAACCATTAAATTGTGATCATTTGAGCATAAATACATGTAATTTGTTGATGAAACCAATTCAACACCAAATAAACTAATTTAATTTGAGTCTTTCTCAAAAATGAGGTAAAAATTGACTGTGATAAATTGATTTGCGTGCAAAAACCTTTAAACCATTTCTCTTGTCCATACTCCTGTATTATTATTTGATCCCTAGTTTGTGACCAATGCACCTTCAATGAATATCCAAGTCAAAAAATTTATTCAACTAGATTGGTAAATTAACATGGATTGTCACGTAAATGAATAACTGTTTTGATTAAATTTACAGACAAACAGTACATCAAATTACTAAATTATATGTCAACCTGAAATAGGCCCAAAAAACATGAAATAATTATCAAAATATGTTCAAATGGTTATAATAAACTACAATACAATTTGATATAACCTAATGGTTTTTAAACCCAAATGGATGGACCAGTGTCTTAAGATTGTAAATTATTTCAATGATGGATCTAAAAGATTTACGAAATAAAGTCAATAAAATATTCGAGTTATATCAATCGTTATGTCGAATCTAATTTTGTTAAAATTTGAACAAAATCCATGAGAAAATTTCGCTTTCTAGCGTTTAACCCTTCTTTAATTTTACTGTTTGCTCTAAAGCTTAAAAGATTGTTGAAATCGGTGAATGCCGGTTATTCATTAGCCTCAATTGATTAACGATTTAAGAGTAATATAATATTGTTTTAATACTAAATGCCTACTAATGTGAACCATTATAATCAAATAATTGCTTCAATAATTGAATTCTGTTAGAGCAGAACGAACAATGACTTCAAGTAATCAGCAATTCCAATTAGGAACTCATAAAACTGAACAATCTTTCCTGGATAAAAATGGATGTCATTAATCATTAACTTGTATATTATTCTGTGGCATAAAACAACTGGACATTAATTGGACTCTAATTGCCCTTTAAAAATCGAGTCAACTAAATGTTGACTTCACTAGTTACATCTATTTAAAGCTGAAAAGATATCAAATTCAACTCCAAAGGCAATCGACAAGTTAATGTATTATTAGGTTGAGTCAAGCAAAAGTACGGCAATCTGAGATACTTTCAATTCGGTGCTTTTTCACAAATTAAGTGTCCTAATTAAACAGAGATTATAAATGTGATTAATAAAATTGAAAATATCTGTGATCAAAGTTGCGTATATTTGCTTGACTCAACCTAATAAATGGATACTTTGCAGTTCAATAATCAATATTTGAAACTATTTCTGGTAATGAAGTGACCAAATTATCTGAACAATATATTGAATTGGTTCTAGAATGTCATCAACTGACGTTCAAATTACAGATTCAATGTTGACATGTGAATTTAATGTGTATATGAGCAACATTGATGATCAACTTTAACTGATGATCCATAAGATCTACTAGATTCAATTGACATTGATTGTGAGAGGAGCAAGAAGTGTCTCAAAAAAAATGCTAATCAATAAACCAAGTAACAAACAAGACTGATGAGCTGATTTCAAACGAAATTGGTTGATTTAAAGAAAATTTGAATAGATTTTTTTGTACAAACAATTATTTGGTTAATATCACCATTGGAAAACACTAAACAATCTTACAAGAATTGAATTTACAAGTATATCAAATTGTCTATTGATTGGCTTTTTATATATTTGATTATTCTAGTGACATTGGCCTTGCAATATCAACAACTTGATAATAACATGAAAACAAAAGGACACCAAGCTCTTACGATTTGTTTTTCATCAATAATACGCAACAAACTATCGATTAACATAATGTTTTTAAGGTATCAAATGCAATAAGATCATCAAAAAAGTACAACAATCGAGAAAAAAATGGAACAAATTTATCAACAAATTTTCATTGTTAACATTAATAAATAGAGGAAAGCTAATGGCTATCAGCTATAATAATGGAAATGGCTCTTTTCAAATCAATAGGATCTAGGAGAAGTGCCATGAAAAGGAATCACAATCAATGTTAATAATCATTTTCCTGGTAAATCCGTCAATAAATGGTCATCCGTTTACCTGTTTGTTGAGCACATCAAGAAAATTTTCCTCATCGCCTGATAATTTTTGATCGGTGTAGCTTTTGCGTAAAATGAATTCCCGAGTAGTATGAAGATCACCATTTCCAAGTTTTTTACTGAATGAAGATCTGGAAACAAAGAAGAAACAATAAGTAAATCAATTGAAATTAATAATGAATAACAATTAGTCAACTAATCATTTGGCCAATCTGAATGTCAAGTAAATCATACATTTGCATGTTCAATCAATACACAGAGTTGTCAATGAAGAAATGTAAATTGAGAACAATCAACATTTCAATTAACACCAGCTGTTGGTAATCAATAAAATGTATTGTTTTAAGAATAATTAATAACGCAATTTAACCTTAATTTCATCTCAGCATTTCATTTTCATTTGACTAATGATTTGAATTTTAATGATTCGGATTCCGCCATTTCAAGGCTTCTTTTCATTAGCAAACAATTTTTAGCTTGAAATTTGTAAAGTCGATTGATTTCTAATTCTAGATCTGATAGTTAGATTTATTGATTTAATTAAAGTATCCATTACTCTAGTTAATAGGCTATTTCAATGCTTGATAGTTTCTTACTAGGCTTTTGATCAATTAGACAGAAAGTGAAGGGAAATCACTTTATGATGAAAATGAAATTATTGATTGGAGATGAAAGGATTGAGAATTGGCTTCTTTGATTAGTTGATTGTGATTGTTGAATACTTACGCTTCATCCTGACATTGAGCTAACAACTCTTCCATTTGAACCAAAGCTTCCTCCAATTGGTCTAATTGTTCAGTTTTAATTTGATAAGTTTCTAAAATGTGTTTCTTCTCCTGATCACGAATTGCGTGTTCCAAGTCAAGATAACTTTGAAGAGCTTCCTTAGTTATTTCAATCGACTGGGAATAATGATATCATGATAATGACATGTAAGGACAGAAGGAAAAACAAAACAAAAATATTTAGATTGAGTGCAAGTCAATATTAATCAGTTAAATTCAATTCTGACCAATAACTATTACAAATGAATCAAAATTTGCTTTCAGTCTTTTGCTTTCTCCTTTTAATAATAATGATTACCAATTATTAGATCAACTTGAGATGTTGAAAATCATTGTAATCGGGTAATTACTCAACCAGGGTAAACAATTTCATGTTCATGTGTGACAAATTGTTTAGGTAAATCAACTAACTCAATCAAAAAGAGTCAAACTCTGTACGAAAAAAAAGGGTTTCTTGTAAACAGATTCAACGATAAATTGTGAAACAACAAAACAATAATAAACAGCTTTTCAACAATGTTATCTTGATTAAGTAGCATGTAACGTGTATCGATACAATCGTATTATGTATTCAGATGGAGTCACCAACCTTAACACCAAAAAAGATGATCAGTTAATGATTCAACTATTTGTATTGAAGTGATGTTAATGTGTCTTTAATGGTTTTACCTGTTGAGGCTGGTCAGAATTAGAAGTTGATTGATAATAATTTGATAAATCATTAATGATTCTCATCAAGAGTCATTCAACAAGGTCTAACAGAGATTGAAAGTTATGACTGGGAAAGGATTGAGAAGACAATTAATTGACAGATTTGCTGTGAATTAAACCTTGATTTTTACAACTTTAGCAATAACCATGAAATCATGTTGAGAAAGTAAACTTTACCCTGGAAATTAAAAATCAATACGCTTTTGAGGTTGTTGGAACAATTGTTGGACTGACAAAAGGGTTGGTTGTATTTTGTTACAATTACCCAAATTTGTCGTTACATGTGAATTTAATTTCTTATAATAATATAGTTTTGAGCAGCAATTTGAATTGAAAGAGTCAAACCAAGCCAAAGTAGCTCTGAATCAACTTAACAACTGTAGGACTGAAAGCAAATCTTGAAAAGCCAGAAGACTAGAAAATCTGGTCAGTAATGTTAATCTGGTTAGTGATAGTTAACTAGAATAGTGATAAAATGCTGACAATTTACCTTTGTATTGTTCCCGTTGGTCCTTAAATTTTTTGTATCTGGTCGTGACATTTGATCATTTCTTCGATAAGACGCACTACTACCGCAACCCATAGAGTCATTTATAACAGTCAGTTAACTACACATTTTTGGCCTGTAACTGTAAAAACTCACTTAGTAAACGTATAACTTGGAGATAATTCATTTGAATAATTTGATGAGTAACCAATCAATCAGCCATTATTTAGCATATAAAACCAAACAAATGAAAGGAAAGATGATCAAGATGCTGGACCATAATTATCCATGGAGTTAGCTTTCTTTAATTAATATGTATATCTTGAATGGATGGAAACACTAGAGCACAGGAGACAAGAAAACATTAACAATTAGTTGATTTGGTGAAACAAATAAGAGAAGCCTTGATTCTGCAAGAATCAAGTTTATTATGTATGTGTGTGTTTACTGTATGTACCAGAGTCCCATTGACCGTAGCCATAGAAATATGTAACACATTATTGACCATTGTCAATAAAAAGTCTTTGTATTTTCATGGACCACCATTTAACAGGAATAACAAAGCAAAAGCAAACCTGACCAACTTGAGCATGTTTGCTATATTGTAATTTGATTGATGAAATAATTAATAAAACTGCTTATAATTTCAGTTTAGTCACATTTTATCAATACCTTTGGCAAAGAAATCATTCACCTCAAAATAATGACAAAGTTGAGATTAAAATTGAACATTCAAGTTAACATATTGATCAAAGTTTAACTTTCATCAGCAGATGAATAAAATTAAACAAAAATGAAATAAAGTAACCGTTAAATTAAAATTAAAAACAAAACATTTTGAATTTCATAATTAGGCACGAAATTCAAAAACTCAAACTTCTCTGAAAACGACTGACCAATTGTTTACATGTTATGTGAGGTGAGTTAAAGTAACCAAACTAAATTCGCATTTAATTGGCAGAATTCTTTAAAATTAGAAATCTAATTTGATTGAAAAATGATTAAATGATTGTTATTAGCAAATTAAAACAATTTAAAACAAATCAATATCATTGTTTAACAGTGACATCTATTGAGTACCAACTATAGCAATACCAACTCGAAGAGTTAAACTCTTTGTTCATAACTCAAAACAATATGAAAACGATGGTTATTCACTTGCGGTGTATGAACAAAGAAAAACATTATCAGAGAGCGAAAACTTGTTAGATTGTATCTTTAACCTTTGTTAATGAATTAAGATGCATATGACTTTACATTGAAAATAGTTTGCTTAATCTGTTTCAATTATTTAATGGCAGATTAAAAGACATTCATCTGATTTGCATAAAAGCCATAGACAGTAAATAATGTTAAGATAAACTGATGAATAGCAAGTTTGGAATGATGATAGCCAATGAAATCAACTTTCAACCAATTCACTGGTGTCTAGTTGAAGATGTAATCCATGAGAGAAACTGGTTTTCTTATTCGCTGCTTTAACATCGACCATTTTATAACCAAAAAGTAAACTCTTTGTGCACAGCTAATCAGATGGTAAATGAGCTAAAAAGTTGAAAAGCAATGGGAAATCCCCATTTTAAATCCTCAAGGGACTAGGACCTCGACAAGGTTAAAGGAGGAGTTTAACTGTTATAAGTGACTACATTAAAAAAGATGAGATACGGTTTAATCAGCATAGTTCAGGATCGCAGGATGAAATAATCTGTGAACAAAATTAACAAAATTATTGAGTCCAGCGCCCTCTTGTGTTTAACTCATGTAATACACACTCGATGTAAACCAATAAAAATAGCGGATGCAGTTTAGTCGTCAGTTGTGCTTCGTTGGAAACTTTAGTCGATCCACTTTTTATTGCAGTTGTTAACTACTCTTGTACCTAATCAAGACTCTTCATTTTCAATTTAACTCTAATCTTTTCTAACAATCCTAGAAAACTATTAATTCTGTTTCTGAGTAAGTTTTATTTTATGACTGTTAATTAATTGATTGTTTATTAAGTGATCAAAGATCTGAATAACAACCTTTTCTTTTAATTTAATTATTTAATCTCTACAGAAACAAAATGGCCAAACCAGAGATCGGAACTAAATTAACTTTGAACAATGGAAATACTATGCCACTTTTTGGTTTAGGAACCTGGAAATCAAAGCCTGGAGAAGTTAAGGAAGCTGTTAAATTTGCTCTATTGGAAGGTGGATATCGCCATATTGATTGTGCTTTGGTTTACCAGAATGAAGATGAAATCGGTCAAGCTTTGAAGGAAGTGTTTGAATCCGGAGCTCTTAAACGTGAAGATGTTTTCATTACATCTAAATGTTGGAACACTTATCATTCTCGTGCTAGAGTGACCGAAGGATGCAAGACTACTTTGTCTAAACTCGGTTTGGAATATCTTGATCTTTACTTAGTTCATTGGCCAATGGGCTATGCTGAAGGTGGTGAGCTTTTCCCAAGCACTTATTCTGATGTTGACATTGTCGAAACATGGCAAGGTATGGAAGACGTCCATAAAGCTGGTTTAACAAAATCAATTGGTGTTTCCAACTTTAATTCAGAGCAGATTGAAAAAATTCTTGCCAATTGCTCCGTTAAACCTGTTAACAATCAAATTGAAGTTCATCCTTATCTAACTCAGAAAGAGCTTGTTGAGTTTTGTCAAAAACGTGACATTACTATTACAGCTTACAGTCCACTTGGCTCACCTGATCGACCATGGGCTAAACCAGAAGATCCATCTTTATTTGAAGAACCAGCTATAAAGAAAATCGCTGAAGCCCATAACAAGACTCCAGCTCAAGTATTACTTCGATTCGCTGTTCAACGAAATCTCATTACTATCCCAAAGAGTGTTACACCTGCAAGAATCGCTGAAAATATCAAAGTTTTCGATTTTGAATTATCAAAGGAAGAAATGGAAACCATCTTTGGATTTAACAAGAATTGGCGAGCTTGTGGATTGGAAGAACACAAGAGTCACCCACTTTATCCATTCAATATCCCATTCTAAATCAAATGACATAAAATCAATTGAATTGAAATGAAATAATTTTAAATGTTTCAATATTCAATATGTTCAAAAATCAATTATTAATGATAATAATCTAATAAAGTACGAAAGCAAAGCAAAAATATTGGTTTATTAGTCTTATCTTTTTTTTCTCACAGTTTTCTGTTCTTACCAATAAGTTCAAGTTTTCTTCTTTTTTTAACGCTTTATGTACTGTCGTTTCCCACAATTGCCTGTGAGTAATTAGTCTAGACAGGCGTCTAGTATGCTTTACCAAACCTCTAGTCACATATTGATAAAACGGTTAAGATCTAGCCTTTTCATCATCAATGTCTAATTTTTTTGCAAAAATATTAATCTTCTATTTATACGGAAATTCTGTGTTTAGATATTGTTGCTTATTCCATCTGTTATAAACACATATTGTAAGAGCTCAATCTTGTCAATTGAGATGTTTCTAAAGGAATGTCAATCAATGATTCTTCTACTTCACCTGTTGCTTTAATGACTCGATTCAAAATGTGAGCTGTTAATTATTGTGGGCATAACATAAATTATTCTAACTCAAGGTTAATTATCTGTTTTACTTAAATATTTGAGGAATGGTCATAATTCTAGAACAACTGTTAAGGTCATTATTTTTGCAAATTGCCTCTCCACTTGAGAATGTAGTAAGTAAGAACACGTCCAATAACAAGAGTTATTATGAGTGCATAAATGGATCTAGAAAAATGGGAATCATCTAAATCATAATAGGCCATTGCTCCAGATTGGTTCTCATCATTGAACCAACGTCCACCAATACCATGTAAGATATTACGAGTCAAGTCATTTGTTTGGTTTTTCAATCTTAAGTCTTCTGGTTCATCATTACTTTCAGCAAGTGCAAATCGAGCCATCCTGAACATTGTATTCAAGAAAAATCCCAACTGATTACGAGCATTGACCATTGCTCGAGTTAGCTTAGGGTCACATCTATTAGACAAGAAACAGGAGAAAGGTAATCGTGAATAAACTCGGTTTTGTGACATTATTACATAACAGTAGATAGTAATCGTTATTTCAGGGGTTACCTCATTTTATTTCAATGGAAATGATAGATTCTATTTTCTCACTGCAATCAATGCCAAATAATAATGAAGATAATGCGGAAAACATTAATGTAAGGTCTGATTAAAATTGATTATTTAATATTTTTCTATTTCCAAGACAATTCCAATCACAAATATGTTAATATTTAAGGTTGGTCTTATTTTTAAGTCTCGTAACCAACTATAGCAGGTAATGTTACTCACTGGGTAAAGATTGAGGTTTCTCAGTTGATTTTAAACTGATCACGGAAACATGATAAACTATTGATTATCATGCAGATTTAAAATCATAGAACTAACATCATTGTCCTTGAATTTAATTGTCATAACTCTTATAATAATTGAGACATAAAATCATGTCAAAAATATAAGTAACTTAAACAGGCAAATACAAAAACTGATTTGAATCCTGAACAACCATTTAAGTTTGGTAAGATAGACGTGAATAATCAATTATTAACTACACTTAAAATCATAACAAAAATCGATTTTACATTTGAGTACGCTAGAACTCAGATATAAATCAGACAAATTTAATAAAAATGTAATACTTATTGAAATTAAATACACTTTGAAAGCCTAAGGCAAAAACCTTTCATAGTAAAGTTACAATTTTCAGCAAAATTGTTATTTTTGAGCATAATATGAATAAATTATTTACCTGTTAAAACCAAACATCGCAGTCATGAATCCTTCAAAACCAAACCGTAAATATGAACAATAAGAAGCATAACGGAAAATAATTGGCATAGCCTTTTGACGAATAAAGAAACCAGAGAAAAGAATGAGTGGGACTGTTGTATTTGGAGCTGTAAACACCGAGGCGACAATATTATTCATGAGAAAAGCACCACACATAATCCCATGAGTTTGTGCGACTATAGAGACAAGGAAATAGACTAGAAGTGTATCAAAATATCTGGACCAGGGTTGACTAGTGAGAAGGAATTGTAGCGTTACAACAACCAAGTTGGTTCCCATGATGAATGGTACCTCGGCTATTCCTTTAGCCATGTAATATGAGCTTGTCTTGTACCAGCCGTTGTACCTTTCTTTAGCAAATATTTTAATCTCCATTGGAATAGCAACAGCCATTGGCATTAGATTAGCAAGACAAGAGTAGAGTAATAAGAAATACAATGATCCAATGTTATCTTGAGTTGATCTTACTTGCTCCTCTATGGCGTCTTTAACTTCATCTATGTGATCCAAGTCAGCTTTACCACTTATATCTGGTGTACAGCCATCGTAAACGCCGATACCTCTATAAAGTGTTCCAAGGGTTAATGCTATGTTAAAAGCAAACACGAAACGTAATACACCTAATAAGGGATCACGAACCATTACCAAGAATTGTCTTGATAAAAGGATTAAAAAGTGTTGAGTAAATGGAGCAACTGGACGAACACGACATGCATTTAGTGATGATAAATCTTCTGATTCTTCAATTGGTGATAATTTGGTCACTTCTCCACCATGTGAATTGATTAATGGTAGTGAACGAGCTAACCAAGTTGGCCCGGAATTTGAATTGTTTTGACTGTTGTCCACATTGGCTGCCATTGAGTGTATAACCTCAGTTCCATAATCACCTGACGCTACTTCAACAAGCAAATCAGCTGGATTATAAAATTGTGAACAGTTAATGTTAACCAGACCCAGTGCTGCAACAACACCATCAGGTGAACCCTCGTAAATAAATTTACCAATCCGGGATAACATGTAAACCTTGTGAAACATGTTGAACACCTTTGCCGAGGGCTGATGAATGGTCATAACAATAGCAATGGGTGATGATGAGGTTAAATCAGACAACATTTCCATTAATTGATAACACGTTGATGAATCCAAGCCAGATGTTGGCTCATCCATGATCAATATGTCCGGACGAGAAACCAGTTCCTGAGCAATGGACACTCGTTTCAATTGGCCTCCACTGATTCGCTCAATTTTCGTGTCTGCACAAGTATCTAGGTTAAGCTGGCGAAGTATCGATTCAACAATATTCATGTGATCAGTTTTGTTCAGATTTGTTTTAACACCGTTTATTTTACGTGAATGTTGAAGCTCTGAAGCATACATCAAAGCTTCCCGGACAGTTAACAACCCATACAGATGGTCATGTTGCGGAATGAACGCAATGGATATTTTGTCACGACCAACACACCTTATTTTACCCTCTAAACCCTTTATCCTCATTCCAGCGATACACTCAAGTAAAGTAGATTTACCAGCACCACTTGGACCCATAAGGGCAGTCAACATGCCACCAGAAAATGATCCCTGAACTGATCGTAAGATGGTCCGTGAATCTGTAGTATACTTAATCCCACGTATTTTGTTGATTACCTTTTCAAAAGTGGACATTTTCACACGATAAGTCAATTGGTTCCAAGAAATTGTAAAGCTTTTCGATTCTTCCATCGAAACTTCAATGGTTCCTGAATGATTTTGTGGTGCGTAATGATGATCAGCGGTATCATTGGCTGTTCCATTGATTAAACCATTTGTTGAACCCTTGTCTGGTGTTATCTTTAACACGTCAAATATTCTTGGTGAGGTCATCTTATTGCTTTCACGCTCATTAATAATGTTATTCCTTTCAACTTGATTAATTTGGTCGTTTTCCTCTTCGTTCACGTCACAGTTAATATGGGATTCAATATCGCCCTCACCAGATGAATTAATTTCTTCCTTTTCGTCTGGAGTTTCAATTTTTGTCAACGTACTGTCGACTGATTCAGGAACAATACTTGTCATAATTGCTCAAAAAACTGGCCAGCGTTACTGTTTCATTTTCATTTGACAAAATTATCAGAAGGTTAACATTGTTTAGACTTTCGTTTGTCTGTTTCATTGATTTCAAAAATCGATTCCCTAAATTATTATTCAACGTATTTTGCTTTTTTGATCAACTCAAATTTTATTTGCTTTAACTAAGTTTTCATTTGACATGATCATTTCAAAAGAAGACAAGAAAATAATCATTAAATCATTAAATTGATGAACACGGGAAAAGGGGAAAATCAAGCGAAGGTTAAAAGATATTAGAATGAGTTTCAATCTTTTAAAAGCTCAGATCAGCTTGAAGCCAGCGTATTCTGAGCGAGCGTTTGGTGTTTCAATATGTTAGACTCAAAAAGATTCAAAAAGGTATTTTCAAGTTTGTTTTACACTTTAAGTACCTAAAAAGAGGTTTAAAAACGCCTATTGATTGATTTTGCCAAGTTTGAAAGTGATACGTTTTGTGATTCTTGAGTTACATCGGTGCAAATGTGGATTTTTGGTCCATGGTCTTCGCTTCGCTCAAACTAAATATCAATCTTTTATCAATACAAACATTCTGTGGTTAGGTGTTGTTGTTGATTCCATCTGTTATAATAGCTATCATGAGAGGTCTATCTTGTCAATTGGATCGAGTTGAGATCAATCAACAACTCTACTACTTCATCTGTTGTTTGATGAGTTGATTAAAATGTGAGCTGTTAATTATTATGGACATGGCATAATTATTCCGACTCAAGGTTATCTATCTGCTTTAATGAAGCATTTATCATTATTTTATTAACATATAAACTCATTGGTTTTCAAGGATAATTGATTAACAATCAACGCCAATTTCAAATTGTTACATTCTTAAGCTTTTAACATAAGGATGCGGCAAGTAACAATTTAAACAATGTATTAATAAGTCTTCAATTTTTGTATCATTTTTAAATCGTCAAGCGACTTCTACTTGATATTTTTACCCATTAAATCTAACTGATTATTGATAGGAATTGATAAATGTTGAACTTTTTTTATTAAATTTGAAAGTTTGTTTCGTTATTTTGAGTTTCAATCATCAAACCCTATCCGATAAAATCAATAGTTACACAAATAGACATTCACAATGTAGCAAGGAAATTCAAATAAGCAATCAATAGATTCACTTGTAATTTGAATTTAAACTGTTGCTTGTTGACTCAGTAGGGGATCAATCAATAGATAAACTTTTCTCGACAGGATAATAATCTTGAATGGTGATGGGAATCACCATTCAAGCATTTATTGATCTAAATACATGATTAAGTCACGTTTAATTTCAATTACAAATGACAAATTAAACTGGCGAATTAAGGCAAAAATTATCTGAGGACCATTTTAAAATGAAACTGTAAATGTCACCTTGCTACATTTATTGGGACCGTTTTAAGTCATAAATCATCTTTTTTTATCCGAATCAATGATAATTTGAATTAGTTATCTTCTTTGAAAGTCAATCTTTCTCTATCACTTCCACCACTACTTTCACTATTCAAAACCATGGAAACATGATTAGTTAAACATGTATATAAAAAGATGAAGTAAAGGTGTCTATTCTAGTTAATTAAAGGCACTTGTGGTAAGAAGAATCCCCAGTTCTGTTAACTGCTTCTTGATAATTGTCTGATAAAGTTTGAAGGATAAAACAGAATAATCTAGAACCGTTAAAGCTCATTCTCAGTAAGTTTCAACTTTTCATTTACACTGTGAATAGCAGCAAATCTGTATATCTTTTGTTGATTTCATTAATTTTCATTATTAATTTTATTCTCTTTCTAGATATAAACTCATCGTAAACATGGTTGTAGCAGAAAAGGCAACGAAATGGACTTTATCTGATGGAAATCAGATTCCTGTTTTTGGTTTAGGAACCTGGAAATCTAAGCCTGGTGAAGTGAAAAACGCTGTTAAGTTTGCTTTATTGGAAGCTGGATATCGCCATATTGATTGTGCTTTGGTTTACCAAAATGAAGACGAAGTTGGCCAAGCTTTGAAGGAAGTGTTTGGATCCGGTGCTTTAAAACGTGAAGATGTTTTCATTACATCTAAATGTTGGAACTCGTATCACTCTCGAGCTAAAGTAACTGAATGCTGTAAACAATCTTTGAAAAATCTTGGTCTTGATTACCTCGATTTGTATCTAGTCCATTGGCCAATGGGTATTCAAGAAGGAGGTGAATTGTTTCCAAAAGATGCTGAAGGAAATATTATTCCTTCTGATGTTGACTATCTTGAAACATGGAAAGGTATGGAAGATGTTCACAAAGCTGGATTAGCCAAGTCTATTGGTATTTCAAACTTCAACTCTGAACAAATCAAACGAATTCTCGACAATTGTGAAATCAAACCAGTGATGAACCAAATTGAAATTCATCCTTACTTGACTCAGGAACCATTGATTGATTTTTGCCGCAAAAACGGAATTGCTGTTACAGCATACAGTCCACTGGGTTCACCTGATAGACCATGGGCTCAACCAGGGGAGCCATCACTTCTTGATGACCCTAAAGTCAAGGAGATTGCCCAGAAACATGGCAAAACATCAGCTCAAGTTTTGCTTCGATATGCTAATCAACGTGGTCTAATTGTTATTCCCAAAAGTGTCACTACTAGTCGAATTGCAGAGAATATTAATATTTTCGATTTCAAATTGGCTCCAGAAGAAATCGCTACAATCAATAGTTTCAACCGTAATTGGAGAGCAGTTCCAATCTCTACCTATTCTGCCCATCCTTACTATCCATTTTCAATTCCATTTTAAGTGTTGAAGCACAAATTTTATATGAATCAACGTTAAGAAAACTTAATTGCTTGGTTAATCGTTGTTTTAAAATGCTAATGTAAACACAAATTCAATAAAAATCTTTAAATCAAAGACGTTCAATATTTCTCAATCCTTAATGTCATCAGTAACTCTAGTAGCATCTTCAATAGTTGCTCGGCAAGAATTGATAAATGTTACCAGTTTCTATTGAATATGTAAGTCTCTTATTTTGAGTTGAAACCATCAAAACTTATTAAATGAAATAAATCAATAATCACACAAATATATTACATTATAATATATTCACAATGTAGCAAGGAAATTGAAATAAGCAATAGATTCTCTCATGATTTGATTTCAACTGTTGTTGACTCAATCAAAAGAGAAACTTTTCTCATCATGACAATAATCTTGAATGGCGATGAGAATCATAAATTCATTGTTTCAATGTTTCTGATTTAAATGTTTCTGTCACTTTTAATCTGACTTGTATTATAAAAAATGTCTAGCAATCCACTTTTTCAAGTAACATTTAAAGTATTTCTACAAATTGGCTCAAGTTAAAGTTATGGGATAAAATGCTTATTAAGAGAGATTCTTATATCTGATTGATTATGATTAGTAGATGGAAACGTTTAAGAAGTGCCTTGCGAAATTAATTTTGATAAAATAACTTCTATTTAACCAAATGATCATAAAGGTAAATTACCCTCATTTACTATAATAATTTCACCATGAAGATTATTATATTCTGTGCCTGTTTGATAACCTTTGTTCTGTGTCAAAAACGGGCCATTTTAAGTCCAGATATTGATCCTTTATCTGATTTAATGGTAAACAAAATAAACTCTCTAAACACAACATGGAAAGTAAGTTAATCTCAACCAAATCAATAGCTAAGACGTGGATTTTGTTATCGCCAAATTTACTAATCACAATATTTATTTGTATTTAGGCTGGTAAAAACTTCGATGGTTATACAATTGATGAAATTGCTAAGTTATGTGGCGTTAAAAGATTGGAAAGATCAAGTGATGAGTTTGGCAGGATTGAAGTTGAGGTTGAACCTTATATACCAAAAACTTTTGATGCTCGAAGTGCTTGGCCTCATTGTCCTTCAATCTCATTTATTCGTGATCAAGGAGGCTGTGGATCGTGTTGGGCTTTTGGGTCAGCCGAAGCAATGTCTGATCGAACCTGTATCAAGTCAAATGGAAGAGTCAAAGTTATATTGTCTCCTGAGGATATTTTATCTTGTTGCATTGATTGTGGTTATGGTTGTAATGGTGGCTACATTGAGGCAGCATATCAATATTGGGTTGAAGAAGGTGTTGTCACTGGTGGTTTATTCAATGGTACTGGTTGTAAACCTTATAAAATTGCTCCATGTGAACATCATGCAATCGGACCAAGACCTAACTGTACCGATGAAATAACTCCTGCATGTGAAGTCCAATGCCAATCCAACTACCGTAAAACCTATCTTGAAGATAAACATTACGGTTTGAACAGCTATAAAATTGTGGCAAATGTATCTCAAATTCAATCGGAAATTTTAAGAAATGGTCCAGTTACAGCTGGTTACATAGTTTATAGCGATTTTGCTAACTACAAATCAGGTAAGTATTTAGCATCTATCGACAATGATTTAAAAACTGTTTATGTTTCTTCCCTTAGGAGTCTATCAGCGACACTCTAATGTCACTTTAGGCGGCCACGCAGTCAGGATTTTAGGTTGGGGAATTGAGACAGGTGTACCATATTGGCTTGTTGCTAATTCCTGGAATACTGATTGGGGGGATAAAGGTACATCAAATCAATTTATCAATCAATTTATCCAAAAAAGGAAATTATATTTATCTCTGTATTTGTATCAATCTTTGTAGGTTACTTCAAGATACGTCGTGGTGTCAATGAATGTGGCATTGAGGATCACATTGTAGCTGGAATACCTAAAAATTGATGGAAACTGGGTTTAATCATTTCAAGCTATATCAGCAATTCAAAATATTATCTACCGAGGATTTTGGTTTTGTTGATTCTGGTCGAAAAGGTTAAGCAAAATGACAAAATTTCACTTTTATTTGTGAATTATTGGCCAAAAGCTAACAAATAATTGTAACAAAAGATGAAAAATTAAAAGCATACATAATCAAATTCAATTGACTCTGCAGATACACATAATTCTTGTATTTCAATGCATGAAAATGTAAATTTTTTATTACTGTATTATGATAAACAGATGAAGAATTGTAATTCCGTTTTTTTCAAGTTAAAGTCCGATGAAAATAGCTCTTGGTTTAAATAATCGATGTGGTAAAAAATTTGATCTCAACTGATGAAGTTTTTGAAGAGACCTCCAAGGTTACCTTGAGTTCTTAGCAACTGACAGTCTGCCTATGCTTGGAAATCATACTCTGCTTGAAGTCTGTTTTGTTAAGTGAATTTCTGTTTAAATCATGTTTAAGTTAACTAATTTAGTTAAATCTAATGTCCTAAGTGGGTAAGATGTCATTATAATTTAATTTCATCCTTTGTCAAATGTTAAATAATTCGTGAATCCTAATAACACCTGAGTAATTTATTATATGCAGGCTTGTTCGTAATGGATTTACTCAAACTTCAAGTGGTGTACACAAATTACCTGATTTACCATATGATTTCAATGCCTTGGAACCAACCATTTCTGCTGAAATAATGCAATTACATTATACCAAACATCATGCTGCTTACGTTACTAATTTGAACATCGCCGAAGAGAAACTCGCAGAGGCTTTATCAAAGAATGATGTTGCTACTGCCATCAGTTTGGGACCGGCTTTACGATTCAATGGTGGCGGACATATTAATCATTCGATCTTTTGGCAAAATTTATCACCAAATGGAGGTGGACAGCCTGAAGGTCTTTTATTGGATTCAATCAAGTCATCCTTTGGATCATTTGATAACCTTAAATCACTTATGAACGCTGCTGCTGTCGGTGTTCAAGGCTCTGGCTGGGCTTGGTTAGGCTATAATCCAGTCAACAAAAACCTTCAAGTCGCCTCTTGTCCAAATCAAGATCCTCTTCAAGCAACAACTGGTTTGTATTATACTGAATCCAAATCAAGCTAAATTTAGCATTTGAAGTTATAAAGAGTTTTTTGATTAATTTTGCATTCGCTTTCTCATTAAATCCTATAGGTTTGATTCCTCTGCTCGGTATCGATGTTTGGGAACATGCTTATTATTTGCAATACAAAAATGTGAGACCTGATTATGTTAAAGCAATCTGGAATGTAATCAATTGGAGAGATGTTGGTGATAGATTATCAAAAGTCAAAGCATAAAATATTTTACTAAATACACAGCCAAAAATATTATTCTGAAAAAGGCTCTTTGTTTCTAGCAATTTTTGGATCCATGAATTCATAGAATTTAAAATCTATTGAAACGTAAAATCTATAAAAACGTTGTAAATGCCAAGAAAATCTAGAAGATGATCTAATTTAGATTTAAATCCATTGGTTAAATAAATGATCGTTCAATTTTATTTTAAGCCCTTTTCATTTTTGAAGTTTACTCATTCTTTTCTATTTGACATGTAGGTTAGTAAATTGAAAACATTAATTTGAAAAAATAAAAAATTTAATAAGAAGTGACGTTTAAATGCATAAATATCTTCATAGAATTATAAAGAGTTGAGCAAATTCAGTATTTTACAATAAGGTGCGAATTGATCGAGATGCATGGAAAACGATGATTTTTAGGCAAGTCTATATTGGCCATTGCTAAAGACTAACTTATGTTCTTTAACTTTTGTTTCGAGGAAGTTTCGAAGTTGCTGGATGGTTAAAGGTTGCTCACTTGATCCATTTGGACAAGCAAACATGTTAAACATTGATCTTATCCTCTCAAGAGAAAGTGAATTTAAATTGGTCAACATATTTTCAATGAATTGCCAATAAACTTTATGTTTGTTTTCTCCAACATCTTGTCCACTAGCAGATCCAGCATTATTTGACTCTTGTAATGATTCATCTTCATAATCCTCGTCATCATCACTTTCACTGAGAAGGAATTCACTTTGAGCTATACACGATTGAGTTTGGTTGTCAATTAAAACAAAACGATCGCCTGAAAGTTCTCTGATGATTCCTTTGTTTTGCCAGAAGCTTATTTTTCTTCTCAGTAAAGCCGTAGAAACTGAAAGACTTTGACTAAGCTCGGATAGATTCCAAGATTCTTTTTCTTGAAATTGCCAAATAATGGCAGCATGAATCGGCGACACAGTGAACGATTGTTTCTTATCTGGTGAACCAAAATCTAATTCGAGATCGACTGATCCTAAAGGAGGTAACCAGTTCAACGTACGACTTCCTTTGATAGTTTCGAAAGCTTGAGTATACGTTTTTATCGACTCTTGAACCGGAGGCGGCAGTTTTAGCTTATTAGCTTCTTCATTTGGATTCAATCCTAATTTATCGGGCCAAAATTGAGCAGACAAAATAAGACATTTAATTGGAAAATGAGTCCAGTGATGTGCTTCGATTTCACCAGCATTTATTCGATTGTCTATTCTTTTGGAAGATGAAATATCTTGAAGCATAACTTCACAAGAGTGTAAATCAGATTCACCGAAACGAAGAGTTAAAAGTTCAAGATTTCTCCTTTCGTGATCTACGTTACATTCAAAATTGTGCAAAAACCTTTGAGCTAATAGTCTTTGATATTCCTCAACAAAAAGATCTTTACTTTCATAAACATTCACCAAAATGCTAACAATGTCAAACTGACGGACTGATTTAGAGCGACCAAGACTACCAGCATCTACTGGATCTGGTTTCCAAGATTTCCAATTTTTACCAATTAATTCGTCATCAGTCATGGTGGCTACGTCGTCAATTGTTTGAGAAACATCCTTAGCAAGCTCGGGCACAAGTTCAGAACTTTCATCAGTTAAAGCTGTGATGATACATCGCACAGTATCTTCACGACTTTTGAGATATTTTTTGATTGGATCACAAACTATTTCCAAAATGACACCACTTGGGTCAAGAACCTTAAGAGCTTTGATCGTTTGTATGTATGCCGTGAGAATATCATTTGTAGTAACTCCCGGATGAAGAAGACGAGCTTCGAATGAATCTTTTATAGAATTGATAACTTTAGTACGAGTTCCATGGCATTTTCCGAGACATTCTTTCAAGTCTTCAAGAGCAGGTTCTGAGTCAGGATATTCGATGATTATATCAAACATTTGGCTTGTTCTCATTTGAGCATAAGTTTCATGCATAAAATGCATTAATCTTTCATCGGATGCCTTGGTTATTAAAGCTTGATTATCACCAAAAACTAATCGACGCCATTTAAAAATTACATTACGGATCCAAACTTCTAATTTTTTGAGAAACGATTCCTCAAAACTCTTTTTACACTTTTCAATAACATATGCCTCGATATGATTATGGATAACTGAGGCGACAGCATCACCACTGATTTCGTCTAACAGGTCTAAATCTCGTAGAGCGTCATTCATTTCAATAAATAATTTCATTATGAATTGACAATGACATGTTCTGTCATCATCGCCATCATCCATTCGGTTTTCGTCAGTTGATAGAATCATATCTTTATAACTAGAAGAATCAACTGAAGACAGAATTTCTTTGCAAATCATGCATTCTCCTTCTAGATTACCACTTGAGTCCATCTCTTGACTTTCATCTTTATCAGAATTTTCATCCAAAGAAAAAGGATTGAGTGATTTTGAAACTTTAAATCCATAAGTATAAACAGTTAAGATGTAAGCGTTGAAGATTTGTTCAATTTTGAAGAAAAGTAACGATTTAATTAAGTATTTCATCTTTTTGCGAAAATCATCTAGAGTATCACATTGATTAACAAACAATCCTCGAATTAATTGGTTATCCAACCAAAGACCACACGAAGTATGAAGATATTTGAAAGCATCAAAAACTTGAAATAAAGAACACGGCTCAGTTTCATCTTCAGACGCTTTTTTAAAATGCGCCCAAAACGATGGACAAATGTTTGTCAATATGTGATCACGGAAAGACGATAAATACCATTCTTGAGAAATTTGTAAAAGCCCATTGATTGAAATTATCCTAATTGCTTCATCAACTTCTTTCTTGTTAAAATCTGCCTGTCCAAACCAAGAAGGAGTTTTTGTTATTAGATTCCACGCTTGATCTAGAGAGGAGGTCATTTTCAGAACGAACAGACAACGTCAATTAATTGTAAATAAACGTTTAAAAATTTCAAAGGAATAATCGATGATTCACTTAATTGTTCTTTTTCTGAATTTACTTGATATAACAACTTTGTATTAAATTAAGCTTTGTTTTTTTCCGTTAGCACTAAAATATCAGCTGACAGTAAGTATAATGCCTAGCAAATGCAGCGCCAAATACAAGCAGATAAAAAAATTATTTGAGTAATTTAAGCATTTCTAACCTTCTAACATTGATTTATCAGTTATTTGATGTAATAATTCATATCGAGAAATCACTGAACGTAAGATTTTGATATTAGTTCTTTCAATTAAATCTTTTTACTTTTTGACTAATGTCAGTTGATGCAAGAAAATTTGCTTTTAATGCAAGTTGATGTAACCTAGCAACAATTCATAGGAATTGCACATTTTTTGTGTTTATGCTTTCAACTTGATATTATCAAGTGTTCAAATTGATCTGTAAAGTATAATCTTCTGTCAATTCAATGACCAAATTACTTCAACGAGGATGTCTTTTTTTCCAAAAATATCCGTATTTTAGGCAACCTATTCGTTTTAAAAACTCTGTTTCCTCAGATTCATCAGCCTCTGAAAACTCCGGTACATTAAACAAACTCAAGCTTTCAGAACCAATACCAGGTGGGTAATTTTCATCAACTTGTTTTTCTTGGGATACTGTTTTTAACTTGTATTTGAAATTTCTAGATTTTCCAAAAATCATTTATCCACCTGCTAGAGATGAAGCTAATGAAACAAAAGTAACTACACTTGAAAATGGTCTGCGAGTCGCTTCTCAGCCGAGATTTGGACAATTCTGTACTGTTGGTGTGATAATTAATTCGGGATCTAGATATGAAAGCAACATACATTCTGGAGTTTCACATTTCTTGGAAAAGTTATCATTTCAATCAACTGCTAGTTATGGCTCTAGAGAAGCGATCTGGAGAGACTTGGAGAAACATGGAGGTATCTGTGATTGTCAAGGATCAAGGGATACTTTGATTTATGCAGCATCCATCGACTCACGTGGTTTAGATGCAGCATTAAAAATTATTTCAGAAGCTGTTTACTCTCCAAATATACTGGATAATGAATTAGAAGCAGCCAGACAAACTATTCAATTTGAATTGCAAGATCATGCAATGAGACCAGATCAAGAACAAACTCTGCTAGAATTAATACATAAAGCAGCATTTGACGCAAATACTTTAGGACTACCCAGACTCTGTCCTCCCGAAAATCTTGATAAAATCACCAAAGACGTATTAATGTCTTATATCAAAACTTACCACACGCCAGATCGTATAGTTTTAGCTGGTGTTGGAGTTGATCATGACAAGTTCGTTGACTTGGCTCACAAATATTTTGTCGATACTAAACCTGTATGGGAAACCGATGAACATATTATCCAGCTTAAAAAAATTGAGCTGGACCAATCTATGGCTCAGTATACGGGTGGACTCGCAACTTTAAACCGTGATTTGTCTACCGTTAATCAAGGTTTTGCTGATCTTCCAGAATTAGCACATATAGTTTTGGGATTTGAAAGCTGTTCTCATCAATTGATGGAAGACTTTATTCCAATTTGTGTTCTTAACATGATGATGGGTGGTGGAGGCTCTTTTTCAGCCGGCGGACCAGGTAAAGGAATGTATACAAGACTCTATACAAATGTTCTTAATCGACACCATTGGATGTTTAACGCCACTGCTTACAATCATGCTTATAGCGATGCAGGTGTATTCTGCATCCATGCTAGCTCGCACCCTTCCCAACTCAGGGAATTAGTTAACGTAATTGTAAACGAGTCCATTGGAATGACATCAAGAATTTCTCCAACAGAACTAAAAAGAGCTAAAACACAATTACAGTCGATGCTGCTTATGAATCTTGAAGCTCGCCCTGTTGTATTCGAAGACATAGCCCGACAAGTGCTGGCAAATGGACATCGAAGACCACCTCATTTCTTTATTGATGCAATTAATAATGTCACCGAAGATGATATATTTAGAGTTGCAGATCGTATGCTAAAAAGTAAAGTTTCTTTAGCAGCTTTAGGAAACCTTAAATTGTTACCATCTATAAAAGATGTTGAATCAGCATTGATAAACAAAGATAGCGGATTGTTTAAGCGGTTCTCAGTGTTCTCTTAACTTTTCATGTTTTTCTTGTTTAATAATTGTTCATAGAATTAAAAGATTAATTCAATTAAAAAGAATTTCTTGTATATTATTCACTATTTGATGGTCAGGGGATCATCGAACCGTCGATAGAGCAGCTTTTCGAACCGTCGATAGAGCAGCTTTTGCCGATTTTCGTCATGGAAATCTGAGCTTCAAGATTCAACGAAAATGCTTGCTCCAAATCCCATCATTTAATTTTAATAAGTTAGATTAAATCTAGGGCTTGGTTCTCGCATATTCAATCTTGTATGAATTAAATGCAATTCAAAGGTTGTTTAACTCATATGGCGCTTCATCATGACCCTTTAATCAAGAGATATGCAAGGAAAAAATCAACATTTCATGGGCTTTACAAAATATAATCAACAAGAGATGTGAATGGTTAATTTGAACATAAACACAGAAATGTGATGATCTACCAGAAATTAATCTAAAAATCTAAAAATGATTATGCTCTTCATGGTTACAAGAGATTGGCAATTTGAATTAAAAAATAAAAGGTCAAATAAATGTTGTCATTGCTTGCGATTTCGGGCTATAGAGAAGATTCAATTTGGTTGGAGATAACATTTAAAGTTGAAAAAAATTAGAAAATTTGAATCAGGAAATGATGAAAAAAATTAGATCGTCCTCAGTTCATATTTAAATTAATTTACAATGACTTCGATGTTTCTCTTATAAACAGGGCTCAACATAGTTTCCAGGAAATAAACCAGTTATTCCATCCATTACTCCTTCATACCAACCATCTTCATTCTTTTTGATCACGTAAATGACAGAATTTTCAGAAAATGATAATTCATCATCTCTTGCAGCAATGTAATCATAAACAGCAATAACTAAAAAATTAAGAAAAAAGATTTTAACAAAATGAACGATAACTTGTTAGCGTAATGGTCTCACCTTTCTCTAGATAACTTTTAGGAACCCAATCGTTAGGATCGATCGAATCGTGATTATACATGGCCTCGTCAATTGGAGGAGGTGGAGGAAGAGGAGGTGACACTGAAAAGATAATAAATGATTAAACAAAATTTTTTGATAAAATAGTGCAGATATATTCTGATGCGAAAATTCAATCTACTATGAAGTTTAGATAGGAACTCAATCCAACGTGAATGGTGAGTCAAAATCCTAATATTTTGGGTATTCTTAATATAATTAGACCCACTAAAAAATTCTATAGGATCGACAAAAAATGCCAACATTCGTACCGTTTCCAGAATTTGACGTCTGGTGCATCAATGGTGGAGGCTCAGGCAAGGAATCGCGGTTGGAAGCCATATCTTGAGAGACAGGAGGAGGAGGTGGAAGAGGTGGAGTTGGAGAAGGTGGCACAATTCCCTGTAGATGAAAGAAAAAATGAGTTGTGATGCAATAGATAAGATTGAAACGAGATGAATGACGAATCGATGATTTACCATTGGTCTCTCTTGATAAATTCTCCTTTGCATAGTATTCTAAAAGGGAGGAGGAATGATATCATTAATCATAAACATAGATTTTGTTGAGCTAGCTGCATATTAGATAATCCTAAGGAAATGGACTATTAGAATTATCAAGGAGAGATGATAGATAGTAATTGTCAAGTGATTCAAATAATATTAATCTTTTCAGATTTTTGAACAAAATCTTGTCAACGAAAAATGAAACAGAAATGTCTAATAGGTTGATATTTACTAATAAATGAGAGATGGTGAACAAAAGCAAAATATTTAAAATGCTAACCTGTTGTGAATTGGGTTGTGGAGGTTGACTATATGTTGCGGTTTGTTGATAAGTTTGTTCACCGGGTTTCTGTTGTAGAAGAAGATGTTGAGCCTGAGATGGATGAACAGATTGGTGTAATTGTTGTTGATATTGGTCTTGAATTTGCATTGCTTGCATTGCAGCTGAAATTTGTCCTCCTGAATGGGCCATATTGACTGGAAGAGTTGAATAACCACTACCTCTTCTCGCACTGTCAGGACCTTTGGGGTGACCAATTGGATAATTTGGAGCATAATTACTTGGAACTTGTGGAGGGGCGACAGGAGGAGCGGGAGTTCGATATTCTTTAGATGATCTTGACAAACTTCCACTACCTCGTAGAGTTCCAGGTGGTGTGGGTGGTTTTGTGGTAGGTGCAGTACCTGCTCTACCTAATGTCATAGAATTGGATCCATTTAATTGGTTTGAGCCTGACATACGTTTGGTTCTTGGAGCATTAGAAACAATCTTAACTCCATGACCAATATCATCCAAAATTGAATAATCAATTGGTTTCCTTGTATATTTTACTGGTCTTTCAGGATTGGCTGGAACCAATATTTTATGTTGACGGTAAGTTGCCTTGTTAACTGTTAAAACTCCGATTTCTCGTCTTGCAACTTTTTCCTTGTGAATGTTTACCGTCTGGTTAATATGGTTAATTTGAGATTCCATCTCTGCTAACTGTGACCCTTGAAGATCCAGCATATGAATTAAATTATAAGCCAGAGTATTTATCTGATAAGCTACACTAGCCAAAGATTGAGTAGTATAATTTTTGGTCTCCTCAAGAGCAGCTCTTTTATCTTCGGCCTACGAGTTGCAAAAGACAGAAACATCATATGAGTAAATTAGAGATACAAAAGTGGATTACGAAGGCACCAGAAAAAGGCCACTAGAATTCAAAATATTCAACTCACTCTGAAATAATTATCTTCACAGTATTTGGCAACTAATTCAAGATTGGAATGGTTGTCTTGAAGATTCTGCCTCCCTTCAGGAATATCATTTTGGATCAATTCGAAGAGATCACTCATGGTTGATCGTATTCCTGATCGCACCAATGAATTAATCAGCCGAAAATTAAACTATAAAAAATAACTGTAAACTACAATCAAAAAAACTAACAAATAATCTAAAAACCAACAAATTTTATATGCATAAGCATAAACAAATAGTTGGGGCGGAAAAGGATTACAAACAATTCCATCTAGTGTTGGTTACAAAAGTTTACACCTAATTGGCGGTACAGTCAACCTTATGTTTATATTAAATGTTTTAATAAATGAAAAATGTAGTTTTTTTTTGTTTTTAATTTTCATTTATCAAGTTGTATTCAGCTTCTGCAAAATGTCCTTTTACAATTTGTCAATAATTTAATAATTGAACTTTTTTCTTTGGGTATTATTTTATTCATCTTGATGGTCTCTTCTATTGCTATTATTTTGTCGACTCTAATACGACCATAATTAAGTGCGTTTGACTTTTCTTGATTAATTAATATGGCTAAGGCTTTCATCACTCTAGTTGTTACCTCGATTGTTTGTTCTGCCTTTATCTTATCTTTGTCAATGTTATCCCCATGAAAAATTCAAAGCACCATTCTAAATTGTATCCGTCCTGTTCACTTGTTTCACTGTCACCCTCCCCAAGCTCATCGGAGTCGGGATGATGTCATTGTAGGTTGAAGGTCGTTTCACTGATTCTTCAATTGTTAATTCATTCAATTGTTTAATTTTTTGAGCATTAAGTATAGTTGATCAACTAAAGTCCTTTTTTGCTTCAACAAGCTTGTCTCACCTTTCATATCTCATGTATCATATCTCAATATTAGGGCCCGTTTCAATATTGCAGTAAATTAATCAATTCAGCTCAATTGTCAAAATCACACAATTTACAAACATGTGACTGAAATTATGTTATAATTTATCAATTTTCCTCTAATTAAAAAGTTTATTCCAAGTAGTGTAGCATAAGAATAGATGAAAAATCGCTTTCAAATACGATATATTCGAAAGTCTTATAATAGGCTAAACTCATAAGTGATAATAAAAAAGTTGAATTTTTTTATATCAATGAATTACGAGGAAGATCTTTGAAAATCATTATTTCAGAGTTTAATAATAAACAATGAACAAATAAGACTTCGATGAAATCAGGTCAATGCTGAACTGTCAACTTGACACTGTCAGTTTAAAATAACAACAAAAATCACTTAGGTAACCATTTTAACAGCAGTTTATCCCGCTAACATTACCCGGACCCACCTTAAACAAAAATATTTTCAACGGAAGATAACTTCAAAATTTCTTGAATATAAAACAATTATTGATTATGTGAATTTTAAAGTAATTTTATCAATTTGCTGATTAATCCGTCCATAAGTAATGCCAAAGGATTATAGTTTAGGATAAATCGTCATCTAAAAAGAGTTTATTCAGTTGTGATCTGTTTGCTATTTACTTACATACCAAATATAGTTTCTTTATTTTATTAGATTTATGTTTTTGATTTTATATTAAATTTTCTATAATTTAAAAGGTTTCTAATCTATTAGAAAATTACATTCAGTGTTTATTTTCCTTAAAAGATCTATCATCATAATTTCCTGCCAGTCACAAGTTGAAAATGATGTTTTTAGTGAAAAGGTGTTTTGCTCCTTGTTTTACAGTTAAAAAGTCTAATTGTATTAGTCTAGAATGTGGTTCCAAATTGATTGCATTCTACACTGCCTTCCTTCATTTCGTGGTAATGTTTTATTGTGCTGATTTATTAAGAGGAGGAAGATCTGATGATGTTGCTTCACCTTTCTTTCATATGGACAAATCCATCAAACCGTTTGCAACATTTGGTATTATTTATTGTGTCTGCTTCATATTTTTTTCATTCCTGTTGTACCTTGGAATTAAAAAGGTAATTTTCTTCATTTCATGTTTTCTTGGGAATTTAAATTTTCTATATTAATTGAATTTACTTTTCTCTATTCAGGAAATAAGATTTCTGTATCTATTCTGGATAATTTGCACCCTAGTTGAGTTACTTGGAGTTTTCTTCACAGGTTTATTTCTCATCTATCGATACAGATATTTTGTAAGTATTTTCATAACAAAGTACTTGAAGATTATTCAAATTGCTTCAGTAATAACATCGTACTTTTCATTTTTTTTAATAGTCATATGCTATATATTCATTCTTCACACTCTGGATTTATGGAGGTTACCATTTTTACCTTTGGTGGGTGATTATCTCTCAGTATTATTATCTCAAGGTATTCCAGGAACCGACTTTCCTCGTTTTGTACACTTGATCAGCCATTATTTATCTGAAATCATGTTGGCCTAAGAATCTCTAACGACACTTGAAGTGAAGAAATAACTCATAATCAACTTTTCACATACACAATGTAATTTTGTTATATTAACTGCTCACAAAATTTGCACCTCATTTTAGAGATATCCATTAAAAGTATTATTGTAACTTATGCATGTTATGGAATTTGTCTTATATATTTTAACATATTTGCTAGTCTTACAATACAATTGGATAAATCAAAAATTTAACCAAATATTCACGGTTTTCCAGAATCTTGAAAAATGGAATCAAAGTTTTCATATCTTGACCCGATCAATAATATTATTTGATTGATTAGATTGATGCGTGGTTTATTTGACTGAGCGCTTGATTGTTTGAGTTATATCTTTAAAGTTGATTTCCTTTCAACCAATTATCTCATAAGAGACTGCATGACGATTCAATCTTTGACGAAGAGATGTATTTCGGAAAGCGAAAGCAGGAGTCAAACATCCTCCTTCAAATGGCATCTTTTTGCTTTCTTCTAAGACTGTTAAACCGGCCTGTATAAGGCAACGGGAAGTTGTTTCGTAACCGGGATCTGGTCCGAATATAAGACAACTTATAGTTTTGTTCGGAGGATGATCGTATTCATCACCTTTACATGGCGTATTCCAGCCTTTACCAACACACTGAAAGGTAAACGAAATATCTTCAAGTTGCCGTCGGGTAGGTCCTTCTTTGGAGAAATATCCAATTGTGAAGAATTTTGGATATTTGAGTAAAAGTTTGCGAGTGCAATTGAAATAGATGAGAAAATTGAAGTATAACATTCCAAGAGTCAAAATGATTGCATGATAAATTTTAGGTACCACAATATATTCCTCGAATTGTACGGGCTTTTCATTATGGTATTCATAAAACCATCTCTGGCTATTTGAAACAATATCACGATCACTGAGAGGAAGAGGTACACACCAACCTCCCAGTTCTTCATTCTTCCATGGTAAGAATTTAAGCTTTATTGGATATTTTGGACTCGGTGGGGTCTTAGTGAAAAGTTGACTTTGATATCTTTGTCTGACTTCCGTTAATTGATTAAGATAGGTGAAGGTTTCAACGAGAGAATGTAAAGATCCATAGTTTAGAGTAATACCATGTTTTCCTGGTTTAGATTTTAAAAATCCTTCCACTTGATTAAGCCTTCCAGGAGCAAATTTTTGTTTTAAATAATCAGTTCCGATTTCTGCTGGAATAGCATCATAACCACAAGATCCTATGATATAAACTCCAGCTCTACGAGCTGCTTCGTGATATTTTAATTGTATTCCTTCAAGATACTGTGGTTCACCAGAAATATCAACCATGTGAGTTTTTTTCTACAAAAAAAGGAATGAAAAGCAAATTAGAATATATTACAATTGATATCGATGATAAAAAAAATCGATCTAAATTTTATTACGACTCAATAGATATTGAAGCAACATCTTCATCACAATTAGATTATAAATTCATTGGAAACCTAGTGAACAAATAATAGCGAATAAGGTAATCTGTTTACTAAGTTCTGTAGCTTATAACAAAACGGTAACTGTGGACATAACTAGAGATAATGTGTTTAGAGAAGACAGCTCATGATAAGTGAAAATATAGATGAGGTACAGGTAAAAAAATCAGATTAAGAAATTTTGTGTCTGTAATTTCATTTACCTGAATACATGCTTTGACAACTTGTTCACCATAAAGAATATAAGGTCCGCAAGCATTGAGAATGACCCTTGTCTTTTTACACATCGACATTAAACTTTCCTCATTCTCAACATCAGCAATGATTAAGCCAATAGAGTCAAGATTTTTATCCAATTGGAGAGCAGTTTCTTTAACCAGTGATTCCAATTTAACTTTATTCCTTCCCGCTATGGCAACCCTCCGAGGAACCTTTTCAATCTCTTGCCAAAGAAGTAGGTTACGGAAAACGTATTTACCTGTGTAGCCGGTTGCACCAAACACTGTAAAATCATATTCCTTCCCGTCCATAATACACTGAGAATTATGAACAAACAATGAATTGCATAAAATAAATAAAAGCAAACTTTACAATTAATCAAGAAAAGTCATCGGAAAGCAATAGAAAAACAGAGCTTGATCATAAACAACAAGAAACAGGATTCGGATCTAGAAGTCGATAAGTATCTATCAACACACATGTTGTAGCTTCAACAGAACAAAATAGTATCAAATCTCGGTATCTGAAAATCATTCATTTAAAGAGCTTGAAATTGACATTATGAGTAAAAATTAGATTTTCATTATTTAATTGACAGATTGCTATCAAATGCCACCCAAACAATATTGATTAATCTTAATAACATCTTCAAGAAAAATCAGGAAAGTACAACTAATCCAACTTTCCTTTTAAAACGAACCAGAAACTTAACCAAGCTTTCTAATTTTATGAGTCTAAAATGATAATTTACTTCTGATGGAATCTTTGAATTCAAATTATTTGCCTCAATTACTTCAGAATTAATCAACACAAAATAGATATCAAAACAACCAATAAGACCGATCTTACCTTAAATTTTTCACAGAGGTTCATTCAATTGAATTTATAAACAACTGTTCAAGCAGTAAAATTTAAAAAATGGTCGCATTAATCATTGGCTTATCAAATGCTGACATTGTTTGATCTCAAAGGTTGATGAGCTTATTAAATCTCTTAGGCTTGATAACACTCTTATCATGTAATCATTAACGCAATTCTCATTCAAGTTGTAATAGCAATATAAAACTTCAAGACTTAATTATTTTAGGGCTTCGAATCATTGATTAATAGAAATGATTCCTTTAAAGTTGAAATTATGTCTTCAATCTGGACAACTACCAACTAATTAGTCTCAGAAATTTCAACAATATTACATGATAAAGTATCATTATTTAATTTCTCAGATTAATGGCTGTTCTTAGTTCATTCAGACTTTGATTCTCCCGCCTTAGCCAATCACCATCCTCCACCCCTTTAACTACAACTAGTGTACACTGTAATGAGTACAGTAATTTGAAATATTTTTTGAAAACCTGTTATAATAATTGTTTCATGAAACCTATTCCGATGAGGAACTATGTTTTGATCTGTTGACGGGTGATTACGTTAGCTTTCAAACTGACCGATAAAATTTGATCCAACTGTAAATGCAATCATAATTAGTTTTAAGAAAATATGGATCTGATTTTCCATGAGAAGGTTTGTATTTTGCTTTCAGTTTAATTTTTAAAAATGTTTTAATTTTTCAGATACAATATTAACTTTAATTTTGCATTTTCCTTCTTATTTATTCCTCGTTGTACAGCAAGAAGGCCAATTGTGTGCAAAACATTGTCTTAATGCTTTACTCCAAGGACCTTATTTTACAGAATTTGATTTGGCCACCATTGCGAAGACCATCGATGATGAGGAGAGATTGAAAATGGCAGAAGGTGGGGAAAACAGAGCAGAGTATCGGGAATTCATTGAGGTAAATAAATTATGCATGTTTCATTTTAGTTTATTTAATCTGTGACTTTAAAGTTACATTGCCGTTCTGCCAAGCATCAATTCGTTCTCTATGTATCTCGAGTCTTGAAGTCTGCTTTATAAGAAACCGTCTAGATTACAAGTTATTTCAATATTTTTATTTTTATGAACTGTCACTCTAAAAGTAAATCTTTAACATATAATTCCGTTTCAAGCGCTTGATGATTTTGATCAAATTCAGCGCTATTTTTATTAACTGTCACTTATTTTATGCTCATCTCTTCTTTTTCAGGGTCCTTCTTTTAACATGGATGATAGTGGATATTTTTCTATTCAAGTTATTGCAAATGCTCTTAAAGTGTGGAGTCTAGAGCTGATACCTTTTAAAAGTCAAAATGCTATAGCAGAAATCGCTCGTAAAGATCCTACGTGAGCACAACATAAACATCTAATAACCATGTCCAATATTTTAATTTGAATTTACTTACCCTTTCAGGTCCCAAAAATGCTATATTTGCAATTATAGAGACCATTGGCTGACAATAAGGAAGATTGGTAACCAATGGTTCAATCTAAACTCATTGCTAAGTGGACCTGAATTGATATCGGACACTTACTTGGCCCTCTTTTTGGCACAATTGCAAGAAGAAGGATACTCTATTTTTATTATTAACGGAGAATTACCTGCATGTAAATCTGACCAAGTATTATCGACCATGAGAGTTGAACAAACAGAGAAACCTCATGCTATTGTTGAATATGGTGACCGAAGCTCAACGGAAGCAGTAAAAGGGGATTCTTTCACCGGAGAAGGAGACGAAGAGAGCTGTATAGCGAGAGCGATCGCTGCAAGTTTAGAAAGTGAATTGGAAGACGAACAAAAACAACTTCAAGCTGCTATCGCCATGAGTTTGGAGTCACAATAAATTATCATGTTTTTCATTTTAACTCGTTTAATTGAATCAATAGGTATAATCTAAAATTTTAACGAGAATCTTTGTCTATTCGGACTCATCTGAACAGTTTTTAATGAATCAATTGCAATTTTAAACGCTTAACACTATCTGCCCGAAAAAAATCAGCATATATCGTAATAACTCTGAATTGCGGAATTATCCTCGACTTCGAGGTTCTCTTCAACCTCGATTTCCTTTGATTTATCAAATTAGGCGAAAGCTACAGTTTTTGTATACTGTTTAAAGAAACTTTTAAATTTACTCCCGCATCCAAATTATTGCAACTTTTAACCATAATGAGCTAATCACCGTCATCAATTGTGCGATTATCATAATTTATTCTTACACAAAACATAAAAGGATCATATGAAAATCAGGGAATTGTGCTCTATCATTAAAATTCAAATTTAATGTTGAAAGTATGAAACTTTTGAATTCATTTTGTAGAGTTTTATTTCACAAACCAAGTGTATCAAAACATAACGTTTTCAGTGTGAACTTCACAATTGTAGACAATATTACAGAAAATTGAGCCTGACCATCGGTCAGTGACCAATTTATCTCAAGATAGATGTCGCTGAGTTGATTGTGGATTGGTTTTACTTGATCCGAAACGATAGTGGCTGTATCAGATATGGTATCTCCTTCACTGTTTTGCTTTGTTTCGAACGAGCAACATCAAAAAAAGTTATCTCCGTACCTTATACTGTGCCTTCTATTGAAAACTCAACCAAACCACCCAACCTAACAAAAGTCTCCATCTTTAAAACTAAGTGATCATCAGACCAACATCAAGATCAATACCTAGGAAAAGAAACGAAGAAATCTTGTCCAATCAAGCAAAAATAACAAAACACCTGTACGAAGTGAGTAGAATATGGACTCAGAAGGAAAAACGACAATAACCACAATCTTGGTAAGTCAAAACCCACAATAATAAATAATGATACTGAACAACAAATAACACAATAAGACACAAACATTCATAGAAATGAAAACAATAAGACACAAAAACCTTATGACACAAATCTAATGTAAAACACCTTCTTCTCATTAAAGGGAAAGAAAACAACCTTGCAACACAATGACTTTAAAAACATTCTGGAAATTATAACTAAACATGGAGAAGCCAATGAATCAAACTCAAACAACATAGCTGACATTCTACAAGATCCCAGATTTCTAAATGTTACCACACAAATGATCAATGATCAAAACTGGATAAGTGAACTTAACCCTGATAATGTAAGAGTGCTAACTTCGTTTAACAAAATGAGTAAGCTGATGGTCACCACAAATACAGTACCCATCTCTGAACCATCACAAATGAACACAAGTTCATTTGGTAACAACAAAATGAGGAAAAGTATTACTCAATTTATGACTATGGACGAGACTGAACCAAAAACATGGTTCAAAATTGAACCGGTCATAACTTGCTTCACGATAATAGTAAAAATAAAAGAAATAAAAAACAAAAGAGGCCTAACATCAGCAGCTCAAATACAGACAGAAATAGAAAAGCTACTAATAGAGAATGATAACCCACAAATCAAAGTCAGAAAAGTAATACCTAGCTATGAATGCTGCAAAATTAAGTGCGAGACAGCCAATCACAGAAAAAATCTCCTAGAGCTAATCAAAAAAGAAAGACCAACGTGGCAATGTGAGACTCAGTTAATAAGGCCACCTCAAATCAAACTCATAGGAGTCAAATACTTTAACCCAGAGAAAAATCTTGAACAACAATTCATTAGATATCTAGAAAAGAAAAATCAATGGCCCCTCGATAAAGAAAACAATAAAATCATTGCCTACAACCAGACTAATCAAGCTCATGACCTAATAATTCAGATTCTACCCTCAATTAGAGAAAGAATAGAGAAAAATAAAGGATGGGTAAATGTAGGACATGGTGATGTTAGAGCAATAGACTACTTTAACATAAAATTGTGTAGGAAATGCGCTAATTTTGGACATGCAATTAGAGATTGCAAGAACATGACTAGGTGCGGCTACTGCACAAAACGCCATAATGAAACTTGCAGAAATCAGCAAAACTCAAATGAATGGGTCTGTCCAAACTGCAGAAGAAAAGGACATAATGCCTTCCAGGTAATCTGCCCAGTCTTCATTGAAAGACTAAAAGTAGAAATAGAAAAGATTAACTTTCCATATGAATCCATAATGCACTAAAATGACCCGAACACTCTAAATGTTAAACGAATTTGCACTCAGAAGGGTAGAGAACAAAGAAGAAAATAACTCTGAACCTACAAACGAAACTGAAAAGACTTAAAAACTCAATTACTCTGTAAACCCTTTCATGACAAAGAAATGTAAACCGCTTTACTAAGAAACAGACAATAAAAAGATTAACAAAAACTCAAACCAGTTGAAAAGTAAATCCAAGAAAGCCAACTGAAAAGTTGAAACACCTGCAGGCTATAAACTAATCCTCTCAAAGTCATAAAATGAAACACAAAAAGAAAAACAACTCCACTCAAAACAATCAACCCAATCCATCACAATAAAACTAACCAAACAGAATACCTCATTAACTCACCCCAAACTACAAAAATGTCAATCAACAAATCAATCCTACGTGAATTTCAAGCAACAAGAAACAACTGGGTCTGCACTAAAGGCCTACCCAGAAAAGTTGAACTCACAGTAACCCCATCAAACTCCCCCGACTTTAAAGACCCAATAAATGTACGAAACACTCTTAACACAGTCCTGGAAGAACTAGCGAATGTAGAAGATAAGATCTCTTATGTGGTCTACCGTGACAACATCTCAATAATTGGTCTTTTCAACAACATTCACAAGTGTGAAATCGCTAATCACATAACAACATCACTAAATGAATGGACAGTGGACCAGAGGAAACTTCGACCAGCACAAATTTACTTCTTTGCAAGTGACTCTATTGCTCATCATTCAATAGACTTTCTTACCAACAACATAATCAAGACGAATGGATGGATCAATGACATCATAACAAAAGTTAAAACAGTCAACAACTTTCAAAACGACCAAGTACGCATCACCATCGACATCAGCCGTCAAAATAGGAACAAGCTCCTAAACAACGAGGGAAGAATACTTTTTTTGGACAAAAGCTGTCAAGCTTACGACAACATCGGCCTAAAGAACTGTAACAGATGTCAATCATTTGATCATCAAACTGCTTACTGCAACAATCCTCCGAAGTGTAGTATATGTTGTCTACAACATACAGGGAACTGCAATCAGATAAACACAGTGTCAATCCAAAAGTGTGCTTCGTGTCCTGAAGAATACTCGATTGGTCATCA